TGTTGGTGTGGACTGCCTGCCTTTATGTAGACAATTGAATGAGGCAATGGGGCATTGGCAACAATACAGCTAAGTGGTGGTGATTTGTTTGTTGTCCAGCGTGATGCTTATCCTTCTTTCCCCACTTCGGGTGGGAAATGTCGGTGTGGGCCGCGGGGAAAGCACAATTGCTTCCCCACTAGTTATTCCCCGCTACTGTTCCCAGGTTGAGCACTCGTTAGTGAGTTTAAGAGATGTACTAAAAGGCAGGTCTTTTCTGATGGCACAGCTTTCTAGCCTGGGCTGGCTGTAAGAGACTGGTCGGGCACTCATAGGATGGATGGTGTGAGGGGGGATGAGATGGGGTTAAATGAAGATCAGACAGGCAGTGTAGTTGCTTGTTCAGTCAGGCTAAAATACAATGCTACCTGCTTGTGATACAAAGCACGAAGCTGCGAGAGGTACGCTCAACTTGTACTTTCACGTCCTTACCCAATGTTGAGCATACTTCGCCATTGGAAATCTGCCTTCATGCGCTTCAACCATTGTTCGCGCGTTATAGCTGCCACCCCATCACAGTTGTCATTCTACTCGTCTTTGATGTCATTGTCGGCATCTGTGTCACTGCTGCTGCGCTATGGCGTCGCTTCGATCAGCGCTAAGGTTAAGTCATGAGAGAAAGAAGGTGTGAGATTGTGAAGTTCTTTTAGATACAATCCACTCTCACCTTTGGAGCAGCCGACACCACCATGTCCCGTAACCACTGGTCACCTTCACCAAAGAGAATATTGATGTCCTCGATGGCGCCCATCAGCGTCGTTCTGCTCATGTCAAATCTAAGCTCTCGCGTGGTAGCATCTCTAGATATCACCCTTAGACCCTCGATCTCAGAACGGTTGACGAGAGTATAGATCCGAATGCAAAGAGCGAGAGGACCTAAGAAAGGACGAATCCAAGCTAAAGGAAGGTATAGCTTGATCAGATCAGCTCCCTTTGGAGTATTTGTATTCTTGGCATGTGAACTCTCGCGGACTTCAGCTTCTGCATTGCTCTTCTTGCGAATTTCGTCGCATGTCCATTTCAAATGCTGTCTGTAATCTGCCCTTATAACTTCCACGTACCCTTTAATCACCAGTGTATAAGACTTCCGCCCCGGGAGAGTTAGATTCAAGAGCGAGGTGGTGTGTGGCTGAAAATTCACTCGATCCCTGCCCTGGGCAAATTCACTTTGAATCAATGCAGATTAACGCAAGAGATACCAAAGAGATATGTCAATGAAGTAATCGTTGCTCTTGAGGATCACCGTTCCTGTATCGATTTGCTCATCTCGGACAAATGATTATCTAAAGCTTGTCAGCTGATCACCATCAGTCCGGGAACAGATTTACATCTCAATGTCTTGAAAAATCTCTTGTTCGGGATCCACTGGGGTACGCTCGCTGGGTTGGACAGAGCGCTTTCCATGAAGATGTATCCCTTGTGCCAGTGAGAATGACCTTTCTTTAAGACATGTTGATGAACAAAATGTCAGGTTCCTGTCGCTGCAGGCTTTTGACAATGTGAAAAAAGGCGGATCAAGCCAGGGAGAAGAGGAGGAACGCGTGGGAGGAAAAAAGAGGAGATGATGAGACAGGTGTGAATTAGGTGTTGTGAAAGGGAAATATTCATCTCTTTGAACTTCATTCCACCAAGGCTAGGCTGTCACTGAGATTGCAAGTCTATCCTTCACTTGTGGTAGCTTGAAATGGCTCCTGCAGCCGTGATCAGTTTCTTTGATATCGCAATTCCGATTTGTTGTTTTCCAAAATGGCACCTCTCTCTCTCTATCTTCCTACATGCAAAGCAAGACATTTCAGCATGACCGTCGTAGGATGTGATACCATGAATAGCAATAAGACTTTGCACTTTTCTAAAATGCATGTTTGTTCACATAACGCGTATTGTTTGAATGCATAGATGGCTATATTGAGCGAACTAGCGAGCTGTTAAAGCAGCTCAGCGACACTTGGGCGTCAAGAAGCTACAATCATAGTGTAACATGAACTTGGAAGGGTTAGCTCGACCGCATTAAGGCCTGCCAATGGGGGTTCAAGCTCGATAGGACTTTGACGAATACTTACAATAAACTATCTCATCATCCGGCCACGGATCATGCAGTAGCCCCTCTGCCATCGGACTTATTTCTACAAAGATATTGTCCCTTACATCCTTCATATACCCTTTTCATCCGAGGTCATTCCTGCATCAACCCATACATCGCATCTTCACCACTGACATCTTCCTTCTACATACCGCGTAAATCATAGTCCACGATATTGAAGGTTGGATAATAGGCACAGCAGACCGACACACCGATTATTCCCTGTATCAATGACTAATCCTACCCAGTCTACAGCATCACGTCCGGTGACCGCTGCACAAGCTTGCATTCGGTGGGCAGGAAGTTCAGTGCTTGCAAGCCCATTTTTTTTAGGGTAGCCATGATGAATAAATGCATGGAATCAGGAGAGCAAATTTATTGAGGGTACGGAGGTGGACTGGCTCAAGTAAACGATACTACTTATATAGCCCTTGTTCGTAAGCCAACCCCTGTGTCGGCAAGCTCGTTTCGCCCCACCGGTCCCTGTCAGATTCCCGAGAAAGCCTGGACCAGAGCCATAATACACCATACCACGGCCTTAAGAGCTTACTTGAACGAAGCTGGTCCATTTGTCGCCACCAAAGGACGCGTACTGTGTAATGTGTATACGCACCTGCTGTCAATGATCAGGGTAGTGAGGAATGTTGATCGCGGTGGACGAAAGCAGGATGTGTGGCCCATTGGTACAGCACCAAGATGCACACACTCACACCGCGTCGTATACGGAGTACACATAAATCGACGACGGGAATATCACCTGCATGCTGCCGATCATGATGTACCGTACTCCGTGCAGGGAGCTCTACGGGATGCTGCATGCATGGCAATATTCAATGGCAAATCGTGGGAGTCGCCATTTGACCGGTCAATTGATGACGTACGCTCATGACGAGTGAGTTCTTGGCGGAGGGAATTGGAAGACGGTGAAACTTTCCCCGTCAGAGGCTGTCAGTCCGAGCCTTTCTTGTTCTCAAAGGGAAGAAGGATAGTACGAGAGATGACCCTTCGAACCATCAAGCAGCTTGCGCCCGTTCGCGGCGGCTGGCGGTGCAGAAGGGATATCGCATGCAGATAAGGAGGGCTGGAGGGCTGGAGGGGCTAAACTGCAGGCGGATTAGTGCCGAAGCAGGCCTTGGGGCGAGACCTTGGCGGACTCCACCGGGCTTCCAGATCCTGGCGATTGAGTGGCCCAGCACTAGGGGACTTTTCTCAATTCGATGTTAGTGTATCTGCCCCTTACGTGGAATTGAATGGCCATGGCGGTTTTGTGCCCTTTAACTAGCATTTTAGCACCGGTTAGTGAGCAATGAATGCACTCCCTCCCATTATTCGTCTGGGTTCGTCTGGTGGGCTCCAAAATGCCCGCTTCCATTGACTTCATAACCGGAATTATCATTCAATTGTGTTGAACAACGCATTCGACTGGTCGTCGTCGCCTGTTCTTTCCCTTTCCTTTTCCACTTCTCCTCTCCTCCCGTCTCCTCCTCGCCCCTTTCCTTCTGCCTCTTCTCTAGGTACTTATCTCTTCCGAGTCTCTATCCCTGTCGGTTCTCGTGGTTGCCGTCAAACCTCGCGAGAGGTGTTCCCTCCCTCCCCCTCTCACTCAATGTCGAAGAGGCGGCTGTTTCGTTGGCCTGCCCGCCGCACTGTCGCCCTTGGAGTTTTGGCGCTACTGGTCACCTCGGTTTTCTCATGGCTGCTCTGCGGTGGTGAAAGCTATGAACCTCAACCTGGTATGTCATTGTTCGGATCCCGCGCCCCGGACGTGTCTCCCGTCATTGCTAATCGCAAATCATCAGTACTGGAAGAATACGTCAATCCTATCCACGAGCAATTAGCGGAGATCACTGCGACCTACGAAAATGCGACCAGCGATATTGGATTGGTATTAGCCGCGACGCGGGCGGAGGACTTAACCTGGCTTCTAGATTACTGCAGGGACCAGTATGGCGCGCACCTCCCCTCGTTTTTCAGGACCAAGGAAATTTCATTGTGCTTGTTGGGCTGACGTTTGACTCCTTCCGCAGCGGAACAATTCCATTCATTTACAGCACCGACGTCGAACCTGCGCCTCACCTCCTAATCCCTCGCACCATCCGCGGTCGCGAGGCCGCCGCCTACCTCTCCTTCATTGTTGATTTCTACGACCGGTTACCCAAATATACGATATTCATCCATTCGAACTACGATCAATGGCACAATGACCTTTTCGGCCCCCACACTGGTCCAGCGTTACGCAACCTCCGGTTGGAAGCTGTCGACGCGCAAGGGTACGTCAACCTGCGCTGTGAGCATGACCCCGGCTGCCCGACGAGCGTCCACCCGTGGAGCCCCACACAAATCGACCTCGAAAACGATGATATTCGCGCGTTCTTTCCCCAGGTCTACCAGACGCTGCTCAACGTCCCTGCGAAGAAGGTTCCGGAACACATTGGGAACGTCTGCTGTGGTCAATTTGCCGTGAGTCGCCAGCGGATCCTCGAACGACCTCGATCGGATTATGTGCGCATGTTGCGGTGGGCCGACGAGACAGAGTTGACCGATAGCTTTGGCGTGGGCTGGGTCTACGAGAAGATCTGGCACATCATTTTCGGCATGGAGGTCATATAGTAAGTGGTGGAGACGCGCGCGACTGGGTCCACCTTGGAGCGGCAGAAAGTGGCTAATATTGTCGTCATAGTTGTCCTCGATACGAACAATGCCGGTGCGACACGTACGGGTGGTGCGGACCATTGGCCTCGGGCGAGACACTGCAGGCAGTGCGAGCGAGCCCGGGCCCCACGATGGAGTCATCGTTTTAATCATAATGGATGAATCTGATTCTAAGCGTTTAATGCATGATGTACACTATCATGATTGGGGGTATTCTGAGGACCCCGAGTCGGTTTGGCTACGATTTCTCAATTTCAATCCAATTGTACAGTTGGACGATGGGCTGCTGCTCCGTTGCGTTTCTGTTATCTCAGGGTATATTCGTTAGGTCGTGCTGACCCACCGTCTCAAATCTCATCAGTCATGCCTCTTGATGCGGCGTCATATGTGACAGGGTGTTACTCGTGGTTAATCGGCTGCTGGTGCGTCCCTCGCACCGGACCAGCATCCAACTCATACACTACCCTATGTGCGATCGGACTGGCCGGTACTTCATGCACATTTCCACTATCCAGCAAGGGAACGTTCGTTTCGGAAGGCCTCCGTCGAGGGATGGGATTCAGGAACAATGCATTCTGCTCATTAGATGTCGGGACGGAGCTGACAGAGCTTTCTGTACCGGGCATCAGCGAGCTCGGCACGGGTGGCGAAGATGGCGAGATCGTTGACATTCTGTGGTGGACGTCGATCGGCGGCGATGGGGGAGGCGGTGACAATGGTTTCCGTGGGATATTGTTCAGATCAGTCGCTGGATCCGGCTCCTGCGCATTCAACACGCGAGATTGCACCTTTTCAGCCATATTTGAGGTCATGCGATCTCGTGGCAGCCCCGTTCCAACAGCAGTGTATTCGGATTTGCCCTCATCCTGGGCAGCATTTCGCCGCTTCCGCCTTGACCGATTCCGACGCATCAGCACCCACACGAGTAGGATGATCAGCAGGACGACTAGGATAACTCCTATGGCAATTCCCGCTTTGGCCCCCGAACTTAACCCGCTGCTGGAACCGTCGGAGCAAGAATACGACCCCTTGAACACGCCGTTGCTGTTGTTATTGTTCTGGTTGTCACCGTCGTCATCGTCATTCCCGGTCCGCAGAGATTCCAAACTCGAGCAACGAAATGATCCTCCGCGCGAACTGATACTCGTCTGTCCATTGACATGCTTGAGATTGCTAAACGATATACTTTGGAGTCGTCCAAATCAGCACCGCGGTTTGCACAGATTGCGGTTCACGCTCTCTCCTCCGCGACGCGAATCAGGGAGACAAATTAGAATGTACCCACCTGTCAAATTTCCCACTTAGCGTCAACGCCCCGTTCACGTACTCCAAATCATCGAACACCAAGTCCTTGAGCTGCGAGTTATCCTCGACATCCAGCTCTCCGCTGACGGTCTTGAGATCTGAGAGTGTGAGAGTGCTCAATTCGCCGTTTTGTTTGATGGAGAGCTGCCCGTTGACGGTTTCGAGGTTTGACGCGGAGAAGGCTGTTAATGCGGAGGCATTCTGGATGATAAGGCCCGCATTGAGCGTCTCTAGCTGTTTGAGGGTGATGCTGCCGGTGGCGGAGGGAGAGATGGTTAGGGTGCCGTGGATGGTGGAGCAGGAGGAGAGACGGCTGTCAGCGTCGGCTTGGGAGGTTATCGTTGTGCTGGAGGTGCCTTCCGTTCTTGTGAGCAGTTGATATAGAAGCGTGGATGTATCACAACTCCGACAATAGATGATAGAACATAGAGCATAGAAGATCAAAATTGAAAAGCGATGCAAGAACTCACAGTTGGTATTTGAATTTGAGTCCGCCGCGACCGGCGGGGCTATGAGACATAAGAGGTATAGAACCACGAGGCACCCGGCTACCATTTTTGAATGTCGCGAACCTGGAAGGTCACGAAAGAAACTCGATATCTTCAAATCGAGATGCACTCATTGGTAGATAGTTGGTACTTTAGCTGTCCTCGAGGTCAGGTGCTTAATGGAAGTAGGTCGGGTGTGAGAGTTCCGTGCATTCGGTTCTCCGCGACAAGCTTTAACCCCGAGGGCGAAGACACCAAGGTTTAAGTATTAGCTTGATAAAAGCGAACGACAGGGAAATGTGACAGCCTAAATCTCTTGCAGCAGGATCAGTAAAGAGACTGCAAGCTAAATTACGGAGTACTCTTTCGGGAATAACGGCTAGCTATTATAGTCTTGTCTTGTATTGCGGTGTCTTTCAATAGCTGCTTCATTCAGTTTTTTTTTTCTCTCTTTTTTTTCAGTTTTTACATTTTCCTTGCGGAGACCCTCCCTCTGTCCCGCTGGACAACACAGTAAGTTACCGCGTCCACCTCGGGGATAAGATGCCGTGGTTAGTTAGTCCTTTAATATGATCGCATCTTCCCGGGCGGGAGGGCGTATGAAGAGGGGACATCATGTCGCAATCATTCTGATCTGGCCCAGTATGCGATAAAGACCAGCGTATAATCCATTCTTCTGCGCCGGAAGGAAAGCAAAAAGCATCCATCCACCCATCCATCCATTGACTGTCATACCACCAACGTAGTTATCGTAGTGGGATGGGGAAGAAAAGTAGGTAGTATCCCTACCAACTTATCTCCGAACACTGCCTCCTTTCGTTTTTTCCCTGCCGATGGCGGGTTTTCCCCACTTTGGGTGGACTGATACCTTTCGAAGAACCCAAAGCTCAAAGCTAAGTGGATTACAGATTGTGGCTTCTCGCCGGAGACTTGAGCGAATCTGGATTGGTAAATGGAGTTAGCGTGAGGACGAGGGTTCAAAGGTCAGTGATTTGCTGCTGGGTATGTTGGGGGGTGTTCATTATCACCGAATGATGAAAGAAGGTGTCCATCGAAGCTCGGACATCGGGCCGGGCTACTGTTACTGGATGATCAGGCAGTGAGTAAATTGAAGCCGGGGACGGTCACTTGCTGGCTTGGACGTCGAGGTTTCTATTTTTAAACTATCATCTGTAATGGACATGTTGTTCAGGCACCAGAATTTTCTTGTATGGATTTTCGTGCGGGATGGGTTGAGGGTGTGGGGTGGTGCTGGAATGGAATGGTAATGGGGGGGTGGTCGGTGGTCCTGACCGTCTTGTCGGTTGTTTTGTAGTAGAGGCAGGTTGGGTGATCTTGTGCTTCGCCCAGTTTGTGTTGATGGTTGTTTCGAGTGTTGATTGCTACTTGCTAGGGTCGAGTTGTGTTGGATCCGTCCTTGGTGGTTAGTGGGATCGCTGTGGTGATGACCCTGTAGATTCCGGGGTTTATCTCTGGGTGCTTGAGAAAACAGGCTGGAATAACGATGACGATGAGTTGTAGGTCTGTATGCGCGAGGTATAATTAGTACTGTTTGTTGGTCGTCTTGCGGTAAATGAAGAAGGATGCAGCCAAGACGGCGGGCGGATGAGACAGTCGGCGGGTCGGATCGGGGTTGGTCCCTGATGCCACAACTTTATCTCGAGGTTCGATCTGATGTCTGCAAAAGATATAGCCACACTTAGAGCTTGGTAGCTTCTCTACCTCTGCTACGATGACTTATATGGTGAAGCACAGGTCACCTGCCTTGATCGGTCGAGCCTTGCAGATCCTTAGGACGGCAAAGGTATGCATTTCACGGTCGAACATCAACGGGATTCTCGCTTCCTTCAGAGTCCCACGAGGTCTCCTGCGAGTGGGATCATCGGAAGCTGGGTTCTCGATCTGTGAGCATTTTGAATCGAGTATCTTTGACTCTTTTACGAAGAGTCATGGATCATTTGACCCAACTTGTACAGATTCCCGAGACAGCTGGATTTGAGAGACATCCATGATAGTCGGCTCGAAATCCCTATCAGAACGTGTCAACCATAATGCTCGTAACGGAACCTTCCCTTGCTTGAGCTCATCGCAAGCGATGGGAAACAGGCAGCTGTCACCATCCTGAGAAATAATAGTGATTTACTCTGAGCTCGCCGCCCTTGAGTCTTTGGCTGAATCAATTCCCTCATGTGGTCTCTGCCTCACGGAGTCTTTCCATATGGCTGCGGAGATGACACGAGTCAACAGTGCGTGAGACGCGTGCAACGATGTGACAACTATTTACAAACATTTCTCTGGCTACGTTGAGGCATCAGAGCCAGTTTCTCAGCATCGCTTCTGGTTTACAGACGGTTTCCCAGGCAGTTCGACGATATGGTGTAGGTACTAGAAGGCCCATCAAGTTGCACTGCGCTACGTAGCTAGCTATATTGCTTTTCTTTTTGTCCTTGCTTCTTCGTAGAGACCAATAAAATGTTCTCATTGCTCTATAGAGTCACAGCACTCCTGAAGCCTAGACTTTGCGTTGTGCGCTGGATTATTCCAGCTTGAAGAGCTCTCGTCATGTGGTCGACGACTCCCTCCACAGGCTCCCCAGGGCATCATCTTTGGTTCCTCCAGCTGATTCCGTGCGTGTTACTCTATTCACTTGATTAACCGGCTTCAGCCAGCCATTCGCTTAACAGCCAACCAGAAGGTCTTTGTCTTAACACCGGATATGACTCTTCCCCTCAAGCCGAAATGAGATTAACCCGGATGATACAATTCCTTGATCCGGGGGGAAAGAATCAGCCAGTCAGGCGACTGGGTCACTCTTTTTCCTGATTTTGAGGTGAATGAGGCCAGCCGCCCAAATCACCAAATCTCTACCTCCCAGAATTATAAATACTCCCTTCCTCCCCTCTCCTCCCTATCCTTTCCTCTCTCTCCCTCTCTCCTCTTCCTCCCACAGACAGACTTCTCTTAGCTACGGTGATCTGTTCTTTCATTTCTATATCTTCCGTCTCTGTCTGTTCTCTCTCTCTGTGTTCAGCCTGTCTGTCTCATCTTGTGTTTTCATTCACACCTTCGTCCTCACCAAGCTCACACTCATCGTGTGGTTGGAGAAGACAAAGGTCAATTTCAATCTCTGAAACCTCATCTAGGAGGTGCTGATTTTCAGTGCCTCACCTTTCTACACATTCCCAATGATGATATCGGCTTTACTGTCCCTCACTACAGACTCTGGGCTGCCTTGACACAGTACTGACCTTCTTGCAGAGAATGCCAAACTCTGCTGGATCTGAGGAGGCCTGCCCAGTGACCTTTTACCTTTGCCTTGTCGCTTTCCCAATGATGATATCGGCTTTTACTGCCTCTCGTTGCAAATTCTAGGTTGCAGATGACGCAGTTTCAGCCTTCGGGCGTACGGAGATCATGCCAGGTCTTGCGCTTCGGTGTAAGAGCTGGATCTGTTCATACTCGCTGCAGATCTGAGGAGGCGTGCCTAGTTTACCTTTTTTTTTTTCCTTCCTCTCTCCTGTTCCTCTTTTGCTTTCAATTCCCCCTGACCCCCTCGATGATGTGCTCGCTTGTGGTGATTCTTGTCTTTGGTTCTACTTCTGGGTGGGACGACCGGTGTCGCCTGGTTACTTGCCTGGAGTGGGCTGGGGGCTTTGGATTGCTGCTGAGTCTGAGGGGGGCCCAATGATGAGCTGGTGGCAGACAGACAACCTTTAAGTCGCCCTTCTTCTGGTGATGAGATCGCTACCCAGTTGAATCAATGCTGCCTTGAGGAGGATGTTTTGGGTTGTCGAGCCTGAAGAAGGCTTCTTCTCCTCTCCCTCTCCCTGATGATGAGAACCAAAAGCGATTTGATATCAATGCTGGTTCCTCAGTCTGCGGAGACAAACACCCGGCGGGTCACCTGCCAGCGGTGGGATCCGGTGATTCAATTACTTTGTTCTGAGGGGAGTTGTATCTTTCTTTCTGTTTCTCTGTTATGACTTTGGTAGTGGAACTGTGCAGTCTTATCTGTAATTGAAATTATGTTGCTGGTGGTACTTGATTTACTTTACCTTTAACCTATTTTCTCTCATGTTATCACCCATTCGCTGTTCACGGGTTGTGCTCTGTAGTTTAAATAAAAACTTCAAGCCTTTACCCTGTTGCCTAATGTGTGGTTTTGGTGTAGAAGTAAGTTACATGCCTGTCTGCTTGAGCGAAAAGAGACCAGCCGCCTCGAATATGAGAGGACATTTCCTTCGTCTCCCCTCCCTTCCCCCCTCCGCCCCTGAACCGAACGCTTGTATGTGCTTTCTCCTAAGAAAAGTGCCATCCAAAATCCGATCCTCAAATTGCCTTGCTCCTGCAAATCAGCCTCCATGACAATGGCCAGTAGAATCGACCGTGACGAGCTCGAGCAGAAATAGTTCAACGGATTACAGAAGGTATGCGAAGCAGACAGCCCGCGCCCTTGATCCTGATACATAGCGCGAAGCCGCCTCGAATACTTTTAGTTAAAGTGTCTAAACGTTTTCCTAGAGTACACGAACAAGATGAAATTGATGCGTGACAACTAGATTGAGGGACGGGAGAGCGGTCGAGCTTGCTGCGCGTGAAGGAAAATGATACTCAGTCTGGTCAGGTGAGGAAGGGAGAGGGTGCCTGTTGCTGAAAATTGGGCGATCGGCTCCACGAAATCCAGTGGTTCGTCTGGTTTTCTGGGAGACTGGTGAGGTGACTACGGATGGAATCGGGTTGGAACGAAGAGGTGAGGGGGCTATAGTGAAAAGAAGAAGAGTAGAGAAGAGAGGAAAAATAGTAAAGGAGATGGTTTATGTGTCTTCATGAAGCATCTTTGACACAGAGAAGAGAAGTAGGGAGCAAGAGACCGAGAGAGGAAAATCCGCTACTATCGTCTCTAGTCATTGCTCAAAAGACATGTTGATTGATTATGGGTCGTAATGTCATCACATTGTTGATAGTAGTAGCCAAGGTCGCCGCTGAGTATACACTCAAACGAAAGAAGATCAATAGGGAATACGGACCGACACTCTAAGCACCCTCCTTGTTTATCCTACCCCAGGCAGTGTCCAAAGTATGAAGTTCTTTCCATTGTGCTTCCAGGTCGCGGATGACCCATGCTGTACGCCAGCCGACCGTCTTCTCCACGCGACGGAGGAATGCGAGGGAGCCTTGTTGCTCGGCGACATGGCGGAGGCAGTATCCATCTGTAGATAAGAGAATGATTAAGAGTGTGCCCGTTAATGAGGAGGGGCAAAGAACCTGGGAAACGTACAGCGATGAAGTAAGTGGCAGGCCATGAAGCATGCGTTCTCGACGGTTTCGTTGGACATCGACAAGCCGACGGCTTTGATAAGGTGGGCGGAGATTGTTCTCTATTTAAGCAGTGTGTTTAGTTGGTGGACAAAGTGAGAGGCCGTGAGACGGCGCAAGGTAGAGATGAGGGGGAAGGATGGGAGAAAAGGATAAGAGACAGGGACGAATGAGAGACGTAAATGAAGACAGAGATGAAGACGAAAAAGACTGCAAACCTCTTCTATGCGCTTGAGTCGCGCAAGCTCATAGTCACTAACTACACTCCAATGACGATCGGAAGCGGTCAAAAATATGCGCGCTGTATGATAGTACTGCAGTCCCACAGCTACACATCGAGAACGAAAATCAGTGAGCTGTGTCAAAATATGGTGCAGCAGGTCGCAGGTGCAAACTTACCCGCCTGGGGCGACATCATCCACATCTCTGGGAAGGGACGGTTCTCCTCGGGGTTCGCATCGTTGTATTGTAATGGCTGCCAGCTAAGCGGTCTGGCGTTATACCATTGCTCCACACTGTCGGTCAGATGCTGCCACTCTGTCTCATCAACAGGACTGCAATGTGACCCTGACCATAATTGAAAGATCTTGGCACAGTAGAAGATGATGACATTTGCGTAGGAGGCATCATCACGCCGCTGAAAGACAAGTGATCGCTCATAATTCTCCAGATTGAGCTGCATCGGTTGGTGCTGGACGACGCAGGCGTACAGCGCCTGGCGGAGGAACTGCCAGCTAGCAGCTTCAGCAAGCCCGCCTGAGAAGGCCGAGTAAGACATTCTGTTGAGAAGTCGGTTGGATCCAACCCAGTGACGCTTCTCGTCGGTCGCAAACTCGAGCTCTTCGTACATACATAGTATGACGACCGTGATTAGGAGATTGTCATCGTACGTCTCTCCTGGGAGGGCAAGAGCTGCGATGAGGAGCTCGAGACATTGCCCGTGATACTCTGATGCTTCCCAGTCACTAGAGCCGCTCATCGTGGCATCATGTCGCGCAGCGAGGGCGAGGACAGCTTTGAGAACCATTGGGTATTGGAGAGCGCGGCGAGGGACTTCGGTCGCAAAGTGAGAACGGAGGTCGCATATGTCGGCCTGGGCACTATTTAGCTTCAATAAAGCGCGATAAAAGTATATAGACAAGATCAGGGCATACCCATGGTGCAAGCTTCCGGATAAAGAGACGTAGAAGGTGGGCTTCACGTGTCGATAGAGAAGACGAAGTTTCTGGCCACGGGCTGACAACACTTGGTGGTAATGTTGCGCTGGTCCTTGTGCTTGCAGAAGCTACTGGAGACAAGATCGCGATGGATTGAGGGGAGAGGTGGGAAGATGAGCTGGGGAGCTGTCGCAACTCAGTGATTGGCGGTGTCGTCCGATTCGCAACTGGGTTCTGGACGTGATGATCTCGGACACTTTCTTCCTGCGCATACATAATCTCCGAAAAGGGGAGATCAGAGAGCATGCAATAGGTTTGTGAAAAGCCTTGAGGTGCCTCGTCCGCAGTGACTAGGTCATCCTCTTGAGCGTCAGGTGGAATGTCGCTTGCATTGCCGCCGTCGAATTCTTCACTACATTCTTGGACAAATGTCACTTGAGAAGAATCAGCCTGTGAGCACAGATACACATATGTAAGAACTAGAAAGGCACCTACAACAATGAGGAACCCTTACCCACGTTTGCGTGGCGTCCCAGGCCAGCTCAAACTTGGAAGCAGAGCCGTTGCTTTTCTGGTAAACATGACGAACTGATTTGAAGCGAAAGGGCGGATCTAAGCGACAAGCACGCCCCAGACGAGTGCAAGCGTTACAAGAGGACGCTCCTGCTCGGGTAGTACATCTTATGTGACGGAGACGGCAACGTTCGCATCCCCTTCCGATTCTCATGGCAAGGAATGGCGGGGCAGCAGGCCCTGAGTGTTGGTCGCTGCGGGGGAAGTAGAGTAGGCACAGAGGGACATCGGCGTGTTCGTAGGGTTCATCAAGACTACTGGACAGAGCGGCAATGGCAATCACCGACGGAAGAGGGCCAGCCAAGGGAGAACGAGAGGGACAACAGGTGTGAAGCGAGATGGAGGTGGCTATCGGTTATTGATCTTCTTGAAATGCGGAGTGAAGCCGATGTCTGTGGCCTATGCTCACCTGCTTTGAGAGCTTAGTCAGTCTTCCCCGCATTTCCCCGTCTTGTTCGGTTTTCTCCCGCTTAGCCACTTCGGGGGAATGCATCCCTTCTCTGACGCGGCCAAGGCTACCTCCTCACCTCGTATCTATCTCATGGCTCAGCTGAGATCAGTTAAGTTGGAGAGACCAAATTAGCTTAACGTTCTGGTGCCCCATGGCGCCACGTCTCCACAGGCTTCATATTCTAATGCTGACCCGCTGATTGGCAGGTTCAATTACAGTACCCTTGAAGAAGTCGCTTGCTGTTCACTCTCTATCGATGATCTTGCGTCGATGATCAGCCCTCGAAAGGCATGCCCACGTTCAATAGATAAACGATGCTAACTTCATGTATCACGAGAGATAATATCGGATTTGCCGCGCGAGGCGGAATGTGGAACAAGGCCAATCGAGTACTCGGACAGATGTCGCCTTCGAGCATACTATTTATGCGCTCGCATGCGCAGAGATGCATCAGACTGCGTCCGTGATTGTGAGAGGCACATGACTATCGATAGGCTACGCGGTTGCTATAGACTACTGTTCTCGCGAGTGTCTTGTATCGGAAGCCAATATACTGTATGAAAAGGCCATCATTGATTCTAATTCATCAAGTACTGAACGTCATGGAAAGTGGTATAATCGCAACTCCAACTGCCTGTATGCTATCGTCGAACTTTTGTAATCCTCAATTAAACGCTGATCGTCTTGAAGACACTGCACGGATCGTTAGCACATCGATTCTCGAAGCAAATCCGTAGGGATAGCTTGACTTACCCAAATCCACCGCCACCGGTAGCCATGATGGTGCCAGGCATCTGGGCCTGCCAGTGTACCTCCTTGACCGAGTCCATGTAGTGAACGAACAACAACTGCGGGGGAACCTCTTGCATGGCGGCATCACGGTTCTCCTCTTCATCCAACTCAACGGCCAAATCCCAGAGCGTAACAGTATTGTCGGCAGAACCGACCGCAACAACGCTGTCGTCGGTAGGGTGCCACTCGATACTCGTGATGGGCTCCCGGTGGAAATCGAAAGATGCCACCGGAGAAGCCTTGGTCGCGGCGGAGGTGGCGCTGGGCTTCCAGTGTCTCAAATCCCAGACAGCCCATTGGCCGTCATCAGCGCCCGTTGCGAGCAGGTGGAAAGTCTGGTTCGACCAGCTCATGACGTTGACGTCGGTGTTTGAAACCTGCACGTTCACAGCCGGCTTGCGCGACTTGGACCGGACATCCCAGACCTTGACTGTTCCGTCACTGCTGGCGGAGGCGAAGACGTTCTTCTCGTTCGGGGACCACTGAAGCTCTTCGACGGAAGACTTGTGGCCAGTGAAGGGACGGGTGTCCGTGACCCAGCCGCCTCCCTCCGTACGAGTAGTAACGTAGATCAGGCCGTCGTTATCGCCGGTCAACAACTTGCCAAGGGGCTGCAGCGGAGACCAGTCAAGAGCGTAACCTTCCGACTTGTGCATGCGCAAGGTAGACAGAGGCTTGTTTGCTGAGGGAGGGAGGATAGTACCGGGAACATCGAAGCTGGTGAGATGGGGGGTAACGTCGTGAATAACAACTTGCGAGTTCTCGAGCATGGTGGCGGTGATGGTCTGGGGGGGCTTGGAGTAATCGCCCGACTGGTTGGGGGTCTGGTGAGCGCGAATGCGATTGGTGGTGGAGCCGAGAGGGATGCTCTTGTGCTCGAGGATGGCCTCGCTGTCGTCATCAGAATCCGAGTCGCTCTCAGAGTCGGTCTCATTATCCCTCTCCATCTTGCTCAAGCCGCTCAGCTTCAGGACCATCAGCTCATTCTCCTTGGCGCGCTTGCCCTCGGCTTGTGTACCCGCGACAGCGTAGACGGTCGCGGGGTATGTCTTGCGGTTGTCGCCCAGGTTGTCGCGGACAATATCGAACGACAGACAGGGCCAAGGTGTGCTGAGGGTGTGAAGCATGTTGTACGTGGTCGGGTCGGGGGACAGGACCTCTCCGGGCGCAAGCTTCGTTCTTCCCGGAATGAAGGTCTGCTTGTCGACATCCATAGCTTCTGCATACAGCAATTGTCGTCAGTACATTCTTTACGGCGTGGTGCAATCATAAGGGTACGGTAACGCACCTCTTTCTTCCTCCTCACGTTCCGCATCGGGGCGACCGTCCACACCAGCCTCAAGGATCTCATCCTCACTCTCGAACTCGTCCTCGTACTCGTCCTCGAATTCACCAACCTCGTCGGCAGGATATTCGGTGATCGGGCGCTCACCGGCCTTGAGCGCGGCGGACTGCTCGTCGGCGGCGTCGGCGGATCTTTTCGACATTGTAGTGGTTGATGTGGATGTGTAGGATGTGTCGAAAGAAAGGAACAGCTGTCGACGAGCCAGTCGTGCAGCGGGCGATAGGGAGAGGGGAAAGGAAAATTGACTGATTAGGGTTCGGAGAACATTTTTTCCATCTTTTTTTGTTCCGCCGCGGCAAAATTTCACGGGACAGGCACGCCTTTCCTATCGCGGATTAGCGGCGATCCCGCTGTTGTCTTTGCTGCTTTGCGACCGACTTGGCCGTGCTTTGTCTGCAACTAAGCGAGCAACATGTTCTGGCAGCTACATCTGCTTCACCCTTCGGCTCATTTAATGGGTAAGCTCGAAGCAGGATGATACCGCATTCTATAGCATGGATCTGAACTTCGCGCGCGCCATGATCCGGGAATGGTAATACGTTCCAAGGTGGTTTGAAGCTAATCCAGTAACCTCGACGTCCACAAAGAGTTACCGTACAATTACTATCCGGGTATAAGGTGAGGTTGAGATATTTCCGATAGTATTTCTATGGATAAATATAGGAGGGTCTTTAATCAGCGCTTCGAGCACTATATACATTCAGCTCTCACAGAATTATTTCTCCCCTGAATTGCTGCCAGCATGGTCAGATACTTATCCTCCGATGATGCAGTCAGCGCATTTCAAGAACAATTCCACATCTACATCCATGATCCGACACTAAGAACAAGCCTTGAGGGCCCTCGGCGTCACTGATCGCGTAGCAATCAAGGACCTGGCCTTTGAAGGTGACGGGACCCTCACGCTCTTATTGCTAGCGGAAGGCCTGGCACGGCATGCCAGCAGAGGTGCATATATCCTGCAATGATACCTCCCATCAATAACAGAGGTGATAATGCAAGAGTCTTGATGGCAGAGATCCATATGTTCATCTCTCGTGTCGGTAGTAACGTCTACCTTGCAAAACAGGCTCTCAGTCTAGGCCTGGATCGTTACATCCGAAATAACTCTTCTCAAGGACGATGGGTGCCTCCAACGCCACTCAGATATACCATGGGGGCTATTATCGGTGCTGCTTTTGAGGACAGGGGCTGGGATCTGGTCGAACTGCGCAGGCTCATGGTTGCTTTGGGTGTCGCGTAGTCGAACACACGGTTATAGGGTTTGTACTGTAACGGATCGCATGCTTGTAGATCCGATAGTTGTGCAGCGTGCATATGGTGTATCTAAAATGCTTCACTGTGTGGCATGATTTGAACGGATTCAGAAGGACTCAGTTTGACCAGCTCCAGAGGCACCCTTGCAAGCGACAGTAATTACCGGTGCAGTTAGTTCCAACGTTTGCTCTTCAAGTGAAGCTTGCTGCTAAGTAGCAAGTTGTTACCACTAATCAGGTGATCTTGCGCTGCGAAGATGATTCTCACGTCAGCTGAGCTGCGGATTGTTCTGCGTAAGCGCAGGGCCCAGGCATCTACCACTGACAACTGGAAAGCGTTCCAACAAGACCGTAAACTTAACCATCCATTCCACAGCTCTATTTGATTCCTGCTAATGCTGCACAATCTTCCCTCTGCCATAATTTTGACCCTTCTACGATCTCTGTCCATCGATTTCGCAAAATGGAGAAGAAGAAATGGTCGATGCTTGGTAAGCGAATTAAGCCCTCCATGACCACTTATTTCTGGGTAGAAACTAAGGTAGGTAATAATAAATGGCACTGCAGAGAACAACCCCGATGTAATGAACCAACTGGCAGCAAAGTTGGGTCTATCGTCTGAGCTCCAGTTCTACGACGTCTATTCGCTGTATGAACCCGAAGAGCTCGCACACATTCCTCGACCTGCTCTGGCTCTGCTGGTCATCATTCCACTTACACCAGCTTGGAATCGAAGCCGCAAGGCCGAAGACGCCGAAAAAGAACCGTACACTGGTTCTGGCCCTGATGAGCCAGTTATCTGGTTCAAACAAACCATCGGCCACGCCTGCGGCTCGATTGGTTTGCTCCATAGCTTGATCAACGGTCCTGCTGTCGACTTCATCAAGCCTGGTTCCGACCTCGCGGCGATTCGAAGCCTCGCCATACCGCTGGATATGAACAAACGCGCCAAAATGCTATACAACAGCGAAGCATTCGAACTTGCTCACAAGTCAGTCGAGCAGGCCGGCGACAGCTATGTGGACCCGACGTGTGAGCGTGAAGGTGGGCATTTCGTGAGTTTTGTTAAGAGTGGTGGAAAGCTCTGGGAGCTTGAAGGGTCAAGAAAGGGTCCTCTCGAGCGAGGGAACCTCGATGACGACGAGGACGTTCTCAGTCCACAAGCGCTCAACATGGGTATCAAGCGTATCATCAATCTGAATGGGGATGGAGAAGAGAGCCTTCAATTTAGCTGCATTGCTTTGGCTCGCAGGCTTTAATCTTTGACTGAGAACTGCCACACACACACACACATCAAGCCACGGATATGCTGTGCTATACAAAGCGTTCAAAATGATTTGGAAATATAGTTATGATCTTGTCACCCGAATCAGACAAACCAGAATGGACGCTCAAAACTCCCTTCATTATAGCATGAGATACTTAGCTGTGGTATAAAAGAAGGGATTTAGCAGAATCAGGAGGACTCTACCGAAGTCACTGCCTACAACACAAGCAGTATTTGTTATAAAACCGTCCCTCAAATTTTGGAGTTGACATCTCACATTGAAGGGAGGCGCCCGCTTGTAAAAATAGCAAAGATATGCTACCTTTTCGTCTTTGAACAGAGGTGAGTATTTGCCAAGAATCATGCTGGACTTCGCATGTCTGCCAAAAACTGCAGATATTGCCTGTTTCTGAGACCTATGGAGATAAAGCAAGCAAGTAACATAACATTTAGCATAGGATATAGTTACTCCTACAAGGATGCATCATATTCATACAACAAAACGTGCGAGAAAGCTTAGAAGACAACCTTGAAGCAGGACGAAAGGTACAGGTCACATGACAGCCACGGGCGTCACAGGACATGCAGCCAGCCATTGACCACTGGGCTCTCTGCCGGCGGTACTGTTTTTGAGTACAAAGGCGGTCTCCCAGGCGGTAAAGCGTCTGAAGTGGGGGGGGATAGTCGTACCTTAGTAGCTTACCGTGGAAACCCGAGCTGCGAAGAAAGGGACGCTCAGATGGCTGAGCTTCTATTTCCATTCTTGCCGCTTGCTTCTACGACCCTCTTCCCCCCCGCCTCAAGGGGTTACCTATTAATTATTCTCTCGCAATTCAGCTCAGCTCATCCCTCTCCATCAACAACCACCCCTCTCTCTGTTTCTCTGTTTACTACTTTCTATCCGCAGCATTTTATCTAATTTTTTTCTGCTTCTATTTCTCTGGTTCGTTGCTACTCAAAGCCTGGCCCACGCTTTTGGACCGTTTCCTTCCTTGAAGCTCCGTCGTCCCATGGCTGCGTGCCTTGGCTACTAGTGCACCTGTCACATTGTTTGGGCTCCTTCTGCAATACAAGGTGCATACTAATCACTCCATCAACAATGCCCCTCTCCCCCGTCTCTATAGGGACCCCTCCCTGGAGGCACATTAACTACTGCCTTTTTCCTCTTGTTGATAAAACGCCATCATGGCGCTGACAAATTTGCCTGACAGTCCGGCCCTCCTATCTGTTGCGACCGAGTGTCGATACATGCGGTTCAACCAAACATTGCTTTGATCTCTCATCCACAGATTTGGTTGGTCTTAGCATCCCCGCTCCACCGTCTCCGTCCAGACCTCGAGCGTGTTTACGCCCAGCGCTAACCAAACCACGCCATCAGGAACGCCTTGCACACGTCCATTCACATATTTTCTCGATCATGGATACGCCACAATCCTACGTACCTGGTGCCTCCGAACCTTCCGACCAGCTGGAGCTGGAACGGGCACAGAGTATGGACCTACCTACGCCGGCCCAGCCTGGAATGGCCGTAAGTGCGGACGAGGCCACGATCGCAAATGGCTACAGCAGCGACTCACGCGCCCACTACTCTTCCCATGAATTTCACTCTCCCGCACGAGGCTATCACTCTCAAGATGGCGATGCCCCCCGATCGAACCATCCGTCGCAACTGCCTTCCTCGCGGCCTAGTTCCGGCCACTCCAACCATCCGGACCGTCTCGTATCACAACCATCACAGGAAGTCAGTCACAAGCAAACACCGTCGCAAGCGAAGAACAGCGTAGTTATCAAGGTGGGCATGGTCGGAGATGCTCAGATCGGAAAGACGAGTCTCATGGTGAAATACGTGGAAGGCAGCTGGGATGAGGATTACATTCAGACATTGGGTATGCTTGTTCGCCTTTGGTTTATGAGCTGTGCTGATGTTGCATGACAAGGTGTCAACTTTATGGAGAAGACCATCTCGATCCGGAATACGGAGATTACATTTTCAATCTGGGATCTTGGTGGCCAGCGCGAATTCGTCAACATGCTTCCTCTTGTCTGTAATGACGCCGTGGCTATCCTGTTCATGTTTGACCTCACGCGCAAGAGCACCCTGAACTCAATCAAGGAGTGGTATCGTCAAGGTCGTGGGTTCAATAAAACCGCTATTCCCTTCCTGATTGGCACCAAGTATGATCATTTTGTCAACTTCCCCCGTGAAGATCAGGAGGAGATTTCCATTCAGGTTAGTGGTCGCGCGTCTCAAAATCGGAAAGCTCTGCTGACGACGCACAGGCCAAGCGTTTTGCCAAGGCCATGAAAGCCAGCCTCATCTTCAGCAGCACTAGTCATAGCATCAATGTTCAAAAAGTCAGTTCCATTAACGAACCACCATTTTCTCGCTCTCCCACTGACTTTATTGCAGATCTTCAAGATTGTTCTTGCTAAGGCCTTCGATCTGAAGTGTACTATTCCTGAGATCGAGAACATTGGTGAGCCTCTATTGCTCTATAAGAACGTCTAAGAGATATGAAAGAAGAAAAAAACGAAGTGGGATGAACGATTACGTGCCTAGGACGACGTGATGTCGATGAACAAAGTTTTCCCTCCTTTGGGTGATCGGATACGGTGGCTCTTATGCCAGATCATGATGATCAGGATTAGACTGGTCCGCTGTTGGTGTTTTCAATCCTTAATTTCTCAATCGCCCTTCCTTATTCCATCTTGTCCTTCATAAGCATTAGGGTGCGCCTGGATTTCCTTCATTTCATCGCTTGACTTACTACTTTTACAGTGTGTTAAATTCCCCACCTGTTCATTATTCAATATTTTCGAGCGCTCACTTGCGGGCTGTCTGTCATTATTGCTTCCAGTGTGGACCGTTGCACGAGAGCCGGAGTGCTCGGTTTCAACATTGACCTGATACATCTCTTCTGTTTGTGTTGTCGCATCTCCTCGAGGAGGTCTATTTCTTTTGTTGATAGTCTAATTTGACGTTTGTCAATTCGATAGAGTCGTTTCCGCCCATGTAAGTATTGTAGTGTAAGGCTACACGATGATTTCGATTGAATATTTGCCTAGCTACCTGCGATCTAAGGGGAGGTGATTTTCGCGCACAAGTCTTGTGGTTATTGAGAGCCCGCACGCCATTGTCACGATTTACTGAATCAACACCCCCGAGCGAGATGGAGAGTCAGTTTTGGAACTGCATCCATGATCTGTGTACCAAGTTCCAAAAATGCCAGTATGACATCACATTTTATCTTATCGGAACGTGACTCGTATAGTGAGCACATGCTGCCACAGAACGTATTCGGGCCCGGCCTCGGACTCGGTCTTGGATATCGGATGCGACAATTTCCCGCGCCCAATTATCGGCATTTTCAGCCTGGTTTTGTTCGTTGACTCCACCCTGATACCTTTCTATGGGCCATCGCAGGGTCTGCTCCACTTGCTTCGAGAAGCATCATACAAAGTTACAAACTACTCCGTACTCCGGAGCGGATCGGTTCCCCTATGTCCGCACGCTTTCTGTATCCCCGGCTCGAACGGCAAATTGAAGCTTATCCCCGTTGAGCGGCTCAAGCGCAAGAACTATATAACCAAAGCTTCAATGATCCAAAGGTATTCTGAAAAGCATTCTTACTACAACACATAGACTCTTGAAATAATCATATCAATATCAATTACTAAAATGACCCATTCCTACCTCCTTGACCGAGTCAACTCGCTGGCCAACGATCCAGCCTTGGACACCATTGACGAACCAACACGCAAGCAATTCCTCGAGAGCATCGAGAAGCTGCGACGCAAAGTCGAGACCCCGGTTGACTTCACACTCCGGACAGTCTTCGGAGTAAGTACTCGTTTTTCTGTGGACAATGGTGACTGAATGCTCATCCCCGACAGAGCCACCAAGCAATGGTACTGCGATTGGCCGTGGATCTAGGACTCTTCGATGCCATTGTTCGAGCAGGGGGCACGGCAACCACCCAACAGCTCGCGCAAACCACCGGAGGCGACGAGATTCTCGTTGGTATGTTGCGTCTCTACATCTCCAACAGCATCATCCGGAACTATCGTTGGCTAATACCATTCACGATCAGCGCGCTTCATGCGATTCCTCGCCGTCATGAACCTCTTCGAGGAGCTCGGCCCGTCCACCTACAAATCCACTCCTCTAGCTACAGCATTCACCTCGCAATCGCCTCTCTCGGCTGTCGTAATTCACGCGTACGTGCGTTCCGGAGCACCTTCTTAGCTCCATCTCGACACCCCGCCTGCTAACAACCAGTTACATATAGCACATACACATTAATAACCATGTCCCAACTCCCAACCTACTTCGCCCAAACCTCCTGGTCCAGTCCCACAGACGCCACCGACGGCCCCTTCCAGCACACCCACCACACCACCCAGACCTTCTTCGAGCACCTCGAAGCCAGTCCGCACCTCCAGCAGGCCTTCAACAAGGTCATGACCCTCGACTTCCGTCGCAGCACGACGAAACCCTGGTTCGAACTTTACCCCGTCGAATCGAAACTCCTCACCCCTGCCACCACCACCACCACCACTTACTCCCATGGCAACAACGGCGAGTCCAACCGGGTAACCCTGGTCGACGTAGGCGGCTCCCAAGGTAAAGACCTCCTCGCATTATGCCAGCACTTCCCAGAGACCTTCACCCCCTCGACGACGAACGACACCGCTCAGCCGCAACTTATTCTCCAAGACCTCCCCTCCGTCCTCGCCGGTATCCCAGACCCCACTGTCCTCCCGAAGTGTGTGACCCTCCAGCCGCACAATTTCTTCGATGAGCAGCCCACCCGTCACGCCCGGGCGTATTTCCTGCGCACGGTGCTGCACGACTGGCCTGATAAGCAGGCACTGCTCATTCTAGAAAGGCTGCGGGATGCAATGGCTGAGGATTCCGTGCTGCTGGTAAATGAGGGGGTGGTACCTGAGACGGGGGCGGGATTGATGGTTGTGCAGACGGATATGATCATGATGTGTAATTATGGGGCGATGGAGCGGACGAAGGCGCAGTGGGTTGCGTTGTTGGAGAGGGGTGGGTTTGAGGTCTCTGGGGCGTTTGGGGAGGGAGAGGGTGGTCATGTGCTTCTTGAGGCGAGGGTGAGGAGGGGGTGAGTTTGTTTGCCCCGAGGGAGACGGGGTTTTCGGGGACTTGGGGTATTGAGTTAAGGGTGTTTTTTGGGGCTTATGGTTATTTGTTTGTAGAGTCCCAGCGGATTGGGTTTTAGAAAAACAACAACTTCGCGCTAGGGGTTTCCAGTGTGGAGTAACAATAATAATGACTCCTCGTGACAAAATGCGCGGATTGTGCTCTGGTCATGGCAGCCAGGAGTTCGGAGAGGGGCCAGGCTGCGAAGAAACGCAGAAAACCTGCAGCCATTAGAAGCCCAGCGATGCAGCCAGTTTGGCCAGATATCCCAGGCATGATCCCGTACACCGGCTTGAGTACAGCTGAATCAGGGCAGGTTGTCCTTTGAGCCTGATTGCGAGGTTGATTTCGGGTTTGTCGCGATAGGTCTTCAAAATAAACATGGGCAGAAACTGTAAGCTTATTGCTGTTGTTCGAACATGAGAAAGTTTTCTTGGTTGTGTTGCGGGGTGAGCATTCAGTATAACCTGGTTGTGGACATACTGGCCACCTATGTGGGCAGGAGACCGGACCTTGAACCTCTCATTCGGAAGCTTCTCACATTCGATAAAATGTACGCTCCTGCAACAGACTCCTGGTGTCCCGCTCATGTTGGAACGGTAGTGGAGCTTTCATGCTGAACGAGGCCGGTCACAGGTGCGACGCGAGACATCTGGAGATTACTGCCACATGAGAGTCGGATGGCGGATTCATATTACATACACCCAACCGGCACGGGAAAGTACGTGAAGCCCTGCAGCAACAAATGTCACAGGTCAAGCACCAACAAGCAAGATTCATGCCGCCATCCATGCCGATAGCGGGAATGTTTTCGGAGAACCAGACTGCGAATATAGAGGTAAGTGTTTGTGTGCTGGAATATCTATGCCATTACACTGACACAAGCCAGTCATTGACATGAAGTACGAGCATTGCAGAAGGGGAGCTCTTAGTTCTTTGCATCCGTAAGCATCGAGTGCGACTTGTCAATCCATTGGACATACTCGCGTCCAGCATATCATCAGGCCATGCGACAGGGATCCTGCTCGAACGCTATCAAGTCCCTGAAGCAGAAGACTCTGGGTCGCTGTTGGCGCAGCACGAGAGCGGAATCATTGTTGAAATGCGGGAACTTCTTGGATCCTTCGAATCTCATAGAAGTGCCGACTACAAGAGATTTATCCTGCCACGTTGTGGGCCCATGATCTTGGCGATTGGACAGCGCATGTTGTTTGAATGAGATCGCTTCCCAGCGGGGGCTAGACGGAGACTTGTTGGCGATTTATGAGTCTGAGGCGGTGAGGAGTGACTCCAGCTGGTACGTGGAGCAAATGGGGCTGAACAGAGCTGCTCAGGTTGAGAAGGAGAGCCATGCATGCGATGCTATCATGTCGCAACTCAATAGACACCTCGACAGTCTGGGCATTGAGCCATGCTGCACAGCTCCGATGCTTTCGAGCGCCAACTGGGACGATTTCATCAATGTCGCGCGCACTTGAAAGCGGAAGGGAGCGCAGCAGTTTTTCATCCCAAGCTTTAGAGGATAGTACTACGATAGCCGTTATTGTGCAATATTCGGACAGGGATAAGACCGTATCATCATATTTTTTGCCCAATTGAATCAAAAGCGGAGAGTAAGGTGAAGATAGAGAGAGCTTCGTTCTGCATGGTGGTGGTGGTTGTTATTGTTCGCGGACGGAAGGAAAAGAAGACGGGATGTTGGCCTGACAGCCTGAGGATCGCACTCCACTCGGTGGAGCCAGAATGACGTTGATGGCTGGGCCCGACCGAGTTGTTCCCCATCCATCCTCCATACTTATTCCTCCTCCGCTGTTCCTGATCCCATTTCCAACCAAGCAACCATCCTACCACTACCTCAAGGCTCTCTGACTAGACCTTCTGCCCTTACTTAAATCAGCTCACATTATCGTCAATACTTTGGTCTGTTTCCTCACCTCTTATCCAGAATGAACGCCGGATCCTTCTCCTCTCCCGTCAACTTCATACTCCCCTCCTCCAGCTCGGGGTCTTCGATCAGGAAACCCATCAAGACAGTCTCCAAGCCGTGCTTTGGATGCGACTGCGGTGATGAAGAGTGCGATTGCTGTATCTGTACCGTGATGTGGTACGTTATTTCGTGCTTGCAGGGTTAATTGCTGTGGCCACACAGCTAACAGACAAGTAGAACTAGCGTCCACGCCTGCCACCCTCATTCCCCAAGTCCTATCGTTTCGTTACCCAACACAGGATCGTCTAGCAAAATTGCATGGGTTCCCTTTCTTCATCAACCGAACAGATATTTCTACGTTTCCAACAAGTCTATGGTTTCGGTCAGATGGCTGGATGATTGACGTTTGACGACATGATGTTTTATTCCTTCCTTGATATCCCTCCGTCGATTAGCCAATATTGTGTATAGCTGTTCTGTGCTCACCAAATCGAAGACCTATATCTTTCTCTCTCATAATGAAGCAATGTCAAAACGTTCCTGACGTGTATTGACGTGACTACAAGATAGACACTACGAAGACGAAAACTAGCTGACTTTGTTGATCACAGCCTTCGAGCGAGTCAAACAACAATGATGCGGTTTACCAGGCCGCGCGCTAGTCTATAATTGAGCTGGTGGCAGCTGAAAGAAGACCACCCGCTGAGACGCTACCTGGCGCCGAATCGTTTGACATTCATCTCGGCTGACAGCATGGCTATATGGAATGCATGAATTCATTTCGGTGATAAACATTGTCCAGTGATAGAATTGAGAAGATCTGTCGCTGTTGGGCTCGCCGACGTCGAGCCCAGCACAGCCACAGCCCACGGCCAGCATTTCAAGGCAGAAACCTTTTTATCCCCTCACTTATACAATATCGAGGCCTATCGATAAGTACCAGCAAGGGTTATTGAACAAAGGTCATTGATGGAAGAACAGACGTAGCCTTAGGGCTCATGCGCTGAGGCGCAGTCTAGCCACATGTAAGCGCTTGCGAGTCAGGCATGGGCGAACTATGCAGGGCTAGGGGCGGACTAATTCGGCCAGCGTCTGAACTACTGCACCTCACCAGATATATACCCAGCCCAGGCACAATCACCCCCTGTTAGTGTCGCGTTTCACGGAGAATTGGTTCCTATCACGGTGACAATTATTTCGGGAAGTCGTGGACTGACAAGGGTACAGCCTCACACGCTACATGGGCTTTACCGCTCACGCCGGCGGTCAATTTTCCAGTAGTATTGGATTTGGGAAGATATGCCATATAAGTCGCAAGATGACTGTTGTTGGGTCGTCCATCATCAGCATTAGCCATTTCAAAGGCATACAGTTCAAAAATGTCGACTTGGATTCCTTTTGTGTACGCCCAGGCCAGGAGAATTTGGGAGTATGGGCTCCTTGTCTCTGGCAATCAAATACTTGTGGATGCTCTATTACCGGCTCACAAGGATAATGCCGGCGCTGTCTATAGAGAACCCTTCCAGACACCGCAACGAGGTTCGTCAGGTGCAGGTCAGAAGGATTACACATTGCAGGAATGGCACAAGCAAAAGCTTCTGCATTTTTCTGAAGCTTGTGAAGCAAATGAGGCACATGAGCCTTTCAACCCGGAAGAACAGTCTGATCGACCGTCGACTCCAGATGAAAGCTTTAGTGACGAGCAATATGACCCCGATTTTCCGTCGATAGTACCGATCTTGAAGAAAAAGACGTTGAACGAGATTGTGACGGCTATGAAAGGAATACTATGCAGAAGATGTACTTTCGAGAATGGTTGGGTATACACCTTCTCTGTTCCTAACTCCGAGAAATCTCTCTTCCCTGACACTACATCCGATCCCAGCAAACTCCTCGTAAAGATTGGAAAAACATCAAGATATCCCAACGTGCGAGAGGGTGAGCACCGACGAGACTGCCAGCGGGAGCATTGGAAAATACATCATACGGAGCCCTTCAAAGAATATGAATGTGTGGAAAGTCTGGCTTTGAATGAGCTACAGAACAAAAACATGACCTTTGTCAAGAAGTGTGCGTGCAATGTGAGACATAGAGAGTATTTCGATGTTGAAGAGGTTGTTGCGTTCGGGATCCTCGAATTCTGGTATGACTGGCTGCAGGAGTATCGTCCATATACCAGCGGAGGAACATTGAAACCTTTCTGGAGAGAGCGACTGGATCTGTTCACAGCCGAAAAGTCTGGGTATTTCAAATGCAGAGAGTGCAAGTCTAACAATAATACAACGGTGAACCCGGAGACAGAAGCTTGCTCAGCGTGCCTGCGAGCAGGATGGGAAGCATGGGCCAAGCTGACCAAATTTGAGTACAACTTCTGGTACAAGATCAGCAACCTCCGGTACAGGGTCGGCGAAGCTCGCGCGTCTTACTCCTTGGAAACGTCTGCCAAGTGTTTTCTCGGAGTAATTTGTTTGAGGCTATTCTTTCTAGTCGGTTGCCGGTGCCATCAAGTTATTGCGGCATGGTTAGACGACGCGGTATATGCAATGTTCTTAACGCTTGGTATTCTCTTTGACAGCGTCATCACTCTGGTCTTATTCTTCTGGCTATGCTTTGCGAAGGGTCGCAAAGGTCTTACTCATGTGCATGAAGAAGTCAATGCAAGGGCATCAGGATCGCCTCGCAGGACCCGCCAGATTAGTGAAGTCGAATCGAAGCCACCCCGAGATTCATCAGTAACCCCACCACAGCCTCCTGGGGTGAAAGTCATTGATCGACCGTCAATCACTGTTACGAAAATATTTGAGAACAAAGCATCTCCAACCCCTTCAACACTCTCCGGAGACACTGAGGTCGAAACGGAGTCACCCGGATTCCCAAAGCCTCCCAAAGCGACACGTTCACACAAAAGACTAAACAACAAAAAGTCAACAAAGATATTGGGTGGCCGTCTCGAAATTGGGAATGGTGAGCCAGGCATGCCACGTACGCAGCCCCGATCGAGAACCCGTGCGGCTGTCGAGAAACGAGTAAAGGCTTCGGCGTCTCTCTGCCCTCTCAAGCCTTGCAAGACTCGCAAGGTTCACAAGACTTCCCAGGTCTATAAGGCTTACTGAAGTGCTCATTTCGGACTCTACCCAAGCCAGGTAGCGGACAGGGATCCGTAACATAGTACTGCAAATAGAGGATGTTATTATTGATTCAAGTAGAAAGATCCTCAGTCCCCACGTAACATTTCCCCCTTCCTCAGCCCCTAGTCTCGGCGTATGTACAAATAAAACAAGTTCTTGACCCCCTCTCCTGCATCAAGTCTAAACAGACTTGTAGTTACCACGGTACCGCTTCACGACGGTGAAAGTGCTGTCACTCGTGCAGGTATTGCCCGCAATGGTAACCTCCCCACTGCAGGTTCCAGTGATCCCGGCGCTGATGCCGATGAAGTCGAGAGACTCGTCCGCCTTGCCGGGGTAGGCTGTTCCATCCGGGTCGTAGGCGCTGCAGAGCTTGGGGCTGCCATCGAAGGCCGACTCACAGCCAAAGGTCCAGGTGCCGGTGAAGCAGTCCGAGGTGTACTGAACCTTCTCGCTGTTGTCCATGCAGGGGGCATAGCCGCCAGGGTCGGCGTTGTTGTAGATGGTGTTTCCATCGTTGTCGGTCAGGGTGAAGCCCGCGCCGTAGCCGCTGCCGGCGCCCTGGATGTCGCTGTAGGAGTCGGTAGCGTAGAGAAAGTGGATGATGTCGGTGGAGGCGACGACAGTGGAGGCCGTGGCCAGGAGGGTGAGCACAAGGGATTTGGCCAACATCTTGTGGAATTTGTGGAGATTGGCAGAAATTCGAAGAAAGATGAACTTGGAAGTGAGGAATTGAGAGGGTTGTTTGTGGTTGATGAACGAGAGAGTTGCTGGTGGTGCGCTGAGGTTCTTTATATGCGTTGTAATCTTGATAGTGAGAGCACAACTCCCGGTTTAGGCGTCTCAATGCGAGTTGAAGCGATCATCTTTGTCGTTGAAAGAACAGGGTAATGCGGGCACTGTTTGGGGGCCAGAGAATGGATACTTGGACTGACTCGGTCAAGATTTGCGTTCTCTCTCTCTCTCTCTCTCTCTCTCTCTGTCTTTCGCTCTCCGTCATCCACTTCCTATAGTTACAACTCAATGCAGAGGACTTCGGCGGTGAGGTTTGAATAGTTCCTTCGCCCCCAAAACTGCAGAGTTGCAGCCCCTGAAGTGTGGGGTGGCTGGGGTGGCAGTCCCACCAAGGTTTACCGATATGGCCACTGAAAGCGTGGGAGGTGGGCCCAGAAGGCTTTGCTGGAGTCAGTCAATCGAGATCCTTCAGGATTCTGTTCGCTATACCTGCTTTACATGCACAGCCCCTGTCACTGCTAACTATCCCTTGATACTGAGTAAGTACTTCCTGACTTCTGCAACCTTTTCTAAAAATGAGCTGTCCAGGTGCAGAGAAGATAGTACGGTCCAATGAGTATGGCCGGGAGGGCTGAGGTTTGCAAAGTCAATATCAGTTGTGCCTACTATAGTAGAATGCAGTGTGGAGAAGACTGGACGAGGCTCATATGTCTTGCCCAGAGCGGAGGGAAGTGAATGCATGGTAACTTACCCTTTCTCATGTTGGGCACGTTTCAGGGCGGATTCCTGCGCGCGGGAAAAGCAGGGGTTGATCTGCATTGATCTGCAGATAGTATCACCCGGAAAGGCAACCGACCGTTGACACTAATGCGGGCCCCAGTTCGTCAAGACGGAAGGTAGAAGAATTAGTAGCCTCAGGCTGAGGCTGAGTCGAGGCGGAGGAAATCCGAGCTCGGGGATATCAGGGAAAAGCGCCGCAAGGGTAGAAGGCGCTAGGCTGGACATGGCATATCTTGCATAATTGGTATAAGTAGGCTGATTTCATAGCTGACTCATACGGCCAACCACCGAGCTTCGTTTTGCTGACAAAGCACTCATCCGGAGAAAGAAGCCTGCAGCGGAAAGATTTGTCAGCGGGATCGGAAGAGACGGATGCATCATTCCATTCATTCTTGCCAGCATACTTGACCCCTACGAGTTGCCTGCAACATCTATAAGCCACTTGAAGTATCAGACCTCTATCCAAATGTATCCCCCGCCAACTTCAACTGAAAAGTCGGACGAGGAGACCCAGAGACCTAGAAAGCGTGTCGCGAGGGCTTGCGACTCGTGCTTCAGAAGAAAGGTCGGTCTGTCTTGCCACCTGGGTTGATTTCGTATCTCTGACATCCTGTAGATTAAATGTGATGGCGTACAGCCGCAATGTAACTGGTGTAGTCACCATGATATTGCCTGCACATTCGAGCGGATCACCGTGAGGAAGCGAAAAATTACCAAGAACCCCAAAGGGTATGCATGGCCACGAAACTGCATTTACCTTCACGTGGAATTCTAAGCAATCGTAGAAATGCTGCCAGTCCGGGAGAGTCGTCTGATCTAGCCGAGCGAATCGAGCGAATAGAGAAGTTTTTGACCAGCAGGTTGATGAAAGAACCGGGTTCGTAGCCTGAACACGCCCCTTTCGTCTTCGCCAGCTGATAATGAGCAGACACTACCGCAAGGCACGACGACTTTCGCGTGCGTGCGCCAAGCAGTGCCCCAGAGCTTTCTGACGCATCGCCCACACCCTACAAGCAGACATCGGGCTCGTCTTCTGTGGCTCTACACTTTGCAGGGAGAGCGCTTGGGGTGTTCAACCTGTTCACCGGTATCCCTCTGTTGCTTCCCGAGGGCAGGCAATGGGTGCAGGCCAGGACAGGCCAAAATGTCTCCTTTTCCAGGCTAGTCAGCTCTGCTAAGACCCCGTGGGAGAGGCAGCGAGCGTTCAACTACGACGCCATGATGACGAACTCCACCACCTCGAACACGTTTGAGCTGCCACCGCGACATATTGTGGAAAGCTACTACAACATGTTCTGTCAATCGTTGATGCGGCTGATTTTCCCGGTCCTCGATCCAGTCCTGTACAGGGACACCATTTACCAAGCCTACGAGCAGCCAAACCCGAGACCTGCTCAAGAGAAAGCAAGCATCAAGGCATCTATCTTCGCCTTCGTGGCCTTTGCAAGCCTCGTTCCACCCCCCGAAATCGAACTACAAAGAGGCCTGCCTCCAGTCGATAATGAAGCCTACATAGTCAAAGCGCAATATTATGTGCCTCAAATATTGCAAGAGACTAGTTCTCTGGAAGGATTGCAAGTGTTCATAATGCTGGTGAGCTCTTCCCAATCCCCGTATTGTATGTCACTGGGCAGTCGGATGAGTTGTTGCTGTGGTGCCTTCCGTCAAGCTTGGCAGCGTTGATGCTCGCTTCGACGACCAGAACCGCGGTTTCCAGCTGGCTAACTTCTCATCTAGGGAGTGTACGAGCTTGTAACAGGTAATCTTCAGTCTGCGAATTACTACGGCTCACTAGCTGCGCGTATGATCTTCATTCTTGGCGGCCACACGGCCTTCTGCTACTCGAGCGAGTATCTCGCATCGCTTCCCGACGAAACCAGCGTCCGTACCCAGCAGCACATCCGACGCATCTTCTGGCTTTGCTACACCTTCGAGAAGGACGTCTCCCTCCGGACGGGCCAGCCGCAGACCCTGCCCGACGAGAATTGCGACCTGACCCTGCCCCCCAATTACGACGAGACCCTAGCCATGCACGCCGCCGACTGCCAGCACCTCATCCAACATCCCATCCGCAGCACAGACATCGACCCGCTCTACCCGGTCGACATCCGCCTTAGCATCATCAAGTCGCGCGCCTACAGCGCGCTGTACTCGTTCCGCGCCCTCAAAAAGACCGACGCCGAACTCCTGAAGGAGATCCGCGAGCTGGATGACGACCTCGAGCGCTGGCGCCTCTCCATCCCCCAGCAGTGGCGCCCCACCCTCTCCTTCTCCCAGGAAACCCCAGACCCCGACGCCACCATGCACAAGGTCATGCTGCGCCTCAACTACCACCTCTGCATGAACATCATCCACCAAGCCAGCAGCCGCTGCCGGCCCTGGGCTCAAGACCAGGGCGGTATCATGGACGGCGTCAATTCCAGCCTCGCCTTGTCGGTGGAAGCCAGCCGCTCCACGCTTCTGTACCTCCAGGCGTCTGAGCATGTCTTGGTCGCGGGTATATTCTGGTTAGTTGCACCCCTTCCTTTCACACATAGACTGGCTCTCGCTTCTTTTTTTTTTTCTTTTGCTTTTCTTTTTTTTCGTTTTCAGAAAACAACAGAAAAAGTTCATCTAACCAGATCAACAGGACCCTAATCTTCTACCCTATGTCCGCCCTCCTCGCCATCTTCTGCAACATCCTCCAATACCCCACCGACCCGCAAGCCACCAAGGACCTGGGCTTGCTCAAGACGGCTATGAGCATGATGGAGCGGATCTTCCTGCGCCAGCCCTCCTCGGTCAGCGAGATCATGCACATCAAGATGGTGGCGGATTTCGTAACGGAGCTGTATCGTCTGGCGAGCTGTGCGATTGAGAAGGCGTGGAATGAACGTTCTTCCGTGTGATCTATCTCTGAGTTTCTTGATTTAGCTTCGGAAAAGCGCGTGGGTGTGGTGGGCGTTATTGTCCTGGGTTTTCAGGGTGTTTTGGGAATGTTTTGCTTGTTTAGAGCTGGTGTATAGATGTGGACTAGATTGGGATATGATGGATAAACCTTGAGTTCGAATGGGTGGGAATTGCCAGGGCATGCGAATCGAGGATTCGAGCTGATGGTCTATAGACACATGCGTTGTTGTAGGTAGAGCAAGAATACGTTCACTACACATTACAGAGAGAAAGATTTAAGAGTCAACATAGTGAAATTCATGAGCTATCTTTGTACACGCAAAACAAGACAATCCTGGAAACTAGGCAAGTTAGCAATGTGATTCGAACAATCCGAATAACAATCATGGCTAAAATGATATTAACAAGCCTTGGGCTTGTTTCAGAAGAATGCGAATGAAAAATGCGTGAATTGTAATCAAAAAGTACCAAGTACTCTCAGATGGGGTTGAAACATAAAAAGACGCAAATCATCATTGTATGTTGAGAAAGAAAAGCAGTGCTTGTGGAACTCACCTTTAGTGACTTGACATGAATCGTTCGAATGCTCGTGATTGAATGCTCCATCGCGGAGGGAGGCCACCATAAAGCCTTGATCAAAACAATACAAGGAACGGATCTCGGAGGAAAAAATGGAGAAGAATTTAAAGGCGCGCGGTTAGTGCGTCACGTGGTTGTATGGAACAATGACGGCCCGTGGCAGAGGGTCAATAGCTCGCGGGTGGATACCGTGCGGCGCGCCGTGCAGCTCGCGCCTGGGAATGATTCGCAACTTTAACCAGTGGTCGTGCGTAAAACCAGAGGACTTATTGCCATCTCGTAGTACGGCTGAAGCGTGGGGCTCGATAGCGCCACGCTGCGGAGCGTAGAAAGCTGGAACGTAATCCCCGTGGAAGATTCTCAGCTAATGATCTTTTCGTCCAAAAGATTCCAGATCAGTCTTGCATCCTCAATAGCTTGCTCGTCCTTGGCAGATTTCTTCTTGCTATCTTTATCGGCCTGCGCCGAAGCCTGCGTGGCCTTGCCATCAGCCTCTAGCCGGTTTAAAACCCCAGTGATCTCGGCCTTGAGCTTATCCATGTCTTCGATCTCTTGCTTTGTTCGGCTCAGCTGCTCTTCCATCATCATAATCAACGACTCACGAGCCTGGTGCGGCCGGTAGAGATTCAGAAGGTGGTGAGCATTGATGAACAGATTGCGCAAATCCTCCACCTTGGCCTCGAATTGTTCCGGAGCAATCGAAAGCACACCGACAAATTCCAAGAAGTTCAAAAGAAGGGACTTGCTGATTTTGAGCAGATAGTATGCGTGGTTGAGCGGTCGCGCTGGCTCGGATGATGATTTGGAATCGCTTTCAGTAGTCGGGGTGGAGGGGTAAAGTTGGGTGATTCCTTGCTCCTGGAGCGATGGCAGAGCTGTTGACAACTAGACAAGGGTGAGCAGTAGACCTTCAGGCAGCGAAAAGGCTCCAGCACTAACGCTTTGAAGCTCCCCAAAGACGCTGTAATGTCCTGAAGTCGGGATAGCTGGCGGTACGAGAAACCGTAGTTCAGGCGGGAGATCCAGTCCACGTAGCTGAGCAGGGGTCCATTTCTTCTTCTGTGGCTTCCCATCCGCGCCTTTGGAGGCTTCCTTCTTGATCTGCTCCAGTCTCTTGATGTTCTCGGGTGTGAAGTGTTTCCATAACGGCGGTGGCGGGGCGAAGGCCGTCGTAAGCGCCCGTGGTTGCCCTCCTTCGGCCATTCTGTCTGTCAAGAAGCCCACTAGTGAGGCAAATTCCAAGTGCTTGACCAGTTCGAGCGACTGTGTCCGGAGACAGATTGGAGCGGAAGAGGGAAGTTGGAATGAGGTGATAGAGCGGCGGAATGCGGAGACTGGGCGGAGTTGATCCGTGCTCTCCAGACGGCCAGCGCTGCCACTTTCTCACCTCCGCTTGCTGATCTTCCTCTTTGATCTTCGATCGCCATAACACCACCCCTCCCCGGCGTTGCTTTTGACCAGCCTTGCACCGGCTACTTCTTGGTCGCATGCTGTAATTATGTCTCGCGTTGGATATGCTGCTGGTACAGCATCCCCTCTGACGCGCCAGGGCGAAGTGACCGGTACGATGTCTCGCATCTATCAGCGATCGTACCCCGTCCTTGACACTATCGCGCTGGCGTGTATTGTCGGCTTTTGGGTATTGGTACGCAGTCTCTACTATAGTGCTCTTTTCTAAAGACTAACTCGACTCCGCGTGCCCAGATACAGTTATTTGTGACTCCGTTCCATCGTATGTTCTCCTTAGACAACAAGGCAATCCAATTCCCCTTCGCAGTCGTCGAGAGAGTCCCAGTCGGTAAGAGACGCCAGTCTCCAGAACCACAATATACGCATATGCTCACAACAGCCCTTAGTCTGGTCCATAGTCTATGCTGGGGTCATTCCCTTCCTCGTCCTTCTCGTCTGGGCTGCGACCTACCGACCCACCCCTCATAAAGTTCAAGTGACCTTGCTGGGCTTTCTGATCGCCGTGATGTTGACCTCGCTCATTACCGATATAATCAAGAACTCCGTTGGCAGACCACGACCGGATTTAATCTCTCGCTGCATGCCCAAGAAGGGAACGTCGGCTGAGTCGTTGGTCGCATGGACGGTTTGCACGCAGACGAGTGAGCATATCCTCCAGGAAGGATGGAGAAGCTTTCCCAGTGGACACAGCAGCTTCTCCTTTGCTGGATTGGGATATTTGACTCTGTAAGGCCCTCGTTGATTTTCGCGGTCTTGGACGCCGCTAAAATCTGCCTTCTAGGTTCTTGTGCGGCCAGATGCGCATCTTTCGACCCAGGACTGACCTATGCCGTGGTCTCGTGGCGTTTGTGCCGCTGCTGTGCGCTCTGATGATTGCCATCTCTCGTTTGGATGACTACCGCCATGATGTCTACGATGTTACCTGCGGCTCAATTCTTGGATTTCTGGTGGCTCAGTTTTCTTATCGCCGCTACTTCCCACCGCTGCGCTCGGCAACATGCGATGAACCCTATGGAAGAGATGAAATCTCGGGCTCCGAGGGCTTCTCGAAACTCGCAGATGATGAAGAGCAACAGATCTTTGGCCACGGCTCGACTTCGCGTCAATGGGAGTCTAGAGAGGAGTCCTACGCGCTTGCCGAGACAACGTCGCCTCGAGCACGCTAGCTATACCATTTACACGTACCTTATCTTGTCTCATTTTTCGTGATACCCTCGGGCTATGTAAGGTGGTATAAGGATTTCCTGGACTGTCTGTGCAACTCGCCCATCCTATCTTAGTACTTCCGATCTATGCGTTGCACGTGATACATGTATGGATAATTATATTGTTGTTGTTATACATTTTGCAATTGTCTTGTCTGCTTGCCCCTACAACTTGGATATATCTCTATACCTCACATTGGTCCACTCTTTCACATCATGGAAGTCCATAACTTTGTTGGGGCCGCCGAATCTTCCCAGAGTGTCATTCCAATCTCTGTTGGAAGCAATCTCTGGGCTCCATTTAATCAGCTCGTGAACCTTTGCAGGAACCTTGCCCTCCATAGCGTCAACAATCAAGCCGCCAATAGATGGCAGATATTTGTAGCCTAATGTCATTGATAGTCAGCATCTGCACCGCTTGTCTGATAATCTGAGAACCGAGCAACTTACCTCTACCTGAAGCACCACAACCCAGGATCAGCGACTTGTGCTGTGGATGACGATCGATGATGAACTCGCGATTGGCCGTATCAGCACACCAGCAGATCCGCGCAAAGCTGAACGGGCGATTCGCAAGTTGAGGGAGGGTTTCAGCGAGAAGCGCGCGCACTCGCTGTTCCGACTCAAGCGGTACCTGCGTCATCTCGAAAGGCAGGCTTTGCAACTTCCCCTCGGGTGATTGGACCATGTTTGTGTAGCCTGGATGCTCATCGCAGATCTTGATCTCTCCTTTCTCCTCATCTGGCTCGAAAAAGAACCCTTTCTCGATGTTAAAGATGACGGGCATGTTTCTGTAGAGAGGCCGCTCTTCGGGTGTCAGAGCGATGTGGACGAGCGTCCAAGCAGTCGGACGCAGTTGATCCTGAAAGTCCAGAAATTGACCTGCATTTGCACCAGCGCAGAGAATCGTTTGATCAGCGCGCCAGATCTTACCGTCCGCCGTCACGGCGCCCTTGACATCGTTATTCTCGAAGATCAATGTGATAACTTTGCCCACCGGGTTCCCGGTGACGAATCTCACACCAAGCCTCTGCGCTTCCCTCGCCGCAGCCACGAGCGCATTGCGAGCGTGGGCCCAGCCAGCGCCCGAGCGCAGGAAAAATCCTTTCCATCCGGGGAAGCCACCCTTGAGCACGGCGGGCGCAAGGCTTCGGAACTGCTCCGGGTGTGTCATCTCGACGAGATTGGGATCTGCCTCGGGCCTGACCTTGACACCCAGGCGGTCCAGTCCAGCTGGTGTGCAGGCCGACATGAGAAGGCCTGTGTCGTGGTAGTAGGGCTTGAAGAGGGGGTCGTTCAGCCACCCTTGAAATGCTTGCTCGCCCAGCATCTCGTTCACTTCGATCTCGTCCTTTCTGTTGCTGTATTGGCCGGAAGAGATGACTTTGTTCACGTCGTTTCCTGCCGAAATGGAAGAGGGCACGGGGTAGGGGTCAAGAACTGTGACGTTGGTGTAACCTCTGCGAGCAAGGTGAAGGGCGGTCGAACAGCCCCAGGTGCCTGCTCCGACAATCAAGATGGAGGAGTCTTTCGTGACCATCGTGGTGTTTGGTGTGGTGACGTGAGGATAGACGGTATGTGAAGAGAGCGAATGGAAAGATGTGGCGGACTTTGGACGGAGAACAAGCCGCTCCTAAGGTTCACGATTGTTGCCTTCAGAGGTATAGAGGGAAAGGGTGTGATGAGAACAGACTGCTCTAATGTACTTTGTAAAGAGACTCTTATAGCGCCACTAAAGATCAGTAACTGAATCATGCGGTGTTGTCATTTCATCGGATGCTGATAACCAGGAAGGTCCACGCGATCCTTATCGATAACGACAGCCACGCCTCCGATGCCTCCAATGCCCCCAGCTCAGCATAATTGATTTACATAAGTTTCCCCGCATTGATCGGTGCAGCGATACGATGATATGTGATCGCCGACCTCGGCCCACCAAAAACTGTCAAAAGCAGCATGAGATAAAGGATTCCCTGGCCTAGACTAACTTTGTATCAAGTCGCCACTGACCTTAGTTATGATGTGCAAACGCCATCGCATCTTGCTTGAAGATATATCGGAACTTATCGGTGCGGTCCGTCGTCATTCGTCCGCTTGGACCTTACCTTCTTTTAGGGCTGTTTCCAGACCCAATCGCGATTCTCCTTTGCTTCCCCCGTTTTCGACTCTGCATTATGGTGAATCCCTACTTATCGAATTGGCCGTCTTTGATCAGGATTAGCCTCCAATCCACGGACTTGACTACCAGTTGGCTACACCTTGTAGTGCCTTATCTTCTTCGATATGGTATATACTTCTGGCGCTACTACTGCCAGGGAGCGATATATGTCGCCGCTGGCTACAAAAAGCCAGCAAAGGAACGCCAAATGATTTTCATTCCCACAAGAGATAGTCCGACATCCTCCACCTTGTCTCTCCATTCTTCCAGGCGACAAGTACATCATTTCTGCCTGTCAGAAGTACTGCGATGAGCCATATTCAGCCTGAGACACTGCGTGACGCAGATGTCGAGAACTATGTCGCGGATCCAGTTTCTACGAGGGATGCCATTTCCAAGAAGCCGCTGGATGCTGCCGATGCCTTGGAAATTGCTATCGGCGAGAGTAGTTCCGTCGAATACACCATTGATTCCGATAACTCCCCGTACCTGGAAGTTCGAGCGAATGTGCCGAACACAGATGATCCCACATTGCCTGTCAACACATTCCGAATGTGGTTTCTCGGCGTTGTTTTCACCCTAGTATGTACTGCCACTATCGGCTCGTTTGCGTGCATACTGACTGTTGGCAAAGATTGGCACTGGCGTCAACCAGTTCTTCTCCATGCGCTATCCGAGTGTGACAATTACCTCGCTCGTGGCACAGCTTATCAGTTATCCAGTGGGGTGTGCCATCGCGAAGGCCCTGCCGATCATGAAGTACAGAATCGGTCGCTGGGAACTGGACATAAATCCCGACCATCATTTCAATATCAAAGAACATGCTGTGATCACTATCATGTCGAATCTCAGCTTCAATCAGTCCTGGGTATGGTTTCCAGTCACTGCAGGATTTACTAGGTCGAGGTGATGCTAACTTTCTTTCAGGCTAGCGCGATTATCCAGGCACAAAAGGTGTACCTCAATATGTCAACCCCAGTCGGCTACCAGATTCTGCTCTCGCTGACTATGCAACTGTTTGGGCTGGGTCTTGCTGGTTTGACCTACCGCTATATTGTTGAGCCCCCGCAGATGGTACGTACAGTGGGCAACATCAACACTTAAAGGTGACTGACCATGATAATCAGATCTGGCCGTCAACACTCGCCAACGTAGCGCTTTTTCAAACGCTGCACAGTGGAGCAAACCCTACAGCTGATGGCTGGAAAATTACTCGCTACCGGTTCTTCCTGTACGCCTGCATCGGAAGTTTTTGTTGGTATTGGTTTCCTGGATACATTTTCACGGGCCTGAGCACTTTCGCGTTCATCTGCTGGGCGGCACCTAGTATGACAGGCTTTTCTCCCTTCCAGTGCTCTGCATTGCTAACAGAGATCTAGACAACAAAGTGCTGAATAACCTGTTTGGGATGACGACCGGCCTTGGATATCTACCCACCACGTTCGACTGGAGCCAAATCGCATACAATACCTCGCCGTTAACCATTCCGTTCTGGGCCCAGGCGAATGTTTTCGCGGGCTGGTTCTGCTTGTTTGCTGTTGTGGCACCGATTCTCTACTACACGAACACCTGGTATACGGCTTACCTCCCTCTCACGAGCTCGGACGCCTACGACAACACCGGCAATCTCTACAATTCGAGCCTTATCCTGGATGAGACCGGCACGTTCGACGAGGAGAAGTACAAAGCGTACAGTCCAATCTTCCTACCTGTTACCTTTTCGCTCAGTTACGGAGTGGGCTTTGCTGTTTTGAGCTGCCTGATCACGCATGTCTTGTTATACCATACGAAAGACATCATCAGCACGTTCAAGGGCCAGAACAAGAAGGACATTCATGCACGATTGCTGTCGCGCTACCCTGATGTTCCCTGGTGGTGGTATGCAGTGCTCACGGTATGTATCTAATAGTATGAGGTGTGTGTGTGTGTGTGTGTGTTATCGTCTGATTGCTTGAAGGTTATCATCGTGGGCCTTTCCATCATGACACAGTATGTGTGGCACACGGGCCTTCCCTTTTGGGGTCTCTTCATCACGCTGGCGCTGGCTGTCATCTATGTTATCCCCGTCGGAACGGTATACGCGGTCGCCAACTTAAACAGCAACAACTTGACGGGGTTGGGAGAGATCATCTCCGGATACCTCCTCCAAGGAAAACCTCTCGTTCTGTTGATCTTCAAGGTAGGGAGATCATTTTCGCTTGATAGTGATGTCTTGCTCACACATGTCAGTTCTACGCATATACCGGGCTGAGCCAAGCGATGTACTATGCCGCAGACATGAAGGTACGCCGCTTTCCACCTTGCTCAAAGACGGAGGCCTAAGCTGACACCGCTTGTAGCTAGGCTTATATATGAAGATCCCCCGCCGAACCCTCTTCGTCGCGCAACTCATCGCCTGCATCCTCGGCACACTGACCCAAAGTACACCATCCTCGTCTCCCTCTGCAGTACAGTACACGCTAACCTCACTCCAGACGGCGTCCTCCTCTGGATGCTCGGCCACGTCAAAGACATCTGCTCCGAAGACCAACCTGACAACTTCACCTGCCCGCAGGGCCGAGTCAACTACAACAGCGCCGTCTTCTGGGGAGGTTAGTTAAGTTGACCATGACCATGACCATGACCATGACCCTTTATCTCTTTCAAAACAAGCGCATCCATCCCCACCATGACCCAGAATTTTAGATAAAAAAACTAACAGAAACCGAATGATGGCAGCCATCGGCCCCGCCCGCCTCTACAACATCGGCAAAATGTACTCGGGCCTCCTCCACTTCTTCTGGATCGGCGCCCTCCTCCCGGTCCTCACCTTCTTCGCCCGCAAGCGATTCCCCAACTCCCGGATCCTGAATGCAGTTCACTGGCCGATTTTCTTCGCTGGGACGGGGAATTTGCCACCTGCCGTACGTTGCTACCCCAGGCCTGTATCTAATCCCCATCCCCCAACTAACGAACTCTTATAGACAGGGATAAACTACACCACCGCCTTCGCAGTGAGTTTCATCTTCAACAAGGTATGCCTTTCCCTTCCCTGCCCTTCCATTCCAATTCCTCCCAATCAAAGCCTCAAACTCCACTCGAGAGAACAACAGGCCCCCCTATAGCCACCAGAACCCCGATACTAATCGAGTATGTATGCAGCTCATCAAATCCCGCCGCCCCCACTGGTGGGCCAAATACAATTACGTCCTCTCCGCCGCGCTGGACTCGGGCGTTGCCGTCGCCGCCATTGTCATTTTCTTTGCGTTGACCCTGCCGGGATTTACGTTTAGTTGGTGGGGGAATGATGTTAGCAGTGGGACGGTCGATGCGAAGGGGACGCCGTGGTTGGAGTTGAGGGGGAATGAGACGTTTGGGCCGCGGCAGTGGGGGTGATCTCTTTTTGCCTGGGTGGGGAGGAGGAGGATGGAGGAATTCAGCGGGTCTTATGCGGGGGATGTGCTGGTAGTAGTATAGGCAGTATTCAGTCATGGGTATTATTAGGACTTGACATGCTCGACTACTATCTCGGGACATTTCGAGTAAGTAAATTAGATTGAGCATTATTAAGCTAGTTTGCTGGCAGTGGCCTCAAACAGACACGAATTCGCCATATATAGTAGATGAAACTGATGACCCAAAAGCAATTGGCAGACACGCCCTGATGTGCAAAGTACTAAAACGACCGAGAAAAAGCCCCCAACGCCACCAGGAATACCCCTTACACAATGAAGAAAACACACCCGCTAAGTGTAGAGCACAATACAATGCAATAAGAACGGACCGGGAACACACACACACACAAAAAAGCGACGACACCTCATTCGATACTCATATTCATGAGTCCGTCGTTCGTCTCGTTCATCCCCTGCAAGCCTACCCGTTTCGGATTCCCTGAGTGACCGCTAGTCGTGGGCCGAGCCCCGTGCTCGCTGATGCTGGGCCGGTCCGCGAACAAAGACCCCAGATTCGATCGCGGCGCGCCCCAGATGTTGGGGCTGGTGTCCTTGACGGCGGGCGAGTTGGGCATAATTGGGCTGCTCTGAGCGCTCATGCTGGGGGACACGGCGCGACGTTTGAACAGATTCGGGTCGAAGTCGTCGTCGCGTCGGCGTTTGCGCTTGATCTGCTCGCCGAGGAATCCGGACTGCGCGGGGTGGGAGGAAGCCTCGCTGCGCGAAACTGGTCGTTCGTTCGGTTTGACGAATTCGTGGTGGTGGTGGTGCTGGGTGTTGGAGGGCGTGAAGTCCATGGTCAGGTCGTCTTCAGAGACCGAAGATGCCCCGTGCTGTCGGGGCGGCGGCGGCGGAGTGCGATACCGCTCATCGAAGGAGTTCCAGAAGTTGATTCCGCCTGAATTTCGGTGGGCTTGATCGCTGAATTTGGGCTCTTCGGGCGTGGTGTTGACCACAGTATTGCAAGGCTGGTCGTCGGGGGCGGATGCGGCACCTGACGGCACAAAGTTTTCGAGGGAGGCGATCGCTTCCAGTGGTGATTTGGGTGGTACGTCTGGCTCACTCTCCCGGACTTGTCGGATCACTTCGGCCTCACGCTTGGCTTCGCTGTCGATTGGAGCGCCTTCTTCCATGAGAGCTGCTCTGATGCGTGCAAAGGTTTTGGTTTTAGGCTGGATGCAGTTGTTAGTAGCTGAGACTCTTGCATAGGATGATGGTTTGCTCACTAGTAGGCTGCCTCGTCGGGTAACGGCACGACGTACGACCCCCAGAGGCCCGCCCTCAGAGTTAGACGTGTTGGGACTCTGCGCTCGCACTGCACGATGCTCCCCTTCATCACTGACATCCGACAAGCGCAAGTCCCGCGTCCCTAAACTGAGACTCCCCCGGCGTGACGAAACACTTCCACGGGCTGCGAAATACCCGCCGTTCGGGTTCTCGATACTTTTCATTATAGGAGGGGACAGCGGTCCGGGGCTTTGCTTGGAGCTGCCACTGCTCGAGCTGTGTCGGCTGCGACCTTTGCGAAAACGAGCCCGTTGGAAGCTCATGAGGCTGGCGGCTGCCTGCGAGTAGCCTCCCATCCATTCACTCCCTGGGCTGGACACATTGCCTACCGCGAATGGACTCACTCCACCTCCAAACTTCTTCGCCTGCGGAGTATTCATTATCATCATCTCATCCCGGTCGCCAATCATCGGTTCGTCGTCCTCCTCGCTACTGCTGGTATCGGACTCCATCATGTTGATGCTGGAGACTGAGCTCGAGATGGCGGTCCGGTCACCGGGATTCGAGGTCGAGAACGGATGGGCGGAGGTCGACCCCAGCGAACCGCGACGCTGTGGAATATTTACCCCACGCCCACAGACCGTGGGCGAGGAGTCTGGGGATGCCTCGGCGAGAGTGGAGTGATGAAGGTTGGTACAGGCACGGGAGAAGTCCAGGCCTCGCGAGCGGCGGGGCAGTACTGAGCCCGGGGAGCTGTATATATGGGAGGGATCGAGCTTGGGAGAAAGCGGGGCACGGTTGGATGCTGAAACGGAGCTGGAGCCAGGGGTCTTGGACGAAAGGTTTAATGCAAAGTTGTGCATAAATGGCCGGTGAGGAGTCTCCGGTGTGGATGATAGCGAAGAATCATCCTTGCTAGGAAGTCGTGGATCGACAAGATGGTGGGGGTTCGCGGAAACCGGCTTTGCGGCGTCGGAGAGGGAGCGTGAGACCGGTGGTGGGCGTAGAGGAGGCCCTAGCGACCTGCTCCTGTCGACCGCATTGTCGGTATCGATGCCTGATTTAGTGTTTTCGGACCGCTGAGACAGTTGTTCGCTCAGCCGACTCGCAAATGGTATGGCCAGACTGTGCGACAAAGAGGAAGGGGCTTGCGATGATGACATAGTAGCGAGAAGATCAGTTCCGAACACGTGTCAATGGCTGCAGCTTTGAATCTTAGACGATGATGAAAAGAATCATGGTGACAATCGCGTCGGTCTGGTCGCGGCCAAAGGAGTTGGTGGCGGGTATTCTTCGAGAATCGAAGTAAGGTCCGTTCGTACACGGATTGATCGCGGCTGGCAGAAGCTCGGTGGGTTTGATGGTGAAGATTGAAGAAAAGTGTGTGAATTCAACCGGGAATGGAGGGATTTAAATTATCATAGATGAGAAGGAGGAGTGAATCACAGATGTCTTGAATCAACAGGCGCTGGCAACCGAGACGAAGACGAACGATTGATTGACTTGGGAGTTGGTGTCGAATCGGCGCGCTGACGTTCTGCTGCTCCTCCCCAATCCGGCGAATCACACCCTTTCTGCCCCGCCCCCATCATTGCTGCTCCTGATTGGTGAAGCAGGTGAACACCGCACAGCTGCCATCTCCACTTAAATAAGTATCAACCTGAATATGTTCAACATTATCAACATTACCTACTACCTTATGCTATATACACTACAGGTACTTAGTCCTTAAAACACCCAGCCAAGAACCCAACGAAGCCTACCCTACATGATAAATCCCATCACCCTGGTCTTGTATCATGCCAAGCTCATCGCATTGCTGATAGGAGCAACATACCATTCCCAGTCATTGCAGCCCTGAGCCTCGTCCGATGAGTCCAGAGGCGACCCTTTCAGCATGTCGCTATCGCGCGCCTGCCACACTTTCACAATGACCGCCCGAGTTCGAGCAACGTTAGACACACTGGACTCCGCCATCGCAGCCAGCGCCCTGAGGACCAAGGGTCGCCCATAGACAACGGTCTCCCCATTGTCATCTCTCCACACCTCATCTTGGACTGGATCTAATTCGACTGCAGCCACGAAGACAGGCCAGGTCATGCTAACCAACGGGCCCGAGTCGAGAAGATCAGACACAAGCCGCAGAATCTTCCGAACGTAGCACACCACCAATGGCGTGGATGGAGACGCCCCATACAAGGCGCAGTGCAGATAGAGTACAGCGGCAAGACGCTTGAGCTCCGCCGCTGATTGGAGATCGTTATCATCGTCACCGTCGACTTCCTGGACGAGGTGCTCAAGCTTCCGCACCAAGGACGCTGCCCGCTGCGAGAAGGATGTTCGAGCGGCGTTGGTGGCTAAACTGCGCCGTGTTCGACTCATTTCGGTGATAGAAGACAAAACAGACACCAGCTCAGGGCTGCAACCCATCCAGAGGTCAATGGTCCGTTCGTTCTCGTGCCAGTAGTCCGTGCCAAAACTGACTTCCTCGCCGCAGGCAGTACGGCCCATGACATCTTGGAAGGCGAAAAACAGTTCGGCAAAGGCAGACACAGGATCTAGTGCATCACGGGATCTGGCAAGAGTATTCTGCCGCTGTCGGCGAAGACGGATCAGATCCTTAGCACCTTTGAGATGAATCGTCCAGCGTTGATCGCAGTTGTCTACAATCTCATAGAGACACAACATCATCATGATAGCTAGCACCTCCGGGTCCGCAGAGCATCTCAAAGGACCTTCTTCTGCAAGCCGGTGGCGCAGGCCCCGCAAAGCCTGCGCTTTGAGCCGAAGCCCAATAACACTGTACGTAGAATCGAACCGCGATCGATGGCATGCCCCGAGCGCTTGTATCGCTGTGAACATGAGTGGGGACGCAGACAAACAGAAAGGCATGATGACCGATGCGAAAGGGGACGAGAGCTTCGAGCTAGCAGTGGTCCGAGGACACACCTGTTGGAGATAGTAATCAAAGAGACATCGATCCTTGGATGCAGATATAGGAGGAAACAATGACAACGAGGGAGTCAGCACTGGAGACTCTACTTGTGGAAAAGAGGCTTCCAGGCTGTTGATCGTAAGCGGTGAATCAAGACTGTTCTCATCGGCGTAACGTGGGAATCGATGGTGGGCCCCTTCCCGGACGACCATAGCGTTCAATTCATTGCATGCAACGTCAACCTCGTATGGCTGGTCAAATGCTGCAACCCCGCTATTGACGAAGCCCCACGATTTTATGAGTGGGACAGGGCACCATTCCTGACCGTCGAAGAAGATAGAGGGGCATGCCGAGGGCGACGGCTTGGGGGAAGGCCCACCGGCAGCCCGACCCTTACTCCAGACGCCGGCTCGGCCAAAGGCAAGGCCCCGGCTGACGAATTCCGATTCCCATTTGAGGACTAATTGAGTTGTACAGACCAGGCCTTTCTCCGAGCACCGGGTGCATGTTGGCTTCTTCGTGTCGCAGCGCACTCGACTCGCACGGCATTCTTTACAGCCGCCACGACTTCGGGTCTTGACCGGACCCACGCGGTCTGCAGCCTTTTTGCGCGGCATCCGACCTGTGATCCTTTACATGGCCGGATTGTAGAATATCAGAGTTTCAGGAAGCCAACAAACGGCTGGCCGGCCTGAAATAAGACATGCACTCCTGATACAGCGTGCTGTGGCGATGCCGAGGACTGACAGTCGATATCTTGAGAAAAAGTTTTGGAGGGGTACCTGCTGGTGCAATGACTTGGCGATCAAATCGGGGGTAGTACAGAAATGATTGGCCTGGCTAATTGACCGGATAAGAGCTTTGTGAATTTTCAAACAGACCCTTTAATCAGTCAGATGAGGGGAAGACAAGACGAGGCTTATCGAGATGTTAGTCGGAGTCATCGCCGGCTCGATAAGAACGGACAGTCGGGACTCACTTTACCCCGTTCCGATTGATGCCTGAAAGTACAGGCTGCGGCAACAGGTGGTTATCGCACTAGGCCTCCGTGTTGACATCGGGGAGCTGTCCATGATCTTCCGGCCAGTCTTCCATCCTATCTGCGCGCTGGCGAGCTTATTGCTTCTTCTTGACTATTACTTTCCTTCCTTTCTATTACTTGGTCTTCCCCCATATAGAATAATTGTCTAGCCACTCATGGCCTCCACCGTCGAACTCGCATCCTCCTTCATCGAGGGTGCCCCGCCCGGAGAGGTAAGTCAGCTCCAAGTTCACAGAGTCGCCGTGAAGGCTGCCGCGAATCCGTTTTGAGCTAACCTTGGCCTGAATTAGCTTGCAGATGTTGTTGCAGGTAACTGGTTCCCTGCTGTCTCCCATGCCTACACCTTCCTCCTACCCGTCCACTTATCCCCGCCGGCTCCCCGCACTCGTACCTCTCCCACGACCAGTGCGGAGCTGAATGTGAACAGATGTCAAGTCCTTGACCTCCGACGGACCGGATATTATCCCTTCGCTGGCACCGGCCTTTGAGCGCTATAATGAGACACAGTTGGCGACCGTGAAGCTTCCAGGTGCCAGCCAAGAGGTGCGCTGCGTTGGTGATACCCCTGAACGGAGTACGATCTGACGGCCTTCTCACAGGTCTTGATCACCGAATTCAATAAGTTGGAAGGAAACCGGTACTTCGATGTGGAAAGCCAAACGTCTTTTGAGGTGGACCACGTCACTCAGGTCGGTTGCATTGTGGGCTGCTGTTGAAGGTCTGGAGAACTGAATTTCTGGTGACCTTGTAGGAGGCTTCCGCCGCACAATCATATGTCTTGGAGTCGCAGAACGCCGACTTGATGTGAGTTGTAGCCGCAATCTCTACCTTCACGCAGATGGAGTGACTCCTCGTGTTCAACACTCACCCACCGCGATACAGCAAATCCCTTATCAAGTCCCTCAGCGCACACGCCCGCGAGCACTATCGGAACTGCTGCTACGGCGTCTACCCCGTTGTGGATGATAGCGCCGTCGCTATTGTGCTTGTCGCCAATCGTTATTCACCGAACAACTTCTGGTGAGGTTCAGCCCGGCTGTCAGACACCAACTGTCACTGACAGAAAGTCCAGGAACGGTCGCTTCCGCTCGATCTACACTGTCCCCGTCTCGGCATCGTCGACCACCATCTCTGGTAAGATCCAGGTGGATGTCCACTACTACGAGGACGGCAATGTGGCCCTCAACACAAACAAGCCGATCAACCTATCGGTGCCATCTGCGGATGCTGGAGCCATCATTTCGCGTATCGCCGGTGCGGAGCGTGACTACCAAGAAGAGCTGAACCGGGCTTTCGTGCAGATGGCCGAAGGTTCGTTCAAAAGCCTGCGCCGACAGTTGCCCATCACGCGCCAGAAGGTCGAGTGGGAGAAGGTTGGCGGATACCGCTTGGGACAGGATATCTCCGGTGGAAAGGGACGGTAAAACGGGAACTGTGACTTTGGGCATATAATTCAGCCAGGATGGATTTGTAACGAGTAAAGGTGGTGAGATTCACCAATGGGGAGCATTAGATAGTGGTCAAGATGCGAGGAATGTAGATAAGCGGGATCCGCGCTCCGGATATCGCCCATTGATTACTGTATCTGCCCTGGACCTTGCAGGACACCGTCTCGAGTAGCCTAATCCGCTAACGCGTATCTGAACTGGGGCTGTCGCATCTGGGCGGTTGAATTCTTTTGTCCTTTCACCTTTTTATTTTTATTTTTATTTTTTTATTTTTTTTTTTTTGGTTTTTCTGTAGATGAGTACTTGCATTCACGAATCTCTAACCCTTCCTTCAATTACAATCGCACCTCCTGCCCCAATGCTCGACCATCTCTGCCGCTTCTATCGCCTCAACACGGGGTACGAAAAGACTCTCCGTCTCATCCAGGCAATATGTCTCGTCACGCTCGAACTCGGGGTGCTGGATAAACTCACCACCCAACGGGTTCTCGCCGCCAAATCACAAATAGCATTGAGTTCGTTCCTTTGCCCCTGCCCCTGTCTATCTCCCTTCGTCCCATCCTTGGTTCCTGGTTCCGGGTTTTGTCTCACAGGGGATTGGAAAATCTACTTGCCAGAATACTAACGAACCACCATTTATCTTTTGCTAAAAAAAAAAAAGTCCGCCGCTGCATCCGCTTTTGGAACTTCCTCGATTGCTTCAACCGTGTCTCCGCCCTTTTGGGCGCCGCAGCATCCGACTCTCGCACCCCCCGCCGCCATCCCCCCGCGCCCACAGGGGGGATGTGGTTCATCGAGGTCGCCAAGTGGAGTTGCTTTGGCGTGTATTTCCTCCTAGAGGATCTGACGTTGGTGAGTTTTCTTGCTCTGTCCCGGGCTGTGGGTGTTTGATGCAATGCGCTACGCTACGCTTTTGCCCTCTGAAAAACCCGGAAACAACAAAAACTAACAGACATGCACAAAACAAAAGCTCCACGCGGCAGAGATCTACCCCGTACCCTGGGCAAAGACCGTCGTTGGCGAGGCGTATAAATTCTGGTTTTATGCGTTGGCGCTGTCGCTTCTCGGGGCGGTGTGGGAGTGGAGTGGCCTCGTTGGGGGTGGTGCTGGTGCTGGTGGCTCTGGTTCTGTTTCGTCAAAGGCGGCGAACAGGGGGAAGAAGGGCGGGAATGGTAAGGCTGGTGGTGCTGGTGCTGCTGGAAAGAGGAAGACTGAGGCTGGTGGTGCTGTGAGCAGAGCTCGGAAGTCGGCGTTGGTGAAGAGGGTGGTTGTTGATGGGTGTGATTTGCTGATTCCGGGGACGTATCTGGGGTGGGTGGTGGGGATGGGGCAGTTGCAGGTTGGGGTGGGGATGGTGGTTAGTACGCTTGTTTCTTTGAGGGAGATCTGGAGCAGTGTTTAGTGGTGATTCAGTTGGGGACCGGGGTTCGGGTTGGTGAAGCAGTGGTGGGTGTATATAGTTGTTAGTCGAATGGTGTACAGGAGATACTGCTGGTATAGAATAGGGTGTATTGTCAGGCATTGGCTATGTCTCTGAAATAGGGATGTATGATGTAGTCGCGGGGATATTGGCTCATATTTACCTTTGCTCCGTGTGTGGATCAGAGCCATTGAAATTACGCCGCTGATGCATATACGCCCTGATAGCAAACAAAACAATTCCAAGCACTATCAAAATGATACTCTTTAGAAAGGCTCTTTCAACCTCTTGGGTTTAATATCATAATCATATCCTAGTTGCCTCATTCACCTTGCCTATTTACTTTGTACAGCTGTGAGAGTGTAACTATTCTCTTAGTAGTAAATTGGATTTGTTATGCTAGTAGCTCATGCTCGTGAAAGGTTTTTGCTTCTGGTCTATAAGAATTCTTCACGGTCATCCAATCCGTTATACAGACAATCCATCCACCTCTATTTCTATCTCTATACCTCTCTACCTCTACCTCAACCTCACATCCAACTTCAATCACACTCCCTCCCTCTCTCTAACCATCTCCTCAATATGCGGATTCAACCAATACTCCCTCAACACCGCCACCTCCATCTTCTTCGCTCCATCGATCACCCCGCGACACTTCTCCCCAGCCCCACACGTACACTGAAACGGCTGATCCATCTCCCACTCCGAGGAGGGATAGAAAAAGGTCAGCGGGTCGCCCGCTTTCAGATCGCGGTCCGCCACGACGCGCACCTCCATGCGCGCCATGTCGAAGTCCAGCGTAGGCGCGCACGAGTGGTTGCAGTAGACCAGGTCGGAATTGAGCTCGATGTGCGTGTCGCGCCCGGTCTGCACCGAGGTGTAGGCTTTGCGGGACGGAGTGGTGCCGGTGATTGGGCAGAAGAGGGAGCCGGCCGGCAGGGAGACGAGGGAGTAGGCGCCGCTGGCGAAGGGGATGGGGCTGCGGTGGACTTGGATCAGGGTTGGGTGGCTGGGTGGTTTATTGGTGGTGGTTGTGGTTGTGGTGGTGGTGGTGGTGGTGGTGGTTGTGGTAGACATGGTTGGGATGGGTTGAATGTAGTGTACGCGGTGGAGGTAGATGCAATTTAGTTCAGTGAAGGTATGGTGCTGAGGAATTCCATTTTGCAGGCTGTTGTCAGAGCCAGAGGCCTACATTTATGGTGGCCGCGGGGTATAGTGGGGAAGGGAAGGAAAAGTGGAAACATCAGTAGCCGGGGATTTAAGAGTTGCTGATCGACCGAGGTTCATCCACGGTCCTTACGTCCGTCCGAGTTGGAATGAGCTGACTCCATCACGTAATGCCAACTGGCTGGGTAAGACATGGTCTGATTTCGATAAATAAATCTGGCGACTAGTCCTTACACAGTTAAAACTACCTAATTTAAGCGGACGGTCATTTCCTGCCCATCCAACCACCGCTCCAGATTCTCCGCTACCTCCTGATACCAGCCGTGGATCTGTTCATCCGCGTAGCCGGTGTGCGGCGTCAGGAGCACCTCACTGCGGCCCTCCCTCCCCCACGCCGTGGTGCGCCAGGGACTGTCCAGCGGCAGCGGTTCGACCGCAAACACGTCCAACGCGGCCGCGGCGATCGCACCGCGATTCAGCGTCTCCAGCAACGCCTCCTCATCCACCAAGGGACCTCGGGAGGTGTTGACCAGCAGGGCGGATTTCTTCATCGCGGCTAGCTCCTGCCGCCCCACAATGCCGCGACTGCGCTCCGAGAGCACGCTGTGCACGCTCACCACGTCGGCCTCGCGGAAGAAGGCCAACTTGTCGGCCACCGCCCGAAAGCTCCCCGCCGGCAGGCCCATCGCCTCGGCCTGTGCGTCCGCCTTGTCCTGAGTGAGGTTGGTCGACCAGGCGATCACCTCGAGCCCGAACCCCTGCACCGCAATCCTCCCCACCTGCGACCCGAGTTTCCCCAAGCCCAGCAGCCCCAACGTCTTGCCCGCCAGAGTGCACCCCAGCGACCCCTGCCACTCCCCGCGCTTGAGCGCCGCGTCGTCCCGCGCGACGTTGCGCGCGACCGCCAAAATCAGCGCCCAGGTGTGCTGCACGGTGGAGTTCAGCCCGGGGGGCCGCGTCTGCGTGCCGCCGACCGGGATGCCCCGCTCCGCGCAGTACTGGCTGTCAATGGCCAGATTGCGCGTGCCCGTCGTGAGGAGGAGTTTCAGGTTGGGGAGCGCGGAGAGCGTTTCCCGGGAGAAAGGGGTGCGTTCGCGCTGCGAGACGATGATCTCGAAGGGCTGCAGGCGCTCGATGAGTTGTTTCTGCTGCGCGGGCTCGCGCGGGTTCAGCGTGTCCGGGAAGTAGCGGAACTCCACGCGAGAGGCGAGCCGCGCGAAATGCCGCGGGCTGATGTTTTGGTAGTCGTCGAGGACTGCGACCTTGAGTGCCATTTGGGCGATGCTGCGTTGGGTGGTGGTCACGGAGCGGGAAGGGAAACCGGAGAGGAGGAGGTTTGGAGGCATCGAAGACGGTTTGGAGAGTGGAAGATGAGGTGGTGTTGGGGTAGTTGGACCGTTTAGCCCGGAGGAGCGAATAGCCGGTTCAACCCCGCGATTGACCGCCAGCGCCTCATTGATCCCCGCATTGAGGCCCCGGTAGCTTCAAGGGGGCTTATCGCGTAGAGTTACTAACTAGGTAGTACCGTAGCTTTGTAGTACCGTGTCATCGACAGTGATCTATGGATTGAGTTTATTCATGAGGATTATAGGCCGTTTCCGTCCGCTGTCGTGGTATAGACAAGCAATGATCTTGCAGCTTGACATCATCACCTGCAGCTGCAGTTGGCTGGCTGCGGAAAGTATAGTGCTTTACTCTACCTGTCAGAATAGATTCAATTCACCCATTGATATCAGAGTGCATGACCAGAATAGCATTTTCGAACTACTGGGTGTTCCATGTGATCCAGCAATCTACGAAGTATTCTTCCACTGCCACATGGTTAGCCTCGGTTAACTATGAGCCAGTGCACAGCCTGTCAGGTGGAGATTGCGTAAAATGGTAGAACTCATACCGCCTTCTGTTAACCCCCTATGGACTCCGCGATAGATGGTAGGATAGCGGCATCGGCAGAAAACTACCGCCTTCTGCTACAGTGTTATCACTCCAGCGGTAGACCTGGCGTTAAACAGAGGCTGCCAGAGGGACCCCGCGTTAGATGGTAGGATAACGCAGGCGGCAGAAAGGTCATACCGCCAAACAACCTGCCGCTCCGATAGCAGCACGATCACTGCCGACAGAACAGCGGGCTTAGAAACGAGCTGGGAAACTGGTCCAAAAGGCGGTGGCAGAAAGGCCACTGCACGGGTTGCTCAAAGGAAACTTGAAGATAAGATACAATGTACTGATCTAGTACTAGTGATTATACAATGACCATGACCCATTTTATGCAGTGTTGAAACCACTGCCACACATCACTCCCAACCCAATTCAGCCCTCATCTCATAGAACCGCTTCTCCGTCCAATCAAACACATAGTCCCATTCATACCGCCGCCTCGCGAATAACTTCCGGAACAGGCCGCGCAGCCACTCGTAATCGGGCATCTCATTGTACCGCAAGCTATAGATATGGTGGAAGTAGCGCTGGAACTCGTCCGGCAAGCCCTCACAAAGCTTCTCCACCGTGATCTTCTGCTTCGCCTCGCCGATGGGCCGATGCTTCGAGTGATCCAGGTGATCCCAGGGTAACTTGCCCTTGAGGAACTCGACGAGTGTGTACCCGACACATTCCATGTCATCGCGATAGGTTTGACCTGTAGTAAGTCAGGTATCAGGTCATCCCCCCACCCAGTATTAGCCAGCTTGAATATGAACTCATCATCTCATCATTCCAATTCAACACACCAGAAAGAAAAGGGAAAAAAACCTACAATGCCTCAAATGCGCCGCGCGACTGGCATAAACAAACGTCCCTACCACACTCTTCTCCATCTTCCCACGCCAAAATCTCACATTCCTCGACGCCATGACCTTGCGCCGTGCGAGCCCGAAATCATTGATGTACAGAGTACTCCCCTTGCGCCCGCGCCCCATCAGCAGGTTCTCCGGCTTGATGTCCTGGTGGATGTACCCGGCGGTGTGGATGTGCTGCATGCGGACTAGCAGCTGGTCCGCGAGCATCAGCACCGTCTTCAGCGAGAACTCGCGGCTGCAGTAGTTGAACAAATCCTCGAGTGTCGGGCCGAGGAGCTCCACCGCGAGGAGCCGGTAGTCGTCGATACGTGGGTGGTAGAGGTAGACTTTGGGGATGCCGGTGCCGCGGATGGCGGTGTAGATGAGATTTTCGTGCTCCAGGGTATTGCGTGTGCTGAGGGGTTCGAGTTTGAGGGCGATGGAGGTGGTGGTTTCAAGGTCTTGCGCTGGGGGAGGGGAGGGGAAGTGGTTAGGTTGGCTTGGAGGGTGAAGATATGGATGGATGGGAAGAGAACGCACCGAGGAAGACTTCGCCGTAGCCTCCACCGCCGAGGTAGCGGAGGAGCTTGAATCGGGAGGCGACGATGATGTTCTGCGTGGCTGTTAGTGATGTTTTTTTTCTTCGGTAGGGTGGGCTGACTTGCGAGTTGCTCAGTCGGCATGTTGGATTTCTGGGTATATTGGAGCGAAGTGATATGGTACATGGTTGTGATTTGCATGCGCAATGGAGGTTCACGGTCTATGTATAATATTCTTTGTCAATGTGAAGGTGCTCAGAGACAACTAGTTGGTGTAAGAAGTCTTCGGTTGGGATGTCGCGGATGGTGGCTTTGTCTGGATGGCTATAATTATCCGTCCCCATTCGAAACTGGCAGCGAAGAAAGCAGCATTGTGATTCTGTGAAGGCCTCTGTTAGCCGACGCTCTCTTTCATCAAGCAACAGTGTCTTTGTTTTTCCAGCACGACACACAATCCGAGACCACTGCGTCTTTGTTGCTCAATGCCCCTTCTGGTCCTTATACCCATACAGCAAGGCTAGCTCCAAGAATTTGGGCTTTTATTCAGCTGATGAGCGACATCTATTAGATGTAAAGCAGGCCTCAATTTTCAAAACAGCATGTTCGCGAAAGACATCAGGCTGGAACCTCAGAGCATCCTGCGCGCATTCTTCGCTCTCGGACATCTACTGCTCACTTTATTAGTACTTCACCCAACTCATTTCAATCGCGTAACCAGCACTCACCCTATGCCTCGGATCCTACCCAGCGGCGGCAAGCCCACGCCTGCTGCGCGATCCGGCAACCTCGACGATACCTTCGAGATCGACGCGAAGTACTGGAGTGACCTCCCGTACATCTACCTGAGCCACCGAGCAATTGTTGAGTTCTGTAAGCGTGAAAAAGCAATCGCCAAGGAGGCCAGGGCAGAGCAGCAAAGACAGAGAAAGAAGAGGACACACCACTGCAGGAGACAGCGGCTGCCGCACAAATTGCGCAGCCTGAAGGAATTTGCCCGAGGGGGTGGACCGGATTTATCGGAGGTTTCCAGCGTACGTTGACGAATGTATCCCCAACATCCCCCGCGCAACTACTGATAGGAATAAGCTGGTATAGTTCGGCTGGTCCAACACAGCGGAACCCGGCAACTCCACCTCCCTCTACGACCGCAATTGCCACAACTTCTTCCAGCTACACGGCATCGCCGCCCGCCCCTACAGCCACAATCAACCGAAGAACTACCCCGCCCTGCAGGAGCTCGTCAAGATCCCCCGAGCATCAGTCGACCAACTCGACCACACCGATCACGGCGTGTGGCTCAAGTGCTGCAAGAACTACGGCAAAGCTCGCTCCAAGCTCAACGACGCGGTCACGATCCTGCTCGGGGAAAATGCCGAGACGGTGCTCACATACGAGAACGAGCCGATTACCGGCTTGGAGCCATTAGTAGAGGGCATGTTCCAGGCGCAGCCGGACTATTACGACTGCGCGGACTACTACGCCCTCGACAAGGACGGGCGCATCGCCAACGACTTGAAGGAGTATATCCTGCCCGCGGCGGACGCGTATGGCGTGGTGCCCAACTTCTTTGTGCAGCTGAAATTCGACGATGATGATGAGGACCACGCGGCGGGCCAGCTGCAGGCGATGCACTACGGCGCGCTGGGGGCGCGCGCGGTGCAGAAGCTGCGGTTCTATGGGCGGGACAATGAGGCGTGGTTGGATGAGGTGGCGTATTCAATTGCAGTGGTGGTGTTTGAGAGGTCAGTGGCAATCTATGCGGTGCATATGATCGAGCCCGAGGACGAGAACAGAGAGGCGGACTATCAGTTGACGCTGCTCTACAAGGGTCGCATGGACGGAGTGATGCAGTTCCGGAAGGCTGTCGCCGCGGTGAGGAACTCGAGAGAGTTTGCGAATTACTGGAGAGAGCACTTTATTGAGCAGGCCAGGCTGGCACTGGAGGGGGGTGCTGCTGGCGATGCCCGGCAGGGAAGCCCAGGATCACTGGATGAGAAGCCAAGCGGCGACCAGGACGAGGGCCTCGTTAGGTCTTTGAGTGATGGTCAAGGCACAGTGAGCGTCAACCCACCCTCTTCTACTCTCAAAAGAAGCAGGGTTCAGTGGGAGCTGCAATGCCCAAGCCAAGCTGAGGAGCTTCGTATCAAAAGACCTCGACCAGCGACCAGCGACCAGCGACAGTCCAAGTCCAGGTTCAGTCAAGGTTTATAGAACGCTTTGAGAGAGATATCAGAGGACACGAGCTAGAAGCAGTCAAGATTGAGTCGAGGGCGTGGCAGTCCTAGAGCCCATACATGGCACCTCGCACGTATGAGTTGTGTCGAAGGCTGACTGACTCAACTCCAGGCATTGCAACATGCCCTTGTCTGTGCTTGTAGCCTAACGGGAGACACCTTTTCACGGGTTCGTAATAAGATCGACCATGGCCATATTCGGGGGCCCGTCTGTGTGCCACTCGAAGAAATTCCAAGATAGATTGACTAGCCCAAAGTACATACCACCATGCTTGTCTTTTACCTTTCCATTTGTGTCCATGTGGATACACCTGCCCGCATAACTATCATTCTGAGCTTGACCCAGCATGACTGTTGCGATGACAGAGTCTCAGTATCAGTATAAGTCAAATACAGTACTTACTTGGAGTGGGTTAAATAGATTACTAAGGTATGTACTATGAAGCTAACAAACTGGATTGCTGCGGAAATCGAGCCAGTCTCCCTTTCTGCTTTAGGTCCAACTTGGCGCCGCTTTTTGCACACTAAGCGGCCCGGAGTGTGGGGAGAGCACAGAAGTATATATTCTAAGCTATTTCTATTATTATAGTCTATTAGAATACTTTATCTATATTTATTTTACTATACCCTAAGGCAATAGATTGGTATCTTTGGCCTTGCAAGAGCTATTTATTTATTATGCTATTTCACCACCTTAGTTTATTAAGATTAATCTCTGTGTAGCCCTCGGGTAACATCAAATTTAAGAAGTGATGGCTAGAAGAGAGATAACAGTCATAGTAATCCTGTTGTATGTTTTTGCATTCTTTTGTGATTATTGAATTCAATGCCCGTGCTGCTTTTTGTTCACCCTGTTCATCCTTCGTCACTCTCATCCGCTCACCTTTCCTGCCTAAGCTCTAATGAAACACATCTAGACACCCCCACTCTTGATCTTTTAAGGCTGATGTAGGCATAGTCTTTTCTCCAGCCACACAGAATTTGTTTTGAAAACTGGTAAATTTCAACGCCAACGAAACACCAAGCCCGCCACTTGGGTCACTTCAGAGTTGGTATTGACCCCGCAAAGCAAGTGGATATGACCGGATACAAGGAGCAACTGATGGCTGACCGTGCAGTTTAAAGCCTAATAAATAAAACATCAAGAAATCACCTACCTACCTACCACTGTACGGTTTGGGATCAGTCTATCTGCACAAGCTCTAGGTTACAGGATATATTTCGTATTATCGAAGGTAGGCGGTAGTTTTATGTCAATATATACCGGTTAAGAACGGGTATTTAGCGATTTAAATTGTACTACCTCCCTGAGCCTTTTTCTAGTAGACAGGCAAGTCCCATGCATTCAAATCCCAGTGCCACGTATCGATCGACGCCTGATCATAAATGCATTCGAAGGTCTTGCCGTTATCTTTCCACATTGGTCGAAGTGGCCAAGCGCAAAGCTCCCACTTCTTTCCCTTCTCGGAGCCTTGAAGAACGGTAGCAGGGAGGGTGTTTGGCTTGACATCCTTCTCAACCCACTCAATAAGCACCTCAAGGGTGGTCTGTGGGAATGGGCCGTTCGTCTGATCGGTACTGGGAGAGCAGTGGCCAGCTCCGGGGATCAGGTAAAGGCGATACCAGTCGTTTAGGGCGGCAGCGCCGGCAGTGTAAGAGAGATCCGGGTACATGACACTTCGGACTGACTCCCAGTAGCGCACTGATGATGCGGTCGGGACACTGTAATCAGACTCTCCGTGCACATGGAGGATCTTTCCTCCTGCGCCGTGGTAGACAGAGAGATCCGGCCAAGTCGTTTGCAGAACACTGTCGTATCGCTGCCATCCCTCGTAGATCCAAGCTTTCAGTTTATCCTCGGTGAGAACATCCAGTGACAATTCATCGCTATCGATCAACTCCAGGAAACGGTCCACCCAATCTCCACCAATTCCACTAGCACTCGCATACCATGTACCCGAAGTTGAGTTATAAGTTGTTCCAGCATCACCCCAGGTGGCAGATGGCTGGTAGGAAAGATAAACTTGCTGACCCTGGCTATCCTTCATACCGGCGATAATTGCTTTAGCAACTGCTACACCCTTGGCTGTGACCTTTCCACTCTGGGCAGGCGTAGTAGATTGTCTCTTGCCAAAACCACTGGAGCCACTCTCGGCGGCACAGTAATAAGTCTCTCCAATGGCCTGGTCCATATCGTAGTGCAATTTGCAAAGGTCCGTACGGGAAACAACACCGTCGGTCAAACCGTCCAATGGATCGCAGGCGGCAATGGTCAAGTTGAGGATCTTCGTTAGCTCACAAGGAGGAGGGAAGTAATCAAGATTCTTCATTACCATATCAGACCAAAGATGCTGTACCTGTTGATGCGCATATCGAAACGCGGGAGCACCAACGATGGCACCATCCCAGTCATCATATCGCTGGATTTGACTCCATCCTTCACGGCCACCTTCTGAGCAGGCCTGGTAATAAGCATAGAGCTTCATACTTTCTGTCATGTTGAAGAAGTTTCGAGTGAACTGCTTCCCAATGACAGACATCTCGTGATGAGCTTTGTATCCAAACATATACAATGCCTCATAGTCAATGGTGCCGTTAGCCGCGAGGAAAACGTCATCCTCATCTAAGTCGAAGCTTCCAAATCCACCATCAGTGGCTCCCGTAACGGCACCGTACATAACTCCTCCCGGTAAGGACTGATTGCCACTGTTGATGGCCATTCCACCGCCACCGGTAGAAAGGTAGCGGTTCTGGAAATCGTCTGGGGCTGGGAGCCAGAACATCAATAGAACTTGGTCATCAGTCAGGCTATTGTGCGAATAGGCGAGCTGGACGGCACAGTAGTCGAAAGTGGCAGCCCCGAAAAAGTCGCCAGCAGAGGAAGAATAGTTCTTCGTGGCACTCACCACGACGGAGGATGAGTCGATAGTGATTCCAGTGAGAACATTTAGGGGTAGGACGGCCTTGACATAGGCCGATGTGCAGACATCGTCAAGGGTAGCAGCCTGAACAGTAGCTACTAAAGCTGCAACAGCCAAGACAAAGGCCGAGGATACCATGCTCCTGGACGTGGGAGTAAAAAGTACAATGGAAGTACAGAGAATAGAAATAGGGACCGGGTTGTTGTCTGTGAAAAGGGAGCGTCCCCCTTTTTATAGGCGGATTGTTTTGCACTCACGTCGCATGCTCCCAAAATCCCCATCACAATCCATCTCCACCCCCAACCGCGATTTAGCCTTCAAGCATCCCTTAGAGTTGCCCAGGGCTCAGATCTCGAAATCACATCATGTGAACCGTTTAGAGCCGGCGGTACAGTAAGATAGAGACAGTCCACAATTTGGATAAATCTTTTTCCACGCGTGATTAAATGTGAAGATTTCGACCCTTCTGTCCGGGGCTGAAATTCTGAGCACCTTACCTAAACGAACTGTCCTATTGAGGAGAATAGGGTGCTGAGACTAATTCATTGATCAATGATCTCTGCATCTTCTCTCAAGCAATTGAATGCTGGCATAAGACCGAGAAAGCAGCCTGTCCTCGGCCCATGTATCTTTGGACTCAAAATGTTGATAGCTTTTTCTTGAACTACCCCTTGCAAGACAACGCATTCCCCCTCTTCCCCATGGGGAGAACCCTTATGGGGCTACGGAAGGGGTTTACTGCCACCGGTTAAGCATCAGTGATAATTACCTAGCTCCGATTTGGCGAACAACCGACGTAACCAGATTGAGTTGACTTAATATCCGCGCATTGTTTCTTCTGCCTGCCGTAGGAATTGTCAAGTTTCTCATTCTTATCAATATCATTGTGTATAGTTGTCGCTGGTGCATTAGTTAGTAGCTCGAATGATACAGCTATCTCACTCTTGGCTCCTCCGATCTGGACTGAAAAGATTAAGTATTCAATCCAGCAAATTGTCGACTAAACCGGTACCGAACCAGGGAAGTAACTAGCCGAAGGAATGCATATGGCGTACTTATTACGGATTATAGCCGAGGTGTCGGATGTGGTTTCGCTCTGTAATTTCCGCCTCAATATACTATTGGTGCCTGATTAAGGACATTCTACAATCCGCCTGAAGATGTCCTCACTCTACCATCAAAAATCTCAACCAAACTTGGCTGACGAAGTGCTTTAACGCATGGAATTTCTTAATATGATAAATAAAACGGAACGAAGGTACCTCATATAGTACGCTTTGGATTATTGTTGGTTATTAAACTCTGTTCTCTGCTGGTGCTGGTCAATGCATCAATTGCTGTAGAAATACGCGTCGACATCAGGCGGTTATGATAAACCTTCGTAGCGTATTGTTTGAAATCCCTGGCTGAATTCTGAAGTTTCGCCCATTTGTTCCCACAATGGCAATCATAGTGGTGGGGGTGGGGGTGGGGGTGGGGATGGGAGGCGGCCTCAAGATGAATGCGGGGGCTATAGAAAATAAGCACTAACTAAATCGAACGGGGATCCAATATGCGGAGAAATTGTGGGGACAGACAACAGGAAATTGCAACTTTGGCTAGAATTTCGAGAAATACGACAGATTCTTCAAGTTCCGCTCCCTGCTCCTATATTCAGGCCTTTCAGATCTGTGAAACGAATTGCTTGGCTATTTCATCAAAGGGGCTTTCCATGTAATTCAAAAGCTCTAATGAAAGGAATAACCAGGAGACTAGCCTTGCCAATGCGAGAGAAGATTTCGAAAATAAGTTTTTTCCTATGATCAAAATAGGGCCGGAATCCAATAGAACACATCGCACCTAACATGAAATCTCGGCTGCACCCCACCCCCGCTACTAAATTGATATTGAATATAGGGGGTTGACGTCGGATGAGCGGAAGTAACCTAACGTTTTTCATGGTTATTAACTGATAATTGTTTATCCGAGTATTTACAGGACAGAGAGTTAAGGAAATAGACTCAGCTATGAACAGATCGATCCGTCTAATAATAGATTGCACCCCAGATTTAGGTTTTGTGAGTTCCTGGAGCTCGCCCCACAAACGTTGTGAGTCTTGAATAATGCTAGTCACACAATTAGTAGCCAACTCGGGGTATAACCCCTCATTCCCAACAAACGATGAAATGATTGAGCCTTAGCTATCCAGTTGGAAATAAAGTCAATGACTAGGAGTTCAATCCATCTCACTATAAAAGGGGCTTCGAGTGTCTGGTACGCTGACCCCTCGCTTGAGCGATATGCAGGGTATCACTATCTCTACCCTCTATGTACATTCGTCTACCGTAGAATATTACTTTCCTGACAAGCCGGGAGCCTCATCAAGGCCTTTTATGGCCAGTGCTTGGGGTTGTGTCCTGCCGAGACTTCGGAATCTCTGCGACGCCTCCGCAAAGTCCAGTATCGCCCCAAGGATACTACTGTCTGGCGGAGCATGTTCTAACTTCCGTTTCTTACCTTGTCTTGCTCCTCCCAGCATATATGGAATCTTGTTAAACGCTCTCCCGATCTTTTGTCGCATGCCTTGACACAGCCTTTGGAGTTGCGGGCAGTCGATCAATCTATGGATCACTTTCCCTATACCGCCACACTCGCATTGTGCGTTATGTACCATCTGCATACTGACTGAATATATAACAGCATGTCTCCTGTTATAGGATCCTATACAAATTACCTACATTACCGACAATCCAACCACCTGCCGGCTGTCTCCTCTGTTCAGGAACTGTCATGGATCGGACGGAAGGTCTCCCTCGAGAACTATGGTTCCATATCAAGGATCTCCTGCATCCAGCTGATGTGGAAAACGTGCTGAATACTGGCCCGAAAATCTGGAACTATGTCTTCAAAGATGAGAGCTGGCTTAAATTAGCATTGACATTTGATCGATGCTCCCCAGTCCTTCTTGGTTATAACCTGAGCCGACTCCGTTTGAGGGGTAAACCACAGAAGCTATATGTCGCTCTTCTTGCCCGTGATTATTCTGGGGACCTTCGTTGGAAGAAAAGTGAATTCTTTGCAGCGCTCTAAGATGGATGGGAATACGATGAAAGCCATTACGAGATTCACTTTCCATCCGGACTGACAGTCAATGTGTACGAGGTTCTCACCGGTGACGATGAGGCCCGGCTGCTGCTGGAGAAGATATTCATCAATAAAAAAGGCGGAGTGTACTCAGAATATTGCTTCTATATGGACAAAGGATTGAGAGAACTTGACCCGTTACAAATTCTCGGACACGGCAGTGGTCCGGCTTGTAAAGGCCGAGATATAAAGAACGGTTGCAAGCTCCTCCTTCTGGACAGAGATGAATCGTGAATCCCGAGAATATTTTGTTGCGCCGTGGTGTGAGAAGCGGAGAGTAAAATGGATTTTAGGTGTGTTCAGCCGAAACAAGGTTGAGACATCCGGTTAGTGACCAGTAATGTCGTTGTTCCAGCGCTTGAAGGTATGCAGAGAATATACAATTATGTACAGTATCTTCATGTAATTAAAGCGGAATCTTAGGATACATAGTAGGGGATAACGTAGACAGAGAGGTACCCTGCATTGTATCTCTCAGGCGATGGGTCGGCGTATATAGAGGGAAAAAAAATTGTGTGTATGAGTTTATAGTTCGCACTCGCGCTTGATAAGTGAGTATGACTATTCACCGAACGAGGTGCGTAGTTCATGCTCAACTAATCAAGGTTATGGGTACAGGTCGGAGAATGTGGGAATGTTCATATATGAAACTTTTAGGCATCTATTCTCCCGTAATCTTCTCGGAGATTTAACAAGGTCTGACAGTTTGGAGTTGAGGCGGTCTCTCTAAAAGCATGCACCGTCAAAGGGGCTAAGTACAAGCCTATACTATATAGATTACAGCAACTAGGGGAAATTGGGGAAAGGAGAGGAAAAGTAATGTGTAGACGGAGTGGTTATGCAGGGCATTGCAGCAATCTCACATCAAGTGAAGTACTGTGCAGCTTTTTGTCTCGTGGGGAGGCGAATTGTACGGTCCCCGTTGAAGGGTGGTATCGCACTATTGGGAAGACAGCAGATATGTCTGCCGTCCAAGTCATACTTTACAAGAGAGTGCAATGTGTCTGACGACGCCTCAACGAATCTGTACACGTTTATGTAGCCTGCTTATAGATCAAGAGGAACAGTCGCGGTCTGGTGCGCTCCAAGGAGCAGACTTAACAACTCAGGAAACACAGTACAGTAGGTCTGGTATAAGCTGTCTTGCAGGAGTTAGCATCCTTTATGAATATCGGACCAGCTTGTTGACGTTCTATGACCCATTTGGTCAGATATTCTAGGAGCTGAAGCTCACAAAATAGGTTCCTTAACTAGCTGGCCAAAGGACCTGGAATAAGAGTGTAATGTTCTCATAGGAACGTGGTGTACAGTATGTAATGCGGGCAGGAGCTGAGGCGTAGTCTTGTCCAGAAACACGACACGTTCCTGGGATGTAGGGTGATACCTATTCCCACGGCAGATATAAATTCAGCTGTTAAACAGATTCCCGTCTTGGCTCATCTTGTCCGCTTTTAGCATTTATACCATACAGACATCGGGCTCCCTTGCACTATGGGAATGGCGGCACAATCATCGACAGCCCGAAAGGAAGCATATAGATGGCGACGGTGGCTTGAGCATCTGAGCGAGTCTCCAAGCTCGGCCAACCCGGCCATCCAGAGCCGTTACGTTGACATGCTGCTCGAGACGGAAAGATTACCCATTTTCCATAATTTGATTGCATCCAGCTGTACCTGGCTTCTCCTAGCGGGGTTTTTGGTTTTCCCAGGCACATTTTCTACATTGCAAGACACTGCGCTGGCGGACGGATTTAAGGGCCGGAGACGGGAGAACGGGGTGATATCTGATGCTATCCAGAACCCCCTTCTCCTTGGCCTAGCTGCAGCATCATGTGCACTCGGCACCGCTGGCTGCCGCTGGCTTTGGTGGAGGTGGAGGTCGAATCTCATTTGGCCAACGCGCCAGATTTTCCTGTAATGTGCCTTCACTCTTACCAGGATTAAGTCACTAATAAAAGACAGGCCGACCCTGGTCCACTCTGTGACTGGCTTAGTCAATACGTTTCTTAATGTATATACAGCACGACACCGGACCTGGTCCTTGATGGCAATTGCCACAGCAGCGATGACAGGCGCATTTGCAGTTGCTGCAAGATTATTCTATCTGAAACATACAATAAAATACTACAAGTAGGATCTAGCTTTCTTAGAGGGTAGTCTGAGCTATACGCCCTGAGTACTAGTCTTCAGCACCACAGAGAGGTACCTGCTCATTGCTGAAGAAGGGCGACAGCCACGGTTCGACAGGCCCCTAATTAAGGCGACAGCCGAGTAACAGGCCCCTGACTGGACTTTCCATCTCCTTCCCTTGGTGCAGCTCTGACAACCATTATAAAGGGGAGGCATCTATAAAAGGAGTGTACTGCCGCGGGCAGGTAGTATTCAACGATGGAACTATGCCTTGGAAGTATGCCTGAATCTTTCCAAAGTAACAGTCCGACGCCCCTTGGTCAATGACCGTATGCTAAATACCATGGAAACAATCCGCGTGTAAGCATACACTCTTAGTCGAGATGGCAATGAGATGAATCAGGAAGTGAAAACAACTTACACCGACGGCTTCTTGCACCAACAGTACTGATCCGGCAAACCGAGAGGACATCTTGCGCGCCCTGCGACGAGATTATGTTAGTTATGAATATGACTAGCCCATGGCGATACGACTCGGCCGACACGTACGATATTAACGGCGTGATAGGGTCGATGGTATTACTGGCAAAGAGGATCGGGAAGGAAGTAGGCATCTTTAGTGCGCTGATATTGCCTGCATTGAAACCTGGTTAGACTGGAATTCAGTGCAGATGGTCACCCATTTGGCTGAAGATGAAGTTTATCGAATGCTATCAAGGCAAGAAAGAGAGAGGGAGGGACAGGAGGAGTGTTGCCTACCTCGAATGACCATGCTATCAGGCAACTGTGGTCGGAACGATCGGCATAAGATACCTTCTAGATAGATTGGGTAAATATCACCGATGTACTTGCTCTTGAATATTGTGTACTCCGCCCAAGACTTGAACTCTTCAATGGTAGTAAGCTTGTTTCTCCAATACGAATCGGTGCATGTAATGGCAAGACGGGCATCGGTTATAGAATTTGACTGGTCATACATGCCGGCGAGAGCGGAGAAATTCCCCTGCTCAGCCTGACGTAGGGTCTCGGCCATGCTAGGAAAACTTGCGAGTGGAGTGTAAAGCGCGTTGAGAAAGAGAGTCTTCAGGTCTGAATAGGTGATCATTGTTGGCAGCAAGTCTGGATTGTCAACGCGGCTCAGCGGGACTGGATGGTTCTGAAGTTGACGGATGATGCCATCCATTCTTTCCGTGATGTTGGCCGGCGTGGGACCCCAAAATGAGCAATTTGCAGGGCCTGCAGAATAGCAGAAGGTCGCGAACGTCGCCAAAGCCTCGTCCATTTGATCGACATTGTCTGTCCAATAGTTGTTGTAATATTGCTCTGCGTTCAGAACTCCGTCGAGCACCATTCTTCCAACACGGTCAGGAAACATGGAAGCAAAGGTGCTTCCGATGACAGTGCCGTAGCTCATGCTATAGCACCACAATTTAGCGGCTGATGGTGATCGACCGGCCATCTCAGCCTCAGCTTCGGTAAATGTGAGCAAGTCACGAGCCACGGCGGGCGTAGTCACATAGTACGAATGGGGTGACTTGTTTTCCACGGCATTGTTGCACCATTCGCCGTAAATAGAGCTTGAATAGTACTGTTCCTCGAACGATGTCGAAGAGATGTTAGTAGCGCCTGTCCTGTGTAGTCGATAGAAAGCCAATCTTGCCTCTACATCCCCTGAGAAGCAGTCTAGATGCAAACCACTGTTGTTCACACCGCGAGGATCAAAGGAGACGAAGTTGTACTGCTCTTCAAACATTTGCCCGACGAGAGCCTGGTATGTGAGGAGGAGGTCGACACCAGAACCACCCGGGCCGCCTGGTGAATGTTAGTCCAAGTAAAAGAAGTACAAACAATGTTGCCAGGATCGAACGAGATCGTACCAGGTACGAGTACAATGCTTGGAGACTCGACGGTGGCATTTTTGCCAGCCAGCTTGATGAAGGCAATCGACGTTGTACCAAGACTTCTATTCGCATAGTCCAAAGGGACTTCCAGTCTGGAACAACTAAAGGCATCAAAGCATGGTGTCCATGTGAGGTTGGCTGATGGTTCAATCTAGATGACTCGTCAGGAGCTCGAAACTCTGGCAGATGTGGTATCGTAAACTTGCGAACTCACGTCTTCAAAGCCATAGACCATGGCCCGATCATGTAAACTGTGGGCTGTCAATCCCAAGCTCATCAAAAGGAATAGCGCGTTCGCAAATCGGTTCATTTTCAATTCCAAGGGCTTCTTATTGATCTTTGTGCTGGCTTTCTTGCAATTGCTCAAACGGTTGCGATGTTTAGGAACTATTTATACTAGTAACTATATCCTTAAGATCGTCACGTCAAATCTGACGGATTGAATAGGCAGCTGTATTCTGCCTATCAATTCAAAACACCTCTTTCGCTCTCTGTTCCGCTTGTACGAATAAACCAATCAATGATTCTCTCCAACCTCAGCATGTGTGACTACGATTTAATTGAGATTCGTGCTCCTGTCGGTATGTTTACACTGATAGGCTCGACTCAGCCTCCTTGATGACCCACTTGTACGAACTGACCAATTAATCCCCTCACAATCTGTGCTACTAGTCTTTGAAAGATATAAGGTACTAGTATGATTTATGAGTCCATGATCAATGCAGTGAGTCCTGGAGTCATATCATGGGCCCCAACATTAGGTAGACTCTAAGCTCTCTACCTATGCAATCCTTCGCCATCACTGGAAACTCCTATTGAAGTACCCCCGCTTGTACGAACAAATCCATTAAGTGCAGACTATCCCCAGCTTCGGTTGTTTGTGCTCTGTACCACTGTCCACCGTTTCTCACCAGCCGCCCACCGTAGGGGATGTGGCGATAGCTTCCTCACTGGCGTGTGAACCGACAAACCTGTGCCTAAAACAGTGCGCATTTGCAGATCTTATCCGGGTCACATCGCCACGATGGATGAGATAAAGAATGAGAATACCAAGGCGGGCAATCAAGCCTGGAGGGGAAAACCTCGCAAGTTCGCTCCAAAGTCCAGACTGGGATGTAAAACATGCAAGTATGTCTTGACTTTTACATCTTGCATTATGGAGGTCAGTCGAGGACTACGAAATTGACATTTCTCAGGATAAGACGGATAAAATGCGATCTAGCTCGACCCGCATGCTGGAAATGCTTTTCAACCGGTCGCACTTGCGATGGCTATAGTGAAACACCCTTCGCATCCACGGTCGAGAAGGCTGAGACAGAATCAACTCATCATCACAAGGATATCGTTGGCAGAGCAGATATCTGGAACAATTACCATCCACGTACGACGATCAGTGCGTATGAGTCCGCGCGATGGCACTCGAAATACCATGGTCTCAATTTGCGGAATCTCCAACCATTGATGATCTTACCAGTTACTGCGTCGATCGAGGCAGAGATAATGTCCTTTTTCATGGATATCTCGATCAAGCACCTGAATGAATACCGCCCTTGCGAACCATGGCGGCAAACTCTCATGTTCTTCGCTCAAACAGTGCCATCAGTGCGACATGCTGCCATTGCCCTGGCCTTAACTCACCGAAACTCTTATCTGGTTTGTCCCTCGAACCATCGATTCCAGTATCAAGCGCCTTCCTTGAAAGACCGACTACCGGATCAAGCTCCTTTGCTTCACTATACCCGCGCCATCCAACTTCTGTTAAATGCGGAGCAGCGTGACAGCGCCGAAACCACAGCGATCACACTGTTGACATGTTACCTCTTCACCTGTTTTGATCATCTGGTGGGCGACAACGTCCAAGCAGTCAAGAACTTGCGCGGGGGGGCGGCGCTCTCCCGCAGCATCATCATCAACGCTACATCGAACCGCTATACCAATGACGATGCCCCATTTTCAGGGATCCACGCGATTATCAATCAGGTTACCCAACAAATCCGCCGCCTGGACATGCAGGCTGTCATGTTCCTGGTCGACTGGACTCCCGCCAACCTCCAAGAGACATTCAAGATGTCCCATCTTGTCTTCTTCGACAACAGTCCCTTCCAGTCCCTCGACCAAGCCGCTGACTACCTCCAGATCCTCGTCACTCAGGTAATGCGCCTTCGCAACACCGGTCACCAGATATCCCCGACAGGTACGATGCCACCGTTACCTTCTTGCCTCAACCACACCGTCCGCGGGCAGTTGAAAACATGGTCGCGTCGCTTCGAATTCTTCCTGCAGCTACCAGGCGGTAGCAGCAGCCCTTCTGCGCCAGCATCTAACACCCAAGCGCTCATAACACTCCTTCGCCTGCAATATACTATCGCATTGGTACTCCTCGAGGGATCCGGACCCGGCCGAGAAATGGACTATGACAAGTTTCTGCCCCAATTCCGGCAATGCGTCGCACTTGCGGGTGAGGTCGCGGCGGCGCATCACCGGTATGTGGGGTCGTCGGCACGCGCGACATTCACGCCGGAGATCGGATTCCTCCCCGTTCTTTACATCGTCGGGGTCAAGTGCCGGCATCCGGTGGTCCGCCGTCAAGTCCTCGATATTTTGCGACGGCAACCGATGCGGGAGGCGGCGTGGGATAGCATCCTGACTGCTCGGATAGTGGAGCGGGTCATCGAGATTGAAGAGAGTGGTAGTGGTGGTGTGGCTGAGCTAGAGCAAATGGCACCACGGTGTATGGAACAGATTTCCATATGGCAGAGGATCGAGGCATTGTCTTATACGTATTTCCCACCGAGTAGGGGGTCAGCGGCCCGGTTGGAGATTGAGTATACATTCTGCGCCCGGGAGGGGATACACGTTGAATCACTTATGATATAATGAAGCGAGTCATTAGATGTCAGAGAAGCTGTGTTGATTATTATTATTTAGAGATTAAACCCACGTGACTCACATTGGCAGTGGTTGGGGTCATAGGAACAGCCGAAGCCCCAAGTTATCGCCACGCAGCTCCCAGTGGACCATGTGCATACAACCCATGCCCCCGACGAGCCTGTCACAAGCAATAGCCAACTTTAGCGCCTTAGACAGCTCTGTAGCTGCAGCATCCCACTTGGGAAAGGCTCGATTGGGTTTCGGGTCTGAACCATTCGGGATAATGTTTGCGACCGGTTCAAACCCATTGGCAGACCCCCCGTTTCTGCCTGTCCTTCACCTTTCATTTTAACACCGTCCTAGAAAAGCGACTCGGGTCGCTGACCACTCTGACGACCAACACTACCGTCTTCTTATTCCGACCCACAGCTATTAGATGGGCGATAGTTGATCAGATATTCTGTATGGTTACAGTAGATTGATGGTCACAAATCCTACCCCACACGAAGGTTGAACCGCCACAGCCGTCTTGCGAGCATATATACTATATATATGCTCTCACCTGAACACATACTCCCTCCGAGAGCGGGATACCGCCTCTGAGGATCTATAGCAAAAGGGCTTTGACCTTGTCAGAAGAAGAGCAAGATCTACTCAGAGACCTTCTTTTTCTTCTTGATGGAAAGCGCGCCCCGATCACGTCGGATACGGAGACCACCACGTCCTTCAGTTTTAGCGATACGAGAGCTCAGGAGATCATCGAAAGAACTCGGGAGAGACAGAAGCAGTGGGAAGACCGAACATATCAAATCAACATCCATGGGCACAAGGTCGTTCCTCGGGAGTACAGGCTCCGTGAGCAATCCGTGAGTATCTCAGAGCGCAGACAGATCGTTCACGTGCTGCCCTCATAAAAGCGGCGGCACCCTGATTGGGTAAGCAAACGGGAATTGCAGCAAAACAGTTCACTTATCCACAATCACGGCAGGCAATCCGTGCATTTCAAGGCATGGAATGCAGTTCGATTCCGGCTGTGGTTACAGCGAGTCATGAAGCTCCATGGAAAATAAGATTTGACCGACAAAGTAAGGAGCTCAAAACAACCTTGAATCTTGAAAAGGGGAAGGAGTTTCATCCATTCATCCCTTTGTAGCACTTCTTGACCGCGACAAGGTCGATCTCCAAAATATCCAACCGAAGTAGCAACTGTCAAGGAATCAAAACCCAACACCTGAGATAATAGCTCCGTGACCAGGGGTACCCTCCAAGGATGGGTATCCACCCCTAGTCTGACATGCATGAGATGCATCACATACGGGACCTTGCAGATCACTCAAGATTCCCTGCTCCGAGCACTAATTTACCCCTTGCGACCCTGCGCGTAGTTGGTATATTCCATGATAAGAGTTCGTCCTGCGGCAGCAATACAAAAGGAATCTTGTTTGTTCTCAACGCGACACCATGAACAGCTCCAGAAATGGCGGATTCGACACGGCACCCTCGAACGAGACCTGTCTCTCAGGCGGACAAGCGATCTGGCTCGCCTCCGTGCCCACCTGCAACGATGGGTTCTACTGTATCTCCCCTGAGCCCCGGACTCCTATTTGAAACCCACCTTGAGCTCACTTATCGCAATCAGGTCAATCGAGCGAGGAAGACCTCCCACCCGAACATTGTACCCCAACGGCCGAGTGCCATATCAAAAGACTGCAAGAAGGGTGGAACTTCTGCGACAAGTCCCAGGGAACACTGGAGCCAGTAATTTGTAACGAGGGATACTACTGCGCCTCAGGAGGCGCGCGGCCAGCTCTGTGTCCGCAGGGCCATTTCTGCCCCGTGGGGACCGTTACTCCGTTCAAGTGCAGACCCCTCGCGCTGTGTCCGGAAGGGAGCACCCATCAGCGAGACCTGGTAGGAATAATCTTGTGCATTGTGCTCGATATCATCGTGGTCTTGATCTGGATGCGGCGGTTTTCTCTGTCATCGGACTTGACAAAGTTGTTCCGCTCATGGAGAAGACGGCGCCACGGAGGACAACAAACTGCAGTCGACATGTCGTCGCAAGAGGGAACGGGTTCTCCGGACAAAGAACCTGCGCAGCTGTTGAATTTCCCGTTTTCCTCAGTGGACGACGACGCGTCGACTCCGCCGCTCCAGATCACCTTTGCCGATGTAGGCTTCCGGATCCGAGGTCGAGCGACCGACATTCTGTCTGGTCTCCATGGTTCGTGCGAGGCTGGCTCGATTCTAGGGGTCATGGGCCCCTCTGGCTCGGGTAAATGTAGGTCGCGTCTGGTTCGTGGTTGGTTCGTCAGTGTTTGCGAGGCTAAGTGTTTCTGTAGCGAGTTTTGTCAACCTCCTGAGCGGGAGGAACGAGGCAATCACGGGCGAATTCTACCTGAATGGTTATAGAATGAGATCCGCAGAGTATGCTAGCTAATTCCCCAAGACCTTCTTTCGTTTGCCAAGACAAGACTGATGAATGCTGGCAGATTGCGATCACTGATCGGGTTCGTCCCTCAGGACGATCTCGTTCTTCCAGAGTTGACCGTCCGAGAAAACCTTCTTCACTCGGCGCGTGTCATGCTAGGAGGACAGCTGGGTGACCCCGCGTTAGGAGAGTATGTCGACTCGTTAATTGTCGCCCTTGGCCTCGCACGAGTGCAAGACCAGATGGTCGGGAGCGTGGCGCGACGCGGATTGTCTGGCGGGGAGTGTAAACGAGTGAGTATCGGACTCGAGCTCGCCGCCGCCCCCAAAGTGTTGATCCTCGATGAACCGACATCGGGTCTCGACGCGACTGCGGCACTCTCCCTCATGCAGTTGCTGCGTGAGGTCTCTCGCTGCGGAATCATGGTCATCTGTGTGATCCATCAGCCTAGGGCGGAGATCTTCGCCCTCCTGGACAACCTGATGCTGCTGAATCTGGGGAAACAGGTCTATTTTGGGCCGGCTGCGGAGGCGCAGACTTACTTTGAAGCGCTTGGCTATGGATTCTCTTCCTTCTCCAATCCAGCAGATACCATCATGGACATCCTCCCCAGTCATGCCTGGGCAGACACCACCCCCTCCTTGTCAGCTGCAAAGGAAGCCAAGTCCTGCACTCCAGTCGCAGACACATACAACAACACGGCGCTGGACGAAGCAGGTGACGCTCCCCTCCAGGTGCCCGATATCCTGCGCTCGCTGCAACAGCGAAGGGCTTCTTGGTCGCGACAAGTCTGGCTGTGCTTCCGCCGTGGCACCGTGCAACAGACCCGACAAACAGCCAGTTTCTGCTTGGAGATCATATCCGCGTCCGTGATCGGCGTCACGATCGGCTTGACCATCTACGAGTTCCACGGCCATATGTTCCAAGGCATCTATCACCCACCGTTTGAGCTGCTTTCCAGTGCAGTCAACTATCGCATGGTAGCTGAACAGGGCCTGCTTGCCTGCTTAGCTATAGGTAAGTGCTGCTGCTGCTGCTGCTGCTGCCGCCGCTCCCCAACGAGACTCGAATTGCATTTCCAACCTCGCTAATCTCTATTGTCAACGCGTAGCCTGTGCAGCCGGTCCCCCGGGAGTCAAACTGCTAGGTGAAGAGAGTATGTCATTACCCTCCATATCTGTGGTCTTTCTGAAATCATCTATAATCCTGAGATGTGCTGACAATAACCTCCCTCCCCCCCAAGAATTGATCTTCCGCCGTGAACAACAAACCGGCCACTCCCGCAGCGCCTATTTTCTGGGCAAGAACCTCTCCGTCTTGCTGCGCATGTTCCTTGCATCCTTGCATTACACCACATTCTACATGATCCTGTCGACCCCGACAATCTCCTTTGGCCTTCAGCTGGCGATTAGTTTTTTGTATTTTTACTGTACGTGGAATCTTTCTTCCCACCAGCCCCCCCCCCAAACCTCCCGGTCTTCCTTCCTACCGAGAAGATGTGCTCACCGACAAAAAAGGTATGTACGGTCTAGGCTGCATCGTGGCCGCCATCACCCACCGCGAAGATGGCCCCTTAGTCTGCATGTTAAGCTGCCTCGTCATCTCTGCTCTCGGGGGATGCGCCCCTCGCCTCGCCTTGGTGAAGACGTGGAATCTAGGGTGGTTCTGGTATATGTGGCCTGGGGTAAGTTTGCTTGCCTCCTGGATTTTCCAAATGGAACAAAGACTAACCGGTTTGTTTGCTTCCCCTTTGTGGGACTGCACTGCAATAGACCTGGCTCTCCGAAGCATTTTATAACGAGAATACTGCGCCGTTCGCCTATCTTTATCAGTTGGATGATGCGTCGAGGTTTACCGGCTACAAGAATGGCCGCACGGGGTTTGATATCGGGTACGTTCGGAACCACTTTACACCATGTGAGGCTGACATGTTCGAACCAGGCTGCTGCTGTTGATTGGGACACTGTATCGGGTCATTGCATATCCGCTTTTTGTGGCTGTGGGTTGGAGGTAGGGGAAGAGAGCATTCGGCTTGAAGAGCAGACGTGGACTTGGCGGGGAGATTGGTACCAAGGCTTTGATAAAGTGTGACACTAACCATTTTTAATTCAATTTTCATTCATAAATATGGGCAGTTAGGATGATAGGGTCGAGTGAGGCAGTTTGTAGTCTGATGTACCAAGAACGCTTGACTGTTGACTACATGACAATCCGACCTCCGTACACAGGGCGGGTTCGAGGCACCTTGTGGATTGGTTCGTGGGCTTCTTGCCTGCTCAAATACCTCACTGGTCATTGCGTGTCATCATATTGTTACTATGCTGGGTTAGTATTAACCCGTCATGCAACAAAGGCCCACCATGAAGAAAAACATCGTCGCTACTCCCCGCCCATTGCCCGCCAAATAGCTTTGACTCAAACAGCCTCCACCAGTGTAGACACAGGTCCATCCTTCTCCTCCCCCTTGACCGACAAGCGATCTAACTCCACCGCAGCAGTCTCCTGCGCCAAGGCTTTTTCGAGATTGATGTCCGGCGACACCTCCCACCGACTGCCGGGGACCAACAACGGCGCGTTGGTAAACAGATCATCCATCACTTCCAGCGACAGACCCTTGGTCTCCGGCAGGAACAGATAGAAGAAAAGCGCGTTTCCAAAGTCGCACACAATGAACAACAGGTAATAGCGCCAGCCGATGTGCTCCAGCGCGATGGGCGTCACCTGAGCGATCATCGTGTTGAAGGCGAAGGAGACCATCGTCGCCAGCGAAATCCCCTTGGCTCGAGTCGCCGTGTTGAAGATCTCTGCCGGAATAATCCAGGACATGGTTCCCGAGGCGCAGAAGCAGAAGTTGAAGACCCAGGTGCTGGCCACGATGAACGCCCAGTGCGCCGCATTGTTGGTGGAGTCGGGCGGGTACTGAGACAGGAGCGAGGCGCCGATGATGAAGGCGAGTCCGCAGGCGACGTTGCCGCCAATCTGCAGGGGGCGACGGCCGACGCGGTCGATCAGAAAGAAGAAGATAAATTGCGCGAGTTCGCCGATGATGGAGTTGATGCCTTGGTAGAGGAGGGTCTGGGAGGTGGAGATGCCAATCTGGGCGAAGATGGCCGGGGAGAAGTATTGGATGGCGGAGACGCCGGTCCTGAAGTACAGTCAGGGAAGATGAGGTGCAGCAGATGGACGTAACGGAACTGCTTACATCTGGGTGGATGCTTGACAGGCACAGGCAAGGATGATTCGACGCGTATTGGACCGGTTGGCGAACAGTTCCTTGTAAGACTTGGCAGCATGCTGATGCTCCTCATCGATTTGACGCTGAATCAGCTCATATTCGGCTCGCACGTACGGGTCGTCGATGTTGCCGTGAGCGTGCAGTCGAGCTAGATTGTGCAGTCCTTCTTCATGGCGATCGTGGTCGATCAACCACCGAGGAGATTCTGGAAAGAAATAGATACATGAAGCGAGACCGATAGCAGGAACAAGCTGCAGGGCTAGACTGTCCACGGACTTGAGATTAGACTGAGCTTGGACAAAGAGAGTGCGTCACTCACGGTAGTCGCCATTGAACGCTGTCGCCCGTATTGGCCCACCTCTTTTCGCACCCGTATCCGATCCAGGAGGCAGACAGTGATCCAATACCCAGCATCGTCTGTTGGAGCGATCCTAGAATACCTCGAATGCTGGCGTGTGCGATCTCTGCCTGGAACATAGGGACGGCTTCCACGAGAATGCCAATCCCAAACCCAGCAAAAATGCGCGAGAACAGCAACATTCCAACATTGACCGCGGCTGTTTGCAGGATGCCTCCGACACAGAAGAGTACGGATCCTAGAACGAGGGTATTGCGCCGCCCAAGTGGATCAGTGTATCCTGCGCCTAGAGCTCCCAAGAACGCTCCTGCTGGTGGTCAGCTGCATGCACATCCGAAGTACGGCAGTCTATCATACCAGCCGTGAACAACGAAACCACTGTCCCTGAAATCACGCTTCCATTGTGCGTCAGGAATCTATCAACGAAGGAGTCTGAGGCCACGACTGAGGCAATCACACCCAGATCATAGCCATAAAGGAACGACCCGAAGGCGGCGAAGAGAGCCACCACAAATTGATAGGTCTTGGGATTCATCGCGATTGCTGGCCTCCAACCTTAGGCACTTAGTTTGGCAGAGTGTGGGTCGTGCGCGCTGTGGAGAATCTGGGGTAGCCAAACTATTATATGCGACTTTCAACGGGAAATATCACGCACGCATCTCAAGAATGGGCAGCTCAGCTGCCCCCTAAGCCTGCAGTAGTTTGAAGCCATCGGGCAAGATTGTCTGCGGAGTATTGGTGGATTTCAGCATGTGTCTGGCCATCTTGACAGTAAACCTCTGGGCTGCTGGCTGTTGACGGTAGCTTGGATGTCGATCCTTGTCTCTCGCGTGGCTGGTCCTGGTTTGGGCATATTTCCTGCGGAGGCCCGAGTCGCCCAGACCCTGATTTGCGGACTGCAGTCAAAGGACTTGCGGGGTTGATAAACCGTACTTTGATGACGGAACTATGCCGGTCAATTTCTAAGCCTCGCGGGATCTGAAGTCGACGGGTCTACGGAGTTGTTTGGGTGTATAAACTCGGTGCCACGCTTTGCCCCACGAGGGTAGATCGAAACTGATGAGGAACATCTTGTGCGCAAGTGTCGATGTAAGAAAGTGTCGATGCAAGGAAGAGGTATTCATGATGATTGAGTCTATGTGACCGAGCCTCGTCTCCAGCGACAGGCCATAACATCTTTGCTAGACTAGGTTGTTGATGTGTGGAGCATATGTTGGTAAGAGATTGTATGGAATCTCTCTTGGGGCCTGAGGCCTGAGGCTTTCCTTTTCGGCTCAACCTTTGTCCGACTGCATTCGACCCCGCAATTTCCCCCCCACACACACACGGCACATACATGTATTTCTACCTCATTCTTGAACCTGAATCGGATATCCTGTGGTCACTTCTCCGCTGATCATCGCCAAGGTTTCAGAGAATGGGCTGACCATCTACATTCAGCCCATCGAAGTTGCGGGGGAATGTCGGGGAAGATGCCGATCTCACTATGGCGCGTCTTCACCCCACGCAATACGGCCTTCATGTTGCTTTTCGATCTGCACTCACTGATCTTTTTCTCAGATGAGGTTAGTTCTACATGGGGTGACCGCAGCAAGATTCCAGCTTCAACATGACTATAAATACAGGGAAGGACTCGACTCGTTCCTTGTCGGATTGTTGTAGCTCCGATTTGGAAGCCCAATCAATTGCATTGGCTTGATCAATTTGGAAGTCATGTTTCTCAAGTCTACTATCTTGACGACGATTCTTGTGGGAGGCCAGTTAGGAGGAGCCTTAGTCGCACAGAGCAGCTCTCCACATGCCCCGCCTACCTTGACCACATCTTTCGATACTCCAGCTTATCGATATAGTTCGTTCAGCTACACGCAGCTCTCCTCCAACCGATATGCAACCCCATTGTCTTCTCCTATTTCATTCTCCACCCCCTACGCCCCGCCGTTCAGTGAAGCATCAACCTTGCTCCCTTCGGGCGTCACCTACACTACCTACAGCTTCAATCCGACCGCAACGGCTGCTTCGGCGTCGAGGACAGGGGAATATGACCAGCAAGCATATAACAACCTCTGGACGTCCCTATCCTACACTGCGTCTCCTCCCTTTACGACGACAGTTTCTCCCACCCCTGTCCCAAGTGATGATCTATTGTTCCCGCCCGCTCTGACTCCATACCTCGCGAACCCGGACAAGAAACTGCCCCCCGACTTCATCTGGGGCGTTGCTGGCAGTGCGTGGCAGATCGAAGGAAGTCTCCAGCTAGAAGGCCGTGGACCGAGCATCCTAGACACTATCGGGTCAATCCAGGCCAACAGCAGTGCTAGCGATGCCAACGTGGCCACCATGAACTATTACCTATACAAGCAGGACATCGCGCGTCTAGCAGCGCTGGGTGTGCCCTACTACTCATTTTCCATCGCATGGAGTCGCATCGTTCCCTTTGGAGTGGCTGGATCACCTGTGAACTCTGAAGGCCTGGCTCACTACGACGATTTGATCAATACCTGTCTTGAGTATGGCGTCACGCCGATCGTGACCCTAGTCCATGCCGACTACCCTCCGTCCGTGGTAGCGGACATGGGTAACTTGACCACGCACTACTTGTACTTTGCCAAACAAGTCATGACCCGCTTTGCTGACCGTGTCCCATACTGGGTCACCTTCAACGAGCCCAATATCTCAGTGGGCAGTGTCGCAAAATCATACAGCATCCTGAAGGACATCCTACTCGCACATGCTGCCGTCTACCGCTGGTACAAGGAAACGCTCGGCGGCACGGCTCAAATCACCTTGAAGTTCGCCAACAACCTTGCATTGCCGCTCGACCCGACCAACAGCACTCACCTTGCCAGCGCCGTCCGCTACCAGAACTTCATTCTTGGCATCATGGGCAACCCGCTCCTCCTTGGGGAGCAGATCCCGTCCGAAGTCCTCACCACACCCAATATCACCCTCAGTGCGCTGACGGACGCGGAGCTTGCCGCCGTGAATGGCACCGTCGACTTCATCTCCATCGACCCATACACCGCCCAATTCGCCTCTCCCGCGCCCGAGGGCATTGAGGCCTGTAGCGCCAACGCCAGCAACGCTCTCTGGCCGTCCTGCGCCACACTCACCAATGTCCAAGCCAACGGCTGGCTCATGGGCGAGGCGTCGAATGACTATGCCTACATCGCCCCGCAGTATGTGCGCCAGCAGCTCGGCTACCTCTGGAACACCTTCCGGCCCAAGGGAATTCTGGTGGCGGAGTTCGGCTTCAACCCGTTCGCCGACGCCAACCGCTCCCTCAACGCCCAGCGCTACGACCTCGAGCGCACGCTGTACTACCACTTCTTCCTGCGCGAGGTCCTCACGGCTATCCACGAGGATGGCATCAATGTGGTGGGGGCGCTGGCGTGGAGTGTCCTGGATAATGACGAGTTCGGCAGCTACGCCAACATGTACGGGTTGCAGACGGTCAATCGGACGGATGGCCGATTCGAGCGGCACTACAAGCGCAGCTTTTTCGATTATGTGGACTTTTTCCACCACCACATCGAATCCTGACTACATACAGCCAGGCACAGTACATTCACTAGGTAGTAGTATCAGTGATAATAGTTCACAAGAAAGAAAACCGGTCTCAACCGAATCATCAAAATATGAAACCCGATCCAATTCAGCTCAATTCAACCCAATTCAAGTTCTAATAACCTCGGGCGGCCCTTTTCAAGATTAAAAACTATATTGATAGAAAATAAGATCATAAGTCATCTTAGAAAAGTATAAATCTGATCAAATAATCAGATCATGTGAACAAACACCCAGGAGACCCCTTGCAGCGATGGGATGGAGTATAAGACGAACCTCGGTCGAGGTTTGGGGGGGGGGGGGCCAAAGAGGAACACGAAGTACATAAAAACGTTTTAATACAGGGATATTACTTTGGGGAAGTTATACTTGCATTGCATTGCGATGTGTTTCAACAAAAATTGTCAGGAGTAAGCGCCCAAGAAGAAGCATAAACCCTAAAATATTCTAAGCTACGAGCCACAAATCGGGACAATACATCCAAGAAAAACCCCCTGGTTTAGCTTTAAAGGACCCTGCAGGAAAAGCTAAGCACCCCGCAACGCTACAATAGTATTGGGAAAGTGGTTGTAATGGAGACTGAGCTTGCGAGTCTGGAGGTCCCAGGACTCGCTATCTGCTCCCTCGAAGCTTTATCCGCCGGCCGCTGATGGATCGTTCTGCGTTGGACCCATTTACGATCAGCCACCCCCAGAAAGATGACGGGCCCGGGAACCGTCTCAGGAGTTGGTTGAGCTCTCATGGGCCTTGCCAGTTCATTGATTTTTTCAAGAGTGGTCATTATTCTGGTATCTCTTATCGAGCATGCTGCGCTAAGCCCGAATAGGCAGTATAACTAACCCCCGCCGACGCGGTACGCTTCTTCCACAGCAGCCAACATGAAAAAACGGGGACAGTTCCCCTGAATCCATGCTCAGCGAGTATCACATCGCTTCAATCTGCGCAGCGTTGAATGTTTGCTGAGAATTGCAATCAGCTAGGGGGACTGGTCAGTTCCTGCATCTACAAGTGTGATAGGTTATGTGCTGGAGGTCCTCGAAGATTGCTGCCAAGTTCAGAGCATGGGACGTGTGGTGTAGGTATATATCTGCACTGCACAACCCATGAGATAAGAATGTTGAGTAAAGGCTACTAGTAGAGAGCCAGGTTTTCGGCTCACTCTCAACAATCATTTTCGAGTTATGTTTCTCGATAGTTGATGAATTGATTGCTCCGTAGACTGTTACTGCTTCGATATCGGCATGATATTATGCATGGACAGATAGTATTGCGTCTATCAGGTAAGTAGTCCATTCTCCTGAGACAAAAATACTTGGCAAGGATACATATACCATAGATGACCGTTACTCTCAACCAAAGGGTCCCTGGGGAACGACTACAGGAAAGTTTACAGTGACAATGACGATCAAAGAGCATATTATAGAATATCAAAAATTCATTGTATTTACAATCCGACTTTTAGAGTCATGAATCATAGCCAATCGATCTATCTTGTAAAGGTGCAATCGTACAGAGCCTGTTCGTCCAGACGCTGGGGTATCTTCTAACATCATCCATCATGTTGTCCCTCTGGTGTCCAGAGACCCACATCTATCCATTAATGTAATAGGGTATTTTTGTTCATCAAACTTGTCGTCACGTCACTGAAACAGCAAGACATTTACAGCTGCTCGGCCCAGGGGGCGGATCCAGGCTGCATCTGGTTCAGCCACTTGACGAGTTCGATGAGCTCGGCACGGCGCTCATCCTCGAGCTGATCGGGGTCAGAGAGGACGGCCTGGAAGATGGGGAGGAACTGAGGAGTCAGCTCGCGGATGGTGGGGTCTTCCCACTTGTCTATAACGGGGTTAGCAAAGGTTGCACTAGTGATATGTCTCGAAGGGTGCTTACACAGCTGGCAGATCATGCGGTACAAGGGATCATTCTCCTCGTAGTCGTTCTTGAGAGGCAGGATGGAAACAAGGACGGGAAGGACATCCTTGATGGGGACAGCCTCACGGTGCTTGAGGATCATGCGGGACAGACATCCGGTGGCGTTGTCCTGAAGACGGGAGGCGTTCATGTGCAGGCACTGCTCGAGACGGGAGAGAATGGTGGGGATCTCCTTGACGATCTGGTCCTTGGCATTGGAGTGCTCGATAAGGCGACCAACGGCATAAGCAGCGTTGGAGCGGGTCTGAGGGTCCTCATCACCAAGGCGGTGGACGAGCAGCTTCAGGAAAGCAGGGGTGAACTGAGTAACAGCGGCGCCCATGCCGTTGATGCACTCAGCGAGGACACCAACAGCGGTGGCACGTTCGAGGGCCTCGGAGCTACCAGCGTAGCGGATGATGATCTTCTCAAAGACCTTCCAGAGCTCGGCAAAGGTCTCACCCAGAGCAGCGGCCAGGCCAGAAACAACGTCAAGACCAGTGTCAACGACAACCCAGTCGAACTCGGAAGTCTCCTCGCCGGCCTCGAGTGTCTCCTCCTCGGGACCGAACTCGAGCTGGCAAGGGTGCTTCTTGGTGATGATATCAGTGATCATGGTGATAACGTTGTGCAGAGTGGTCTCGTTGGCAATGAGAGCGGGACCGCAGTAACGGAGGTTCTCAGCCATGTTGCGGTTGATATCGGCGACAGTAGCACTAAATTTGACTGGTTAGAAAATGTGACAACCAGAAATTGAAGCGACAAAAGCAGTAGGATAATCAAATCATTATCAGAAGGTTGTGAGTATATCGTTGTTAACAGCATGCACAACTTTGTGTGTCTGAGTGAGCTGGGTAAACGAGGTGTTCATCATATGATTTGACCCGCATGGGCGGACAAGAGGTTGGGGCTGCGTTACGAGAAAGAAAAAGAGAGGATACATACCGGTCATCTTCCTCAGTCCACATCTTGATGGTGCAGGTCATGAGGATCTCACCGAACTTCTGCACCTCGCGAGCGGGCTCAACCTGGATGGGAAGACCAGGCTTCCACTTCTCCATCTGGCCACTCTCCTCGGCAATGCAGTAAAGCATGGCGTAAGAACGGTGAAGGGTGCTGATGGTGCTCTTGCGAACACCCTCGTAAGGGTGCTCAGCCAAAGGCAGAACCATCTCGATGGTCTTCTCGAAGAAGGGAAGGTAGGCGGCCTTGGTGTGGGTGACGAGGTCACCAATCACCTCGACGGCGATCTCCTTCTCCAAAGAGAGGGGAGTGGTGGCAGTAATGTCATCCCAAGCATCCTCATCCTCATCAACATCAACATCCTCGATCTCACCATCCTCACCAACGGGCTCGTCGTCATCATCGGCGCTAGCAACACGGACCTTGCGGCCACCGATGGTCACCTCCTGGCCAACGAGATCCTTGGCAGCCTCACCGAGCGAGACATCAAGGTCAGTCTCGTCCTGCTCGATGCAAGCGAACAGGCCCTTGACAACACCGTCGAGGAAAGGAGAGAAGTGCTCGGCGTAAACCTTAGACATGGCACCCCAGAAGATGTAGGTGCTCTCCTTGAGGCGGGAGTGGCCGAGGTGGAGAGCCTCCTCGGTAGCGCGCATAAGCGGCTCGACGTAGGGCTGGTAACGCTCAGGGCCAGCAGCAGCGGCCATCTCACCCATAGCATCGGTGACACTGGCGCGAAGGTCAAGCTCCTCCTCGCTGTCCTTGACGGTGGCATACTCCTGAAGAAGGTGCATGGACTCATCGAAGAAGGACAAGAAGGAGTCACCGGCAGACGAGGCCAGGGAGCCAAGGGCACCGGCAGCGAGACCCTTGATTCTGAAGTCGGGGTGCTTAAAGAGCTTGTGAAGGATGGGAACCAACTCAGCCTGGTAAGGAGCAACGTCCTTCTCATCAAGGCCATCAACAACGGCGTCAATGGCGCTGATACCAGCCTTCATGATATCAATGGTAGGACCGTCCTCCTCACCCTTGTACTCCTGCATAGCACTAGCCAAGTTCTTGAAGAGCAAAGGCATCAATCTCTCATGCTCCTGGCTCAGGTCCTCAGCGAGATCGTCGGCCAGACGAGCCACAGCGTGGAGCGAAGCCTGGCGGACCTTGGGCTCGGGGTCAGCAAGAAGCTGGAGGACCATGGGGAAGATCTCCTTCATCTGAGTGCTGATGAAGTCAGGAGCGCCCTCAACAACCATGCCGAGAGCCATGATACCCGCACGACGGTAGTCGGGGTTGGTGTTGTTGAAGTACTGGCCAAGCGACTGGAGCAGAGGAACGACGACCTGGCTGGGGGGAAGGCTCTGAGCGAGCATGTCCAAGAGGCCAAGGGCGGAACGAGCAGGGGTGATATCGTCGTCCAAGGCGGAGGCGTCCCCGAGCTCAGTGACGATCTGAAGGGCGCTGCGAGTGAGCTGCTCACCGATGCGCATGCCCTGAACCTTGAGCTTGCGGTACTGGATGCACTGCATCAAGAAGCTGATGGCCTGAGTCCGGGTGTCCTCATCAGCCTCGGTGTTGGAGGCGATCTCGTTCATGAAGACCACCAAGTCCTTCAGGTGAACAGTCATCAGAGCGGGGTCGCAGCCAAGCAGGGTCTGGAAGACCTCGAAGGCCTGCATAACCTCATCATCCTGCTCCTTGTCAATGGCATCCTTGAGGACAGCCACCATAGAGGGCAGGAGGTTCTGGAAAGCGCGAACGGGGCCCATGTTCTCCTCAGAATCCAGGTACATGGCGAGCTTGCTCAGGGCCATCAGAGTGTTGATGCGGACCTCCGAGCTCTCAGGGTCGCTGATGGTCTTGCTGAAGAGGTTGAACAGGTCCTCGAATTTCTCCTCGAACGCGTCACCCAAGGTCTCCAGAATAGTCAACAGGATGTAGACACCAACGGCACGCTCCTCCTTGTTGCCGCTGCTGGCCGCCTGAAGTAGGAAGTTGGGGAGCTCAACCCACTCGCCATCATTCAAGTCGATTTTGGCGATGGCAGAGATAACCCGAGCGACGGAGTGGCGGACCAGAGAAGAGGCCTCACCGAGCGCAGAGCGCAGCAGCTGCTCGCGGATCTGGGGCTTCTGGTTGGCCTGGACAGCAACCCAGTGCTTGACCACGAGAGAACGCGCCTCGACGGCAGCCAACTGTCTCAAGTTGGCATCCTCGTGGCTGGTAGCGATCTGGATGAGGAAGACCAGAGACTCGGCCTGCTTGTAAAACTCGCGCTGGAGGATACCGGTCGCCTCCTTCACGTTGCCCTGGGCGGCTGCAGACGACAATTAGCGTCCTGTTTACGAGACACATAGCTTGAATACTGATCAGCAGGACTCACGGTTCAGGACAATCTGAAGTTGTTGCAAGAATCGTTGTTGATCCATGATGTGTGTGCGTGTGTGTGTGTGTGTGTGTGTGTGTGTAACAGAAAAATGTGAGAGATCCCACGTAGGGGTAAACGAGCAGATCCTTCTTTTCAGAGAGGAAACTGACTGGGAGAAGAGAGGCCGGCTACACAAGCTGAACCACTCGGAGGGTATCACAAAAACAACGAGGGCACAAAAAGAAAGAGAGACACACACAAGGAAAAGGAGGAGGAGGAGAGGGAGGGGAGGATGAAGGAGGAAGAATCGAGGAGGAGGATGAAGGAGGAAGAATCGAGGAGGAGAATGAGAGAGAGAGAGAGAGAGAGAGAAAAAAAAAAAGGAGATGGAGGGGAAAAAATTTGGCAATAAATGGGCGGAGAGCAGCAGAGGGTAAAAAAAAAAAAAAAAAAAATTTATTTGAGGTGGGCTGGCGATTAGCCCCTTCCGGCCTAGCGGTCTGTAACCACCTGTAACACCGCGATTCTAATGCACCTGGCGGTAACTTACCTCACCCACCAGAGAGTGTTTTGCTCTCGTCCTGGTAAGACCAATGCTTACCGCTTTTGGGTGGCTGCCCAAACCCCACAGTTTTTCTTCATTGATATATGTAAACAACCACAGAGTCGAAGATGCAAGATGCATCCTGCCACATGGACGGTGCATGCATCTGCTTGGGGTTGACGATGGGAACTGTACTGAGCAAGAAGCTCTTGGTCGATAAGATCGATCTAGACAACGCCTTCAGAGGTGCGGTGCATCTGAATTGAGGGTTGTATGCACCCAGTGAACCCGTTCCCTCCACAGCCTCAGAACTACTATTCCTATTTCATAAGCATTAGTTAACAGGACTGCCTTGGATCTCGTCCACAGTGTCAGGGTCTAGGTGTAGTGCCAAAAACAATTCGATGATCAACAATAAACATACCGGATCTTTTCTCAGATTAATAATGACAGCTAATAATCCTACGGACAAAGGAGTGCCGCAAACTCAGCCTGGATAGATCACCGCATTATGGACTTATTGCAAAGAGGACTTGAAGACTCTGGTACAAGTACATGAAGTCTGACAAGCATTATGTTGATTAGACATGCGCACAAACCGGGAACATCATTTAACTTATACACAATGGCACAAACGACAGACATGCTCCATCTGGTCCATGTTGGGGAACCACAAAAGCCCTAAATATATACCACCATTTAGTAGCACACAACAAGTTCACGCAAAGACCTGTGTTAGCACCTGCAAAGCTTAAATCTACACTCTCAGCCGATATGCGCAAACCAAGCCAGGAAGTCGGGCGCGACATGCTCAGCAAAATCTTTCGCCAGAGCAAGGACTACATCGTGAGGGACCACATCGATTGGGAGCCAGAACGAGCCCGCGACTCGTTCAAAGTGGTGACCGTGGAATCACTCAAGAATGGCCGCTTCTTCGTAGTTGTAATCGTCGAGGACCCCTGCGTATGAGGGCAAAAAGGAGGCGCTGCTGCAGTTCCAAAGGCGTTTGTGATGCTCGCGCTTTAGGCAGCGGCCAGCAGACCAGCGGATCTTTGGCTCTCTCCAGTTAGGGCAGAAAATCATCATCGCGTCCGAAGAGCCGCGAAGCCCATTTAAATTTTCACGCATTTCGTCACTCGCCATTGACCTTGCGTCGCCGATAACCATGACTTGGAGTCGCCTCCGAGCAGCATAGGACCTGCAAATCGACTGGTGCTGTGGAGAGATGAAAGAGCAATGACCTCGATGAGATAGGCAAAGCGAGTTAATCACTTTGCAGTCAAGCCAAAAGTCTGGCTGTGGAGCCCAGATTTCGTAACATGGCGACTTACAACACAAAATAAGCATTTCATACACAAGAGAAGCATGTTACTACAGGTTCGAAGGGGCCTATTGAAACAGCCTTCATCTTGATCACTACAGTAGAGAACTTGACTATGACGGGTACCCGGTACCCTCGGGGTAATTGTGTTTACTGCACCAAGCCGAGATCAGTTTCCCAAACGTGTGTGGATTGTCAGGGAAGGACAGGCTGTGTTTTCAGGCTTCGCCAAATGATGAGGATGAAAGAACGAAGAATCAAAACAAATCTCAGACCCACTAAGCATAACATGAGTTACAATATATCGTTTCATGCGTAAGATAACACCAGGAACCATTCATAATACCATCCACAATACCACGTGAGTACCCAGTATCTCGCCGTGTCCGCGCCACATCTAGTATTCATCAGAATCGTACTCGTCGTCGACCAGCAGAGACCGGTAGCCCCGTGCAGCGAGGTTCTCCTCGAGACCGCCATCGGCTCCGGGATCAGCATATCCTGTATACGATGTCAGCAACAACTCATCACTTCTCCACAGATGTCTCAACACGTACCTTCTCCACCAAAGTAGCTCAGAGCTACCGGCAGGAAAACCAAAGCGTGGGTGGCCGCAAAGATGACCAGTGCCAGCCAAACTCGGAAATAGTAGATCTCGAAGATCTTGCTCCGGGTAAATGCCAATACGCAGACACCCAAGAGCTTGGTTACCGTGATTCCACTGAAAACACTTCCGCCTACGTTGACCAGAGCTGCCCATGCCCGCGCATCCTTGCCTCGGAACTTGGTCGGTACCTTCTCCAAGATAGCCCGTGACGGGAACATGAAAGCACGAGCAATGTGTGCACAGAACTCGACCGCAATGCCCACGCAGATGATCAGATTCACCAAGGAGACGGCGTTAAGGGAAACGCCAGCGACCGCCATCGCCCCGATGATGTCAATCATTATCATGACCACAGTCGTCGTGACCACTGCTCCGGTCGCCACAGAGCCGAGGAGGGTAGAAGTGAGAATGAAGATGATCGCGATCGCGCATCCAAGCAAGGTACCAGTGAGCCGGGTGATAGACACATACTGATCGAAGTAGATATAGGTCTTGGAATAGGGGAAAACGTCAATATCATGCTCCTTGGAGAGCCCGTCAGCGATGCGACGGGCTGAGATGTAGGACTTGATGAAGTCATCTTGGCTTCGCAGAGGGGTGTGGGTCGTTCTGAAGTGGGTGGCATTGGTCATGACTCGTTTCGAATCGAGGACTAGCGCATTGCTGTACGGAGCTTTGCCTCCAAGAGGGCAAGACGCGTCTGTGGGAGCTTGAAGCCATTTCTCAGCATAGTGCATGAACTCCTGCCCGGTAGGCATGCCATAGAGAGAGATGTTCCATGCGGGGCTTCTGTTCTCAAAACAAACTTCTCCATCCTCCTGGCAGCAGTCATCTTGTGGGTTCAACCAATAGAAAAAGTCGTCAATCCAGCTTGCAGTTGACCCAGAAATGTAGGAAACATTGGGACGCTTGGATTCTTGTTCCAGGACAAATGGCAAAGAGAACTCTTCACAGGTCGTGAAGCGCCCGCACAGCTGTTGTTGATGACGACGCTCAGTCACATTGACATTTCTTGTCACAAAGTACACGGGCGGGCCGCTACCGAAGTAGGCATCCAGGTCGTTGAAGTACTGGACAAGGTAGGAGTCGCTTGGAAGAGCAATGCGCTGGTCTAGACCGAGTACCATCTCGGGAACCAGAGCAATACCAGCTGTCAGGAGGCCTAGAAACCCAATAACCACGGAGACTTTGACCTTTCGCTCAAGAAGAAAAGTCGCGTAGACCTTGCGGATAAAGGACTGCAATGCACTCTCACCATCGTGCTCATCCAGCACCTGATCCTCAGACATTCCAGAATGAGCTTTGCGAACCGTCAGGCACGGGAGACAATCGGCACGCAGACTTTCGACGCGCCTTTGGTTCAGAGCTAGAACTGAGATGAACATCGTGACCTGCAAGAGAGCATTGAAAAAGACGGCGCCTGCCGCATAGACAGCGAAGTTCTTAACGGCGGGCATGCCGACAAAGACACCCAAGGCAAAGGCAATTGTCTCAGTCGCAGCAGAGAGGAAAATACTGGGGCCAATTCGGCCCACGGCGCGAGCGATTCGCTCGTCGATCTCCTCGTCCGGATGACTGACATTGATTCTTTCGAATTCGTGAACAATGAGGAAGATGTTGTCCACGCCAACGGCAAGTACAAGGAATGGAATGACTTCGGCAATGATCAGTGTTACTTTGATCCCTGCTGCGGAGAACAATCCAACTGAAGCAGAGACGGACATCAGGACGATGATGATACCCACAATGCCTAGAGTAAATTTGGATTGCACCAGGGCGTTAGCTGGATTCGTGAGAAGCGACTTCCAGGTCACTGTGACCGATCCCAGGGCCAAGGAGGCGTAGATGAACATGATGACGTAGCTGATGACCACAATCTTTGCGTCTGTGTTACTGGATTTGTTCAATTCTTGCTCAACGCTGATTTCGGTGTTGAAGGACACACGAAGACCGCGGTCTTCAGCCTCCTCTTGCACGACTCGAAGAATCTGCTGGATAGTCTCTTCCCAGTCAATCGCGTTCGCCTCCTCTTCCGTCCCTTGCGCATAGTTGTTGACCACCCATGTGGTGATCAAGGCCTTTGCGTCTAGCACATTGCCGGTGCTCTCATACCCACCCAGAATCATTTCTGGTCTCAGAGGCTGCCCAAAGCCTGGCAAACAGCTTACATCCCCAGGAGACTCCGTACAATGTTGCAGCCGTTCTTGCCACGTGTCGGGGTCTAGATTCGATAATGAGCCATCAAAATAACCCGTCAGGGACTGAACCACACAGGCATCGCCAGTGGGCTTGAAGCAAACATCGTCGAGAAGAAGTCCTCGATCTTGGGACAATGTTCGGTGAATTCTCAATTCCACTCCAAACCACCAGCTGAGCGTATCGTAGCTCAGCACTGGTCCAGTATCATTGACCAGGAACGCTTGTTCAGCGCGGTAGAAAGGCCCGAAATGCTCATCAAAGTAGGCTTTCTCCTGCGCGGCGGGCGAGGTCGGGCTCACCCACAGCCGAACTGGATCGGTCTCGACGGCGAACCGTAGCCATCCTAAGCTCAGAACCCCGACTAACAAGGTACTTGTGACAATGGTGATGGCTGGGAACCGGGCACAGGCCCCGCCGATTCGATTGAACATTCGATCCAAGGCAGAATTAAGTCTATAGACACCATTGGGCTGTTCAGTATAACCACCGGCCCGCACAATGTCACCTTCATCCTCATCGTCGCTGGGGGCGGGATCCTGCAGAAGCCTAGTCCGCTCAGGCTTCCGGTAGCGCCGCTCATGGTAAGTGAAGTAGCTCGACGCAGCCACGACAGCCAACAGAAAGGCTGAGTAAATCAGAATTACCGCAAACGACAAGCAGGGTAGCAGGCCAACATGGCAGTAATGGTCGGTCTTGACTGCAGGCAGTTCGGGACAGACGTCCGGACAATCGACGCAGGAGCAGCGGAAGGCCTCGTCGGGGTCATTGCATGCTTTGGGTTTGATCGGCAAGGCTTCCATGCCCTGTGGATCCTGACCGGCAGGTTCCGTTTTGAAGTTGATCTGGAAAGGGCTTCCTAGCAGCTTCTTGTCTCCCAGGAACTTCATGAAATGGGGATAGTCCTTGGCACCTCCGCCGATGAAGTCGATGGCTTTGCCACCCGAAGCGCCGTTCTTCACATTCTTACAGCTGTCGTAGAATCCACTCTGATATTCCTCTGACCAGACGTTATCTATCTCGGTAACCAATTTCTTTCCAGAACCATTCTTCTCGATCTGTGTGACATTGACGAACAGCGACTGGTCGGGTGAGCAGGTGAAAGTACAGAAGATGTTAAAGAAGTTCTCCTTGCACGCGGGACATGAGGCGATGATGCCTTCGGCGAGTTTGAGGTTCTTTGAGAGCGCGTTGATCTTTGACCGGTAGCATTAGTCGGGGTCTATCGGTGGGCCAAAACCCGGGTGGCGTGACATACCTGTTCATCCTCACAACACACGGGCCCATCCTGCCACTTGCTACCACAGAGATCGACCAGCTTCCGCCTCACCGCTGCTTCGGGCTCTTTGGCGCGTCCATTGTCGGGACAAGGAAGCTCTCCGCCAAAGATTGACTTTTTGCCGCAATGACCGCGAAGGGCGCAGCGGCCTGGCTCGTGGATATCGGTGTAGCCGGAGCTGTCCTGGGCGAGAGTCTGGGGTAAGAGAGCGCCAAGACCGGCGAGGATGGGGAGCAAGCGGTATCCCCGCATTGTCCAGGGGAACGAGCTATAGCTAGTCAGATGTTGGGGGATAGAGAAGATAACGGCATGAGATAGTGGTGATAGAATTGATGACAGAGGATGAGAGTTGAGAAGGGGATGAGGCGAGGGTGAGTGGTAAATGGGGTTGAGAACCTGGCGGAGGGAAGAGAGCAAGCAAGCAAGCAGGGGAGCTTCGGAATGACGCCCAGCCGCGGTTCGTACGTAAGCGGCGCTGGTTGGTCCCTGATGGGGCTAGTGGCCTGAGCCGTCGGGCGGGAATATCAGGCACCAACTTTTGCGGATCATCTAGGCACCCAGGCATCAAGGCATCAAGACATTGAGTGCCTCAGCACATTTTGGCATACCTGGATACAAGACAATCAATCTGCCTGTGCTCTCTGGTCTCCGCCGTTTAACCCATCCCCCATTTCTATCTAAAAAACACACAGACCGGGCTGCCCCATCTCATCATTTCTTTCAATTGGTATGAACCCTCGCAGCATGGACCATACTTACTCGGATTTGGTCTCCGGGTTGAGTCACCGCAGTGATTCAACATCACATCATACCTTAAGCGAAAGCGCCGTCATGCGCCAAAGATTTGCAGACTGTCTCGATCATAGACGTGTTCTTCTTCCCACCTTGACCACATCCAGCAGTCTGACTACGGATGAAACCACCATATTTCATCATGCTCTTCTGGTGCAAGATCCGGTCGGGAAACAGACGTGCTGGCACACTTGAGGAGGACGAATCAGAAAGAAGTACAAAGCGCGAGAAAAGAGTGCAAATTGGCTCGACATGTGGATTACCTGAGCTGTCAAACATGGAGAAAGAAGTACAAGGCAGAATCGACATTGGGTATCCTGACTCTTCAGCGCCTCCATCGCCTGCATCTGCTGCGGCAGGCCCATTCAGAGAAGCCCCGAGGACACCTGCTCGATGCGAGTTCCTCTATTTCACCAGCTACGGCTGCAGGATCTCTACCGAGATCGACCAGGCCCACACAACAATCACACAAGGTTGTTCCTGACGAGCTACCAGCTCGGGAATCAATACGGCCAGCCATAAGTGTTCGTGGATTCGCGATATGAGTGTGCGAAGGTCGGGGGCTGCTGCGGACGCTCGTGCGGCTGCTGCCAGAAGGGGCTGTTCCCCAACGAAGACAAGGAGGATAAAGTACCAGCAGTTCCTGTCTACGGCCACTGCACTGTGGAGTATGCGTGTTGTATCAAGTTTTGCCAGTGTTACCTGCCTGATCACCGTCTACCTACTCCGAAAATACTTCCTGCGTTTGAATGATGTGGTTCACAGCTTTGCTTCGAGGGCTACGGATTGCTGCGCTGTGGTACTTGAGTCTCAAGCTGAGACATCGTTATTCTATGTATTTTGTTCTTCAATATTTTGTCTCTCTTCTTCCTTTTTCCTGCTTCTCTTGGTTGTCTCTTCTTTCTTAGCTCTATTCTTGCTCTTCTACCTTTTCCTTAACGCCACTTCATGCGCTTAGAAATGCCCAGTCAAAGCAAATGGCGGTATATTAGCGTGCTCGAGATCCCCTTCCATTATGCCACTGAGATGTATCCTATCTGCCGGTGGTTATTATGGTGGAATGTAACTATTTTCCCTTCTTGAAACGGAAAACGGTGTGCGGATGTGGATGAACGAGTGAGTGCCATGGCAACTAATACTGTGTCCGCACTGTCAATCAGAATAGCTCTCGCGACAGCAATAGTGTTCATGATCAACCTTGATCACAGTAAATGGAGCATTCGACCTGTCGACAGATAGTAGGTATCAGGGACTAACTTATAAAACCTCCCTCCACATCGCAGTCCCGCGATCCCCACACGATAAGCTTCCCGCTCGAACCCAATTACCGGAAAGAGTAAAGAGATCCAGCCCTGAACCAGCACGTAACTACAAAAACCAACATGAAATCCTTCCTGCCCCTCCTCTCCCAATATCCCACATAAGATATCCTCCAACACCCCTAACAAAATGACCCCCCCGACGAAACACCTCCACATCGCCATCCTCGACACCGACGTCCCCGTCCCCACCGTCTACGCCCGCCGCGGCCTCTACAGCTCGCAATTCCGCCACCTCCTCCGCGCCGCCGCTGCCACCATCAACAACGCGGACTACGAGATCCACACCACCGCGTTTGACGTGGTGGGCGGCGAGCTCCCTGCGTACGGAAGCTTATATACGACCAAGTCACCGGAAACCACGTTCTCAGCACCCCCTGAGGAAGGAATTACTACTACTAGTACTACAGCATCAATCACCCCCGCTCCCACCAGCGATGCAGTTAACCCCCTGAGCTACCCCATCACCGGCATTCTCATCACCGGCTCCTCCGCTGCCGCCTACGCCACCACCCTTTACCCGTGGATCGACCCGCTGACGGAATTCCTGCGGACAGTGCATGCGCAGTACCCGGCTGTGCGGGTGTTTGGGAGCTGTTTCGGACATCAGCTTATCGCGCGGGCACTTCTGTCGTCCAACCCTCCTAAAACCGACCATGTCTGGGATGATGGCAGAGAAGCAGGACCCTATGTGGCGGTTGAGCCCGCGCCGGGGGGGAGGGAAGTCGGGTTGAAGACTGTTACGCTCTTTCCGGAGTTTGTGGGGAGGTTCCCGGAGGCATTCGCGTGTCACTCGCTGGTTTGCCGGAAGGAGAATCAGCATCTAGGAGAGGAACGGCTGGACGAAAGCCTGCAGGGGGAGGTACAGCACCAGCACCCAGAAGAAAGGCGGAGACGGTGGGAGATGCAGATGATACACGGCGACCACGTTCGCATCCTCCGCCCGCTCCCACAAGACTGGTGCGTGATTGGGAGGAGCGAGGAGTGTGCGGTGCAAGGGCTGTATTGGCCCGGACAGGTGTTGAGCTATCAGGGACATTTCGAGTTCGATGCGGAGGTCAATCGGGAGACGTGTTTGGAGTTTGCCAGGAGGGAGAACTGGAGCGGAGAGGATGTGGGGAGGTGGGTGCAGGCCATTGGGGATGGTACGCAGAGGAATGATGCGGAGGGGGCGGCGGAGGTGGTGGTGAGATTTTTTGCGGGGGAGGATGGGGGGTGTGCTGTTGGAGGAACCACTGGTAGTGCTGGGGAGAAGATGGGGGATGTGGGAGCTGATGATAACAAGCAAGCTAAGAAGAGTTCCTCCTGGGGGTGGGGGGCGTGGTTCAGTTTTCTACAGGTGGATCGGTGATGTTTCACGATGGAGTCTGGATAACATGGAGATAGAGAGTATATATAGAAAGGGTCATATTGATTACCGTGAGCGAACTGAACTTGAAACTTCAAGGCAAGGAGATTCCCATCTCCCACCGATAAAAATACCAGCAATCACCCGAAGCGTACGAGGCGCATGAGGCGCGTTGGAAGCTGTGGTAGTCGACATGTTACCAGGGTTCAGCTTTAGGAAGTTTTGTCCCCGAGTCTTGACAAGTTGGTGAATATCAGGTCAGGTCTGTCCGGTTATAATGGATGGATGAGCAGATTACTAGGTAAGTCGTGGCCGAGGGTGCATTTATATTCCCAGTGCAGATGAGGCCGAATCGAAGAGTCAGACTGGAGAACTTCTGTATGCTCGAAACATTTTGGTGCCATCTCTTCGGATTGTATGGAAGACCACGCAAAGGTCATCGCATGGCCCCCTTCAGCAATGAACCCTGCCTAGAGGTGCTCCAATAGCTGGTCTTTGAGCTGAGGGTAAATTCCGTCACATTCGGGATTATGGATCAGATGGACCTTGTCATCAGCATTGCTCTGCAAGGCTGAACTGGCTCCTATATGCTCCGGGATGCGATACTGTGAATGGTCTCCTGGACCAGCTTCGACCATGAAAGACATGGGCTAGGTATTACCACACATGATCGAGAGTTCATCGTTGGAGGAATACCTCTCATGGCGAAAAGCGAGTCGATATGTGTTGCCATGTCAGGCCGATGCTCACCAGGGGAAGATGGTAGGGTGAGTGAAAATTTCGGCGGGTTCGCCCAGGCGCGGGAAGTCGGCGATGCCGCGGAGTACTGCTGCTCTACGGAGTACTCCGTACAGTGTGAGGGACAAAATTACACATTTGCTACTTTCGGCCTTGAGTGCCCGCTTACTGACTTACCATTTTTCAAAAGCGACCGCTGTGACCGACTGTCGAAACACAACTACGAAACAGGCGCATTGGGAAGCAATACGGAGGTCAAGTCTCGCGAGGGGGACCAGAGGAAACGAATGCAGCAATGACCCAGTCCGACCATCCCTGTCCATCAGACAGCATCAGATCGCACCGGCACAATACCCCAACTCATCATCCCAATCCCACACCGGAAGAACTTACTGACCCCATTTTGAACGACGGATAGATGGAGAGTAGAACACTCCCATCTATACACACCATTGTGAACCACAGCGAAAGAAAAAATTTGAATCAGAATGGATATTTCATTTTTTCATTCGTCCATGATTGCGCCAGGGCCCTCGAGGACCGACGGCGCAGCATCGAATCCTCGAAGACAATTGGCTGGATCAGCGGGGAAGGCAAGGGGAGGACCTTCGTTATACCCGCGTCGTTTTTTATGAGAGAAAAAAAACCAACTCCTGCCATTTTGCACACTCAATAAGGATTATGCACCCGGAACCCCATAGACGCTCTTCCAGCAATCAACACGATCCGCGCATTTAAGCGGACTTGGCGGCCTCACGGCCCTTGCCCTTGCGGGCGAGGATCTCCTCACGGTCCTTGTCGAGGTGGAGCTTGGTGATGACGACGTTGGAGGGGTGGATGGGGAGGGGAACGCTCTGGCCGTTGGACTTCTCGCGGACGACACGCTCGACGTGGATGCACCACTTGAGACGGTAGACGGAGGTGATCTTGCCGTCACGGCCCTTGTTGGAGCCACGGACAATCTGGACCTCGTCGCCCTTGCGGATGGGGATGGAGCGGACCTGGGGATTGTTAGCCTGCGCAACTCTTTGGCTGCAGAGTCTTGTCTGCCCGTGACGGGCGCAAATGCATCTACTTACACCGTACTTCTCGCGGAGCTCCTTGTTCAGGCTGGCGCTGAGGATCACACGGCGCTCGGAGGAGGGAGCGCTGAAGTGAGCCTTACGGCTCTTGGAGCGGGAAGAAGCGACTGCAATGGATTATCAGTATGGAGGCGGAACATGGTGACAGTAATGGCAAGCGTACCCTGAGTGTTGCGAACAGCCATTGTGCCGGAGTCTTTGAGGGTGTCGTGAAAGAGGATGGGGCTCAAGTTGTCGGATTGTCGTTGATCGGGAGATGAAGACTTTTGTGGTGGTGCGAATTTCGTGGGACGGTTGTGCGCCACGTGACTCATGACTAAGGCTAGGGTTGGATCCACTTTTTGCTGACCGCTTATGCTCACCGCTCACAGCTTGTTCTGCCGCCGGTTTTGGAAGCGGTCAGCTGGCATTCCGGCATGTTTGGAGGTCGCTGTTGCTGCTTCATCATCAGCAACAAACTGCAGGACTTGCATACAATCAATTATGCATTCGGGCAAAGACATCAACTCATGACTCGGTTGGTTGGGGGTGCTCTGTGTCAGGCTAGATGAACTGACTGGAGCCATCACCTCAACCTAGACCAGTACTATACACAGTAAACATCGAAACACACTCTGCTGTCGTCATGGTCATCGATCGCATCATCAAACTGCACAAGAACCCCTGGATCCTCAGGGAACCACCATCTAACCCCCACACTACACCTTATTTGACACCGTACATGCACGCAGACTAGCTTTTCGGCTTCGGAGCAAGTTTGTCGGAGCAGGTGGGCTGAAATGCAGGCAGTGTCACGATGGCACTAAAATATATACTCCGGCACGGGAGGAAGCGTGGGGGTTACAAACCCCGGACACTCCCCCCTTCAACCACCACCTTTTTAGCTTACGTTGACTACAGTCGGTCTACTCGATGACCAGCACAATCAGACTTCTGCTGATGATGGAGTTACTGAAGAAAGCAAAGCTAAGCTCTGGCTGTTGATATGTTGATCCAGAACATCTTTGACACCGAGTGCGGTTAAATTTCGGCTGCGGAGAGCCAACACCACTCAAGCTTCACATTGCATCTTCTCCCACCTGAGACATGCCAAGCAGCCGGAAAACACCAGAATCCTGCCATCTAGTATCGATTTGTCAAGGGATGATAAGAATTCCGGGCAAAAGAAAAGACAGCAGGTGCCAGCCACCAGTGACCCTGCAGATCTGGCAACAGCCAACACGTCTGCAAATGCAGATCCATTCCAATCGCGATCTTGCCCCCTCCTTTGCATCCCTGCTTGGAGACTACTTATTTAAGGGTCTAATAAGGGACACTCCACGAGCCACTTTTCTTGCCTGGCTCATCTACGGACATTGCACCAGTAGTACATAGTCCACCATGTCGCTCCGATCGCTTCTGCTCTCGCTGTCTGCCTCGGTGGCATCGGCGACCAACCTCTATGCCACCCACTACAGCGGCACCGTCTACTCGCTGTCATTGACTCACAGCAGCAATGGCAGTAGCCTGGCCATCTCCTCGGAGATCCAGGGCTGTGGCCCCATGCCCAGCTGGCTGACCCTCGACCCGGTCTCGCGCATCATCTACTGCAACGACGAGACAGGCGACGCCTCGACCAACGGCTCTCTCAACGCTCTCTCCGCCTCGGCCGATGGAACTCTGAAGCTGATCGCCAGCACCGACGCAGCCCCCGGCGGCGGCGTCAACAGCGTCATCTACACCGGCGAGCACGGCGCCCAATTCCTGGCCGTTGCACACTAGTACGTCCCCTGTCCCCCCTCCCCCTTCCGATTTCCCCACACACTAAACCTGGGATGTATAGCGGCGGCTCGGCCCTCTCGACGTACGCCCTCCCCCTCACCACCAACGCGCAACCGCTCCAAGTCTTCCGCTTCACCTTTTCCGATGTCAATCCCAACCGCCGCCCGCAACAAGACGCCCCCCACCCCCACCAAGTCTTCCTCGACCCAACCGGGTCATTCATCCTGGTCCCTGACCTGGGATCGGACCTCCTCCGCGTCTACGGCATCGACAAAGCGACGGGCAAACTGAAAACCGACTGCACCGACCTGACCTACCCGACCGGCAGCGGCCCGCGTCACGGTCTCTTCTGGGAGACGGCTGACGACCACCACAGCATCCTGACCACCAACCTGCCCTCCCAACAACGCACGCAAACCCGTCGCAGTCGCGAGCGCCGCAGCCAGAACCAGGTCCAGCAGCAAGGCGCCGCCACGCTGTACACCGCCAACGAGCTCGACGGCCACCTCAAGGTCTTCGACGTCTCCTACGTCGCCGACGGGTGTCTTTCGTTCCGCCAGCGCCAGTCCCTTGTGCCCTACCCGACCACCAACGACTCCCTCCCCACCGGCGCTACCTTGGCGGAGATCCGCAGGGCCGGGTCGGAGGGGCTGTACGTCTCAGTGCGTTCCGATCACGGGTTCAAGCCTTTCGACAGCCTCGCCACGTTGACGCGCCACGAGAACGCAACTGTGGAGTTTGACAGGCTGAGTTCCGCGTACGGAACGGTGCCGCGGACGTTCGTGATCAACAAGGCGGGCGACCTCGTGGCGATCGGAGACCAGGCGAGCTCGAATGTGGTGATTGTGGCGCGCGATCCGGTGACCGGGGTGTTGGGCGAGAAGGTCGCGGATTTGCAGGTCGGGGAGCCTGGAGAGGTCGGGACGGCGCAGGGGTTGAGCAGTGTGATCTGGGATGAGTGAAAGGTTTTTTGGTTTGAGAGATGGTGTATAGTCAGTAGTGGGGTACATAGTCCAGATGCTCGTGCGATGTGAATAATAGCTTGATATAATATGAGGATGCTTTGCTTTTGTGTATACACCCGGAGAAACAGAACTCGTAAGGTGAGGACAGTAAAGTACAGTGCACCTCTGCACTGTACTCGTCTCTCGCCTAAGGGCTACAACCCCCTCCCATTCTTCTCAAGCACTTCCTCCCTCCACGTCGCCCTCTCCACCACCTTCCTCCTCTCGTCCCCTGCTAACCTCCATTCCATCCGCTGATGATGAAGGAGGTGTTAGGCTGGTGGTGTTAGTGGTCGCTGCTACCGCTTCCTTGCACCAGTTCCATGAGGAGGTAGATGCAGTGGTTAGGGCGTGGTGCATGTTCCGTTGGAAGATGACGGTTTGCTGCTCCGCTAGACTGGGCGATGCGCTTTTAGCCCGGAAGCCAGGCACCCACTCCATGACCCCCGAGAACAGCTCCAGCACCGGAACCACCTCCTCGCCCAGATGGTTCTCCTGCAGGATCCCGTTCATCACGTCCTCCAGCTCGCGCACCTCGCGCTCGTCCCCGCGCGGCATGTGCTTGCCGTACGCTAGGTTACAGATCTGACTGGCCGCGTAGCGCTGGAATCGCGCCGGAAACTTGCTCTCATCTGAGGTTTCCTTGTCATCCTCCGTGTTGATCAACTGATACACCAGCTGCGTGCTCTCCATGGCTTGCACCGCCTGGTACTGTTGGCTGACCTGGATAGTCGGCAGGGAGGTGTGCAGCCGGTGATGCGTCTTCCATTTCTCGGCAAAGAGCAGAAACATCGGCAGCAGCCCGTTGCTGACCCGATCCGCCAAGAACTGTAGTGCTGCCGCGCTTCTTGAGCAGCTCGTGCACTACCTCGTATGAGCCGAGGAAGATGATCTTGAGGCTGCCGAACCGCACACAGTAATCAGGCTATACTGATCGTGCCACTCCTTGATCAGGGCCTTGAACTCAGCCGGGAGGTCAAAGAGAATGCAGAGCTTCAGCCGTGTGTCTACACGGGTCTCGAAGAGCAGTATGAGAGACTGCTCCAGGCCTTGGAGCCATTGGGCTCGCTAGGATCAAAGGGCCCGCATTGGGGTTGCGGCGCGCAGAGCTGGACCAGCTGTACCGTACGTATCGGCAGGGCCCGAGAGACGTATTCAGCTTGGCTGGCTGATGTGGTAAGACTGGTGCATAAGCTCACGATCTTGCGAATAATTGTGGATGTAGTGCATTATTCGTGGATAGGAGACACGGGGGAGGTTAGATACTGTCCATGATGGATGAATTGGTCAACATTCACTCTCATGCGGACATTGTGATTCTGAAGCATTCATCTCTCATGTGTAGAACAAGTAAACACGGTCCTTGGAAGTCACCAAAACAGGGAAGACGTGGTGGTGGAAGAGAAGAAAAGAGGAAAAGAGGAGAAGCGTGGGACAATTATTCTGCCACTCCCTACCGCTATCCCACAGTCTTCCAATTCCTCCTCTTCCTTCTTTTTCATCTCGTCTTCCTCCCATTTGCCCAAATTTGCTCTGCTCTGTTCATGCGCTGGAAGTATTGCAGCAGCTGGATGACTAGTGTCACTCATTATTGCTCTCATCTTCGGACCATTCCCTTCTGCGTTCTAGTTTCGAAGCGATGCTGTCGTTTTGCGATCTGAAATCCTACCTCAAGACAGTCTATGGACCCACTTGGAGCGAGGATTGCAGATCTGCCCGGAAAAAATGCGATCCGCGGCTGTGACTGGAGGCCCGAGGGCGGGCTTCCATTTCCGCGCTGAATATGAGTCTGGAGCATGCGCTGGAAGTATTGCAGCAGCTGGATGACTAGTGTCACTCATTATTGCTCTCATCTTCGGACCATTCCCTTCTGCGTTCTAGTTTCGAAGCGATGCTGTCGTTTTGCGATCTGAAATCCTACCTCAAGACAGTCTATGGACCCACTTGGAGCGAGGATTGCAGATCTGCCTGGAAAAAATGCGATCCGCGGCTGTGACTGGAGGCCCGAGGGCGGGCTTGCATTTCCGCGCTGAATATGAGTCTGGATGATCCTTGGAACTGTCCCTGACTCTATACTCTATCTTTTAGCTGCCATACCCAGAACCTCGTCCAGCTTATCAAGGAGAACCAGGAGAACGGAGACTTCAAGCCTCTGTGGGTGAACACCAACAATGTCTGCACGCCTTGACTGGGGTCCATGTCAGCGTTGGTGGTTGTTCCATGAACCATCATCTGGTCCTGCCGACTCGTGGGGCGTGGCAGTAGCAGTTGTGATTGTGTTGATATCGATAAGTGGCCAAATTGACCAGCTGCTATCCTACGAAATAGACGCTAGTTAGAAATGAGATGTCCTATTCGGATCGCCCCAATGCGTCTCGAATACTCTGCAACTAGCATTCATCTGGCCCAAACTTTTCAACTGCAAGCAGGAGATGAGTATACAGAGCTACCAAACCACCAAACTGAACACAAGCTGGAGGGATCGACATCAGCTGAGCCAGTCTGCGTCAATCCAATCCCCACTCAACATGACGATCGCTTCTTTCAGCCCCACAAGTTCGTCTTTTTCTCTGATGGGCACCGATGCTCCGGCATGCGGAAAAGACATGTACCGATGACTTCAGCGCTTCACCCTCGTCTTCCGCTGACTAGCACCGTCCAGTAACCTATATAACTATCACCATCGTTCTGTGGCTGCAAAGAGCTTTCCTCCAGCTCTCTTCAACATTACCAACCCCAACGCCAAACCCTGAACCCTAAGGCAGACACAATGGGCAGGATCAACCCAGCCATCCCCCCCAACGACCCCCACACCCCACGCTGGCTCCTCGACCTCGAAGAATGGAGAATCCACCCCTACACCTCCATCCCGGCCGCCACCCTGGAAGCACACGGGTACGGCGTCGTCTCCTACACCTGGGGATACATTGTCGCCACTCCCGGCCAACCGGCCCCGAACCCCCCGGCAGGTCTCCTATGGGACGTCCCCACCGTGAGCGCCTGGCCGCTCTCCCGCGCCCGAGAGGTGATGCAGACGATCGGCACGCGGTACGTATGGTGGGACTGGATGTGCGTACCGCAGCGCGGGGAGGGGTTGCGGCCGTTGAGTCGGGAGTTGGAGGTTGTGCAGGCGGAGGAGATTGGGAAGCAGATGTATGCCACCCCCCTGTTTGTTTCCGTGGCTTTTTAGAGGGTAAGCGTTTTTCTCGCAAGACTGACCGACTGTTTTTTCTTTTCTGGGCGCAGGCATATCTACGGGAACGCGACGAAGAGCATCATCTGGCTCCACTCCACCAACTGGACGACAACCCCCGCCTCCGCTATGCAGGAACTCCTGCATCTTCGACTATACTACGACGAAGATACCGCCCCAGATCCAAACACAACTCCAACCAGCCTCCAAAACCACGCCAATCACATCGCCGCGCAGCTCGCCCTCGCGCACGAACAGGAACACTGGACGCGCTCCGGCTGGACCCTCCAGGAAGGCGTCCTGCTGCACGAGACAGACCTCATCGACGGACGCGGGGCGCGGCTGACGGATCTTACTTCTCCGGGGTACTTTCTGGGCGACCACGCAACAGTGGCTGATTTGACAATCCCCGTCACGCGGTTGGCGTTTGAACTGGCGATTGCGTATTTCATGCAGAGTCAGGGGTATGAGCCGGATGTGGGGGCGCCGGTGCCGAGGAACTGTGCTTTGCTGAGGCAGGTAGAGGTGGCGTGGTTGCGGGGGATGTTGACTCGGTTGCTGAGGTCTGGGTTTGTGGGGTATGCGAGGGAGAGTCCGCTGTATATCCTGGCGGGGAAGAAGGAGAGGAGGTTTGGGAAGGTGCAGGATTCTTGTTGGGCGTCGGTGGGGGCGTTGGGGGTCGAGGGGGTGGAGGTTACGTATGATGAGGGGGTCACGATGGAGGAGGTGAAGAGGAGGCTCTTGGTGCGGTTATTTGAGAAGTATACGTGGGCAATGTTGGAGTTGCCTTACTATGAGGGATGCTTGAAGGGTGATGAGGATACGGGGGATAGAGGGTTGAGGTGGACGGATGTGGCGGATGGGGTGTTATTGCCGGTTCATGTGTTTGCGATTGCACAGCAGGTTGCGCCGGAGGACTCGGTGACTGAGTTAGAGGGGCTGGTGCCGGTTTATACGGATGAGCATACGGTTGCCATTCGAAGCAATATGGAGGGTAAGAGGGTGAGGTTGTACAAGGCGTCGGAGGAGGGCAAGGCTTGGTTTAGGCATTACCGGCAGGATGAGGATGGGTTGAGGATTGTCTCGGCGGGGGATACGATGCTTCAGGAGGACGAGGTCCTGGCTGATGCGTGGTTTCTGCCGCTGCATCATGTCAACATGAGGGCTGGAGTGTTGGGAAGACGATGTCTGGTAGTGACTGAGCTAAAAGGAGGACTCGCTTCTGGAGGGCCGACTCAGGCGGTCTTTGGCGGGAATATCGATATCAGGAGCCTTGGACCGGAGCAGGTGGCGGTCGATGAGCTTATTCTACATGCAAGCTCTGATTGAGTGGAATATGGCTCTGTCTGTGTCGGACTGTCTATAATCTGCCCTAAGCGATACGGACAGAAGAGAACCGGAGAGTCGGCGGCCCAAGCGAGGGTTTATCGTGTGGATTCAGCGATGTATGTAAATATTAACCACGTCATCGCACCAGAACTACTACGCAAATGGACCCTAGGCGTGGTCTCTGACTGAGATAACCCTAACTCTACCGGGCTTCAAGACCATGTACCAGGGCGTATCACTTGCTTCGCACTCCGCAAAAGCACTGCCAACGGTTCTAGAGGTTGCCGGTTCTTTGTCTGAGGCCATCTCTATACTACGGAGTATGCCCTGGAGAACTCCTGCAGCGATGTGAAAGCAGAAACCATCACAATGCAAATCAGCACTAGGCTCCGTCGAAATTATCCTCTCCCTTTTCATTCAATGGATGAACAATCTGGTGGTGGACACCCTCTAAAGTTTGTCGGATCTTTGTCTGTGGCAATATCCATACCCTTTGCCCGGAAGAACTCCAGTGCTCCTTTGAAAGCAGAACTAATTACAATGATAGCGAAGACAAGACTCTGCAGGTATTCCCCTCTTGATTTCATTCACCATATGAACTTTTCCGAATCAACCAGGTTTCTCCTCAACTTATTTCAAGGAGAACGTATCTTTAGTACCAGACATCCAGTCCTCCCTTCTTATATAAAGAGCGCCGAACCTCCCAGCAGAAGCTTTCTCCAACCCACTCCATCAACACCGCAAAAGTCGATCATCCAGTATCGACATCTCAAACTCGCCCAACCACACCGACAAAAATTCTGTTAGGATTACACGCACAATCTTCACCTGGCAAGGATGAAATTCAATCTGAGCTTGGCACTGGTAGCCGCCTGCCTAGCTACTGGCGCGGTCATCAACAGCCCCCTCACCCAAGCCGCCGTCACTACTGGGGTGAGCTCTGGTACCCAGGTTGATCCCAACGGTGATGGCCGCGGAGGGTATAATATGCTCGACGCTAAAGCCACCGTCACTACTGGGATAGGCTCTGGTACTCAGGTTGATCCCGGTGCTGATGGCCGTGGAGGGTATAATATGCTCGACGCCCAAGCCACCGTTACTACTGGGGTAGGCGCTGGTACCCAGGTCGATCCCAACAATGATGGCCGCGGAGGGTATAACATGATCGATGCCACTGCTAATTTCACGGCCCTTGGCTATTAATGACCACCAGCATTCTGCTGAACCTCGTGGTCGCGGTGGTTCCAACGTGGTTGGTGAGAATGTCACTCCACTGTCAAAGCCCCTCTTGGGTGAATGGATGTAATTCCCATGATAATGCTATGGGTTGTCGCACGATCAAGCATGGTATCTCATGAACAAAAAGCAAAAGAAAAAAGCTTAGCTGAGTCTAGATAAATATGAACAACTTTGTATCAAACAAAACCTCGAAATGTTACGCAACAAGTAGAAAAGTACAACCGGCAAGACTATGCCGCTGCCGAGTTGACCCAGTGGTCCAGAATCCAAGGAGGATACACAGAAAGAAGTAGAGAACAGGAAGGATCAAGCTTCAGTAAACCTCGAGATCCACGTCGTATCTGTCTAAATGAGCGATAATACCACCCTTGTAAGAAACATGGCGAGTGAGCCCATACTTTCTGTGGGGAGAGCGCTGTGAATGGTTGGAAACAGGACGATCAGTGAATTGGGGATATCTCAGTTGCGCTACTATGTGATGGTGGCAAATAAAAACAGGTTCTTCGATTAGCTGGTGCTGTTTGAATCTGTACAAGAGTTTCAGGGAAAACTGCCAGCTACTGAAAATTCTCTGTTCGGAAGACAGGTATAGGGTAGCTTCCGGCCCTACCCTAAGAGCACGAATGAGAATCCTGATAGGCAATGGGACGTTGCTTTCGGAATCTAAGGGGGTTTTGGTTCTTTCTCTGGCCATGAGAGCATTGCGTTAACCATAAATGCAATAAAAGGACTGTTACATGTCTAAAATGGAGCACTAAAATGGGAAATCTACCATTCCCAAATTATGGATAATGAAAGCCAAAGGTCAGGATGAAGAAAACCTAACCCCAGCTTTGGACAGTACCGTGTGTAGAAAATAGAAAATCATCCACGGCAGCCTCAAGATTCTGCTACTTTCTTCAGTCGTGGCGGTCGATTGTCCGACATACGGTGATGTCACGCACGACACGTCGGCCTTGAATCCCGGGGAGCCCCTCCCATGATTCTCTCTGCCATCTCCATACTAGTATCTGGATGATCTCGTGATTTATGGTTGTGATTGCACGAAATGAGCCTACCAGCAATACTGCCCCCTGCTAAAGCACTACCATCGCGACTAGCGACCATGCCGGCATGTCCGGCCTCAACCTCAACTCCCTCCAACAGAAGATCAGGGAGCAACGCGACATAAACGCCTGCAAAAAGTGCACCAGAAGCATAAATCTCAGTGGCAGCCCGTCCAAGGCTTAGGATCTCAGGCCTCATGGAGTTCGTGCGATATTAAATATAGCATCATTGATCAACAAGAACATTACACCAGGTGCAATCTGATATGCTCTTATAGGTACATGGTCAGTGACAATCACGATGTGTCGAGATTGCTTCTCTTCCAATACTCAGCGAATCAGCCCAACAAGCGTCCCATTTCTCGAACAAAGCGTTAGGCCCCGGCTCTCTTCCCACGGTCCATGATCTCGACTCTCCAGCCTCCGGAACTCTTGAACCATTCGAACCAAGACATAGCTCGCTTCAGTCAAAGCATACCGCTGACCGATACAGATGCGGGGGCCGCCATTGAAGGGCAGATACCCCCAGCGCAGTTGCCGCTGCAATGTGCCATCCTCCCAGCGCTCGGGGCGGAACTCGTTAGCATCTGGACCGTACAGGTCGACCCGACGATGCATGGCATAGACGCTGTAGGCGACGAGGGTCCCTTTGGGAACGAATGCCGGGAAAAGGCCGTCTTTACCGCCGCCCAGAGGCAAGACCGTGTCCCTCGTAGCTTCACGTTGGTTGCGGGGAACAACAGGGTGGAGACGGAGGGCTAGGAGAGTGGGTTTAGCACGACACGCCACTGGAAAGAGAGAAACAGTTGTACGTACACTCCTTGATACAGCACTCCACATACTTGAGCGAGTTGAGCTCCTCATAGGTTGGCGGCCGGTTCTGCAAGAACTCAACCTCCCGCCGCAGCTTGGCCCAGATAGCAGGGTTCTTAGCCAGCATGAAGAAAAGATTCCCCAGCAGACTGGCGGTAGTGTCACGTCCTGCGAGGAGCACGCTCATCAGTTCATCCAGAATGCGCTCTTTATCCGACGTGCGCGACGCTAGCTCATGCGAGAAGACGCGCTTGCCCTTCGCTGAGCCTGTCTCGCTAGTCTTCTCGCCACCACTCTTCTGTCTCTGCGATTGCTGGGTGGCTTCAACCGCCTCGTCCACAAACTGCCGCACAAAGTCCCGACACATACGATTACATTTCTCGGCTCTGCGGTCTCGGTAGATAGCGTTCAATGCGCCCAGCATACCTCGAACGAGGACTGCTCTCTGTGCGTACGCAAAAGCCTCCGCAAAACCAGTCGACTTGTTCTCGCTCTGCTCGTTCCTCAGAGTGTGGATGGATTTTCCAAACAGAAACCCCGTCGCGGAGTCGATCGTGTACAAGAAAAACAATTCCTGCAGATCCACCGTGCGTCCATCTCGCGGCAGCAACGCTAACAAGTCCTGAATCAATTCCTCCAGCGCGCTTAGATCAGCGATGACCTGGTCGCGGGCGAAACTCGGTCGGATCAGCGCACGCGACGCAGCCCAGTGCTCGCCGTCAGTGTTGAAGATACCTTGTCCCAAGAGCGGTTTGAAAGGCTCGAGACGGTAGCGAAGACTATAGTCTTGGAAGTTTATTGAGAGGATGGTTTTGATATTTTCCGGCTCGATGGTTAGGATCATACTTCTGTGCAGCTCGCGATTAGTGAATGTGTTGCCATAGACGTGGAAGAGCTCGCGGTTGCGCTCTAGAATGCGATGCTTTTGGATGGCCCGGATAGTACTGGGCAGTGTATCCAGTCCCAAAAAGGGGTCCTTGTTGAAAGATTTGGCGATGGGTTGGCAGCCGTGACGACTGGTGAAGTGGCGGCGCTGGCGGAAACGCTGGATGCAGAAGACCAGGTGCAAGCTGGTGTAGACAAGCGCACCAACTAAGAGAACCCAGATACTGGGGGGGAAGTCCATGATTGTTATCGTCCTGGAAGATGATGAGGGGTCAGCAGTTGCTCAACTTGATGTTGTCGTAATTCAGGCAGAAGTTATAGTGAGGCCATATTAGTCACGTGCAAGCCCTAGTCTCGGGCTTACGAGCGTCTGATAAAGCAGAGAATGCATGAAGGATATAGTGCTTGTATGAGATAGACCATACGTTTTGTGGTGTTGAATCCCCTGATCCTGATAAAGAGTTCCCATTTAGCCTCTTTCATGAACTGCAATGTCCGGATTAATTCTATCTCATGAAACAAGTGCTATGCTTGCTTTTGCGCACCTCAGTAAATCTGATACCATCTTCCTGATAAGCGGCAGGATTCCGGCTAGAATGGGCTCACCAATGCATTTGCCTATGTAATAAAACGTCAGCACTAAACAATCCAAGTGCTTATTCTTGACGAATCATCTCGAAGGAAGAGTCGATGGTACTGATTCTCTGTGCTGGACATCCCGATGGCTGATGTCGTCAAGACCTGGTGGGAGCGTGCCAATGGTATGGCAGATCTATACACTCCAATGTGCGATTTTTCAACCTGTTTGCCCTGCCAAATGGATCCAACGGTTCCCTCTGCCTTCTCGAATGGAAAAAAAGAGTCAATCAAGTCAGAGTCGATCAAGTCATCCGGTCTATCTTCCTAGCTCACCGAGCAGCACAGAAGTCTTCCGTGTCATCTTTAGACCCGGCATTTATCCCCCTTGAACACGCACATTAGCCACGGAGCCCGTGATGGGGCGTTAGGAGTCAGTCTCCAGTTCACCTCAGAATATCCGTCGATCAATAATGATCGGAACCGACTCAGCCAGGTCTTGCGGGTTCTGTTCATCCAGGTACTCATCCCTTCAAGTGCTGACCATGCTGTGACACCCGCGCAAAGAGTTGTTGCCGCACTAACCCAATCCAAATACGCTGGCTCCGACATCATTTTTGCCAGCATCGAATACGAACATACATATGGTGTCCCAGGAAATGTTCTCATCATAGTAGACCCTCTATGCTCTCGTAATTGCTCGTAATTGCCCGTGTCCACAACTGACTTGCTGAGATGACTTTGCCTAGCATCTTCGACGAGAGGGCCGTAGGTGATTGATTGATCGTGCAGATGGTCGCAGAAGATGCAGTGGAGGGCATTGGGCTCAAGATCTATCAGATCGGTGGTCTGATGTGAGCGGGTTATACGGTTGTCCCGCTGGATCTTACAGCCGCTTGTTTGTCGCAACACTACCAAGAATGCATATGATGAAGACTGTTTCAGTCCGGGTACTAGATCAAAGCTTCGCGAGTTAGCATTACTGAAACACTTAGGTTTGCCAGGCATCCCTGCATACCGGCCTGAACCCACCGAGATCTGTGCTCTTATACCCTCGTTTTCGGCCTCACGCTGCTTAGGAAATCGATCTTTTATTTACCTTGATATTCAAGCCCTCCCTCTTGCTAAGTTGGTGAGTGACCTTGTCGAAGCACGATGTCGTCATTCAAATGCATTGTTATGTGGCCTGCAATGTGTTGCGCCCAAAGGGCAGCCATGCGCGATGCCCGCTTCTCGTCATGCATATATAACCCTAACTTACACGACCTCGTCACCCCGCGTTCACTCCACCACTGCATTTCTTCTCCTTCTCAGCATCACCTTCCATTACCTGATTAAGGTCAACAGCAACCACTTCAACTCCAAGGAAAGATGTCGTTCCACACTTCCTGCCAGAACATCAAGCTCATCAAGGAGGAAGGTCGCACCATCCTCCATGCCGAGGTCCGCCGCCGGAACAACGAGATGGTCGCATGCACGTTCCCGCTGGACAGACACATTGGCAACTACAACGGTACGTCGCAACTTGCTACCTTGTCTCTGTGCCCCGATCGACGCGTACGTCGGCTGAAACTCCGAGTCCATGCTAACGAGCCCAACATCACAGGCGGATTCCAGTGGGGGGGCCATGACTTCACCCACAGCGCGCGCGACATTCAGCTCGAACAAACCGAACGGGGGCCGAGACTGACTGCTTTCCTCAAGGGCCATGACGGGGAATGCCGGGAGTTGCAGGGGCTTTACCTTGCGGATCGGATCTCCAACCAGGATGGCAATCTGGTGTACTTGGTAGGTCGGAATCACCCGCGGGAGAAAGTTAGGTACTAACGGTCGGTAGGATTGACGGATTCACTACCTAGCCAGCGGAAACAGAGCAGATGATGTATGTAGCAGGCAGCTGACGTAGATAATGGCATGATTTGGTCTCGAGATTGTTGGGATTCGTGGAGTAAGACCAGTACAATGGATGAGGGTTGTACTATTCCCGGTTCATGACCAACATGCTTGGAGTGATGCGTGGACTGAATATCTCTGTCGAATTCGATCTTCGACCTATGGACGTAGACTGGGGACGAAGGACGCTTTGTCAGAATTGGATTTCAGCCCGGCTGCAGCTGTCAACGAGAATCAGGGTCAATTGAAAACTAGGCTGACAACAATCATATAACGATTGTATCATATTGAAGCAGCAGTATGTCAGTTAGAGATAACGGAATGCTAACTGCATGTCGGAATTACGGGGGTATGTCCGCTGGGAATCACACATCGCAAGGCTCTTCGATGGGAGCTTAGATGTAAGCGTGCACACTGGTTTTTCAGGTCCTAACCACGATCACGATTGATGGGACATCGTACTCAACTCTCATAGGCAGTGTTCGGAATTGTGCTTCGCTTCCCCCTCCACAGAAGCGGATCTTCATTCCGCATGACGAATTACACAGAACTGTGAGCTCGTGGATATAAAGCCACCGCTATACCCCCCATGAGGCACAATCTGAATCTCAAGGAGAAAATTTGAATCTCAAGGAGAAAAGGGTGCAAAAAAAAAGGAAAGGAAACGTCTACGTACACATTGTCCGAGAGAAAGGTAAGTTAGAGCAGCCCGTCCAGCAATCAATGGTTTGACCGCGAATAGAGAATCTATCACAGTTGGAAGTCGTTTGAAGCATGGGAGGAACATAGGGAAGAGGTGATCGAGTGAGTTTACATCACCTTCGCAACACAAAAGTCCCGACATTGCTAACCCAGGCATACATCAGAATCGTCAAAAAGGACACGGGGACCGATCTCTGGCCTTGTAGTCGATCTGTACCCCCACCTGCTTTCCTCCGTAAGTGCGCACTTGACTGGCTTTTGGCTTCGCGGCTGAGTGCTTTCACTAGACCGTTAAGTGAAGAATGCATCAAAAAGCTCAGGGAAGTGAGTCACGACCTTATTATCCGTGAGATGAGCGATTGATGGATGGCCTGGGCCGCTTGTTCTGGATTCACCATAAGAATTCTTTTCTTAGGAAACCATCGCGTGTCACCTACAAGTTTTAATCTTGTAGCAATGATTTTTTTTCTTAAACCAAAAGAAAACATGCTGTTTGTGTAAGCTAGTGGTGGTTCTGTGCTATAGAGTACTGGGCCTCAAGCAAGATACTCCCAGGGCTTGGAGACGTATTGGACAGCGGCAATAGCCGACACTCTCGGAGCACAACCACTAAGAATGGCTAGTGTTTACCTGAACGAGGCTCGCTGGGGACGGGGAGATCCCTGATAAAGACAAGCAAGGGCATAATAGTGCTTAGATAGGAATAGTGCAAGGGGTTGAATGCGACACTCCACTTTTACGAGGTTTATATTTACCCCCGCTTCCAATCAATTGCCTCACCATCGCCCACATCTCTTGATCAAATGACTCTCCACCGAACTATCATCGTTTAGTTCCTGGGAATAGGAGCTAACCATCCATTGGTGCATTAACAACGCTTGTTGCCCCTTTGTACCTAGGCTTCAGACTGGCTACCAGTTTAAATATCAACATTGCCCGTGCCTTCGGCACGTCCGTTCCCCAGCTGACAGTCTCCGCTGGCTATCAACTCATCATGCAGCTCGCCTTCTTCGGGGCTTCTGTCGCCCTCTTGGTTCCCACTGCCCTAGCGGTGGCAACTACAACCACCACCTCGACTACCACCTCGACTACCGCAGCAGCCAGCTGTACAGCCTCCCTCATCACCACGCTGTGCAGCTACCCCGAACCCGGCGATGACTTCGCCGTCGCGGAAGACAGCACAGCCTCCTGCTGGGACTACTGCCACGCGAACCCACCCTGCAGCTTCGTGATCTTCGCCGCGGGCAACCCTACTCTGGACAGCGGCACCTGCTGGCTGTACCCCGGTGAAACCTACAACGCAAGCGCGGGGAGTTCCGACTGCACCAACCCCTCCCTCTCCGTCTACAGCGAGCCCGTGTGCAGCAGCGGGAGCGCAACCAGCACCGCAACCACCCCCACAGCCTCCGCCTGCGCCGCCACCGCGACTCCCACCGCGATCGCCTCCGGCTGCGACTACCCGGCCCCCGGGGACTGTTTCGATGGCTGTGTGGCGAGCACCGGGGCGACGAACTGCTTGAGCCTCTGTGCCGAGGCGGAGGCCTGCAGCTATGTGGTTTTCAATCCGCACAATGACGACAACTCGCCCTACGCCGCGGGCACTTGCTGGATCTATCCCAACGGGACATTTGATGCGAGCTCGCTGTCCACCTGCAGTGGCGATGCGGCGCAGTATGTGTACGATAATGTGTGTCCCAAGGCTTCCTCGTCGGGTTCCTCGTCCAAGGCTTCCTCGTATGTTGCGGGAATTATGAATTATACGGAAAATTTGAACATAACCGCGAGCACGGCCACGGGGTCTAATAGCTCGGCGACTACGGGGAGCGCTGCGGGCTCGACTGGAACCACTGAGAATTCTGCGTCTGGGGGTTTCTCGCTCCCGGCCTCGTTGGCTGTGGGCGTGGCGCTGTTGATGTGGCAGGCTATTTGTTGAGGTTTGGCGTGGTGGGGGGTGTGATTGAGCTTGGCTGACAGTAAGCGCTGTTTGACGGAGGTTATGGGCTCAGTGTGAGGTTGTGTTGGGTTCCTTGCGAATCGGAGCGGCAGGAAGTCTCCGAAAATGATATGTTTGAAGATGAAGAGCAGGTTCTTACAGGTATTGGAGTACTCGGGTAGATGGGGCTAATCACGGTATTTGTATAAGACGCTGAGGTACAAAATAGCTTAAGCAGGTACGAAAAAAGGATCACGATACAAGATGCTCTAAATTCCACGCCGCTAGTTCTCAGGGATACTAATGGAGCAAAGATTTCGGGAGGCTGAACCGGTGCATAAGAGCAGTCGAGTGTCAGGTCGGGTTGCACGATGACTGGCCAGTAGACCTCTCAATTCATGATTCTTTCTCAGGCATTACTCCTAAGATACTCCGTCTGGTTATATGAGTCTTAGGACACAACACGGGCTGTGCTGGCAGCGAAACCCTAAGGCTGTGCACCAAAGCCGTAGCCCTAATTATCACGGCATGTAGACACAATCCGTACTACGAAGCAACCAGGACATCAAGACCACAATCCAAGTCTGTAGCCTCTAGCCTTATTTGATGCCGATTCACTGGAGCTGGAGCGCGAACATGCAGTGTCTTAATATTGTGGATCACAGCAGACATGAGGGCACATGATCTGTAGTTATACGGAGCTGAGGACTACCATAGTCTAGGCATTGGACAATTCACCTGCAGCAACGGAAACACAGACATGTTCAGCTTCCGGCGATCGGTGGACTGTGCAGCCCCGTGATCCTGGCCATTAGCCACCGCGATTGGCTGCATGGGAATTCTGGTCCCACGGTCAGAAGCGATAGAGTGGAGCCTGCGATGGAGAAATTCGGGCGATCGGCCACTGCGGCTGAAGATCTTCAAAAAGACCACAATCGACTTTCATCATGCTAGCACGATCGGATCGGATACTTGAATACTTAATCTCACTGGATTATCGCACAATTTTCTAAAACTCAGAGTGGAATTGGGAGCTTCCTCATCTCTCCAGAGGATCCGTCATGGCAGATCACCCACCCAAAGGTAAGCCAGGGTTTCTTCTTCCTAGCCCTTTCACCCTCTACTCACCACTCACTTCCAAGTCTGGGCCTCCCTCATCACGAACCTCAACTACCTCCCCGGTCTGTTGACGCTGGCCCACTCCCTCCAGCAGACCAAGACCGCCTACCCCTTCGTCGCCCTCTACACCACCTCCTTCCCCGCGGAGGGGATCGCCGCCCTGCGCGCACGCGAGATCCCCGCGCGACTGGTCCCCACCGTCATCCCCGCCGCGCCATGCACCTACACGCACGACCCGCGCTTTGAAGAAGCGTGGAAGAAGCTGGTCGTCTTCTCGCTGTACGAGTACGACCGGGTGGTCCTGCTGGACAGCGACATGCTGGTCCGCCAGAACATGGACGAACTGATGGAGGTGGCGCTGGACGGAGAGAGGCAGGTCTTTGCGGCGAGCCATGCCTGCGCGTGCAACCCGGCCAAGAAACCGCATTACCCACGAGAATGGTATCAACCCTCCTTCTTTTTTGCTATGCACCCACCCCACCCAATTTCCCATACTCATTTGAGAGAGAGGTAGGGCCCCATCGAACTGCGCCTTCACCCCGCAACACCCCGACCCCGATCGCGCACAGCACACGGGGGCGGCCGCCACGGCGGGGGTGGCGATGCTCAACAGCGGGCTGCTGGTGGTCCAGCCGCGCGAGACGGACTTTGTGGCGGTGCAGACGGCGCTGCAGGACGGGGAGCGTGTGCGATCGTATGCGCTGGCGGATCAGGAGTTTCTCTCAGTGGTCTTCCGCGGCAGGTGGCGGCCTTTACCCTACGTGTATAACGCGTTGAAGCCGATGCGGGGCCCGCAGGGGACGCATGGGCCCCTGTGGCGCGATGAGGCGGTCAAAAACGTGCATTATATTTGGGCTGTCAAGCCGTGGCAGCTCTCGCAGAGGGAGCGGGAGGAGTCGCAGGATGCGCCCACGCACTGGTGGTGGGCGGCGAATGAGGCGCGGTGGTGTGGGGAGGAGGCGAGGGGAGTGAGGGATGGGTGGTAGGGCTGCTCTGATGCTTTGTTTCCTGCTGGTCTTCATCCTAGGGATTAATTTCGTGGTTGAGATGGATTGATAGTGGAAGCGGATAATTAGAACCGCTTGGCTATTCAAGCAGTGCGCCAGCCGGTGGACAGATAGTCAGTCATCTTCACTACTAATTATTTACAGTGGGTTGGTGATTAGAAGCTCCAAATAATCTAGTTCGCTCTCTGGTGATGTAATATATGCAGGATGCAGTACAGGGTAACAATCTTAACCAGACAGTTTTCAATACACACGATCCTTAGGGTTGTCATCAGGTGAGCCCCAATTTGCCTCGAGAACATCGAATGTGCGGACGGCATGCATCCCAGTGTAGATTCATCTGATTCATGAAGAACATAGACACCTGCTAAGTACGAAGGTGACTGCTATGATGAATGGTCCATTAAGCATACGACTACGACGGGGTGTTGAGGAATATATATGGCACAGTGGGATTGTAAACCCAGGCATCATGTGAATGGACGGATCACGTACTGTCCAATGTAGATCATCTTAACACATCACCAATGATAGTCCCTACCTTACGGGCACACCTCTATCAATTCATCATTGCACCTGGAAATATGCATCAGTCGGGAGGCAGATTCAGCCGTGGCTGCCCGCAGCCGGCGGACCCACTCGACGCTACGCTCGATCATCGCAGCACAAAAAAAAAAGAAAAGCAAATGGCAAACTGATTGGGTGATTCTGGACCAGCCGGGCTTTTGTGGTTCCCTCCTCAATTGCATTCCTGGTACCGATGCTCGAGCTCCCGCCCAATGGGACAACCGCGGTGGATGCAATAGTTGTATCCCCATTTTTGAGCGCGGAAGAGCCGGCACTGAAGTGGCAAAAGATTGTCCCTGACTCCACATGATGTCCAGGAAAAACAGAAAAAAAAAAAACCCCCCTTGAGCGCGATTGCGTACATTCCCAATTATAAGAAACATCTAGTATGATCACATACTTTGTAGTCTACATGGTTCGTAATCTACATCACCGAGGCTCCTCATCCGGCGCAGTCACCACCGAAAATTCCACCTGCTTCTGGATCCCCCCCTCGACACTGGGACTGTGTCCGCCAGCACCAGACGGCGGCCGATGAAGGTCCTTGAGGATCTGCTCGATACTATCCGCATCGTCGCGCTGGCCGGACGCCTGTCGCTCGTAGTGGTGGCCCCCCGGGTGGGACTCCTTGCCCTTGAGATAGGGGCCGGACAGTTCGTAAGACCGCGACCGTGCGGCGGAGGAGAGCTTCTGGACCGAGGATATCAGCAGCGGGCGCACGCAGGGCACCGAGGAGGTGATGATGATGATCAGGTTCTCCGCGAAGCCCCAGCGGATGAGCTCGACGCCGCCCGAGGCCCCGATGTTGGTGACGCTGGGGACGTCCTTCAGTTTGGTGGTTTTGATGATCGAGGCGATCATCGCCCTGCATTAGGTGTCAGTGAAGGGAGTAGACATTTTGAGAGTATATACAGTATTACTCCGAAGGGCTTGTCCCTTCAGGGGGAGGGGGGAGGGGTCCACCTACACGAGACCGAGACTCAGCAGCACGATCAAACTAATCTTGATGCGGAGTCGCAGGTTCAGATTCCAGAAGACGATGGTGGGGAAGAGGGCGAGGAAGAGATCGGTCGCGGTGTTGACGGCTGTATGGATGGTGTTAAGTTAGCTGGGGAGCTCTTCAGGGCTAGCATAGCAACAGGCAGGGCAAAACGCACAGGATGAGAAGTACGAGAACCGGACAACCGCAACGACATCGCCGCAGGTAGTCTGAATGTCGGGATTCCACAGAATGCGATCGTCGCGACAGATGCTCAGCGGAAGCACCGCAGACACAATGTTGGCGGCCAGCTGCAGTAACATCGCAATCCAGAGCGCGATCGCGTACTTCTTGTTGCCCCCCAGGATCCCCAGCAGGTACACCACAAAGGAGGAGCGCGCGATCCCCGTGCTGATCGTCACCAGCGGCACCTCCAGGGCGATATATTTCAGGATGTGCTCCACATTCTTGGTCGGGAGGGTCAGGAGGTCGGAGCCGAAGCCATTGCGGACGGAAAGCGTCAGGAGCACCGTCGAGGACAGAGTCAACCCCTAGCAGAGGAGAATGGGGAGGTCAGAAAGGCGCAGGGCCGCCAGAAAACAGATGGATATGGCTCCATACCCAGGAGATGAACATCAGTGCATCGTCAACATACAGCTGGCGAATCTTGACCTTCGCCGCAACACGCAGGATGAAGACCACCGTCGCAATGGCAACCGCCGTCCACATCCCTTTCTCCAGGGCTGAGCCGCCGGGATTCTGCATGGTTTGATGGTCAGACCAAGAGGATAGGGGTGGGTGAAACGGCGACGATCCCTCGAGCGGACGGGATCGCCATGGGAGTTATATTTGTTCTTCCCTCGCGTTGGCGAGCCCAAAATTAGACTTTTAGGCACGAGTCCAGCAGACATGGATCGAGAATTGGCGATCTCTTAACCCAGATTTAGTCGGGTGTGCGGCTTTCGTCGGATGCAGGGCTGGTTTTTAAGGTGGGGACGCTCATTATCGAGACCAGCCCCGGACAGGGTATCAAGGCGTCTCCAGCACGCACAATCTCGCCCCGTGGTGAGATTTGCAGTTTTCTGCAGGCTGCAGATACTTTACGCCATCTCGATTGAGGTCAACTACCGAAATCGACTCGTTACTTCGACTGCGCGAGCCAACGGGCAGGGTTTTCGCGGGTCCAAGCTCGTCCAGCGGAGCTCCACCTGGCGAGGGATAAACTTCAATGACCCGGTGGAGCAGCCATGTCTGCCGAAGTTTGGGTGAGCAATAGATTATGATTGGATCGATGAGGCCAGTTCCAGACTTGAGCGAGGGGAATGCTGAAATTTGAGCAGCAGCCCTCCGAGGGCGTCCCGGGGGCTGGGCGGGGGGTTCCCGCTGTCTCCAGCCCTAATCATCCACACGGGCCAATCCAGGGACAGACGAGATTGACTTTCCAGCTGGCTGGTTCACTATCGAAGTTGGGTTTGGTACCTGATAATACTCTCTCTCCCATGGGCACAGGTCAAGTGGCGAACTGTTCGGGTGATGTAGTCCCGTGGTGAAAAGGACACCCGCACATCGGAACTGCAATTATGAGTCGTCGGCAGTCCGCCAGGGGACTGGATTATAGACGATTTTGCCCTTGAGTCATCGGATGCAACGGCTGTTCCTCCTCGAAAAGCAGGATTGGGAGCGAGCAATGAGATCCTGTAGTTAACATCTCACCCAAGATTCTTCCACCACTGGCGGAATCTGGTTCCGATGGCCAAAAGCAATGCGAGCCAGGCACTCCACGCCACCAGGGAAGATCCAGAAATTAGTCTGGGATCTCGGAGGAAGTTACCATGAGAGACAAACAAGCATTTCCCTGATCAGCTTGTCTTCTAGTCACTAGAGATCCCAGTGTTCTAGCCCGCGAGGATGATGAATCGTTATGCTAGCTGGCTCTGCTGTCATCGAGGATACTCGACCTCCATACAAGACCCTAGTGCTGTGCAGTAGCGGGTCAGACGAGTTCTTGTCAAATCACGCATGAGGCTGGCAGAAGCACGGAGATGTGGATCAATGACTATTTCTGATCGCGGAGACAGCGCGCCAGGGATTGGACTCAGAAAATCCTTTTGCCGCAGATTAAGCAAGAGTTACTACCATTGGAGTCTCCTTTTGGTATCATTGGACGTCCGAGTTAGCTTTGCATGTGTTGTGGGGGTAGGGGATCGGGTGTGTCCACGTCTCGGTGATATACGGTCCTGAATGGCTTTCTCTACGGACTCCATAGCTGCAAAACACAACCCATCTGGTGTCATAGCCAATTCAAAAACTATTGGTGTGATTATATCAAATAAGAGAAAAGAGGATTATCTACAGCAAACATCCAATCGAAAACAACGAAACAAAACCAGCCAACACATTTTCACATCAACAAACCGCAACAGGCGCCACCTGCTCCCAATTCTCCAAGATCTCCCTCACCCGCGGACTGCCCGAGATCTCCAGCACCTGCTCGAAATAACTCTTACTCAACTCAAACGGCCGGGCCGTGAGGTTCGGAATGTACTTCCCGATCAGCTTCTCCGGCCGCACCATGTGCTCGGGGATGGCCTTGCAGAGACTGCGACGGAAGGTGTCGACCCCCGGACGAAGCAGACTGCTGTGGAAGGGGACGTTGACTTTCAAGGGGATGGTGGCCTTTGCGCGCTGCAGCTCCAACGGGGTCGGTTTGGTGTCGGTGTGCGCGAGGCAGTCCCGCACGATGTCGGGGATGGCGGCCTTGAGGGCTTCCATGGAGGTGAGAAGCTTAGGGTGGGCGACGAGGTGGTCGATGACGCCTGCGAGGCAGTCCAAACTTCGGAGCTGTTGGTGAAAGGGTTAGTCCTGTCTCTGGGGGCTTGACCCACGGGGGTCAGGGGGTTAGGGCACGTACATCACCAGCACAGACATATTGCGTGGACTTCACGTTGAAGTTGACAATCTCGCACAGTCCTCCGGTGGCGGATTCGACGGCCTTGACGATGTCGCAGAGATCGGATTCTTTGAGATCTGCGTCTATGGATTAGTACTGGAGGGTTTCGTGCAATCGACACCAGACCAGGGCACACATACTCTTTGACACCCGACTCGGGTTCGCAGCCACCATGGAATAGTCCCGGCCGGAGTGATCCAACTCGATGGACTTCTGCATCGTCAACCCCCGATAGAAGACGGTTGCTGTCACCCCCTCGAAGGTGAAGATCTCCCCCATGGCCGCCAGTGCCGAGTACTCGCCCAGCGAGTGGCCCGCATAGCAGCTGTCCTCGTTGATCAACCCCCGTTCCCGCATGTCTTCAATGCGCGCCAGCTCCATGAGCACCAGCGAGGGCTGCGTGAAGATCGTCTCATGCAGCAACCCCCCCGTCGAGGTGTAGGTGAAGGAGCGGGTGGTCGGGGTGATCTCCTTGAAGGCGCGCACCGACTCGATCGCCCCCTGGTCATTGACGACCTCGAAGTCCAGCGCAATGTAGTTATCCCTGATCGCCTTGCCCCGACGGCCCCCGAAGTGCACCGTGTACTCCTTGGGGTTGTGGCGCACAATCTCCAGGATCGAGACCCCATACGTGTTCACAAAGAACCGCTCGGCCGTGTCCCAGACATGGCGCGCCGCCGCGCTCGTCTCGTACAGATCCATCCCCATCCCGGGCTTCTGACTCCCCTGGCCCGTGAACAGATACGCCCCGGGCTTCTGCGCCACCTCGGCCGTCGCCCGGAAGACCTCGACCCCGGACGCGGCGGACCGCGCGCTGGCGACGACCAGCAGCCGGCCGCGGTGCATCCCCGTGTGCTGCAGCTCCACCAGCAGCGTCTCCCCGGGGGTCACCTTGCCCTTGAACGAGGCCGACCAGCTCTTCATCCGCGTCGGATCGTTCTCCGCCGCGTGCAGCTCGACCAGCCCCCGTACGAGCCCGCTGGTCTGCATCCCGTGCACCACCCGGCCCTCGTGGCCCGCGTACCGCGCGAAGGCCCGCGACAGGTGGATGGGGTTGCTGTCGCCCGAGGCGGCGGCATACGCGGTGCTGGAGTGCGGCATGACGAGGGGCAGGTCCGTCGCCAGCGGGACGGCCGTGGGGAAGGGCTTGACCTCCGTCGCCACCTGGCCGCGGCGCTGCAGGAAGTCCAGCACCGGGTTCTTGAAGTGCGAGTGGCTCTTGAAGGCCACCGTGCCGATGGTCACCTCGCCGGTGCCGACGGTGCAGCTGACCGTCCCGCGGGTCTCGATCTCGCTGTAGGCGCTGGCATCGCGGAAGCGATACGAGCTGCGCAGACGGAAGGTCAGCTCCTCGTGCAGATGGTCGTCGAGGCGGGCGCCGGCCGCGAGCTGGAACCAGGGCTTCGAGGCCAGCAGCATCACCTCCCGGCGCGACTGCAGCGGCAGCTTGTACACCTCCTCGGTCTTCTCCTTCTCCACCGTGTGGTGGTAGTCCTCGTACCGTCCCTGCAGGATGAACTCGCTGGCCACCGTGATGATCGGGGTGCCCTGGCGGGCGATCGTCGCGCGCACGCGAACCACCTTGCCCGACTCCGGACGAATGCGGATGGACTCGATCTCCGCCGTGGAGGTGAGTCGATCCCCCTCGCGGATGGGGCGGGCCTCGTCCAGCACCTCGAAATCGTTCTTCAAGTGCAGCAGCTGCAGGAGATCCCCCCGGACCGCCTCGTCCGTGAAGAGACAGCGCATCAGGGGCTTCCACGCCACCACCATCGCCAGGTCCAGCGGGGCCAGCACCTTGGCCTTGGACTTGCCGCTGTATGCACTATTGCGGTTGTCGATGGCCGTGGTGAACTCCCGAATCGCCTCGCGCGTCACCAGCACGCTCTCCTCGCCCGAATGCTGCTGCTGGTGCTGCGGTTGCTGCTCGTCGCCCACCCAGAGCTGCTCGTAGAAGCGACTGATGCGCTGGTTGCGCGTCTCCATCACCTCGTGGATGGGGTGACGGCCACACGTGGGCTCGTAGGTGAAGTAAAAGACGAGATCCACGGGGAGGGGCCCCCCGGCGACGGGGGCCCGCAGGGTGAGCATCAGATCCGTGGCGGACAGGGCGCGGATCTCCACCGTGGCCTCGTCGGGCTCCTGGGTCTTCGTGCTCTGCCGCATCAGAATCACCGTCTGCTCCGGCCGGTCCGGGTGCAAGATGCGCACACTGAGGCCCGGGCGCGGGGCGAACAGCCCCTTGACCGGGTTGGTCGCCAGCGCCTTGCCCTGCACGAGCTCGTTCAGCGTGAGCAGCGCCTGGCGCCACGAGGGCTTCGTCCCGCCCAGCAAGGCCAACCACTGCTCCTCGCTGGGCAGGGAGTCGGCGTCGGCGTGTGCGTCCAGGTCGTAGGCCAGCGTCGGCGGGTCGTAGGACCGACTGTGATGGACATAGGGCACCTCCTCCGCCATCCCCAACGAGGGCGAGGGCGACGCCCCGGCCGAGTACAGATACTCCACCGCGGGCACCCTCTCCTCGCTGCCCGCGTAGTCCTGCTGCAGCAGCGTCTGCACGTGCGGCTTGTGGATGGCATCGAGGATCTGCTGGACCGGCTCATCGGCCACGGTGGTGTACTGCGCCGCGACAGGGCCATGCAGGACGCAAATCCGGCCAACATCCTGATCCACCACCGCCTCCAGCCGCTCCGACTGCCACAGCGAGTCCTTCTTGAACCAGTACTCGAACGACTCGTCCAGCGCAATGATAAAGGGCAGCGGCTTGCGGCCCGGCTGCTTGTACAGCATCGCCAGCTGATTCTCATCATCCCGGACGATCACATCCTCGCGCGCGCGGGGATACGCCGCCAGAAACTCCTCCAGGAAGGCCTGCGGCCGCTCCAGCTGCCGCTCGTCCTGCAGCACCGCGCGCGGCCGGGGCTGGGAGGCGCTCATGCGGCTCTCGACGCACCGCACCCAGGCGGCCACGAAGGCGCGATACGAGGGGTCGATCCACGCCTGCTGGGGGGTCAGGTAGAGCAGATCCACCGCGCGCTGCAGCACCTCGGCGTAGGTCATCTCGGCGATGTCCACGGGCTGGCCGTCGCGGTCGACCCCGAACCAGACCTTGGCGTAGTCGGCGTTGAGCCGACGGATGAGGCTCGCCTTGCGCTTCTGCAGCTCCGCGACTCGTTGCGCCGGGGGCAGCGAGAAGACCTCGCGGTCCAGCTCCGCCCACAGGCGCACGCCGCGCGTCGCCAGCTTGTGGATCGGCTCGCCCATCTCCGACTGCACCGTGATGACGCCCCCCGCGGCGCCCCGGTAGGTCTCCTCCCACTGCGCGTCGGGCACGCCGGGGGTCGCCACAATCGCCTGCTTGACCGCGGGGCTGGTGCGCGCCTCGCGGGCCGTCATCACGCGGCTGCCCACGAGGATCGCATCAAACGGCATCGCCGCGTAGCCCAGCGCCGTGCTCCACGCCCCCGTCAGGTAGGGGTAGGTGTCCTCCGCCCCGCCGAACCCGCTGCCCGCGACGAGGATGAGGTTGGGGTAGGCGCGGATCTGCGCGTAGCGGTCGAGGATGGGCTCGTGGAAGTCCTCGTAGGAGTGGTGGCCGCCGCCACGGCCCCCGGTCCACTGCAGCAGGACGGGGACGCGGGGGTTGGCGGCGGCGATGAGCAGGACACGGTCGACCGCCTCCTTGCTGCCGGGCTTGAAGGCGATGTGGGCGAGACGGAGGTCGCGGATGTACTCGCTGGCGATCTCGGTCGAGGGGACGCCCGCCCCGATCGTCAGCCCGGTGATGGGGACGCCCTCGCGGCGCAGCTGGGCCAGCAGGGCGATCTGCCAGCCCATCGCGCGCGGGTTGGCGTAGATGAGGTTGCAGGTGATGCCGCGGCCGGCGGGGATGGCCTCGACCAGCTGGGTCAGGGCGGCGCGCATCTGGTCCGCGCTGTGGTAGCCGCCGCCGGCGAATTCGACGTGGTAGTTGGCGTTCATCACCGCGGCGACGAAGTCCGGGGCGACGGTGGTGGGGGTCATGCCGGCCACCATGACCGGGGGCAGCCCTAACAGGCGCGAGAACCGCGTGTCGAGCAGGATCTCCTCCCCCACCCGCACCAACCGTGGGGCAAAGGCCTGTTCCCAGCTGGCGTTGTAGACGGGGGCGCGCTTGCGGCGGACGAGCTCGGGCATGTAGCCCAGGGCCTTGCTGGGCCCGCTCAGGGTGGTGGCCAGCAGGATGCGCGCCGCCGTGCCGGCTTTGGCGGAGGCCAGAAAGGCCCCGATTCCGGTCTCGCGGCCGGGGCCGAAGTCCAGGAAGTGCGTCGCCGAGGGAAACCGCGTGGCCTTCTCCCAGTCGACCACCCCGCAGACCACCATGTGCACCAGCTCGGGGATCAGGTTGTCGTACTCGCGCAGGTCGGCCCCGTTGTCCGTGCGGAGGACCGGGAAGAGCAGACTCGTGCCGGGGATGTGCAGCGCCTGGAGGTCCTCAAGGATCTGGGCGGCCGCCTCGTCGAGCAGCCGGGTGTGGAAGGGGACGGAGATGGGGAGGAAGCGCGCCGTGATGACCGGGGGGCGCTGGCTGAAGGGCACGCGGGCAGAGGGGGGGGAGGCAGCGGCGCCGGAGGGGTTGGAGGCGCTGCGCACCTTGTTGGCGAAGGCGTAGAGGGAAAGGGGGTCGCCGGCGACGACGAATTGGTGGCGGCCGTTGAGCAAGGCCAGCGCGGCCTGCTGCGTGGGGGGGAGGTATTTGTTATGCTCGGCCAGATGCTGCAGCAGCTGCTCGCGGGTGGCCCCCTTGATGCTCAACATCGGGCTCAGCCGCTCGGAGGCGTCGACCAGGGCCGGGGGGATGGAGCTCGGGGGGTAGCACTGTTGGGCCCGACATCCAATCCAGAACAGCACCTGCAGGGCCGTGCGTGCGGCGTCGAAGAAGCTCGGCCATGAGACGACGGTGGCCAGGAGGGCGGCCACCACGATGCCCTGCGAGTGGCCCGCGGCGCCGCTGAGGTGGCGCGCCAACTCGCCGGGGGTCTTGTGGAGGATCTTGCAGGTGATGTAGTAGTTGAGCAGCTGCACCAGGCCGATCAAGGGCTGGCTGACGGGGGCCGCGAGGAGGTAGTCGGCCGACGGACGCGTCTCGGGCTGCTCCAGCCAGGCGAGGACATCCAGCCCCTGGGGGTACATGCCGTGGGCGCGGGGGTCGGCCGCCAGCCCCTTCAGCTGCTTGCTCAGGGTGACCAAGGGCTCCGCCAGCTGGCCGGGGTAGGTGTCGTAGAGATGCTGCAGTTCGTCGAAGTAGCCCTCCACCCCCTGCCCGTTGAAGACGGTAACGAGGGTGGCACGTCGAGTGAGCGCATCGGTCAGCAGACTGCTGCTCCACTTGGGGGAGACCAACTGCGTCACACTGAGGGCTTGGTGGTAGGTCCGGAGGATCTGGAACCGCTCCTCGGTCTCCAGCGGCAGGGCGGCGAGGACACTGTGGATCTCTTCATCCTGGAAGAGATGCTTCTGGAAGACGCGCAGGGACTTCTTGAGGATGTCTTGCGGGCCGTCCTCATGCACCTGGTCGACACTGTCGAGGACCTCGCGCACGAAGGCGGCCAGGCTCCGGACTTGCTCCGTGAGCGCGTGCTCGTCGAGGGGCCGCGCGCTGAGGTGGTCCAGCGTCGAGGCAAAGCGGTCATTGAGGAGGGAGGACTTCTTGAGGGCGGCTTGGGTGCGGAGGAAGGCAATCTCGATATCCTCCCGGGGATAGGACATGGGGGAGGGGGATCCCAGGGGGTATTCGGTCATCGGGGTATCCAACTCCAGCACCGGGGAGAAGAGATCCTCCGACGAGGCCGAGGAGCTCCGGCTGCCGGTCAAGACGGGGTTGGACTTCATTCTGCGCGGCACCGCCAGCGTCGGGGCCGGCAGGTCGATCGAGGGCCGCATGTGATGAGGCATGGTGTGCCAAAGAGAGAACGCAAAGGAAATGCAAAAGCCAAGGAGAGTGTGGAGCAGGACCGACTGAATGGGCACCACAGACGGGAGACTCATATACAGGAAACACAAGGCGTGGAAAGTGAGAGACAAAGAAACGGAGGAGGGGTATACAGACAAAGAGACAGACGAGAGCTGGTGGCAGTAAAGGTGCAGTGTCGGAGTGCAGATGCCAGCCCAGCGCAGCTCAAACTCACGCCCACGACAAGTCTGAGAGGCAGAAAGCGAGCTGCACCTCGCGGGATGATATACAGACGAGGATTCGCACTGGCAGGCGGCCCACGTGGAAGGAGTTCACCGTCGGGGATCGGAGAACCAGCCGCCATCGCTGGCACGCCTTGCGGCCCCCAAAAAGAATGTCATCATCTGTGAACGCCGTCCTGAAGGGTGGAGACGTCGAGGATTCTGGGAACCGCCAGCTGCACGGTGCCTCTGGCGCCATGTCACCTCGAAGCCGTCACTGCATCCGACGACCCACCAACCGGAATACGATGTTGGGTCTGCTGCCTCCCTCTCGCCATCTTTGGCTCCTTTCCTCGTCTCGCCGCAAGATCTAGAGCCTTGCGAGCAGGTGGGTTAGAGCACACGGGGATCACCGTAGCCGGCGAGCTGAGACACCGGGCGTATTCGGGCGTCCGCCGCCTCCGCCATGATCCTCCAGGAAGCTGGCAGGAAGCTGGCAGGAAGCTGGCCGGAGTCTCGTTGGCTGATGGCAACGTCGTTGGAAGAGAGTTAGGACTGGTGGTCGCGTAGCCCTAATTTACGATACTTACCATCTTACATCGTTACCGATTGCTGTAAAACGTTCATACATACCGGGTATCTTACAGTTGTATCATAATACCGAATACTCTTACACCTCATACGAGACCAACTTACAATTTACCATCCATCAACCCCACACCGAGAATCCTGCAGCCGCTAATTTTATTCATCATGCATCAGTCATCAGGCTGAGAATCAGGGCTCAGCCACCATGCAGCACACGCCAGTTTAGTGGAGATCCTGCTCCTCGGAGGCTAACCACTATCGATCTTGCCAATGCCGCTGCAGAGCAGTGCGCTGACGCGAGCAGAGGAATTGTTTCCTCGTCCTTCGACCGGCGTGGCTGTTTGCCTGTGGGCTATGCTCTTCTTTTGTCGGGTCTAGTTTGTCTGTTTGCCCTCATTCTCTCGTGCTTTGTCGTGTGTTTGTCGTTCTCTCACTGTATCGTCCTGCGTGGTGCAATTCTTCCAACCTCAAAGTCCGGCCATCAACCTCTCCCCTCTCCAACCACCACCACCACCACCACCATGTCCCACCTCCCAACCTCGCTCAACGACCTCGAAACCCTCCTCCGCGCCGCCGGAGACGCCCTCACCCTCAACCGGGTGCTCGTCGGCGCGGGGATCCTGTTTCTCTACTCGAACGCGAAGGGACTTCCCGGCGTCTGGCACGTCCGTGCTCCCTCCCACTTTTTCATGCACACACACACCCACTAACACATCCTCCTGTAGTACCGTCTCTTCAAAGGGCTCATCACCGAACTCCTCTTCAAACGTAGCCGTCAACCCCTCCCACTGACGGACGCCCACGGCCGCCCCCGCGTGTACAGCTACCTGGTCACCGAGTGCAGCAATCCGGTCATCGAATGCGACTACAACCTGCACAAATCCAACAGCACCTTCTTTGCGGATCTGGACATCAACCGCACGCAGCTCATGATGGCGCAGTTCAAGCACGTCTTGGCGGGCAGTTGCATGCCGCGGTCGACCCCCGGGAGCACCACCCCCGGCCGAAACAAACCGCTGATGATGGCCATGGGCGGCGTCGCGTGTCTCTTCCACCGCGAGATCAAGCCCTTGCAGCGGTATGAGATCTGGTCGCGGGTGCTGGCCTGGGATGAGAAGTGGGTGTATGTGGTGAGCTACTTTGTGAAGAAGGGGGCGGTGGCGCGGGATGGGACCCTGCCGGGCGAGCTGGATAAGAAAGTGGTGTTGGCCACGGGGTTGGCGCGGTATGTCTTCAAGGAGGGGCGGGTGACGGTCAAGCCTGAGGGGGTGCTTCAGGAGTGTCGGTTGCTCCCCTCAGGGGGCGAGCAGAAAGAGGTGGTGGGTTGGGGGAGGGAGGAGTTCGAAGCGGAGAACCGCAAGGGGTTGGCCATTGCCGGGGGGTTTTCAGGGCTGGAGGGTCTGCCTGTGATGACGAGACTTGGGGAGGTGGGGGTCTTGGGGAGATATGCGGACTTTTGATCCAGAGGGTGTAGGAAGTGGTGGTTAGGTATGAGAATGCGTAACGGAGCTATGCTTAGGTTGAGAGTGAATAGAAATAGATATCGACAATTCGGGCGTGTCAACGCAGTGTATCATGGTGTGTTGCGGAGAAGAGTCCTCAGTCTGTCGTTGGCATTATCTTGTATCTCTGGCGCGGTTTCCAGCTCGATATCAGACGTCTCTAGGGGGGGTGCATCAGTTAGGGCTACCTCATAAGGATCAGATCTATACTTCATACCAAGAATGAACACCAGAAAACTTCAAGATAGAGTATAACACAGTTCAGATGCTCCAAACCTCCGCTACTAAAAACCCTGCTCCCACGTAAGTCCTACAAACCAACACCAGTACCATAACCAAAGCCCTTGCTCCTCATCATTGCACCCAGAAGCCAGCAACACCACACCAAAGCCCTCATTCCCACCCCCCAAATCATCTATTGCCTCTCCCGCTCAAAGTCCCCCGTGTGAATCGTCTCCAACGCCGATATCTCCACCGACTCAACATCCCACAAGCCCTAGAACCCCCATTAGCCACGCTCCTGACACCACTCCCCGTCGGATCTCACCCACCTTGACCGCATTCTCATGCGCCTGAATTGCCTGCAACACACTCTCCTCACTTGGCGCCTGACACGCAAAGCACGCGCCCAGGGTCCCCACGGGATCCGCCTCCGAGACCGGAGCCGGCGACGCCAACATATCCCCCGCGAAGGTGAGGACGATATCCGGGTTCTGGAACTGGATGGAGGGCGACGGCGGGGCCGCCCCGACTGCGTTCTTCTTGTTGAAGACGACCACGAAGCTGCAACACCAAGATCAACTCGTTAGGTATCGGATAGGATCACCAGATCGACGCACACAGACACACAGGCAGTAAAAGGTGGGGAACAGGGAGACAGGCAGGCAGACATACTACTCTTGCAGGGGCGATCCCCCCGTCGTCGCGAGGAAGCGACTCGGCTGTCTTCGGCCGACAATGGAGCCGCCGATCCGCCGGCGACCGATGGAGAGCAGGGCGGCGGGGATGGTCGTGGTTCGGTTGAGCATTGTTAAGGAACAATGTATGTGCAGTGGGTGCGGTCTGGTTGCTGTGCTGGATCACGTTCTACTGGTTGCGCGAAGTGGAGCGCGCAGAGCAGGGGGCAATATATAGATAGATGACAAAGCCGACAGACACGTTGAAGCATTTTTACGCTGCCAGTCGCTTCTCACGTCTGCACTCACCACTGGCGTCTTCCTGTCTGCCACCCTGGGGCCGAGCCCCATCGTAAGACTCGATGGATGCGCTGCCTCCCTTCCTGCAGGATTGGCAATTTCGGGGATTTTCCAGAACCTCGACGCAGACCAGGATACCACACCGCGATGCGAATCCCGCCGGTTAGTGCTGACTCGGCCGGATGGTCCCAGGATTCTGGAGGCTGCATGCAGGGCTTGCGTGCGATGGTGAAGTTACGTACGAAGAAGATTGATTCTAACGATATTAGTGCTTATGTTGCAGGATACGCCGCTGCGCTGCAGGAGCGGTATTTGCCGTGGGTTGTATCGTGACGGGGATGGAACCCCTGCTGTATCATATTTCCTTACCCTAGTGTATGGCAGGTATACGGTATGGACGATACCGGCATGGTATGTATCATCGTTACCATCCCAGCCCTAACCGCCCCCATAGGCCGAGACCAACCTGGGGGGCATCCAAGGGGGAATCCAAGGGGGGATCCAACGCATCCACCCCATCCTTCTGATGATGCTACCGTAAGTCATCCTCCAACCAACCAGCCTGCGAGCCAAGCATGCCAAAAATCTCCGGGAAGCCCATGAGGCTCAATCGTCACGGGCCAACCAAGGCTTGGTCGCTGCACGCGGGAGATTAGATCCTGCCGTGTTACGGAAAAATAAAATACGGTATTCTCCCGGCGATCTCTGCAGACAATACGTGTGTTTAATTTATTATTTTCTGTCTGCGCCATGTGGGATCTTCCACCTCGTGTCCAGTGGGTCAGGCCGATGGAGCCATCACAAATAAATTAATCTCGCACGTGGAGAAGACTGCGGCGGAGCGTGGATCTGCGACACCAAGAAAAAAAGGCCCCCAACCCTAGCGTCGACGAAGATGGGATCCTGCGACACGCATGACGATGCGTGCAGTGAATTGCTTGGATTGACGGGGGCTTGCCAGTGCGGTGGTAGTTCCTGAGGGAGACGATTAGGAGTGGCCAGGAAGTTATACGTGGCTATAAAAGTAATGTATAAAAGTGATGTTTTGTAAGCTGCGTGGTAGATGCCCGATCAACTCCTACAGTATACTCTCTCCCCTGCAGCGCAATCAACCACCATGTCTACCTTTCCCGCTGAGCCCCGCGACAACATCGGTAGGCCTCGAGACAACCTGGTTTCGGACTGTGCAATGGGCTAACCCGGAGACAGAATGGGAGAAAGTCGGCGTCTCCTTCTTAGACGGTAACCCCCTCCCCCTTCCTCCCTATATCCACACCATCCATACTCATATACTGCAGTCAACGGACACGTAGAAAGTGACTTCGACTACCAAACCGGAACATGGTCCGCCCCAATCTTCGTGGAAGACCAGTACCTGCGCGTCCACGGGCTGGCGCCGGGCCTGAATTACGGCCAACAGGTGTTTGAGGGAATGAAAGGTACCCTCCATCCCCGGCCTTGATCAGTGTTGGAATGAGGAACTCACTCATGCAACCCCCCAGCCTACCGCACCAAAACCAATGAGATTCAAGTCTTCCGTCCCAGCGAACACGCCCGCCGCATGCAACGCTCCTGCGAGGCCGTCGCCATCCCCGCCATTCCCGCCGCCGTGTTCCAGGAGGCGGTTAACCTCGCCGTCGCGCGCAACAGCGAGTTCGTGCCCCCGCACGCCACCGAGGCGGCGCTGTACATCCGGCCGCTGGCGTTCGGGTCCGGGGGGTGGATGCCCGTCGCGGCGGGCATGCAGTACAAGTTCTGCGTTTACGCTATGCCCTTCTGCGCCTACCACGGCACCCTGCCCGTCGATGCGGTCGTGCTGGAGGAGCTGGACCGCGCGGCCCCGGTGGGCGTTGGGAATGTGAAGGTCGGCGGGAATTACGCCCCGGTGTTGAAGTGGAGTGATAAGGCGCGGAAGGAAGGGTTTGGGATTACTCTGCACTTGGATAGCAAGACGCGGAGTGAAATCGATGAGTTCAGTACCTCCGGGTTTGTGGGGATCAAGTATGGGGAGACGCCGGAAGCGTATACCGTGGTGGTGCCCAATAGTCAATGTGTGATCAAGAGTGTGACGAGTATGAGTGTGGTGGAGCTGGCGAGGCATTTGGGGTGGAAGGTCGAGGTGCGGCCGGTGAGTTCACCCTTCCGTTGAGACATCTGTAAGGGTGTGTGAGGCTGATGCGGTGATATAGATCCCCTTCGATGAGCTGGCCTTCTTTGACGAGGTGCTGGCTGTCGGTACGGCGGCGATGATCACCTCCATTCGCTCCATCACCCACCGCTCCAGAAACCAGGTCTTCCACTACCAGACCAGCGACACGCCGGGTAGTGTCTGCGAGAAGCTGTCCACCAAGCTGAAGGCCATCCAGAAGGGCGATGCGGCGGATCCCTTTGGCTGGTTGGGACCAGTCGTCAATCCAGCGGCCAGAGAACAGACTCCGTCAGTGGCAGAGAGGGCGAAGGAGTCACAGGGTGAGACGGTGTCTGTCAACTAGATTGCACTTAGCGTTGATTTAGCAATTCATTTGTCTACCGTTCAAAGTCCCCCGTTCACTTAATCTTCTATCCCGCACGATCAAGCATGGATACAACATGTTCCAGGCGAGTTGGACTGGTAGGCCACAAGACAGGTTGGACTTGTCTATCACAAAGCCTACAGCAGAGGTAAGAAGGATTATTCAGAGTCGGAGACACTGGAAGTAAACAAATAAATAATAGAGATATATCAACTATGTGCAGTGCCAGCAGGCAGGAATATTCACCGAAGAAAACCCCAGACCCAGACAAAATAAACCTCCAACACGCCATTCACCATGAATTGCAGCCCGCCGGATATCGGGATGATGTATCTTTCGCAGAATCTTGAAGCAGTAGACCGTTTCTACCAACAGTCACAAAGGAGAAAAAAAAAAGAAAAAACCGGATTAAACAGCAAAGTAGACCTTCCAAAACACGATCACAATCATAACACATCAGAATAGTTTTCCTTCCGCACAATCACCGTCGAACCTCATTCCCCTGCTGATCATACCAAGTACTGGCGGGCATGGCGGTGGCCCCAGCATTATATTCCCCCTCGTAGCCCGCCTCATACCCCCGCGGGGTTTTGCCGCGCTCCTGGGCATCCAGCAGATCAAAGGCGACGCTGCCATGCTTGCGGTGGCGCTTGCGGTCCTTGCGGGCCTCCTTCTCCGCCAGCTTCGCCTGCTTCTTCTCGCGCTTCGCCCGCTTCTTCTCGCGACGACTGACGCGGGGGAACTCGCTGTCCGGGCCCTGCAGGACACGACCGGGGTGCATGACATTCAGAATCACCAGGGCAAAGAACATCGGCAGGGCATCCCAGACATACTCGTACCACTCGTGGGTCAGCACGGGGTTGTTGGGATCGGTGCCCTGCGCGTACTGCGCCAGCCGGAAGACAATGCGCACGGTGATGAGGAACAACGCGGCGTAGATGGCGTAGAACAGCCAGCGCCAGTGACGGCCGCTGCCCCGCGCCAGCTTCTCCGCGTCCAGCTGGCCCGTCCGTTCCATCTCGGTCATCGTGCGCTGCAGGTGGATGAAAAATCCCGTGAAGATCAGAATGAAGAACTCCTGCAGCCCGATTCCGCCCATGTAGATGTGCACTCCCATCATCGTGGTGGAGGTGGAGGCGTCGGTCGAGGTGGTGAACCCTGCGCCCACCAGCTGCACGATGAAGGAGATGATGTCCAGCCAGACGAAAATCTGTCCGAACCGTTTGGCGGAGACCCCGCCCAGTCGGCCGTCCGGGAGGAAGAAGTAGATCAGCCGCCCCAGCGTCATGTACAGGAAGGCGTTGATCCAGATCGGAGCGAGCAGGAAGAAGATCGTGTGGGGCGTCGCGTAGGCGTCTGAGCTTTGGTGCTTGGCAAAGAGGGCAGCCATAATGGAGGCGATCAGTTCCCAGAGTGCGCCCATAATAACGACCCAGGCGTAGCGCTGTGTCCATAGTTAGTTGGTGCATAAATGTATGTCGCCTGGGTCGGGACTTGCCTTCTTGAACATAAAGGCCTGCAAAATGTGGACGGAGGTGGTCAGGCCGAACAAGACACAGAACAAGACGGCCGCCGGGAAGCTCGCCTCGTACATGTCGATGTTCCCGCAGGCTCCCGGCGGCACATAGCCATTCTTATCCGGGGTGACGGTCACGCAGGTTGCGGTGCTGGAGCTGGTGGCGGTGGTCGCCGTGGCAGCCGTAGTGGTGGCACTCATCGTGGGCGAGGGGTGGAGGTTGGGGGAGGAAAAAAACGGGAATGCTGAGAGCGAGAGAGAGAGAGAGAGAGAGAGAGAGAGCACGCAACCCTATATATCCAACGAAGAGGCGATGTCAGGCAGAAACATAACCGGAAGCTGCATCTCAGGGCCGGTCGATGGCCATCCAGGGATCGTGATATTGTTGGAGATCGCCGCGACTAGCCCCTGACGGGCGTTTCGAATCTGGGCCCAGTCAGGCAGCACCATTCCAGACGAGCAAGGCTGCTGCAATCGGCAGACCACGCACCACCAGGGTTGGATAGTATCCTGATACTAGTCAGATTTTGAGGGATGCGGATGCGCGTGTGGGTTTGGGTGCGATGGCGGGCGGGCAAGGCTTCGCTGGGCGGGGGCGGAAGGTGATTGGTTGCCTCGGTTCCACTAGACTCTTTCAGGCTTAGTCACAGATAGACTCGGTCATCGCCCGTGGCTCGGTCTGGGCGGCCGGGGTCCGTCGCTAACCGGATCCGCTCTAGCGTTACCGAGCCAGCCAATCAGACTATACAAAACCCTGATGCTTATTTAACCTCCTGTAGTAAAGCCTCGACCTCGTATTGTCCGGCAGGCAGGAATGCCCAGTAAAAATAGCACATCCACACATCACTGCTGCACAAGCACTATTGCACTAGTGCCACTGACAGGTGTGTGCGGCTGAAGCCGCTACTTCCTTAGTCATCATCCTTCATCCTGCATCCTGCATCCTTCATCCTCCATGTGGCCAGGCTGCATCCTTCAGCGCTTACTCTGGAGTAGATGGCCGGGTCGATCAGATTGCTGACCGTTTGTAACGGCGACCGCCCCCAACTCCAGCATCACCAGCAATACGGAGTACGGAGTATACGGTCTACTTAAGCAGCATGATCGGCAAGTGTTGGGCGGGATACGAGTCCTCCAGGGTAGTGTTAGTGTTCGCTATATACTATACTAACTAGTACATATAATATATAATTGCAATGGCGCATCTCCCCCGCCTGGCCCGCCCGATCCACCCGATTCGCACGGGCTCCCCCTCCTCCATCCGCCACTCGTCCTCGCAGACCCTCCGCATCCAGAAGACGCCAACGCCGACTCCCCTGCCCGATGCCGGCGACCTCCAATTCGGCCGGTCCTTCACAGGTCAACAACCATCCTGTCCCTAGCGCAAAAGTTCTAACTAAGACAGACGCAGGAGAACAGACCACATCCTCACCTTTCCCTGGACCGCCCAAGCGGGCTGGACCACCCCGGCCATCACCCCCTTCGGCCCCCTCCCGCTCTCCCCCGCCGCCAGCGTCCTCCACTATGCCTTCACCTGTTTTGAAGGCATGAAAGCCTACAAAGACCGCGAGGGCCACGCGCGCCTCTTCCGCCCCGCCCTCAACCTGCAGCGCCTCAACCGCTCCGCCGCCCGCCTCGCCCTGCCCACCTTCCACGAAGGCCAGCTCCTCGCCCTGCTCGCGCAGTACGTGGATCTCGAGAAGCGGTTCATCCCCGCCCGTCCGGGCTACTCCCTCTACCTCCGGCCCACCCTGATCAGTACGGAGGCGAGTATCAGTGTATACCGTCCGCAATCGGCCCTGCTGTACGTGATTGCCAGTCCGATGGGGAATTATTTTCAGCACGGCCAAGTGCGCGCAGTGCAGTTGCTGGCCACCCGCCACCCGGTGCGGGCCTGGCCCGGCGGGGTGGGCGAGTTCAAGGTCGGGGGCAATTATGCGCCGGGGATTGTGCCGCAGGAGGCAGCGGTGGCTCAAGGGTTGGAGCAGAATCTGTGGCTGTTGGGGGAGAAGACAGAAGGAGGGGAGGAGGAGTATGTGACGGAGGCGGGGACGATGAATATCTTTGTGGTGTGGCGGAATCCCGAAACGGGTCGGAGGGAGTTGGTGACGCCCCCCTTGGATGGGACGATTCTGCCCGGAGTGACGAGGAGGAGTATTCTGGAGTTGGCCCAGGAGAGGCTGGCGGGGGAGGGCGTGGAGGTGAGGGAGGCGCGCATTACAATGAAGAGTTTGGCAGCGGCGTCGCGGGAGGGCCGATTGTTGGAGGTGTTTGGGGCCGGGACGGCGGTGGTCGTCACTCCAGTCCGGTCGATTCAGTGGAAGGATCAGACGATTGATTGTGGACTGCGCGAGGGTGAAGAAGCCGGTCCGGTGAGTTTGAAGCTGAAGACGTGGATTGAGGAGATTCAGTATGGAGTGGTGGAGCATCCGTGGAGGTAAGTTCCTCTCCCCTGGCGTTGGGGAAAGAAGGGTTGAACTCACCGTATTTTCCTAGTTATCGAGTATAAGGTGAGAGAGACGCAACACTCAGCATCGCAGCAGATGGAGAGTTGTAGAGGGGCGTCCCAGTCAAGCAGGATTTAATAAAATAATAAGATCAATCATCATAGCCTCATCTCACGGTATGCTTTCGCTAGTGAGAATCGGATGTCATCAAACTTCGTACTGTATAGCATGTGTCCAGTGACTCCCACTCTGTACTGGTGATTATACTGGCCTGCACTGGGAGGTAAACAGGGTGGGACGTGGTCGAATGCTAAAGGCAGTGGAGGGGTGTTGACAGATTCTCTTCGAAACAGTGTCAATCTGCTTTAGGGCTATCTAAAACCACGTTGGCGTCTACCTCTACATACAATAATCATTATGCAGAGAGTTCAGAGAAGGAGACATACGAAACACGGAAAATGATGGACAGAACTTTCCAATAAGCGTCTTAAAACATACTAAGTAAACCCGGAACATTTTGCCCGCAGAGTCAATATATATCTATATGACAGCAAAGGAACGTGAGCCGGAGTGAACATCGGCAAATCAAACAAAACCAAACCAACCCCAAACTCCCAGTCCGCGCATTCATCACAGCTCCACCGGCGGTCACCCCGAAGAAAATCGCACCGTGGGATCCAAGAGGGTCTCCAACTCCTTCTGCGGCGCCCAGGGCGTGGCAGTCTTCAGTTCGAAGAGACTGTTGGCCGCCAACCCCCGATAAAAGAACGCATCCGCCTTCTTCTGCCGCTGCGCACGCTTGCTCGCGTACTCGTGATACTCCGCCTGCTCCAGGGTGGCGAAGAGGTATTTGGGATGCACGACGATCGTCTGGGCCCCCTTCTGTCCGAATCCAAAAGAGGTTACACTGATGGCGCGGATGCCGGTAGGGCCGGTGGTGTCCAGCGACCGATTCAGGAAGGCGATCTGTTCGTTCTGCTGCAGCTCACGGTCGACGTTATCCAGATTGCGATTCCCGGGCACAATTCCCGTGTCGAGAATCTGCAGTGCGCCGTTCAACATCCACGCGCCCGCCGCGCCTTTCGGGTGACCGGTCAGGTATTTCTGGAAGACGCCGAGGATGACGTTGCCCCGGGTGCGCCCGAGATGCGAGAGTTGCTTCTGGATGACACTGCACTCGTTCTTCTCGTTGAGCTTGGTCGACGTCCCGTGGAAGGAGGCGACGTCGAGATCATCGATGCCCAGACCCCAGACCGCCAGGGCGCCACGGAGCGGCGCGATGGTCGGATCATCCGCCCAAAAGGCATTGCCCAGGTGGTATCGCGCGTTCTTGAGCTCCTTGCGGGCTTCCGCCTCGATCTGGGCAGTGCGCTCGCGGACGTACGCCTCCACATCATCCGAGGCGTCCAGGGCGGCGACCTCGAGCTGCAGTTCCTCGAGGGCGGTCTCGCGCGCGAACTCAATCTGCTTCTTGCGGAAGGTGAGCCGCTTGCGCCGGTTGGCGACCTTGAGTAACGGCGAGGCGATGCGAGAGGGCGTGCGCGCCTCACGCGCCTTGGAGAGAATCCCCTTGCCGGGAGCAGGCACCGAGCGGCTGGCTTTGTCACTCGAGGTCTCGACGAAGGCGATCACGCCGCGGACGGGCAGGCCCATCTCCAGGGCGAGCTTGGCAGTGGTGAGAATCTGAATCCCGCAGCCGTGCGACTCCATGAAGCCGTTGCGCGTGCTGGCAGCAGGCCGGGACATCTCCGACGCGTCGCGACCTTGCTCAAACTCGTCCACCGCGTTGGAGGTCGCTTTCATATTGGCGAATTCATACGAGAGCTCTTCACCGAAGTCATCGCCACCGCCGACAAAGCAAAACTGCGCTTTACCACTGAGAATGGTGTCATAGCCGAGCTCGACCGACTCGATAGATGTCGCGCAGGCGCCGACAGGCGTGCGCATCGGACCGGCAGACGACATGAGCAGCATATTCACCCAGGCGCCGATCGTGTTGACAAACGACTCCTGCAGAATATCTTTCTGCACGTCTTTCTCCTGGTACCGGGCGCGATACATCTGCTGGAGGGAGTTGAACCCACCGATACCGGAGCCGATGCAGTTTCCTGCCTCCGAGATATGGATATAACGGTAGATCTCATAGGGATCGGTGATTCCGGACGAGAGCAGCGACTCAATCGAGCAGACCAACGTGTAGAGGGCGACCGGGTCGACCTGGGAGATCAGATCGTCCGATATGCCGTACTTCTTCGCGTCCCAACCGGTGGGGATCTGCCCAGCCACCAAGCGGTCGAACCGCATCGCCTTGGGCACCAGCAGCTTGGCACCTTTCTTCAAGACGGCACGGTACTGGTCAGTGCCTGGTTCGAGAGCGATATGCACCTTGTCCCCGTGTTCCAGCTTGAGTTGCTGCGCAGTGGCCTCGGGCACTTCCAACGGCGGGAGGTCCTCCTGAATGAGCACCTCGTGCAGCATCTGCTTGCGCTCCGGGTCGTAACCCCCGAAGAGATCCGGCTCAATGAGACGAATTCCCGAGTGCGCCAGGATATGCTCTTCGTACTTCTGCTTGATCTGGTGGTCGAGGACTGGTTCATTCGTCTTGGCATCAACCCAACCGGGGGTGGTACCATTTTCGTAGCGGATGAGCCCCATCAGCCAGGCCATCTCGACGCAGCCTTCGAGCGAGAGCTCGCCGTAGGCTTCCATTTCCCAGCGGGTGCGGGCGTTGCCCCACGGGCCGAGTTCCGCGAAGCCGGTCACAACCACCACGCGCTCGAGGTCGACCATGCCTTGCAAGTCGGCCGTGAGCGGCCTGATGTCACGATCGTAGTCGGGAACCTCGGGGAAGTCGATGCGGACGTGAGCCTTGGGCGTGGGGGTAGGGGCGATGGTCTCGGAGACAGCAGTGGGCGCGCTTGGCACGTCTGAAGAGCATTGGGCTTCCATGTCCAACTCCTCCAGGAGGGCTCTGCGCGTCTGCGCCGTCTCGTTGATCTCCGTGCGTAATTCTTGCACCTTCTGTCGGAGGTCTTTCACCGCGCCCATTCGACCGGCCAGGTCGGCGTACAGGGGTCCTTCCTCGCAGAGGCTGCAGATGGGGTTGAACATCAGGCAGAGGAGGCACTGCGCCATCTCTTGCTGGGAGAACGTTCGACACCCTAGGCGCTCGATTCCCTCGGCGACCAGATTATTGCCGCTCATGAGGCCCGTCCCCCGAGTCCAGCCGATTACCGCCCCACACACCGACAGGTAGTCCGACCAGTCCTCCGAGTGCCAGCGGTTGAAGAGCGTTTCGAGCCCCAGTTTGGACTCACTGTACAGGCCGTCTCCGCCGAAGATGCCGTGGTTGGGAGAGAGAGGGAGAATCACCTGGGTGGGCCGCGTGTGCGAGTCTTGTGCCTCTTTGCGGGATTTGACCGCACCCAAAAGACGCAGGGTGTTGGTCATCATGGTTCGATGGGCGAGCTCGGCGTGCGGGTCAATCTTCTCGATGGTTCGGCCGTTCTCGGGGATCGCGGCGAAGGGCAGGATGTGGTCGAGATCCCAATGGAGACCCTGGGAGTCGTAGATGTAGTCGACCAGCGCGGCGATGTCCTGCGCGCTGGCTTGATTGAAAGGCACGACGACCAGCTCGGATTCGCGGGCACCGAACCGGGTATACAGATCCTGGTACTTGCGGACCACGCTGGGGGAGAAGCGACTGGTGGTTACGATCACGCGAGCACCGCCGGCGAGTAAGCCTTTGAGGACTTCCGCCGCGATGGATCCCACCCCGGCGCCGGTAATAAGCACCGCACGGCCCACGAAAGACTCACCGGTGGTCGTGGCCTGCTCGAGCACGGCGCGGTACTGCTCCGTGAGGTCGGGGCTGTATTTCCAGGAGGAACCAGTGCGCTCCTTCAGGTGCAGATACGGCTCCTGCGGAGATTTGGTGCCGGGAAGATACACTAGATCGGCGAGCGGCGTTGGCACGGGGCGTTCCTGCTCAGTATAGGAGATTTCCCCTGCAGCACTGATTGTGGTGCAGGGACCGCGACCATCGGGTCGAGCTCGATACTTGGGACCGGCATGCAGCGACTCGCGGCACCGCTCCGCCAGCTGGGTAAAGACCGATGAGAGCAAGGGCTGCTCGGTGAATTCCCCGACGATATGTTGAAGCACGTCCAACAGCCGGGGGTCTGCCGCATCCTGAATGTGCTCGCAGCGCTGCGTCGCCAGCTGCAGATCGACATCCTCGCCGCCCGTCCTTGACACTTCATAGTACAGATGCAACAAGTCCTGCAGCGCCCAGCTCCAGGCGCTATCGAAGCGTCTGGCCTTCTTCGCGCTGAACTGTGGTTGCACGCCGGAGGTGAAATCCTCGCCCAGCTCCTGATGAATCTGGTCCAGCGCTGCCCGCAGATCCTTTTCCACCGTCACCTGCAATTCATCCAACGCGCGCCGATCTTGGTCCAAGTCGACATCAAGATGCTTGGCATAGAGCTTCAACAGCGCCTTGGACAACTCCTGCTGCCCGCCGGTTAAAGCTTCCAGCGTTTTCTGATCTAGCATCATTGAATGGCCGCCCGCTGCCTCTTCCGCCCCGCCACCCGTGTTTCCTCCCAGCGTTAAACCGTGCTCCGTGGCATAAACCTGCACCAGCCCATCGAAGAAGCTCTTGGCCTCGGGCTCCTCGCTGATCCTGCTGGCCGGTTGTTGTGCGATTGCTAACAACAGGATCGAATCCTGTCGGCCGGACCCGAGACCCCAGCGCGACTGGAGGTATGCTCTGGTGGTCGCCACTGTGAATTGGCCGGGCATCTTGGAAGCAAACATGGCGTGCAGCATCTTCAGCATGACCTTGCGCATCTGGCCGGTGAATGTCTTCTGGAGGGCATCGCCAAGGTCGGCAACCGTGAGGTCTTCGGCGCGATCAGGCAGAGTGCCGAACTCACTGTTGAGATCGCCGATAATCTCATTTTCCAGAGTCGAACGTCCTTGGGAGAATCAGATGTCAGAGGGATAGCATACGATGGAAGAGAAACGGTAGGGACTTACCACCGGCCAAAGACTTGATACTCTGAGTGCCGACGATATCGGTGACGGCGATCTTGAGTACTCGGGACAAGAGAGTGCGAATGACTTCAAAGGCACGGGCTGGTTGATCGTCGATGACAGTCGCCGATGCCGGGGCTTTGGCCTCAGGCACCGGGGCTGTAGCGGGTGTGGCAGCCTGAGGCATCGAGGCAGGTGCCGCACCAGCAGGGGTGGGAGCCTCAGGCGTCAAGGCCTTGTTCTGATTAGTTGTGGTGGTTGCGGAAACGGGAGCTGCCGTCGCCGTCGCCGCCGTCGCCGCCACCGGACCGTCATATTCATAGTAGATCTCCTTCCCTTGCTTTTCCGAGGCTAAGAGCTGCCTTTTCAGAAGGGAAGCTCGATCACTGTGCAAGAACTTGGATTTGACGGTCTGTGCCATCATGTTGGTCAGTGTCGCCGCCGGGCCGATCTCCACGATGCGTTCGGCCCGGTACTGGCTGAGCACCACATCTTGTGTTTCAATCCATCGTACAGGGGAGGCAAACTGATATCTATCGGATGTAGTACATACGCGCCTCCGGGTCAGCAAGAAGCCAGGAACACCATGGTCGATCGTTTCCTCTCGGACACAACACAAGGCAAGGAAGGGCAGCAGGGAGGAATAACGCACGACATCAGCTCCAAAAGCAAAGTATAAGCCAGCTTCCGCTGGGCATCATCGTAGTCCACAACGGCCATGACGCTGAATTCCCCACGATGCGCAACAGCGATACTGCTTGGTTTCTGGTGATTCCCAGAAGCATGGAAGACGCTTTGGACATTGGTCTGCCAGACGTTCGTCTCTGCTGTTATACTTGCAGAACACAACGGGAATGGCGTCTTTTTTCGGATAATCGCCTTGCTTCCTTCTAAGCTTCCTATTCCTGGCATGAACAGCGCTGACCGCAGCCAGGCAAGGAGCTGCTGCACGGATCTCGCCACAAGGCTGTTCCTGCGGTGCAGGATTCGATTGCTTACACTGAGGAAAAACTCTCGTCCAACCAAGATGGCTTGTGCTGAGGATGTTTCATTGGAGAGCATGACAATCTCGAGGATACGAGGTGGAGCTGTTGCTGTATTGTGGTATGTATGGTGTGACATACCGTACGGAAATGATGGTTGTAACCGTATTCGATCTCATACGACAATACTGGTTGTATTAGCGTATGAAGTGACGGTACCAGACCACATTCCACCTGCCACTAAATCCTTCGCATGCGGTGTGATTGGTGGGCTCGGAAGCCCTAGCCCGGGAAGACCAACGGATCCTACCGGAGCCTTATGGTCAGCCACCGTTGCAGTAGTGGCTGTTTAACCCAATTATTCTTGAATCTCCCATAATTTCCCCCCTCATTTATCCTTTCCAATCTCAATTTTGTCAATTTCCTCAAGTCTCAGATCCTGCAACTAGTGTCTCGCATCCTTTTCCCTTCTAGCTGCACTTTGTTGGGGGCCGGATTCCAAGCCACGCAAACACCATCAGGGGATGTCATGAACTCGCGCTGAGCGCCAAGAGAAACGTGGTAAGCGGATCCGAGCCTGTGAGTCTTTCAGCCTTTGAGCCGCTGGGTCTCTGGATTCCTGCTGCAGAGCTAAGGCTGCCTGCTCGTCGTCGGTTGCGAAACCCGTTCCTTCGTGGGGGGGGCAGTGAGCGGCGTCATTCCAGGCAGACACAGCAACCCAAAACACACACCACAACAAAACAAACCCCCAAGTTAAACAAATATCAATCTTCCCAGTAGGTAGGTAGGCACTGTTTAGTGCGCGATGAACGGGTGATTGACTGTCTTTCAATCTCTGTTTGCTTGCATCTGCCTTTCCTCCAAGATCTGGAAAACCATGGCGAGATCTTGCACGATCGAGGTCGAAAACCACTTCGGGCCCATCGTCGGAACCGCCTGTTATGGGGGGCTGGACTTCACCTTGTACTTTGAGGAGGCCTTTCTTTCTATCTTCCCCGCTGCGACGGTGATCTTAGCTGCAGTCCTGCGGTGTCTTGTGGTTCGTAGTCTCAGCGTCAAGGTCCGGGGAGGCTGGTTGTACCCCGTGAAGCTGCTGTGTCTCGCACTCTACTCCATCTCGCAGCTGCTGCTCTTCGCCTTCTGGGTTAAGTCTGGCACACCGACGACCGACCTCACCCTTGCTGCCACCTTGCTCCGGTTTCTGGCAACGCTCTTCTGTGGCTATCTGTCGCTGCTGGAGCACTATCGAGCGGTCCGGCCCTCGAAGATCCTCAATCTCTATTTTCTTCTCTCGTTGCTCTTCGACATCCCTCAGGCTCGCACGATATGGATTGTCCAGGGTCTGCACACGGTCGCCGGCATCTTCGTCGCCGGCATGGCTGTCAAGGCTCTGGTGTTGATCCTCGAGATATGGGAAAAGAAGCGCCTCGCCAAACCCATGTACGCCACCCCAGCGCCCGAGGACTGGACAGGCGTCATCAACCGCAGCCTCTTCTGGTGGTTCAATCCACTATTGATCCGCGGCGCGCGCAATGCGCTTTCAATGGGCGATCTATTCCACCTCGAGGACTGCATGATCCCGGACCCAGAGGGAAAGCACCGACTAGCTCTGCTCTGGGAGCACTGTACGCTCCCCACTCCATGAGCCTCTTGCCCTAGCACATCTTCTAACCATCGTGTCGCAGGTGAAAACAAAGAGAAGTCTGGTGCTATGATCGGCCCGCTGGCCAAAGCCTTCAAATGGGACATCCTGGCCGGAATCATCCCCCGTCTCTCCCAGACCGGGTTCACCTTCGCCCAACCATTCCTGGTTCAGGCTGCCACCAAGCTTTTCGCTGACAACGAGCAGCCTTATGCCAAAAGCAAGGGGATCCTCCTGCTCGGCGCCTACGCGCTCGTTTATTCCGGCATTGCCGTCTCCACTGCGACCGCGCAACACAAGACCTACCGCTTGATCACCATGATGCGGGGAGCACTGGTGGGCATGATCTTCGACAAGAGTACGACCATCAATGCGCATCTGAACGATGACTCGGCCGCCCTGACGCTGATGAGTACCGACATTGAACGGATCACCAGCTGTGGACGCTATTTGCATGATACATGGGCGAGTCTGATTGAGATTGCTATCTCGTTGTACTTGTTGTATAATCAGCTCAGCACAGCGGGAGTGGCGCCGATCATTATTGCTTTTGGTGAGTCTCCTTCCCGCCCCTGATCGGAAGATGTGCATGAGAAGATTCTAACAGGATCTGAACTGCGACGGCAGCTTGCACGGTGGTTGCCATGAAGATCGCTATGGTGGCCGGCGAGCGGCAGAACCTGTGGATTGAAGCCATTCAGAAGCGAGTGTCTGTCACAGCCGAGATGCTAGGCTCGATGAAGGGAGTCAAGATCTCGGGGCTGAAAGACCTGCTTCATAACAAAATCCAGGGATTGCGTGAAGACGAGATTCTTGCCTCACTGAAGTTTCGGACGCTTTTGATTTGTGTTGTTGCGCTCTGTAGGTGCTTCTCTTTTCCCTTGCATCGTGCGATGAGGGTCTTGCTAATCTCATGTCTAAAAGCCAACTTCAACACACTCATCACCCCGGTGGTGACGTTCACCATCTATGCGATGGGCTCGCGCGATGGAAAGGCGGGGTATCTCGATAGTGAACGAGCCCTGACTTGCTTGACCCTGTTCAACCTCTTCTCCGTGTTCATCGGCGCGCTGGTAGAGTCCATCAGTGACACGGCCATGGCACTCGAGTGCGTCGACCGCATTCGGGATTACTTGGCCAAGGATCCACATGAGGATCTGCGAGAGGTCGTCCGATCTCCGGAACGATTGGACGACAAGTCTCCATGCATCGAAGCAATTAATGTCGACATAGGATGGACAGGAGGCGAAGCTCCTGTTCTGCACGGCCTCTTTTACCGGATTGAACGCTCAACCTTGACAATGATCGTGGGTGCGGTTGGCTGCGGAAAGACCACTCTCGTCAAGGCGATGCTTGGCGAGGTGAACTGCATGACTGGTAAAATGCGAGTCAACTGCGACCGGATGGCGTACTGTGGACAGGAAGCGTGGTTGACCAACGGTACGGTGCAGGAGAACATTCTGGGTGGTGCAGCCTACGACCCGCAGTGGTACTCAACAGTCATTGCGGCTTGTGGCCTTGAGAAAGACTTCACGGAGCTGGGTAACGGTGATCAGACCGCGGTTGGCAGTAAGGGTGTTTCGTTGAGTGGTGGACAAAAGCAAAGATTGGTCTGTCTTCCCTTCATTTCGCTTGTACCCTTGGACACCATCTCACAATCTCCCCACAGGCACTCGCTCGAGCTCTCTACTCGGGAGTCGAAACCATCCTGATGGACGACGCCCTTAGCGGGCTCGATCCCGTCACCGACGAACACATCTTTACTCATGTCCTAGGTCCGCGCGGACTGGCCAGAACGCAGGGTTTGACCGTCATCATGGTCACGCATGCAGTTCACCGACTCCCATACGCCGACCACATCATCGCCCTCAAAGCCGACGGCACCATCCTCGTTCAAGGCACGTTCGAAGATTGCTGCAAAAAGCTCGACCACATCCAGGGCTTCGCCATCGCCAAGCCCCCTGCCATCCAGATGAAAAGTGAGATGCCCAAGGCCGTGGAGAAAGCCAGTCCCCCCTACTCCAAGGAGGCGATCTCGGACGCGCGCAAGACCAGTGACTTGCAAACGTACATCTATTACCTCACGACTGTGCCGTGGTATAACTGGTTGGTGTATTTCGGCTTCATGGCGGTGTTCGTATTCTTCCAGGCCTTCCCGTCCGTCTGGGTGACCTGGTGGGCCCGCGATAACGACGAACGGCCCAACAAGAACTTGAGCATGCGTATCGGGGTGTATTGGCTATTTGGTGTGCTCGGCGGCTGCTTTCTGCTGGCCACGGCATGGTTCTACATGCTCAAGATCGTCGCCAAGACCGCCTCGGTCATCCATTCGAGGCTCCTGCGGACGGTGCTCAACGCTCCCATGGCCTTCTTCGCCACGACAGACTCGGGTATCACCATCAACCGGTTCAGTCAGGACCTGGAGCTCATCGACATGGAACTGCCCTTGGCAGTACTTCAAACGTGCCTGGCGCTCTTTTTGTGCGTGGCCCAGCTGATCATCATCGCTGTCTCCGCGAAATACATCACGGCGACGATTCCTCTCTGCATCTTCGTCTACTGCATTATCGGCACCTTCTACATCCGTACCTCGCGCCAGCTTCGTATCATGGACATCGAAGCAAAATCCCCGCTCTTCTCCAATTTCATGGAGCTGCTCAACGGGCTCGTGACCATCCGCGCCTTTAACTGGGAGGAGCAGTATAAGGTCCGCAACCGAGCGCTGCTGGCCGAGTCCCAGCGCCCGTTCTATCTTCTGTATACGGTTCAACGCTGGCTGAGTCTCGTGCTCGACATGACCGTGACTGGATTTGTGGTCGTGCTCATGGGTATCGCCGTGGGGACGATGCAGAGTACAGACGCGAGTTTCTTAGGTCTGGCGCTGGTGAATGTCGTGTCGTTGAGTGCCAGCGTCAAAGCGCTGATTACGGATTGGACGGTGCTGGAGACGAGTTTGGGGGCTGTAACGAGAGTGAAGCATTTTGCGGAGACGACCGAATCGGAAGAGGCGGCTGAGGAGAGGGATCTTCCGCCGGACGATTGGACCGGCGGGGGCACAATTGAATATAGAAATGTCTCGGCTTTCTATCGGTGAGTTCGATTCAGTACTGGCCGCTCTAGGGATGGCAAACAATCAGTTACTGACCCCAGAATGTAGGGACCCGTCAGCGCCAGTCTTGAAGAATGTCTCATTCTATGTGCGGAAAGGAGAGAAGGTGGCCATTTGTGGGCGCAGTGGCAGGTATGACAAACTTTTCTCTCGCTGACTCCAGTCAGATAAAACCGTCCGACGCTGACTGTTGATATAGCGGTAAGAGTACCCTTGTCTCCGCGCTATTCCGCATGATTGAACTCTGCGACGGCTGTATTGTCGTTGACGGGGTGGACATCGCGACGCTGCCCCGGCAAGAGATCCGCTCTGCAATCATCGGTCTTCCGCAGGATCCCCTGCTCTTAGAAGACAGCACTGTCCGCGAGAACGTCGATCCCTTTGACTACTCCCCAGACGAGGCGGTGATCAACACGCTCAAGCGCGTCGGCCTATGGGAGATCATCGAAGGTAAAGGCGGGCTCGACACCGTGGCCAGCGGCGAACTCTTCTCGCACGGACAGCGGCAGTTGCTCTGCATGGCCAAGGCTATGCTCCGCCACGGCAATATCATTGTCTTCGACGAGGCGACGAGCGGAGTCGACCCGGACACTGACGAGATGATGCAAGAGCTCATCCGCTCCTGCTTTGCCGACTACACCGTCGTCACCGTGACCCACCGTCTGGATACCATTATCGACTACGACCGTGTCCTTGTCATGGACAATGGCGTTCTCCTGGAGAGTGACCAGCCACGAGAGCTCCTCGCTCGGCCCTCGATATTCCGTGAACTGTACAAATCCTCCCGCGGATGGGAAGAGTACGAGCGTCAAGAACGGGCTGAAGCTGAAGCCCGCGAGCGTGAGCGGCTGGAGAAGGAGCAGGAGCAGCGGGTCGAAGCTGAGCAAATTCGCGACCAACTTCGGGGCCGCTCCAAGCGCTTGTCGTACATTGATACGGATGTGGTCAGTGAGAAGGACGAGCCCGAGACGTTCAACGCGATCCGTGAGCACTGGAGCGCGGTCAACCAGTTGTTTGAGAATATCATTCCTCGGGCTGTACCGCGCAACCGCAGCCGAAGTCGCGACAGTGCAGATCGTGAGAGCAAGCGTTACAGTAACCCAGAGCCGACGACGCCTGGTGGCGCCGTCAGTGGAAGGGATCGGAGGAGCTTGACTGGGTTGGCTGCGAGAGGTCGTTTCTATGGTGATGGTCACATTTGAGATATTCTTTTCTTCCTGACTCGGAGCTAGATTGTAATGTTGTGGTGGTTTTTCTTTTCTTCTTGTATTTATTGCCAGTCAGTTTTTTAGAACTGCACAAAGGTCATTTAAGTCTGCTTTGCTCACATATATATCTGGCATTGGTATCTCTCCGCGACCTCCAGAGTTGATGGGGCTGATCATACTGAAAGCTCAAACCAGGAAAGATCCAAGTAAGTCAGTGACAGTGCTCGAGATGTCAGAAATAAACGAGGTACAGATTTGAAGCTACCTTGTCCAAGTGAATTAAAAAGAGAATAGAGAGAATCCGGGAGTCGAAGAGATTCAATCCGTGGATCACCTGCTCAGGCGGTCGAGGCAGGCAGAATACACGTTAGCCACCGGTGACCGCAATACATGATCCGCGATACAACAACAACTTGTGAACTCCTCCCACTCTGTCGCTGCTCAAGGCTACTGGTGAATGCCATAATGCCACAATCATCATATGCTATCACTGTTGTGCTACCACCCGATAGAAAGGCGTGAATCAAACAGCAGCACAAGCCATACAGGTGAGTCATTCCATCAAGTTGCTCAGGTGACACACAGTAAGCTTCGCATTAATTACAATTTGATGTATGCGCTTCGAGATTATGTGCATTCTTGTATCTGATCAGTTCCAACACAAGCCCCCAAATATGAACATCCTTATCCCTAGAAACAAAAAAACCGTGATATCTAACACTCCACCGATTCACTATTTACCAACTACTACAATCAGACCCTCGACACCAGTTTAAACCACCGCACGTGGCCGGAACTCAACCCAGGGACCCTCCTTGGCGGCGGTGATATGCAGGGAAAGCCGGTACTCGCTCTCCTCATCGGCCTTGACCACCGGGGGTAGTCGCATATCAAAGGCATAGAGAATATGCGACAGGGTCAACGTGAGCTCAATGTACGCCAAAGGCTTTCCGATGCAGCCACGGGGCCCAATGGAGAAAGGACTGAAGCCTGCATGAGGAGAGTACTCGCTGCGATACGGCTCAGGGGTCTCTTCGGGACCGAGCCACCGCTCAGGGACAAACTTAAATGGTTGGGGGTAGATTTCCGGGTTGTGGTGAATGCTGTAGACACAGGTGCCAACCTCCAGCCCCTGAGGAATGTACTGTCCGTCCACGGTCGCGCCGCCGGTGTCAGCCTGGCGCCACAGGGGTCCAGGGGCCGAGGGGGACAAGCGCATGGTCTCTTCAATCACTGCCCGGAGGTAAGAGCAGGAATTTACCTTGGCGCCCAGACGGATCTCGTCTCTAGACTGGAAGGTGCTGCGAACCTCGTGCACGGCGCGTTCGTACACCTTGGGGTGGTGAGTGAGATAGTACAGCGAGGCTGCGAGCGCGGTGGAGGTGGTGTCGGTCCCTAGGCCTCTGATTAGCTTCGCTGAATGACTATCTATCAGTGAGATGAGGCGGCCTACCTGCAACCACTAGTGTTGCGCTCTCACCGCAGAGCTCCTTGAAGGAGAGAGGTTCCTGAGTTTCGGGGTCGGTGGCATCCCGAAGCAAGGCGAAGGCCCCCTTCATAGACCCCTTGGCTGACATGGCCATACCCTGCCGGATGATATCGTTGACAAATTTGACAAATTGATTGCGTGCCGCGATGGCCGCGGGAAAGAGGTATTTATCGATCTTGAGGTTCTTGGAGCCACCAGCTTCAATCAAGCAGCCCACGCGCACGTTGGACACTTCAATGGTGTGGGGGATGTGGCGATATTTCTTCTCTGTCAACGACGACCAAGGTACGCCGAAGATCACGCTGCACATCACATCAAAGGTGAACCAGTCGCCTGTTCCATCAATGTTAGAGCAAGCGTCACTCAGACCGGCGGTAGGGCTGCAGGTCGAAAGGACTTACACCATTGAGACATGTTCTTCGCCGTGCCCCAGGTCCCATCCGCCACGACCTCTTCTGAATCATCTCCTTGGCGACGGAGAGCTGTGCACAACTGCGAAATCTTTTCCTGGATGGTCTCTTCGTAGGATCTGAAGGCCGCGTCGGAGAAGGCTTGGCTGATCAAGCGGCGCTTCTTGCCATGCTTCTTCTTGTCGATTGTTGTCAAGGTGTTTGCAGCCTGGTGCACCATGGCATTGTACTTCACCGATTTCTTGAAGTTCCTGCCGTGGGCGTAGATCTCTGCATAAGGTCAGTATGCCCCTCCCCCGGGTGGAAAACGGTGTCATGGAGGGTCGCACCTTTCAGTCCAGCAGCGGTGTTGATGCTTAACTCGTTGGGTCCATAACGGACATATGGGCCTACGTGGTAATGACGTTGTCGGTTAGCCTCATGTTTCAGTGAGGATCGACTGGACAGCAAGACTGGCTGCACTTACCATACTTCTCGTGGCAGCGCCACATGTCCAAGTGCTGGTCACCCTTCCATGAGTGGTAGACAGCATAGTAGTTCGTGAGCTTTGCGAGAAGCGGCCCAGGGTATTTGGCATAGGGATGAAAGAACAATCGATAAACGCAAAGGCCGACGAGCTGTCACCATCTCTGTCAGCCAAACCCTCTCGCAACCCAGCATCCCAAGAGTGGCCAACCTACCGCCAGTGCAGTCACACCCACGCACGCAGAGAACGTGGTGGCGAGAGTAGACAAAGCAGATACAGCCAGCGACATGTTTGCGGACGATGTGCGATGCGTCCCAACCCGCAGATTGATGTTTGGCTGTCTTCGAACGAAGGCAGAAAGTATGCAAGTGCACGGGAAGTCAGTTGCACCAACTCAAATACTACCCAGTCCAGGCGTCCAAGGAATCATAAGATCTGGCGCCAATTGGCAGAATCTGTGACCGAAGTTCTGCCTCACCTGATTTTGGGGCGAAGGCCGCAAGGCTCTTCCTTCGTTTCGTTTGATCCAGTCTCCGGGTGAATTCAACCCGGATCCAACTCCCACGTGGAGCCTAGTGTGAGCCCATCAACGATCCATTCCCAAGCATTTTGCTAAGTGAGTCATTGCGTCTGAAAGGATGGTGGGTACTGTAGTATGGGATGGCGAAGCATTTCTGGAATCCGAATCCTGGTGTCAGGAGGAGTATGAGACGGATTGATATCCTGGTCTATCGATCGGATTGATGCCAGGTACCGTATGGTATGTATGTATGTATCGCGTCTGGGTAACATACCTCACAAATTACCACAGATCGGTATGTTCGTCATTTACTGTAACGCTAACGGTCAACAGAACAGAGTGGGTAAGGCATTTTTCTCCGTCCGTCAGGTATTTTTTTTTTTCTTTTTTTTTTTTAATTCTTACTTTTACCCGCCGTCGGCGAATAATAAGAGTCCGATCTATAACTACATGATCGACAGGGGTGTATTTGTTATTTTTGTTATTTGGAACAGAGGAGATTCGGACTTCTCCGCAGTAAGTAAGCACAACGCCTTGCTGCATCCCACGAAAGGAATCAATCTAGATGCTGACGCTCGTATTAGTAACCTTCACTGAGTCCTTGCCCGCATATCTAGCCCGAATTCGGCGAGATCGGGCCCGGTGAGCAAGTTTCTTTGCAGTCTTCAGGCCACTCACTACGTGCTATTAGAGTCTTCACGCACCGAAGGCCTACAGCGCACTGAACAACGGACAAGCAGCCATGACGGACTCTGAGCGATCGTACGTGTCGCGATTCTTCTCCTCTCAGTTTTCCCGACTCCCCTACCCGACGCAGGATTTCACGGATGCCGTAGTCCTAGTGACCGGGGGCAATACCGGCCTCGGTCTGGAGGCAGCACGGCACTTTGTGCGGCTGCAAGCGGCCACCGTCATTCTGGCTGTGCGCGACATGCAGAAAGGACAGAAGGCGAAAGACTCCATCGAAGCCACCACGAAGATCCAAGGGGTCGTCCAGGTGTGGCCGCTGGATCTGGAGAGTGTCCAGAGCGTTCAGGACTTCACCACCAAAGCCGCGGGCCTCCCTCGGCTGGATGTGGTGGTGGCAAATGCCGGCATTTCGACCAGCGAATGGACCCTGATTGGCGGAACAGAGCGATCGATCCTCGTCAATGTGATCTCAACTTTCCTGTTAATTGTGTCGCTCCTGCCTAAGCTACAGGAGACAGCCACGCAGCAGCACACTCGTCCCCGGGTCGTGGTCGTGAGTAGCGAAGGCCACGAGACGACGGAGTTTGTGGAGCAGAAGGCCGATCGCATCTTCGATGCGCTCAAGGATAAGACTCAGTCGAACATGGATGAACGGTACGAGAAACAATTCCCCGACGGAGAATTGGTCTAGACTAATCGATGCAGCTACGATACTACCAAGCTCATTCAACTGTACCTTGTGCGCGCGGTTGCCGAGCACCTGAGCCTATCCAACAAGCCGGCAGTGACCATCAACGCGGTCTCCCCGGGACTCTGCAAGACCGGACTTCTCCGCGAGACGCCTCTCGCTGCTCGCATCCTGATTAGCCCGATCAAGGCGGTGCTTGCTCGCAGTGCAGAGGAGGGGAGCCGGACGTTAGTGCACGCCGCGGGGCCCGACAATGGCGAGACCCATGGCAAGTACTTGCGCGACTGCAAAATGACCGAGTAAGTTTGGCTATTATTGCGAGATGCGGGGAATGCAAATGCTGACTGGCTGGATGCGTATAGACCTGCAGCTGCTGTCCGCAGCGAGCAAGGCCAAGCGACGCAGGAGAAGTTGTTCAAGGAGCTGCTGGAGGAACTGGAGGAGGTTTGCCCTGGAATACGAGGAAATCTGTAATCGCAGTCGCGCAAGATCGCATAGGAATTCCAATTCCAGCTGACAAAACATACTTTTTACCAGAACGGGAGTCCGTAGCAGTAAGTAAGCTGCTCACACTCGTCATTGACGTGCATGATGTCTCTATTTGCCACATGGAGTTAGTCATACCGTCCTGCGTGTAAGCAGACTGAAACATGAACAGCAATTGCTTCGAGATCCTCCAACGAAGAGGTCCGAGCCACATGGGGAGTGACACCGGGTGGTGACACCACATGGCACATGCATGCACCTCACTTTGTCACACTGGGACACTACCCTGTAGCCCAGCTCGATCTCCCTTTCGTCAGGAAGCCGGGGCATCCTGAAGGATTCCACGTGGGGTCCTTGGCTGGTGTGAGAAAAGCCCGCAGATCCTTTCAAATTCTCCAAATTGGAATAATTTAATTCTGGTGGAGAGCTTGAGGGGGCCGTATGGGATGCTGGGGAATTGTAAAACAGGTATCGGTACGGACATCTGTAACAGCTCGGACTGTTACCGATGTGACAAGCTTACAGTTACACCATACCGATACATGCATACCAATACCGCACGGTCGAGAAACATCATGAGATACAGACAGGTATGGATCCAACTATACCCATCCATCCATTCCTTCGTAAATTTTGGCCCCGAACAAGATCACAGCTCTTGTTCATCCTTTTTGTCCCGAGGGCTTCGACATGGCTGAAAAAAGCAAACAAGTATGAGTCTCATGAGAGCAATAAAGTTGCGCCACTGCACTCCCTCCGATGGAGACTTGGCGGCTGAAAGGGGCAACTCCTTCTCACCTTCTCTTTGATTCCTCCACCTACCAAGACCACAGCCTAAGCACGACGACGATGAAGTCTCTGACTGTATCCACTGAGGCCGGTGAGCGTGGCGCCCCTGCGCTGCAGCTGGCTTGGGCCCTGACACTGTCGCTGTTCGTCGGGTCCGACACTGCGGTCTTCAAGACGACCGCCTACGACAAACCCGCTGCGACTGCTAGCTCCACGATCGTCCCTGTCCAGATCCACTTGGATCTTGAGAGAACAGTCGCGGTGGAGCTCGATGAGATTGAGCGTCAGAGTCCCGCAAGTCATCCAAGTACTGCGACAGGAGACGGGTGGGTGGAGAACAGTTTGCTGGTTCTCGAGTCTCCCGAAGCTCCTCTATTCGACATTGTGCGATATCGAGATTACCCTCTCGTTCTCGGGTGCCGGCTTGTGGAAAGAGAATTCCAGCTTCAAGTCGGGTGCAATGACAACGGGCCACCAGAATGGCTGAGCTCCCAGCTTCTGCACCATTTCGCATTTGTTCTTCACAACGTCATCGCCCACCCAGAAACGAAACTGATCGACTTGCCCACGATCTCCTCTGAAGACTACGCGCAAGTGTTGGAATGGAATCACGAGGTTCCCATCAATGTTCGTGCCCGGGTGCAAGATCTCATCGCCAAGGAAACACTGGCACACCCGGAGAGCCCGGCGGTTTGTGCCTGGGATGGCGACTTCACATACCAGGAGCTGGACACGCTCTCCTCCCACCTGGCAGCTCATTTGACGCAGCTAGGGGTTGGACCAGAGACCTTCGTCCCCATCGTGTTCGAGAAGTCCAAATGGAACATGGTGGCTACCCTGGGGATCATCAAGGCCGGGGGCGCCTTTGTCCCTCTGGATCCTGGCCATCCCATCCCGCGCTTGCAAGAGATTTGCCGCCAGACCAAGGCCAAAGTGACAGTGGCTTCCAGCCAGACCGCCCCCTTAGCAACCAGTCTCGCGCCCGTCGTCGTGCGGGTGGGCGAAGAGGATCTAACCTGGCGTGAGAACGATGGCATCGTGCCAGAGCCCTCAGCCGGCCCGGACAATGCCCTCTATGCAATTTTTACCTCCGGAACCACTGGCAGACCCAAGGGAGCGGTGCTGGAGCATCGTCAGTTTTGCTCCATCGTTGGCCCCATGATGGAGCGGACCGGACTGAATCGGGACTCTCGCGCCTTTCAATTCTCCTCGCATGCGTTTGATTTGAGCGTGAGTGACATTCTCGCGACTCTGGTGGCGGGTGGCTGCGTGTGTATACCGTCCGACCTGGACCGGACGAGCAACCTCGCGGGCTCAGCAAACACCATGAAGGTCAACATTATGACGACCACCCCGTCAGTGCACAGGCTATTTAACCCGGCGGATGTGCCAACTCTGAAGACCATCATCTCGTGCGGAGAGATGCTGACGGCAGCGGACCTGGAGCATTGGCGGGGCATTGTGCGCAACTGCTGGGGTCCGGTCGAGACCAGCATCATCTGCACAGGCAATATCACTCCACCGGACAATCGCAACATTGGGACCGCATTCGGTTGCCGTACTTGGGTGGTGGACCGCCATGACCACCGCCGCTTGCTTCCCATCGGCGCCGTGGGCGAGGTGCTCGTGGAAGGGGCCATTGTGGCTCGGGGATATCTCAATGAGCCCGAGAAAACGGCGGAAGTCTTCGTCGAGCGTCCGTCCTGGATTCCGGGAGGCTCAGACGCGGACGAGCTCCGACAGTACCGGACGGGCGATTTGGCCCGTTATAACGGGGATGGCACTCTGCATTTCGTCGAGCGAAAGGATACCCAGGTGAAGCTCCATGGTAACCGGATTGAGCTAGCTGAGGTGGAGCATCATCTGCAGAGCTCATTCCAAACGGTGGATGATGTGATTGTGGACATTGCTAGCCCTCCTGCCCGCGGTAATCACCAGATCCTGGTGGCGTTTGTGCTGGAGCCTCGCCGCCGGCTCCCTGAAGCAGCAATGCTCCTCCCGGTTGATGAGGAGTTCCGACAGGCGTGCACGGAGGCCGAAGAAAAGCTGCGGTCTCGTGTTCCATCGTACATGGTTCCAGGCGCTTTCATTCCGGTGTCGCGCATGCCACTCACCCTCAACGGGAAAATCGATCGGAGAAACCTCCGTGAGGCTGCAGCAGGGCTATCAAAAGAGGCGCTCGACATCTACGCTGCCAAAGGCCGCATTGACACGCAGCCCTCCCATAAGCGTCAGCCACAGACGGACCGCGAAGTGCTGCTACAGAAGCTCGTCGCTGAAAGTATTGAGGCGGAGCCATCGACTGTCGGCATGGAAGACAATTTCTTCTTCCTGGGGGGAGACTCGACGACGGCCATGAAACTAGTCAGCTTGGCTCGTGAGGCAGGAATTTTCTTTACGGTGCCTGATCTCGTCTCTCAGCCTCGTCTCGTGGACCTTCTCGCCTTCGTGGACCAGCAAGAGAGTGAGAAAGTCGACAAGAAGGACAATATCTTCACCAAGCCAGCACCGTTTTCTCTTCTGGGGGTCGAGGACGCCGCAACCTTTTTCAAAGAGACCCTGGCACCGCAGTTGCCCGACTTTGCGCTTGAGGATGTACTTGACGCTTTCCCAATGACAGCCATGCAGAAGCGATTCTATGGCCCTCCGCAATATTATCAACTCTTCCTTCAAGGCGAAGTCGACCAGACGCGTCTCAAAGAAGCATGTGAGCAACTGATGAAGGACAATGCCATCCTCCGAGCCATCTTCGTCTCCCACAACGAGGATATGATCCAGGTCATTCCCAAAAGGAGCATGTTTTCGTTTGACGAGGTTGAATGCGAAGAACCGGACCTTGCCGAGTACGTCCAGAAGCTCTGCCAGGAAGACGTTGCGAAGCCCATCCCTCTGGGACAGGCCCCGACTCGGTTTACATTCGTGAAGCGCAGCCCCACAGAGAATGTCCTCATCATCCGAATAACCCACTCACAATACGACGGGGTGACGCTGCCTATCATCTACCGTCGCCTTGCAGCGTTATACCGCGGTGAACCCACCCCCATCGTCACTGATTTCCCGGAATACCTCTACCGCGCAGAGACCTTGAAGACCCCTGCCGCGACAGAGACTTGGAAAGACATCCTTCAGAATGCCTCCATGAGCTACGTCGGTCTCCAGCAAACCCCACCCCCCGAGCCGACCCTCCTCTATGCCACCCGCGTCTTGCCCAACCTCAAACCGGCTCCGGGCATCACCCAAGCCACGCTAGTCAAGGCAGCCTGGGCGCTCACCCTCTCCAGTAATCTCGAATGCAGAGATGTGACCTTCGCCCAGATGGTCAACGGCCGCGGTGTCGCCATTCCCGGCATCGAATCAATTCTCGGCCCCTGCTTTAACACTATCCCCGTGCGCGTCCCCCGCCAGAAGTCCTGGACCGGCCTCGACCTTCTGCATTATGTGCAGAGCCAGCACCTCAAAACCATGCCCTACAGCTCTCTCGGGTTTGAGGAGATCAAAAAGCTCAGCACTGGCTGGGACCCGCGGACTACGATGGCTTCGGTGGTCGTGCACCAACACTTTGAGCAGCTCAAAGCCTTTGATTTCGCGGATGGGATCCACTGTACCGTCAAGGACTTCTTCGCACCGACGATCCCAAATGAAATCGTTCTCTACTCCGAGGTCAATGAGGCGAAGCAGTGGGAATTGCACTTGTTGACCTCGGTGAATGTGTTGGGGCCCGAGGCGTACGATGGGTTGTTGGGGAAGACGGCGGAGTATATGAAGGTGTTGGCGGCGACGCCGGAGAAGGAACTCACAAGTATTGTTGGGTTTTGAAAAGAATGACCTCTGTGCTTTGTAATTTCTTTGTTGAAGCTGGCGTCATTGGGATTTTGTGTTGGTGTTATTGTCGCCTGGTCCGTTGTTCTCCTGCCCAGATTTAAATTGTATGTCTGGGCGAGAAGATATATATATATGATGTGTTAGTATTACTATGGGTTAGAGTCCCCGTGTCATTTTCTGTACAAGTGAAGAATATATATCAAGGTTCTTTGAGCAAGTCAATGATTTTTTTTTTTTTAAATCTTTAGTGCTTTGCAGATTATATTTACGTAGGAGAATCAGCTCTTAAGATATAATTTCTCTCTCATTACGGATTACAAGATAGGGCTTGATGTAAAGCAGACGGATGTGCTGCCTGAAGAACGAGGCATTAACCTGAGTCACCCATGCTTAGTCATTATCGGGCTTTTCGTCTTACTTTCAGCCTTACTTAAAATCCATCCATCTTACCTCGCGACTTTTGAATCGGCTCTGCTTTTTTCTCAGCTTGAAAAAGTCGTTTGAGACCATTGAGATCACTCCTACGTGGTCAAACGCACCCCATTGAGCGAAGGACTGCTGCAATTCAATCTCGCCAAACCCGTCATGCATTACAGCGAGCGGGACTCCAATTCTGACAGCGGAGACAGCGAGGTCTCGCCTTTGATCCCAGGCCCGCCGGTTGCGATCTCTCCCCCCACGCCATCCAAGAAACAGATCCTCAAGGTCATCTTGCTGTGCGCTTCGGCGACCTTGATTTTAGATATCGGTCTCACGGTCGTGCTTGCTCCGAAGATTCGATTGCTGGAGTCGATTCTCTGCCAGGAATACTATCACACTCATGGCCTCCAAGGGCTGATGCACGATATCCCCGAGTCACAGTGTAAAACGAAGGAGATCCAGTCCGCTGTCGCACGATTGATTGGCTGGCAGGCGGTGTTTGACAGTCTTCCCGGTATGTTTTTCATTCCAGCCCTGAACGCGCCGTGGCAGATCTCACTAACCCTGCGAAGCCATTTTTCTGGCAATCCCGTATGGCGCCTTGTCCGATACCAAAGGCCGCAGACCCGTTCTGTTGCTATGCTTCCTGGGCCTTACTCTATCAACTGCTTGGACTTTGCTCATCTGTTGGCTGCGGTTGCCCCTGGAGCTAACCTGGATCTCATCTCTCTTCCAGTGCTTGGGCGGGGGCCCAGCGGTAGCCACCGCCATCGTGGAGGCCACCATCGCCGATGTGGTGCCCGATGACAAGAGATCCACCATCTATTTCCAACTGCAGGCGGCGGTGTTGATCTCCGACATCCTAGCCAATCCTCTGTCGGCCGTTCTCATGGCCCACAATGTCTGGATCCCCTGTTTCCTAGGCCTCAGCATCCAGGCGCTAGGCACCATTTTGTTGATGGCGCTTCCCGAAACGCTAAGCTTTGCCCGAGCTCTGTCGCCGTTGGCGGAGTCGACCAGCGACTGTGTAGAGGAAGAGGAGCGGTTAACGCTGCGCGGTCGCTTGGTGAAGAACTTCCGCAGCATCGTGTCAGATCGGAATGTAGCAGGACTAGTATTTGGCCTGCTCGTCCTGACGATCAGTGCGGAGTCAGTGGACTTCCTGCTCCAGTACGTTTCCAAACGATATGGGTGGTCTATTGCCAAGGTAAGACTTCTCCCCACCGTGAGCAGTCGCGGGTCCAAAACTGACGCTGTTACGAATCCCCCCCTCCCCAGTCGGCTATGCTTCTCTCCTTACGTGCGGCAGTCGAGTTTGGACTACTCCTCATCCTTGGGCCCCTACTCCTGTTCCTTTCCTGGCCCAGTCTGCGCAATCCCCTGCAACGTGATCTCTGGGTAGCCCGCGTGAGTCTCGGGTTCATCGTCTTAGGGTTCCTCATCCTTGCACTGTCTCCTACCGTGGCCTCTGCAATCCTCGGTGAGTCCCGTCACATCCATGGATGGTGCATTGGTCAACACAATTTAACATCAGACAGGGTTGATCATCTACACACTGGGCGCCGGATTCCAGCCGGCCGTGATGAGCCTTCTCGGTTCGGTTTGGAAGGCATCCAACCCCACCAATCTCGGCAGTCTGTACAGCACCGTGGCGATCATCTTGGCGGCCGGCGGCGTGATCGCCGGCCCACTGCTCTCATTCATGTTTCAGCTCGGTCTGCGTCTCGGCGATGCATGGGTTGGTCTCCCGTACTTTGTGTCTGCCTGCCTCTGCGCAGGGATTGCGCTGGTAATGCTGTCGGTCAGACTGCCAAGCAGACCCATTGCATCAGAGATGTGAGGTGCCGGTGGGTACAGAAACGCAAGGCAACCGTGTTTTTGAGTTGCCTCGGCCCGGGTTGGTGGTGCAGAGGGCTTGCTGGCGGGGCTATAAAGTCGGGATATCTCTCGCTGTCTTCTAGGGAATGTCACAGATCTCTCCTCAGACTTCTAAATTCAAGCTACGGGCTACGACACAACGATAGGATTAAACATGTTTCTCATTCAAATACACCCTTAACTAATATTCACTTCTGCGGGGTTCGTCGCATGTTGGTAACGAATGGAATCACCCGCGCATTCTCGAGATCCCAGATCTTCTCCTGGATATAGGGATCGCTCTTGAGACGGTCCCAGATTTGCTCCTTGCCCACCTCGTTGATGACCATCACGGAGCCCTTGAAGGGTCGACGGGGGTTGCCGGGGAAGGTGTGTTTCTCAAAGACGGGCCCTATGTATCCCGAACTTAGAATGGAACTGAAAGGGAACGAGGGATGGAACGCCTACCGGCCCAGGTAACCCACTGCTCCTGGTGGAGGCGAACAAAGTTGGGGGAATGACGGGGTCGGATCTCGAGCCGACGATCAAGCTGCCATGTCGATCAGTTGTTTGAGCCGTGAGCAAGTGGGTTCCGCAGAGGATAGCATGTGCACGGTGGTGATAGACGGACAGACTACCACGAATCACCACAGTTACTTACCACATTCGGCATGTCAGGAAAGAGCACCAGCCATTCCCTGGGCTCTGCCGCAGCAGCCGCAGGGGCTTCAGAGGGAGACGAGGCAGGAGTCTCAACAGCAACCGCAGCGGCCGAAGAAGCCAACCTGGCCTGAGAGAGGCGAAATCCCCTGAGGACAGACCACCGCCGGGCGCAGCGGATTGTTGTCGCCATGCTAAGACAAATGACTTGATTGAGATGAGAAAAAAAAAAAGTGGATGTGATGTTGCAAGTCAGGAGTGCTCCTCACCAATGATGATGATGGCTCGCTCCGCTTTTATTATGCCTCACTGCCATGATTCTCCGGACGAGTTTCATCGCCTCAATCCGAGGAGCACGCAACGGAGCGAACAGGTTGGACAACGTCGTATCCCCCCAATACGCTTGCGTAGCAGGCTGGCACATAGGGCGCCCTGCGCCACGAAATCCTGCGTAAACTATCCATCCATGCCCCGAGACAACATCATTTGGCCCCCATGGTGTGAGGAATGCTTGGCCTCTGCAGCCTTCGTATAAGATTGCCTCGATTCGCCCGATCCGGTTAGCGGGTTGGTCCTGTAGTGGGCGAAAATCCTAGTGGTGGACAAGTAGCCGCAGAGGCTGAGATCCATGATGGAAGAGGCTAAAACAGGGAGATGGATGCAGCTAAGACTGGCGTGCATCCTGTTTGATCCTGCAGAAGCAGAATCTTCATCGAAGAAATTGAAGCCACGCTATGTTCGGACGGTGTCCGAGGAGCCCGAGATCCTTCAGCATTAGAGATGGATGGATAGTTGGTCAGCACTAATCGTATTATGTTCGAGTGTACGGTACTGCGCATGAAGATGTAATGAAATAGTCGTATCAATGTATTATTACTAGTGACTGGTTTTGTTTTCCGTCACAAGTATGATACAATACCACTCACGGTGGGGATCCCGGAATACGGATTGATTCCCTTCTACTCCACACCTCCTCCACTTCTTCCTCCACTTCCTTCCTTCCTGCTTCCTTCAACCTCCTCCCTCCTCCACCCACTCATCCTCAACTGCTTCAGCTCTTCGCTGAATGCACCTACCACGTTGCTGATCACACCACATGGCTCCTGCACTAGCGCAAGATGCTGTCTGCGGCGTGATTAACCAGCCCCGACTGTCAAACCGCCCCCATCGCCATGTGGGGACCTTGCTGTGGAGTCCTCCTCACGAGGCTGCTTATCGCGGATCAATTTGGCGGCGAAAAGCCTCCTCTATGATAATCGGTGTTTTAAGTCCATGGCTGATTCCTTTCACGCTGAAGTCAGGCTACAAGGACTGAGACTTCTACGTGAGCTCGCTGCTGGGAGTTGGATCTTCGTGCTTGACAGACCTGACTGACACTTGACTCCTTTTCCAACGCTCTTTCTGCGGGATTTGGCCACGATCCTCTCCTGCTTCATCCTCACTCTATCTTCACTCTGTTCCACTTACCTCGCACCTTCAACCCACCTCGCGTTTATCGCTGTCGCGGCCATTGTACACATAGAACAACCAACAGGTAAAAAAGACCCTCTTTGAAAAGCTGACATAGACTCTATAGACTTTTATCCACGATACCCGCTATATACTTTTTTCTTCAACTACAACATTAATACCTACTACAAGCACAATGGCTCCCAACAAGACGAACCCAGACGCGTCTGCGCAATTCTGGACGAAAAGCCTGGCGAGCATGGAGATCAGCCGTCTCTCCCATCTCGTGCAGTCGTACGAGGGAGAAGCACAGTGGTCCAGCTGTGCGGTCAGCGCTGGAATCAGGCTGCACACACTGAATGCGCTCTGCCAGTCGCAGCGAGCCTCCCTGTTGGTGATCCTCCAGACCGCTTGGGCAGCGGTGCTGGGTCGGTTCCTCGGCACAGACACGGTCACCTTCGTGAGCGTAGAGCAAGATGGCGCATCCGTCAAGAACAGCGTTTGCGGTGCGAGCTGGACCCGAGGTTCCACCACGCTGCACGAGCTGTTAGATCAGCTTACCCGGTGGCAGGAGACTTCGTGGTCGCACCAGGACGTCTCGTTGCAGGAGATTGAGAGCCTGTCGAACGTGGTTCCCGATACCAGTGTGAGGTTGAACCGTGTCGTCGGCGAGTCTCTGTCTGTCGCACGCGACAAGGTGAGTAGCTGGACCCTTTGGTTGACAATCGACGATTTGGCGGAAATTAATGATCTGTAGCGCCTTATCGAACTTGTGGCGCAAGTGAGCTCGGATTCGATCGAAGTTGTTCTCGAGTACAATGCCTCCGCGCTGGCCGCAAGCCAAGTCAGAAGCATTGCCGGGTCGCTGGAGAAGGCTCTGCAGGCGGTCACCGACCAGGGCGCCACCCGTGTCTCCCAGGTCGACCTGTGCAGTGAAGAGGACCGGAAGCAGGTCTTCAAATGGAACGCTGACATGCCAGTGACCATCAACGAATGTGTCCACACGTGGATTGAGCGCAAGGCGCTCGAGCAGCCCCACGCTCCGGCTGCTGCCGGCTTCGGCGGGGATTTGACCTACCAGCAATTGAACAACCAGGCCGACCATCTGGCCGCATACCTCCAGGGATTGGGGGTAGGCCCCAATTCTTACGTAGCCCTCTGCTTTGACAAGTCGACTCTGCCGATTGTGGCCATGCTGGCTGTGTTTAAGGCCGGTGGTGCCTACGTTGCTCTCAACCCCCAACACCCTGTCAACCGCCAAACGGTCATCCTCAACAGGATCGACGCCCAAGTGGTCCTGGCAGGTCCTGCCTACGTCAGCACCTTCTCTGGGCTTGTGAAACATGCGGTCGCCGTCACACCAGATTTGATCAACGAGCTGGCCGCTGAGGGACGCGCAAAAGCCCTCATCCGCTTTGCTCAGCCCGAATGCCCGGCCGTTGTCGTCTTCACGTCCGGCAGTACGGGAGAGCCCAAGGGTATTGTGGTGGAACACCGTGCCTTGATCTCGAGTATGATCCACCATGCCGTGATCATGCATCTAGACAGCTCCACCCGGGCTCTCCAGTTCGCGACCTACACCTTCGACTTGAGTGTAGGAGAAATCTTCAACACTCTTGTTCACGGCGGATGCGTCTGTGTGCCTTCGGAGGAGGAACGAATGGACGACCTTGAAGGCTTCATCCGCCGGTTGGAGGTGAATTGGGCTCTTCTGACCCCCACCGTTCAAAACATGCTTACCCCTGCCAACGTTCCCTGCCTGAAGACCATCTCCACGGCGGGAGAAGCCCAAAAGCAAGAAATCATCGAAGCCTGGGCAGATCACGTCCAACTGAACAACATGTACGGACCGGCGGAAACTACTATTCTTTGCGCGGGCCGTCCCAGCATCAAGCGGGACACCCCTGCTCCCAACATCGGTCTGGCTCTCGGAGCTCTGCAATGGATCACGGATCCCATGGATCCCAACCAGCTGTGCCCTGTGGGAGCCATCGGTGAGGTGTTGATCGAAGGACCGGGTCTCGCTCGTGGCTACCTGAAAGATGAAGAGAAGACAAATGCGGCCTTCATTGAGAACCCGAGCTGGGTGCCAAACACCAAACCCCCTCGCCGCTTCTACCGCTCGGCCGATCTGGGATACCTCAGCCAAGATGGAACCTTCAACATTGTTGGCCGCAGAGATACACAGGTCAAGATCAATGGTCAGCGACTCGAACTGGGCGAGATCGAGTTCCATCTCAAGAACCTGTGCTCTGGTTGGCAAGCGGCTGTGGCTGAAGTAATCAAGCCCAAGGTCCAGAACGAACAGCCAACGCTTGCAGCCTTCATCCACTTCGAGGATGATGCTCAAACGGAGAACTCACTTCTCGGTCGTATGTCGGAAGGGCGGCGGGAGCAACTTTGCCAGCTCAAGGAGGCCCTCGCTCTTCACCTTCCGTCGTACATGATACCCTCGTTGTTCATCCCCATGGCGCAAATGCCGACCACGATCAACGGTAAGCTTGATCGCCGAAGCTTGCGTGATCTGGCGGCGGAATTCTCCGCGGAGACACTCATTTCATTTTCCCTTGCGAGTGCAAATACCGTCAAGCGCGAGCCTGCCACAGCAGCCGAGAAGAAGATTGCAGAGCTCTGGGTCGAAGTCTTGAAAGTCTCACCCGAGACTCTCGGCCTAGATGACAGCTTCTTTCAGATGGGAGGTGACTCGATTGCAGCCATGAAGCTCTCGGCTGTCGCTCGGTCCGCAGGATTAAGCCTGACCGTGTCGAAGATCTTCCGTCATCCTACCCTGGAAGGGATGTCCAAGGTTGCCGAGGTACTCTCGGAGAGTGACAGTCAAGCCATCAAGCCATTCTCTCTCGTTGATGTCACTGATATCTCCATCTTTATGGATGAGCTCAGTTCCAAGTGGGGCATCGAGAGATTGGATATCGAGGATGCATACCCCGCAACTGCGTTGCAAGAAGGTCTTATGGCTATCACTCAAGGAGAACCGGGAACCTATATCTACCAGAACGTTTATAAGCTGCCAGCTGAGATCGATCTGGCGAGATTCCGCGCCGCCTGGGAATCTGTCGCCAACACAACAGAGATCCTCCGAACGACCATCGTTCCTACTGACACTTCTGGCACGTACCAGGTTGTGACTAAATCGTCGATTGACTGGAGGTACCCAACCAATGTCGAGAAATACCTGGCAGCAGATGCTCAACAAACAATGCAATACGGTGATCCTCTTGCTCGGTACGCTCTGATCCCAAGCATCAAGGGTGCGACATTTGTGTGGACTGCTCACCACGCCCTGTATGATGGATGGTCTCTGCCGCTTCTCTGGAAGCGGGTGGAAGAGGCATACCATAACAATGGAATGTCGCAACCACATGTGGCACCGTTCAACCGCTTCATTGCTCATCTCCAGGACATGGAGGCAGGCGCCACGAATGACTTCTGGAAGTCCTATCTGTCCTCGTCAAATCCTCCGAAGTTTCCGCAGTTGCCTTCTCAGACATATCAACCACGCGTTAACAACATCCACCACCATGAGTTTGGCCTCAAGGGTAGCACCTCGTCGGACGTCACAGCGTCGACTTTGATCCGAACCGCCTGGTCCATCCTCATGTGCCAATACTCGGACGCTGGTGACGACGTTATAGTCGGTGTGACTGTTGCAGGCAGAAACGTTGATATTCCGGCCGTCGCAGAGATGGCTGCGCCAACGATTACCACTATCCCCGTCCGGGTCCAAATGGACCGTGATGAAACAGTGGCTGATCTACTCAACAAGGTTCAAACTCAGACCATCGAGATGATGCCTTACGAGCACGCTGGATTGCAGAACATTGCCAAGATCAATCGCGAATGCCGTCTCGCGTGCGTTTTCCAGAACCTGCTTGTTGTTCAACCCGAGGAGGACGAGGGCAACATCAGCTCTTTGGGCATCCAGAAAATCCAGTCACCCGACGTAGGCATCTACACTTATGCTCTGGTCGTGCAGTGCTTGCTTCGTGGTGACAAAGTCGGGGTCCAGGTTGATTTCGATGACCGTGTTCTCTCCTCGTGGCAGGTCGAGCGGATCTGCTCCCAGCTCGAGCATATCGTTGGAGAGCTCCGATCGAACCCAGCGGTAAAACTCGGTGATATGAGTTTGGTGAGTCAGGATGACTATGCTCAGATCATGAGTTGGAACCACGAGCTTCCGGTCAAGGAGGAACGCTGCGTTCATGATATCATTGGTGATCAGGTCCTGGCGACCCCCGATGCTCCTGCCATCTGCTCCTGGGATGGCGACTTTACATATGCTCAAGTAGACGAGCTGTCCAATCGTTTCGCTCGACACCTTGTCAGCCTTGGTGTTGGTCCGGAGACCTTGGTTCCTCACTGCTTCAGCAAGTCGGCCTGGACCGTCATTGCCATGCTGGCCATCATCAAGGCTGGAGGCGCTTGTGTCGCCCTGGACCCTGGACACCCCGTTGATCGTCTGAAGGGTATCATTGCAGATGCTGGAGCGGACCTAGTTGTGACTACTCCCGAGCATGGCCATATGTTCAAGGGTCTTGTCAGTGAGGTCGTTGCACTCAGTCCAGAATGGTTTGAGTCGAATGATTTGGCTTCTGATACCTTGGCGCCACGCGCTGACCGAAAGAACCCAGTCTTCGTGCTGTTCACCTCTGGCAGTACTGGAAAGCCGAAGGGTATCATCATCGAGCATGGCATGTTTGCGTCCAGTGCTGCCGCTCACAGCCAGGCATTCGGCATCAATGCTGAGTCTCGGGTGTTCCAGTTCGCTGCCCACACTTTCGACGTCAGCGTCGGAGATATCTTCACCTCGTTGATGAAGGGCAGTTGTATCTGTATCCCGTCGGACCTTGAGCGCATGAACAATGTTGCCGGCGCTATCAACCGCATGAAGGCCAACTATGCCTTCTTGACCCCCACCGTGGCCAACTTGCTTCGTCCCGAGCAGGTCCCGACTCTTCGAACGCTTACCCTTGGTGGTGAAGCCCCAACAAGAGAGAATATCAGGACTTGGGCAGACCACCTCAACCTGATTCTTTGCTACGGGCCGGCAGAGTGCTCTGTTTACTGCTCGGCGAACCCCCCTGCTACCCAACAAAGCAACCCGGCTGTTCTCGGACACGCCATTGGCGCTCTCATCTGGCTGGTTGACCCTGTGAATCATGATAAGCTGACGCCCGTCGGCTGTGTTGGTGAATTAGTCGTCCAAGGTGCAACGGTTGCCCGTGGGTACTTGAACGAGCCCGAGAAGACCCGGTCTGCGTTCATTCAAGATCCAGCATGGCTGCCTAAGACGTTCCCACAAGAGTACCGTCGTATTTATAAGACTGGTGACCTTGCCAGGTTCAACCCAGACGGGTCTCTGAGCTTCGTTGCACGGAAGGACACCCAAGCCAAGGTTCGAGGACAGCGTGTGGAATTGGCAGAGATTGAGGTTCATCTGTCTGAGAGCCCGGAGATTCAGCATGCTATGGTTTCGGTTCCAGCGGCTGGGCCCTACAAGAGCCGGCTGGTCTGTATTCTGTCCTTACAGGAGATCGCTCAACGCAGTGCCGGCACCCCTACCAGCGATATCACCTTGGTTGAGGGAAGCGACAAGGCTGAAGCAGCTGAGATGACGACCATCATTGAGAATCGACTTGCAGAGAAACTGCCTCCCTACATGGTGCCGGCTGTGTGGATCACTCTCAAAAAGATCCCGCTCAACCTGTCTGGTAAGATCGATCGCAAGCTGCTGAAGGGATGGCTCGAAGATGTGGATGAAGCCACCTACCAGTCCATTGCGGCAATGGCGACTGCTGAGGGAGCAACCGCCCAGCCTACCTCGGATATGGAGAAGAAGGTGCAGGCTGCTTTCAGTGCTACACTGAACCTCCCCCTAGAGTCGGTGGGCCTCAATACTTCCTTCCTTAGTGTTGGTGGTGATTCAATCTCGGCCATGCAGGTTATGTCTCGACTTCGTTCTCAAAATGTGCGGGTCACTGTCCAGGATGTTCTCAAGCTCCGTACAGTGGCTGCCCTCGCCGGCCGGGCACAGTACATTGAACAATCCACAGCGGACAATGCGGCTGTGGAAGCTGAAGTACTCGATGAATGGTTCGAGCTAGCGCCCATTCAGCAGCTTTTCTTCCAGATGCAGCCTCAGGGACAGAATCACTTCAACCAGAGCTTCGTGCTGAAGCTGGGCGAGGATCTTTCGCAAGAGGAGCTTCAGAAGGCACTCCAAACTATCGTGCTACGACACTCCATGCTTCGTGCCAGATTCCAACATTTCGATGGATCTTGGCATCAGAAAATAACCAACGATGTCGCGGATTCCTTTGTGTTGCTCCCTAGACAGTCCTGCAGCCGCGACGAAATGATCGCCAAGTTCCGCGAGGCTGAGACTCTTTTCGACATCAGCCAAGGACCTGTCTTGACAGCTCAAGTATGTACCACTCCTGACGCTAGGTACATCTTCTTGGCAGCCCATCACTTGGTTATCGATCTCGTCTCTTGGCGCATCATCTTCCAGGATCTTGAGGATGTGATCAAGTCCGGCAAAGTCAGCTCCGAGCCTACTATCTCTTTCCAGACCTGGACCAGACTGCAGCATGAATACGTATCTGAGACCTTCTCAGAACGGGCTACTTGGGACCTGCAGGCCCCTGTTGGAGACTTCAACTACTGGGGAATGCAGGGAGAATCCAATACGTGGGGAGACATCACCACCGAATCCTTCGCCATTGATGTTAAGAGGACGTCGCTGCTCCTGGGAGACTGCAATCTCCCTCTGCGCACCGAGCCGACAGAAGTCATGGTTGCTGCTTTGCTTCATTCATTCCGCCATGCATTTTCCGACCGAGCTGCCCCTGCTGTCTATCTAGAAGGACATGGCCGTGAGCCCTGGACGTCGGCGATCGATGTCTCACGGACTGTCGGATGGTTCACCACCATGTACCCCATCAGTTACGAGGCGTCCGGTGACCAGTGGCTGGATGCCCTCAAGCGGCTCAAGGACAATCGCCGCAAGGTTGCCGACAACGGTTGGCGCTACTTTACTGCCCGCTCTCTGACCGATGGGATGCAGGATATGGAGATTGTCTTTAACTACCTTGGCCTCTACCAGCAACTCCAGAAAGCTGATGCTCTTTTCCAAGAATCCACCATTACTGGAACGGATTGTGCTGAGATCAGCCCGGCGATGCAGCGCTACTCTCTTTTCGAGATCTCCGCCGGTGTCTCCAATGGGCAGATGGAGTTTACCTTTGAGTACAACAAGAAGATGCGTCACACAGCAGCTATCAGCGCTTGGATCAGTCATTATCGTCAGGTCCTCGAGGGTGGTATTGATGAACTCATGGCACAGTCGGAGATCCTCACTCTGAGCGACTTCCCTCTTCTCTCTCTGTCTTATGAGGGCTTGGAGAATCTGGCAGCGTCTACCCTACCAGAGGTTGGAGTGAAGACGATCGAGGAGATCGAGAGCCTCTCTCCTTGCTCGCCTATGCAGCTGGGTTTGTTGATGAGCCAATTGAAGTCCGTGGGCGACTATGAATTCTTCACGATCAAGAAAGCTAGTGCTCGCGAGGGAGTCGACAGTGCTAAATTGCTTGCTGCTTGGCAGCAGGTCATCGATCGCCACCCCATGCTGAGAACTGTCTTCGTCAAGAGTGCTGCATCCGACAAGTTCTACGATCAGCTCGTGCTGAAGAATATGAAGGCACAGGTGGTGGAGCTTCGTAGCAGCGATCCTGTTCAGGCTTTGCGCGCATTGAGACCGGTGGGAATCGCCGAAGGAAAGGCACCCCATCAATTGGCCGTCTGCCATGCCGACGACGGTCAATTTTACCTCAAATTGGAGATCAACCATGTTCTGATCGATGGTACATCCATGGCTGTCATCGAGCGCGACTTGAGGCGTGCTTACAGCGATCAGCTAAGCAGCGTCGCTCCCCTTGCTTATGTCGACTACGTAACCTTCCTTCAAGAGGCCAAGAAGGAAGAATCGCTTGACTTTTGGAACACTTACCTCAAAGATGTCCAGCCATGCCAATTTCCGATTCTCAATGACGGTCGGGAGCAAGTTCAGGCACTAGAGTCCATCGATGTGGAGTTGCCGGGCTTGACAAAGGAAGCGCTGAGTGCCTTCTCTGAGCGCTATGGAATCACCATTGCCAATGTTGTTCAGACTGCCTGGGCCCTTGTGCTCCGAACATATATTGGAACGGAAAGTGTTTGCTACGGCTATCTCACCTCCGGTCGTGATGCTCCTCTTGATGGCATCGAGGACGCCGTGGGTCCCTTCATCAACATGCTTGTCTGTCGCTTGGACTTTGACTCCAATGCGCCTGCCTTGCTCGCCCTCCAAAAGATGCAGGACGGGTTCTTGAAAGGAATGACCCACCAATACGTGTCTTTGGCTGAGATGCAGCATGCCTTGGGCGTCACTGCGCAAGGATTGTTCAACACTGCTATGTCTTTCCAGCGATATTCGCCCGACGAGTCCATGGATCTGAACCTTCACACAGTTTACGACTATGATCCGACCGAGGTAAGATTAAAAGCACGGGAAATCTGAGATCGTACGCTAACCTTGTGTCTAGTTCAATATCACCGTCAACGTTGCCACGCGGGATGAAGGAATGGTGATTGATCTGACTTACTGGACTTCAAAGCTGTCGAGCGGTCAGGCTGTCCACATTGCCAACACTTATAGCACCGCCATCATGTCGCTTCTCTCGAACCCCGAGACCGTCCTGGCCGACGTGAATCTGCTTAGTCCCTTGGACAAGTCATCTTTGCTGAACTGGAATAGTCAGCTTCCTTATGCGGTCGACCGCTGCATGCATGAAGTTATTCACGAAAATGCTGTCGAACGCCCCAATGCTCATGCTCTGGAGTCATGGGAGGCCACATACACATACGAGCAACTCGACAAGGCATCAACACGCCTTGCACGCCTCTTGATTGAGAAGGGAGTCTCGCCTGATGATTGCATTCCCTTGTGCTTCGAGAAGTCCCTCTATACTATTGTCGCTCTCGTCGCAGTTCTCAAGGCTGGTGGCGGATTTGTCCTCCTTGATCCAAAGCATCCTGATGATCGGCTCAGGGGTCTTCTTGAGGACACCAAGGCTAGGTTCCTGATTGTTTCTCCGCAAACACAACAGCGCTGTGAGAGGCTCATTGCAGACTTGATTGTGGTGTCACAGGAGATGTTGGATCAGCTTCCCAAGGCAGGCGAGGATTGTCTCCCCAAGACAGCGGTCAAGCCGGAGAACATCATGTATGTTCAATTTACATCTGGCAGTACAGGAAAGCCTAAGGGTGCTGTTGTCCACCACAAGGCTGCCTGCTCATCTTTCGAGCACCACGGAAAGGTGATGAACTACGGACACGATTCTCGCATCTTCCAGTTCTCGTCGTACACATTCGACGCCATCATTCTGGAGGCATTCACAACCTTGTACCATGGCGGCTGTATCTGCGTTCCCTCGGAGGAGGACCGCATGAGCAGTATGGTACAGTCCATGAGGGAGATGAAGGTCAACAATATGTTCATGACCCCCACTCTAGCTCGTCTGTTTGGACCTCAGGATGTTCCCTCCCTGACCACTCTCATGCTTGGTGGTGAACCGATTCCACAGGACAGCATCACCACCTGGAAGGATCATGTCAACCTCATTGGAGGATATGGTCCCGCCGAATGCTGCGTCTACTGTTGTTACAATCCTCTCAGCGAGACTGGATTCAAGCCTGAGGTTATTGGATACCCAGTTGGCTCGGTGCTGTGGATTGTCGACGCCGATAACCATGACAAGCTCGTTCCGATCGGAGCTATTGGAGAAATCGTGGTACATGGTCACATCGTTGGCCAAGGTTATCTTAACGACCCAACCAGAACTGCGGCAAGCTACATCTCAGCTCCGAGCTGGATGTCCGAGTACCACACGGGTGAGCAGACGCTGTACAAGACCGGTGACTTGGGTCGATACAATTCCGACGGCACTTTGTCTATTGTCGGCCGTAAAGATACCCAGGTGAAGCTCAACGGACAACGTATTGAACTGGGAGAGGTTGAACACCACATCAAGACCGAGTTCCCGCAGGTCCTTCAGGTGGCGGTCGATGCGCTCAAGCCCGAGCATGGCAATGGACGGCAGATCCTCTCTGCCTTCCTCGAGTTCGAGGCCAGTGATGAGGTCCAGGGCGACGGCTTTCTCCGACCGATGACGGACGACCTCCGGGAAACGATGTTCGAGATCGAAGCCGTGCTTGCCCAACTTTTGCCGCCTTACATGGTGCCCCATCTCTGGTTCCCGTTGGTCACGATGCCAAAGTCCGCCTCTGGTAAAACTGACCGCAAGGTGCTGAAGCAGCTGTGCAACAATTTGTCCAAGGTCGACCTTCAACAATATTCTCTCGCTAGCGGGAGCAAGAAGGCTTTGGAGACACCCATGGAGAAAAAGGTTGGAGCGCTTTGGAGTGCCCTCTTCAAGGCGTCTGAGTTCGGAGCCAATGACAACTTCTTCCGTGTTGGTGGTGACTCGATTGAAGCCATGAAGCTGGCTACCGCCGCTCGTCGGGAAGGCCTGTCTCTGTCTGTTGCTGACATTTTCAACAACCCTAAACTCAGCGACATGGCTCAGATTGCCGCTGCAGCTGAAGGTGCTTCTGCTGTGCCGAAGTACGAAGGACCCTTCAGCCTCATCGGGGGCGTTGAAAGTGCTCGCTCCATTGTGGAGAAACATCTTTCGAGTGAAAAGTTTGATACGGTCGAAGATGTCTATCCTTCCACGTCACTGCAAGAAGGTCTTCTTGCGTTGACTACCAGCCAAGCCAATGCATATGTCCTCCAGGCTCCATTCAAGCTACCGGTACACCTCAACCTAGACCGTTTCCGCAAAGCCTGGGACCAGGTTGTTGAGTCAAACCCTATCCTCCGTACAGTCATTGTCTCCACTGAGACTCGCGGTACATGCCAGGTTGTGCTAAAAAAGAGCGTCCAGTGGGTGTATGCTCCGACTTTGTCGCAGTATCTTGAGCAAGACAAGGAGAAATCCATGACATACGGAACACCACTAAGTCGCTATGGCTTGACATCAGACGGATACTTCGTCTGGACCGCTCACCACTCCCTCTATGACGGTTGGAGCTTCGCTTTGATGTTGGACGAGCTCGAGAAGAGATACCAAGATGAATCTGTTTCCATCTCTCGACCTCTGTTTGCTGAGTACATTCAGTTCTTGCAGCAGCAGAGCAATGCTGACTCGATTGCATTCTGGAAAACTCAGCTTGACGATGCCTCGCCAACTGTCTTTCCTCAACTTCCTAGCTCTCTATATGAGCCGGATGTTAATCAGGCTTTTACATACAAGCTCAAAGACACTGTCCTCGACGGTCAATCCAATGTGACATCCTCGACCCTGCTCTCAGCTGCCTGGGGTCTGACTATCGCCTTGTTGACCAATTCTTCCAAGGTCACTTACGGGTCGACTCGCAGTGGCCGGAATGTCAACCTTGCTCAAGCTACTGAACTTATGGGCCCGACTATTGTCACAGTCCCAATGTCCATCACGATTGATGCGTCTATGTCAGTAGGGGATTTCCTAGCTCGAGTACAGAGTCAGACTACAGAAGCGATCCCCTTCGAGCACCTAGGTCTCCAGAATATCAGCAAGATCAACTCGGCCTGCAAGGCCGCTTGCGATTTCCAGAATCTGTTTGTTGTCCAACCAGCAATGATTGGTGGAACTGCGCTCGGTATGGAGCGAGTAGAGCTTCCCACCAAAGGATTGCACACATACGCTCTAAACGTGGAATGCATTCTAACCGAAGATGGCCACGCGACCCTGAACTTTGAATATGACAGCAAGGTTATCCAGGCCTATCAGGTGCAGCGGCTCGCTAAGCAGTTTCATCAAGTTGTCGACCAACTGTGCAAGAACGAAGCAGACTTGAAGGTCGGTGACGTCGAGGCCTTCAGTGCAGAAGATGAAAAGCAGGTTCGCCAGTGGAATGCCCAACCCTATCCGGAAGTCACCAAGTGCGCGCATCATCTGGTGTCGGAGCGAGCTCAGCTTCATCCTGCGCAATCGGCCGTTACGCAATCCGATGGTACCACCTTGACCTTCGGTGAGCTCGACAGCCTATCTACTTTGCTCGCTCACCATCTGTCCACTCGTGGGATTGGCCCTGGCCGCATTGTGCCCATTTGCTTGAAGAAATCAGTTTGGGTCGTGGTCGCCATGCTCGGAATTATCAAGACTGGTGCAGCCTTTGTCTGCCTAGATCCTTCTTCCCCGCCTAGCCGTATGCAAGTAATTCTTGAAGACGTGGAGTCGGAGTTGATCATTGTTGATGCGGAAACAACCGATATCTTCAATCGTCATGCTAGCCTCTTCGGCGCCTTGAACACTATTCAGATAGGAGTCGAGGCCATCCAAGCGATCAGCAGCCCTGCAGACAAATTTGAGGCCAAGGGAAGCCCTCACGATCTCATGTATGTCATTTTCACTTCCGGAAGTACTGGCAAGCCCAAGGGTGTGATGATTGAACATGCTTCCGCTTGTTCATCCTTCATCTATCAAGGCCAGGCTTTTGGCTACAATAGCGAGTCACGAGTGCTCCAATTCAGTGCCTTGACCTTTGATGCTTCGCTGATGGAAATCTTCACCACGCTTTGCGTGGGCGGTTGCGTCTGCTTCCCGACCGAAGAGGAGAAGCAGGGGGACATCGTGCGAGCCATCAACAAATTGCGGGTCAACTCTGTCATGCTCACCCCCACGGTGCTTCGAATGATCCAACCTGAAGACGTACCTTTGGTCAAGCACGTCGTGACGGGAGGTGAGGCGGTGGGTCATGACGTCGTGCGAGTTTGGAGTGACAAGGTCACTCTCAAGGGTGTCTACGGTCCTACCGAGACTTCAATGATTTGCATAACAGTCGACCTGGTTCCCGGCAGTTCTTCAGCCAACATCGGTGTGCCTCTTGGCTGTCAAGGTTGGATCACTCTCTCGGATGATCATAACCGCCTCGCGCCAATTGGTTCGGTTGGTGAACTGCTCATTCAAGGCCCGATCGTTGGACGCGGATATTTCAAGAATCCCAAGCAGACAGAGGAGGTGTTCATCGAAAATCCTGCTTGGCTGCAACAGCGATTCGGTGAAACAGGTCGTCTGTACAAGACCGGTGACTTGGTCTACTATGCTGAGGATGGTAGCTTGATGATCGTGGGTAGAAAGGACGCCCAAGTGAAGCTTCACGGCCAACGTATCGAGCTGGGCGAAATCAACCACAAGATGTGGTCGCACCCGGCTGTGAGACAGTCTTCGGTTCTGTTGCCCACACAGGGTCTACTCAAGGACCGTCTTGTTGCCGTCCTTACTCTTGAGGGCACTGAAGAACAGATTGTTCAACCCGAGCCTCTGCGGCCGTTGTCTGAAGAATGGAAGCAATACTCCAACCTTCAGATCGCTAGCATTCGGCAGGCTCTTAGAGAGAACCTCCCATCCTACATGGTGCCCACTGTCTTCGTAGCGGTGGAGCAAATGCCGAGACAGACCTCGGGCAAGACCGACATCAAGCAGGTCAAGAAATGGGTTGATGAGTTGGATGAGGAGATTGTTGAGCAGATCCTGGAGCTCGAGACGACAGCTGGATCCGCCGTTCCTGCCAATGAGACGGAAGGTGCAATTCAAGCCGTGATCTCCAAGGTCCTGGACATTCCGACCGACAAGATTGTGCTCAATCGCTCGTTTATTAGCTTCGGTGGTGACTCTATTTCTGCCATGAAAGTGATGAACCGGCTGCGAGACGCAGGATTGAAGCTGGGCATCAAGGAAATTCTTCTGACTGGGTCGATCTCGGAGCTTGCCGCTATCATAGCAACCAAGCAGGAAGAGGGCCATGAAGAAGCCCACGCCAAGTCTGCCTCCGGAGTGACTGCGCCATCTGAGAAGAAATACCCACTGCTGAACCTCGACGACAGCAAAGTTGAGTCAATCCTAAAAGAGCGCTTGGCTAGCATTGGCCTCAAAGACTTGACTGTGGTTGAAGATGTGTACCCATGCTCTCCTCTCCAGGAAGGTCTTCTTCTCGCTCAGACCAAGGGAACGGGAAGTTACAATGTCGACAATATCTATGAGGTTAAACCAAGGAACCCAACCGATCGAGTCGATGCCCACCTCCTGGCTGAAGCCTGGAAGGCAGTTGTTCGCCGTCATCAAATATTGCGCACTATCTTCATCGAGGGTCTCGAGGAGAGCAGCGCATTCGACCAGGTCGTTCTCCGCGAGATTCAAAATGCACCTCTTGTCATTGAGGGTGTCGAGGGCAAGGCCAAAGCTTTCTTGCGCGGCCTTGCTGCTCCCGAGTTCAAGCGCACAGAACCCTGGCACAGCCTGACCGTCTGCTCTGATGCCAGTGGAACAGTCTGCTGCGCAATTCGGATGCACCACGGCCTGTTCGATGCAGCAGCCATGGACATCATTCTTCACGAGGTCGCTCAAGCCTACCAGAAAAGTCTCTCCAGCCCCGCTCCCCTTTACAGCAATTACATCTCCTACCTCCAGGGGCAAAAGGGCAACAATGCGATCGCATACTGGAAGACATACCTCGACGGACTGGAGCCATGCTACTTCCCCAGCATCAATCAGGATGCAATGGGACTGAGAAAGCCGCAAGCACTACAGTTCAATGTTCCAGGTTTCCGGAGAATCGCCTCTTTCTCCTCCAGAAAGAGCCTCACCATCTCCAGCGTCCTGCAAACCGCTTGGGCACTTGTGCTCCGCCACTATACGAGTGCGGAGGATGTGTGCTTCGGATATCTTTCCCACGGTCGTGACATCCCGTTGGATGGTGCTGAAAGCATCGTCGGTCCCATGATCAACATGATGGTCCTACGTGTTACTCTTTCGGAGGACAAAAATCTTATCAACATCCTGGAGGGAGCTCGCGACGATGTGCTGAATAGTTTGACTCACCAGCACTGCTCTCTAGCAGAGATCCACCATGCTCTTGACCTTCAAGGAAGATCAGCCTTCAACACCACTCTCTCATTTGCCTCTGCTGCTGCAGGCGCTGAAGAGGAGTTGGTCAGTTTCGAAAACCTCGCTGGTGGTGGTTCCACTGAGGTAAGTATTAAATCCACCCCGCTCCCGCTCCCTTCTGGCTTCATACACTGACTTAAATATAGTATGATATCGCTGTTAACGCCAGTGTCGAGGGCGAAGACTTGCAAATCAACTTCAGCTATTGGTCCTCGGCACTCTCGGAGCAGCAAGCAAAGGCTGTCGCCCAGTCGTTCGCGAACTTCATTGATATTTTGACCCGCTCGCCCGAGGCATCCTTGCGGGAAATCGATTTCACCAGCGGTGCAATGAAAGACCAACTTCTCCGATGGAACTCAACTCCTTACAAGCCTGTTCGCAACACAGTGCATGAATTGTTCCACTGTGCTGCACTGAAGTACCCACAGAATGCTGCGATCTGCTCCGTGGATGGCAACTTCACCTACTTCGAGCTGGACAACATGACTACGCGCTTCGCAGCCTTCCTTCGCGGGCGCGGGGTCGGACCAGAAGTTTTGGTTCCGGTCTGCTTCAACAAGTCCTGCTGGACCATTGTTGCGATGTTGAGTATCCTGAAGGCTGGTGGTGCTTGTGTGCCTTTGGATCCATCTCACCCGCCGGCTCGACTGCAGGAAGTCATCTCCCGCTGTGAAGCAAAGCTTATTCTCGCTGCTCCCCAATTTGTTCAGCGACTCATCGACATGGCCTCAGAAGTCATTGCTGTCACCGACTCATTAATGCAAAGCCTGCCCGAGCAGCTGAGCCTGGAGTTCGACGGAGCCCAGCCTGAAAATGCTGCATTCGTGCCCTTTACTTCTGGAAGTACAGGCCTGCCCAAGGGTATTATTCTTGACCACATGGGCCTATGTACCATGTTCCTCGCAAACGCTTCGGTGGTGGGAATTGGCCCGAACACTCGCACCTTCCAATATGCCGCCTATACTTTCGATGTCAGCATCGCAGAGACTTATATCACCTTGACTCACGGTGGTTGTGTTTGCGTGCCCACTGATGCCGAGAGGATGAACGATATCCCGGGGGCCATCACTCGCATGGAAGCAAATTGGACCTTCTTGACTCCATCGGTCGCCTCCTTGCTCAAGCCCAGCGACGTCCCCACACTGAAAACTTTGACCCTAGGAGGAGAGGCAATTTCTCGGGACCTCCACAGTACCTGGGCCGACAAGGTCCGTCTTATCAACAGTTACGGTCCTGCCGAGTGCTCGATCTGGACCAGCAACCAACAGCTGTTCCCGGAAAGCTCTTGTGCTGATATCGGTGCGGGTATCACCTGCTACCTCTGGATCACTGAACCCGATAACCACGACCGCTTGGTTCCTATCGGATGCGTCGGAGAGCTTGTTGTGCAGGGGCCGAACCTGGCGAGAGGCTATCTCAAGGATGAGGAGAAGACCGCAGCCGCCTATATTGACACACCAGCATGGCTGCGCAACGATACTCGACCCGCCGCTAAGCGTGTCTACAAGACTGGTGACTTGGTGAGACATTGCCCCGACGGCCGGCTCGAGTTCGTGGGACGCAAGGATACTCAGATCAAGTTCCATGGTCAAAGAATTGAGATTGGCGAAGTCGAATATCAACTTCGCGCCAGACTTCCTGAGAATACCCAGGTTGCTGTGGAGATGATCAAGCCTCTTAGCCAAGGCAGCAGACAGATTCTCGCCGGTTTCATCGTGGTCGAAGGTACTGAGAAGGTTTCCCTTAATGGTTCTTCAGATGACCCGGCCTCGTTCTTGAAAGACCCAGATACTGAATTCAAGAACATGGTACGCCATCTCGAGCAGTCGCTCACGGAGACCCTGCCAGCATACATGATCCCATCTGTCTTCATTGACATGATCAAAATCCCCCGCAACACCTCCATGAAGATTGATAGAAAGGCGCTTCGCAATCTGGGAGCCAATCTTTCCCTTGAACAGATCGCTACATACTCATTCACCCAGGGCGAGAAGCGGGCTCCAGAGACCGCGATGGAGAAGCGCCTGCAGGAGCTCTGGGCCTCTGTTCTGAAGATCAGTCCCGAGTCAGTTGGTGCTGATGACAGCTTTTTCCGTATTGGCGGTGACTCAATCGGTGCCATGCAGTTGGTGTCTGCAGCTCGCAAGGCTGGTCTTTCCATCACCGTTGGAGATATTTTCCAGCACCAGAAGCTATGCGAGATGGCCAATGTTGTCACCGTCTCTGATGCATCTGCCCCGACTCAGGTCGAGCCCTTCTCACTGCTCCCTAAAGTGGAGGAGGACCTTATTGGTCTTGCAGCTTCCAAGGTGTCCATTCAACGCAATCTCCTACAGGATGTCTACCCTTGCACTCCGCTTCAAGAGGGCCTCATGTCTCTTACTGCCAGAGACCATGGACTATACACTTTGCAAGCGGTGTACCGTCTTCCTAGCTCGATCAACATTCAAGAGTTCCAGTTTGCCTGGATGGCCGTTGCCGAAGAACTGGATATCTTGCGTACCAGACTCGTCGACCTCGGCCGTCTGGGTTCATACCAGGTTGTCCTGAGCCCTGCTATCAGTCAACTTCGCTGGACTTACAGCGACAATCTGACGGCTTACCTGCGCCAAGACAAAGAAATCCCCGTCACGTATGGCACAGCTCTCGCCAGATATGCCATTATCCAAGAGCAGGACCAGAACTACTTTGTGTGGACTGCCCACCATGCGATCTACGATGGTTGGTCCCTCGGCCTGATGATGGATCTTGTTGAACAGAAGTATCTGAGAAAGTCGACAACCCCCAGCCCACCCTTTAACAAATTCATCCACTGGCTCACCAAGCTCGACAAGTCTGCTACTCGGCAGTACTGGAAGTCGACCTTTGACTCTTGCTCCGCACCCCAGTTCCCCTCGGTGCCCAAGAATTACCGAACCAAGGCTAAGAGCGTCATGACACACACCATCACTCTACCACAGCTGGCTGACTCGGATATCACGGTGCCTACAATTCTTCGGACTGCGTGGGCTCTCAACATATCTCAATATACTCGTTCCGACGATGTGGTTTTCGGCATGACCCAGACGGGTCGCAATGCTCCTATCGCCGGGACCACTGAGATTGTCGCCCCTCTCATCACCACCGTGCCCGTCCGAGTCGTGTTTGACCGATCGCAAACGGTCAAGGACCTTTTGCAGGACGTCCAAAAGCAGATGGTTGCGATGATTCCCCACGAGCATGTTGGTCTTCAGAACATCGCCAAATTCAGCCCGGAGTGTCAGGCCGCATGCAAGTTTGAGAACCTCATTCTCATCCAGACTCAGCAAGATCAAATGGTCTCACCCATTGGTCTAGAGCGCATTCCCGTCACCGACCTCGACATTCCAGCTTTCGGCATCGTGGCTGAATGCGAAGTTTCTGACGGGCAAGTCCTGGTGTCAGTTGGATACGACTCCAACGTTGTCACTGAGAAGCAGATGTCCAACATCCTGAACCAATTTGACTTCCTTGTGAACCAGATCGGTGGCGAAGACGCCAGCAGCAAGCCACTGAAGGAGGTGCAGCTTCTGGGTGAGAATGACATCCAGATGCTAGAGGAGCTGAACCAATCGCCTGACGATCGTGTTTACCGATTGGCTCATGAGCTGATCAATGAGCGCGCTCGCCTGCAGCCAGAAGCGATTGCCATTGATTCCCAGGAGGCCCAGATCAGCTATGGCGAGCTGGACGATCTCTCCACACGCCTGGCTTACTTCCTGACCGGACTTGGCGCTGGGCCTGACAAAATTATTCCACTGTTCTTCCGCCGATCTCCTTGGGCGATGGTGGCCATGCTTGCCGTAATGAAGAGTGGCAGTGCCTTTGTATTCCTTGACCCAGGACACCCAGTCGACCGACTCGAGTTCGTTCTCCAGCAAATTGACGCCAGGTTGATCCTGACATCCCCTGACCTGGAACCCACCTGGAGAGGCAAGCTCGCAGTCTTCTGCGTAACACCTGCCTCACTTGATACCCTCCCTGCCCATAGCGAACCCCCTGTGACTACAGTGACCCCAGACAACATCATCTACTGTATTTTCACATCGGGCAGTACCGGCAGACCCAAAGGATGTGTGATCGAACACTCCAACTTCCTCAGTGGTGCCGTTCACCACGCGCGCAGGTCCCGCATCTCACAATCTACACGCATTATGCAAATCGCTCCGTACACCTTCGACGTTAGCATTCTAGAAATGCTGACCGGACTGATTGGTGGCGGCTGCATTTGCCTTCCCCGAGACACTCACCAGGGTGCTCAGGTCTCTGACATTATCAATGATCTGAACATCAACTGGACTTTCATGACTCCCTCTGTTGCCCGCACTATCGCCCCCTCGGATGTGCCGAGCTTGCGGACCCTGATTCTCGGTGGTGAAGCATTGGCCAAGGTGGACATTCAGACCTGGGCCGGAAAGCTGCATCTGATCAACGGCTATGGGCCTAGTGAATGCTCTGTCGCGGTGGCTGCCAATGAAGTGAGCGATCCCACGGTGGATCCAGCCAACATCGGTTCTAAGATGGGTTGCAATATCTGGGTCGTCGATGGCGAAGACCATGACATTCTCTTGCCCATGGGCGCAGTCGGCGAGCTTCTGGTCGAAGGTGCCATTGTCGGGCGGGGCTACCTCCACGAACCCGAAAAGACCGCCGCAGCTTTCATTGAAAACCCTCGTTGGGTGCAGCTCTTACCCAGCACACAGGCGTCGACGACTCCTCGCCGGTTCTACAAGACAGGAGATCTCGTCCGCCTCAACGAGGACGGCACGATTCATTTCATCGGCCGCAAGGACACCCAATTCAAGCTCCGTGGTCTGCGCATTGAGATGGGAGAGATTGAGCACCATGCCGGTACATTCCCAAGCATCAAACATGCCGTCGTGGCGGTACCACGCGCCGGTCGCATGAAGGAGAGCATTGTCGTGGTGTACACATTGAACGACCACGACGACTCGAAAGAAACCGCCGACTTGCGCCCTCTGTCTCCAGCTGATCTAGACTCCAGCTTGATGTCTCTTGGTCAGCTCAAGCATCACTTGGCTACCCATCTTCCCCCTTACATGGTCCCCCAGACCTTCATCGGTGTTGGCACTCTACCTCTACTCGCCTCGGGCAAGATCGACCGCCCCAAGCTTCAAAAGTGGCTCGAGAACATGGATGATTCGACCAATGAACTCATCGCCGCCCAAACCGGCACGACCGCAAGCCACGAAGCGGCTCTCATTGACGCGGCCGACACACTCGCTCTGACCCTGAGTGAATCTGTCAGCCACCTATTGGCGGGAGATGACGAGGTCTACCTCGAATCGCTGCAGGGCCGCAACATCATTTTGTCGCAGAGCGGATTGAACTCCATCACCGTGGTTTCGCTGCGGGCGATGATCCGGGACAAATTCGACGTTAACTTGTCCCTTGATCGCTTGATGGACAGCACCGTCACTATTCAGGATCTGGCACGCATGATCGAGCAAGGCGACAATGCCGCCGATGAGCAAGCGATCGATCTACTCGCCGAGGCCGAGGCCATGATGGAATCCCTGATGTCCGAGGCCTCGGACGTGGAAACCCTACCTCAGCCCACCGGCCGCGCTGGGCGTGTTCTTCTCACCGGCGCCACGGGTTTCCTGGGCAGCGAGATTCTCCGTCAGCTCTTGGTCAACCCAGAAATCCGCACTGTGGTGGCCATCGTCCGTGCCCGTGACGAGCAGCATGCCATGGAGAAGATTGTTGCGTCGGCCAGTGCCGCGCAGTGGTGGCAGGAGGAGTACCGCCAGCGAGTGCGCGTCTGGGTTGGAGATCTCGCCGCGCCTCTTCTCGGGCTGAGCGCTGCGCAATGGGCTGCCATCGAGGGACGCAGCACCGACGTCGATTCCCACATCGATACTATCATCCACAACGGTGCCATGGTCCACTGGGGAGCAGACTACCACCGCCTACGCGGTGTCAATGTTTCCAGTGTGGTCTCCCTGTTGGCCGCCTTGACACGCTCGCCTGCCCCTCCCAGGTTCACCTTCGTGTCCGGCGGTCACGTGCCCCTGGACGAGAACATCACCGACGAGATGTTGGCCGCCGAGTTGGCCCACTCGACCGGATATGGACAGTCCAAGTTCGTTGCCGACCTCGTGGTGAAGCGCTTTGCCCAGAAGTATTCGACCACGGCGGCATCGATCGTGAAGCCGGGTCTCATCGTGGGCACAGCCCAGTCCGGCGTGTCCAATACCGACGACTTCCTGTGGCGTGTCGTGGCCACTGCCGTGGAGACCGGTGGCTTCAATGCCCAAGAGCCGGAGAACGTCATCCTCCTGGCGGGTGCCCAGCAAGTGGCATCCATCGTGATCGGAAACCAACTCCTCAGCAAAGAACCGCGCCGCATCGAGGACAAGGTTCGTCTGGCTGTGACAACGCGAGAGCTCTGGCAAATGCTTGCCGATGAATTCGGATACGCCCTGCAACCGATGGGTCCTACCGAGTGGCTCGAGTCCATGAAGGCGGCGGTGCACGCCCAGGGCGAATCTCACCGTCTTTGGCCGGTTTTGCACTTCCTCGAAGCCGGCGGTGGCTACATGGGCCAGCCCGTCACGGCCGGTCAGCCCCACGGCGCCGAGCCAAGCCCCCAAAAGGATGAACTGCTGGCTTCGCTGCGCAAGAGTATCTCCTACATGCGCCAGATTGGTTATTTCCCGAGTGATGAGGCTGCGGTCCCACAGAAGGTGGTGTTTGGCCGCACCAAGGCGTGATCAGATTGCTTATTATAAGACTCCTCAATTTGTGTGTATTCCGTCTGAAGTTTCTTGTTTGCTTTTGAGCCGGCGTTGGATGATATTTGTCATGTGATTTGTATACGAAGATTAGACTTTGTACTCTGTTTCTGAAGTTATACCAGCGAATTCATATTCAATCCTGTCAAAAATACTTCTTCTGCACAGTATAGAATTGTTTGTAATGAGTGTAGGATCTATCCACCTTATGAGTGGACTTCAAGAGTGTTATAAGATTCCGTTGTAGTGATTTCACCGTTAAAGAGCCCGACGGGGGTGGCGGGCCAGCGTGGTTACATGGCCCTTTAACCAACTCTCCTGTAGTTCGCGTTGCGATCGTCAGTAAAGTATGATGCATACTCATGTATGTCGGGATTCATTTATGGAAAGACCCCAAGTCCTAGCTAGATAGCGAATGGCAGAGGGGGTGGTCAGAGATGATCCAGAGTAGTCCAGAGAACGGTGGCGAAGACTTAGTGGAATTTATGGAGCTTCACTTGTGGGATTTTTAAATGGTAGATATAGTAACAAGCGAGTTACAATGTAAGTAAGTATTTTATTGCTCCCGGAGATCCGCAACAGATGACGCTGAGGTATCTCAATCAAGCCTGCATTTGTTTCGGTTCTGGAACTGCTCAGCTCAAACACTTTGAGGGGTATGTGATGTTTGCTTATATCTGTCTACCTCTCCCCGCCTGTTGTTCTGCCGAGTCATCAAGTTCGGGCGTGAAAGGTTGTTTGGTACAGCCTTCAAGGGTTATTGTCCGCTTGGACACCACCCAGTCAGTCAGTACAGGATCGTCTTCTCATCCTACATTGAGCGACGCTTCCTCCTCCCCGGAATCAACAGAAGAGTTGCAAAACCAACCATCCAGGAAATTCACCACTGAAACACCTCCTCACCGATCTTCACATTCTCGCGCATGAAAGTAATCTTCGCCTCGCGACCCTCTTCGAACTTCCCATCGACCGTCACGCGCACCTCGGGCGGGATATCCGCGGGCGTATACTCGGCGCCCACATCGAGGCCAGCCCCCTGTTCTTCGCGATGCGCGATCTGCAGCGCCAGCCGGAAGTACAGATCCGAGTCCCAGACGCCTTCGCGGCGCTTACTACGGCCGATGATGTCGATCGCGCGGTACCGCACGCGGGAGTCTCGGCACCGCGTGGCGACCGTCCATAATGCGGGCAGGATGCCGAGCGACATGGAGAAGCACGAGGGGGAGGAATGCGGTGGTCGTGGCAGGATGGTGGCGTATGCCATAGCGCTTGAGGCGGTGGGAGATGCGTGTCGGGGAGTTGTTGGGGAGGTCTCTCGCGATGAAACGGATGAGGGAAGGCGCTGGTGCAGCTCGTCGGACGCGGCGGCGGGGCTGCTGGAGGTCGAAGAAGGGCTGCTGCGGGCTTTGCCCGCCGCCGCCGCAACAGCACTCGGGCGAGGCGATTCGACGGGAGGAGGGGACATGATGAGGATCTCCTCGGCGAGGTTCAGGACGGTGGTGAACTCGTCGAGGTGGCCGTCCCAGGCGGTTTCGGCGGGCGGCCACGGCATGTGCAGGAGCACGCCCATCATGGTGCGCCAGAGCTGCAGCATGCGGACCAACTGTAGCGACGCGCGGTCCGCGTCGGCCCAGCGGAAGATGTTGGCGAGAAAGAAATCGAATTCCAGCGACCATGCGTCCAGATCGGCCTGCACCTGATGATATCGCGCCAGGATCTGCTCCATGATCAGCGCCATCTGCGCTTCAGTGTGCGGTTCGTCAAGGGTGGATGAGAAGCTCAGCAGGCGCAGGAAGTCGTTGTAGATGTGGCGGAAGGAATCGTTGGCCTCTTCGAGCGTCCACAGACGTTGCTGCGGTGACCCGCCCCGTACGGCCAGCAGTCCGTTATTTTCCGAGAGGGGTGATTTCCCGTCGATTTCCAGCATCTGGCTTTCCAACGCGGCGAAGATCGACTGGATCACGTCCGGTGGCAACAAGGTACTTCCCGCGGGTCGACCGCGCAGTTGCTGCTGGGCGAGGATGCGCAATCCCGCGGCAACGTGCCGGAAGGCGGCGCGGAAGTGACCCTGGAGGCTCTCGAAGCAGAAGAAGAGCACGCACATCGACAGGATCCGGTCCGCCGATCCGTCACCAGTGCGAGCAAAGTATTTCAATCCTCTTCGGATCGCCGAGTTGTACTGCTGTAGGGCGAGTTGCTTGCCCCTCAGGCGGGCATGTGGCGGGGTGTTGTCCCCGTGCAGGACCACCCGCTGCAGGGAACACAGCGCCATGGCCGCCAGTCGTATCCCAGGGTCCTGGCAGGCGGCGTTCAGCAGACAGCCTCCAGCACGGGCGCCGAAACACGCGGCGGTTTGCACATGGAAGAATTCCAGGGAGCGGTATTCCTCTTCCGTGAGGAGCTTATCGACGGTGGGGAACATCCACATGTGCGTGGGCTGGGTCACCTGCGGTGTATGCTGGATGATACGCATCTCGGAAGGGCCGCCGTTGTGGAATTGTCGCTGCTGCTGCTGCTGCTGCTGCTGCTGCTTGGCGGGGAGCACGTTGTATCCATCGCATTTCCGTCCCGTGGTCTGACATCGTCGACAGTGCGGTCGTTCTTCATCGCATTTCACCCGGCGGATTCTACAAGGAGCGATAAAGAGACATGAGCCCTGGTACTCTTCTTGAAGCTGTATGACTCACCGACAAGTATTGCACCCGTTTCGGGACCTGCCCGGTGGCGATGGGCGCTGGGGTTGGGGGTGGGGGTGGATATTGTTCTCGAGAATGCGGCTGGCGTCGGGGTTGGCATAAGGTTGAATGTTCCGCGGAGCCATGATGGCGGACGCTTTGCTGTCATGATCGAATTCTGTTTAGGGCGTGGGAGTCAAACCCGTAGGGTGAAAGAATGCGTGGAAGACATGGTGCAAGACCCAGTCAAGAGTCGAGATTTGAAGTCATGGTGGATGGGAGGAATTGCTGTCAGGCGGGTTTCGGATCCCCACCAGTTGACACACGTGACTAATGATCATGTGAGAGTCCTTGATTGCGAAGCGCGAAGGAGGACCAGATCGCAGGTAACTGATAATGATTGGTTGCTTCAAAAGGCAAGTTCTAGATTCTAATTAGCTATTATATGTAATAGTAATATAATGATAGCATGATACCTTCTAATAGAGAGTAGTAATGTAACTTCTAAGTTGATTCCAGTAACTAGCAACTATTCTCTTGTAAAAGTAGAGAAATCAAGATTCTATCTTTTCAGTATAATAGTCCCTGATATTAAAGTATATAATAGTCTCTCAATAAAATAAATTATCTACTAGCCCAGTATTTCTTTCCCAAGTCCCATGTAGCCGCCCAAAGGGGTTAGTGCGCTGGCCTTCAATTGGCAGAGGGAGGCACCCGCAAATAAGGCACTCAATGTATAAACCCGCCTCCCCCTGCTTTCAACACAACCAGCAACGGTCACCGCCAAAGTGGGCAACGACTCATTCATCTCGTGGCCATGTATGTTGGAAGATACCTTAGAAGAATTATTCAGTCCGCTCCCTACAACCTCCTCCCCTCCCGATCAAGTGACTCCCTACGGCAGATCTGGTTGAGAAAGAGCGCACACCCCATTATAAGCCTCAGCACTTTTATCCTGTACGGCTTTATGAGACACTCAACAACCGATACCAAATCATCACCAAAATAGGTTAGGGGACAAGTTCAACAGTATGGCTAGCACGCGATCTCCACTAGTATGTAAACAATATCTGATAACATATTCAAGCCTTATCTCACTATGTAATAGATGGCGATGGCTTCCGCCCCAATATGCGGCCATCAAAATCAATGCAAGCAATTATGCATCTCAAGAGTCTGCGGAGAAGGAGTTGCGCATTACTGAGCATATAGCTCAAGCAATTCCCCAGCATCCCGGCCGGAACTTGTCGCCATTCTGTTGGACTCGTTTCGTGTAGCTAGTCCGGGCGGCACTCACATTGGCATGGTCTTTGATGCGCTTTGTGAAGCCCTGTGGATGCTGAAACGTCCTTTCGAAGGCAACGTTATTCCCCTTGACGTCTAAAACCGTTATTTAACTTATACTGGAAGTACTCCGGTATCTGCACACCGAATGCCACGTTATTCACACAGGTAAATAGTCATTCAACCGATTCGCTTCTAAGATCAGTCACAGCTAACGGAGAATCAGTCACAGCTAACGGAAAAACAAGATTTATAGTCTGATAACATCTTATTATTTCGACGTAACCCATCTATCCTGAATTCCGTCGCGCAGGATGAGATGAACAACCCTCTCCACGGAAACAACTAGACAATTGGGACATATACTCATCCCGAAATTAATCGACTTTGGGCTTGCTGTACATGGTGACGGACCTCCAAATAGACACTCCATTCAGCCAGAGGGATATCGGGCCCCGGAAGCTTGTCTTGGGGGTGATTGGAGCTATAGTGCTGACATTTGGAACTTGGGAGTTCTGGTAAAGTCCTCATTATCATAATACTGATCACTGCTCATGGTCTATTAGCTTTGAAACCTGTTCTATGGCCATGGGCCCTTCGATATACCACCGGACGCGTGCGGCTCAGGCTCTACAGACGAAGCCCATCTGGGCCAGATAGTTTCTCTCCTGGGGCCTCCTCCACTTGATCTCCTCAGCCGGGGAGAAGAAACATATCAGTATTTTGACGCTGAAGGTATGCATGCTACTGATGTCCTAGCTAGACGCAGCTAACTGAATTGAAGGACAATTCAAAACTCCCGAGCTTATTGAGAAAAATGATTTGGCCTCTATGGCTAAGGAAATTGATGATGATGACGACGAAATGCCTCTGTTTGTAGACCTTATTTCTAGAATGCTACGCTGGAGGCTGAGAACCGGACCACAGCGGAGGACTTGAATTCACATTCGTGGCTGACGCAAGAGACCTGCGAGTTGGTGAGAAAGGGCGTAGGCGTTATCTGACAAAGAATGGATATTCTTTCGCTTCAGAAACCTGACTGACTGTTTCAGGCTTACCTTTCTGAACCACGATCCGATAGATCAAACGGCCATATGTGAGAGAGCCCCAGCCTATTTACTCCTTCCCATAGACGGACCCTATTCGCACCTAACGCAATCATTGCATGAACACTATATTATTACCTCACATTCTCCATGGATTGCAAATGAAATGACGTTGAGATGTATCTGGATACAGATTGTTCATTCTCTGGCCAATGATTCCGCGTATCTCGCATATGCTTCGGCTAGCTGTAGCCCTTAGATTCCAATGTTACCGGTGATACGAAGCTCGAGAGTGTGAATGATGCCTCGATATCTAGCTGTCCTGAGACCTTAATCCAATTCCGGCTGCTCGCTACCCCTCCAGCCCGACCACTTCTAAAGTTGGAGAGCCAATTGTAGATACTATAGAATAAACAACTAATCAGTTGGTGTAAGCACTAGCAAAAGTACTGCACTGCCCCTCCTTTTTGGCCCTCCTTTTCCCTGCTTGGCTTCTTATATTTTCAACTCCCTTCTACAAGCTTAAAAACCGACGTCAAGCCACTGAACTGATGATGTTAATGAAGTAGGTGAAGAAGGAGAAGAAATCCGAAGGAAAGAGTGCCATAGCCGTAACCGATGCCAAGGGGTTCTTCCAAGCAATACTGAGGCATTTTGGGTGTTGGGCACTCCGCTTGGCCTTGGTTTTAATGCACAGCTAGTTATATCCAATGAATTCTGGGCTTTTGAACTAGGATACAATTCGTACGATCACGAATCACTTTAGCAACCACCCATTCCGAGGGGATCCCTGTCTAATACATCTGCTAAAGGCCGCCTCACAACACACTTAGAGCTACAGGATGCCTGTCAATGCCACGTCAATTCCATAGTAGAAGTGATAAACATTCTCTGCTGGTACCTTTTAAGTACTGGCTCTTGAAACCGAGTTATGTCAAGCCGGGTTACATATATATAACGCCAACCCCCGGGCCCCCTCCTCCCCAGCGCCTTTTCTCTTGGTAAAGGTACCAAACTGTATTTTCCTCTGTCCTTTTCTCTAGGAGAAATTCAATACATCCCACACTGTTGGAGCCAAATGTCTTCATCCTCAGAGCAAACATGGCGCAGCGTCTCTGACTCAGATTCTGTGGTACAGGATGCGCTTCAGGGCACTGTTCTCTATCAAAAAGCTTCAGCCTCTCAAGCTAGCGCAGATCCAAGTCCTCCTAATGCTATAGCACAATACCTACTGAGAGAGGTGCCAGAGTTTCGGCGACTTTCAGAGCTTCGGCAAAAGGTCAGGATAACAAGCCAGTGGCTCACACAGGGTTGGGTTCAGATGTTGAACTGACGTGTTCGATAGGGCTGGGAAAATCCGGAAGGTGACCGCTTCTTTGAGAAGCAGCGTGACAAAGCAGATAATGCTGACAAGAGGACGGCCCAGCATTTCTTCCGCATGATGAAGAATATAGGGCATGATATGCACCAAATCACTGATATTTTCTTGATCAAGGGTCTCAATCCCGACAAGCAAGCGAGTATCCTTGATATGTGTATGGCACCCGGAGGCTTTCTTGCGACCGCCTTGCAGATTAATCCCCACGCCCGAGCTCTCGGATTCAGCCTCCCACAATCTGAAGGAGGTCACAAGGTTCTTCTACGAAAGCCTCATCACAATGTTTCCCTCAAGTTTCTCGACATTACTATGTTGGCTGCAGATATGGGCCGGTTGGAGATCCCCAGCGGTCACCCGGATGCAGGCAAATTCTTACCGCGTCAATTTTCTCCTGAACAGAGATTCGACCTCGTCATCTGTGACGGCCAAGTACTAAGAACCCACGACAGGGCCACCTACCGTCAGCCTCGTGAAGCCAGAAGACTGACTATGACACAACTGGCGCTGGGATTAGAGCATCTCACGTGGGGGGGAACGATGATTGTTCTACTTCACAGAGTCGAATCTCCGGACGTTGTACGACTGTTATATGCCTTCACAGCCTTTGCTTCAGTGCGACTATACAAGCATCCGAGGTTCCATGCCATGCGATCTTCCTTCTACATGCTTGCCACCGATATCCGGAATGACAGCCCCGAGGCGGCCATGGCAATCCGAGGGTGGAAGAAGATATGGGATGTTGCAACGTTCGGGACAGACGATCTCTACCAGCAGACCCTCCAGGAGTATAGTGTGGACCTTGATCTGGTTTTGAACGATTTTGGCCCCAGATTAGCCATCTTAGGCAAGCATGTGTGGGGTATTCAGGCAGATGCGCTAGCGAAATCTCCTTTCGTCAGACAAAGTGCATTGTCTAATGGAGGGCTGAATATCTGATGGGTTCTATTTGAAAATGAACCTAGAAGAAAGCTGAGCAATCTGATTACTACAGTGACTCCGAACCAGCTATGTATGTAGTACTGTAGGTACTTGGTTAAGTCGGATTCCCCGGGGGAAGCAAAGGAAAAAGGGCTCCACTCACCGCACCTGCTGCACCGAGAATAGGCTGAGTTAGGGTTGACCAACTTCCCACTGGCATCACAGCTCATCCCCTCACAATGCACCTCTTACATTGATTATTATAATTCTCATACCCTACATAGTATATATGGCATTTTTTCTCCTAGTATAGATTTCTTTACTATCTTATGTAGTCTACAGTATCTACAGACCTGTCTAGTAATAATCTATTCTGTAGAGATAAGAAATAATATATATATATTTCTATAAAGGTATACAAGACAGAGTTATGGCAAACACCCAATTCAACCCCACCAAGACGGTCGCAAATCTCGGGCGGTACCAGTACAAGCATGATTTTATCAGCGGGCGGTACGTTTGCCTCTTCTCGACGGGGGGGGGGGGGGGGTGCGGACTCGCAACGATGTGGGATTTTCGACCTTAACCAGGGCTACCTTTACAGACACCACCAGGAGCACCCTGAAGGGGGCAGGTTTCAATGCCCCGAGTGTTCCGTATCCTTCAAGGACTAACAGCGCCTCACCAAACATCTATGGCAGTCATCGCATTTGAGCTACTGCCCCGTGTTTAACGCGAAATTTTCATACCGCAGCTTGACTGTAAAGCATTGCGAGCTGGATCATCGGAGTGAATTCCCAATCGTCTGTAACATTTGCCAGGCCACGATTGCTGGATGGCGGGATCTCATCGAGCATATGGAGACTCTTCATCCTGGCTGGGCTTCGGCTCAGGCTGAATAGGCTGAGGCTGATGGCTCCGAAACTGACTGTTTTGCTGGAGTATCAGTCTGCTGATGAGTCTGACAATATGAAGGTTCAAGCTACTCTTGTCACATTGTTATCAAGAAAAGACGATTATCTTACCACAATGGGGTAAACGCCAACCTTGTTAATAAACAGTTGAGATGAACCTTCAAATACAGTCATATCCAGCTGGCGAATTCCAAGAACAATTCATTGCCTGTAGAATATGATATTAATGAGCCGTTAACCAAGCCAAGACATGCGTATACTCGTACCGTTGTAATCACCTGTCTTTCGTACCTGTCCCTTGTCCAGACACCAACCAATTCCCCCCAGCTTCCGCCTTAACGCCCTTCAATCAGGCAGGACTGTAATCGGCATAGGTCTGATCAAATGGGTCATTCCCATCAGAAGCAATCTGCCTCGCTTGTCGCCGCAGTGTCTCATCCGACGGCCAAACCTTTAAAGCCATCTGCTCATGTATGTACTCTATCAGAACGTGGCGAACATTCGTGTACTGGCTGTAGGCGTTCGGAGCATCGTCTCCCGGCAGAGGAGCAGACATCTCCGCCAGGGTACCACCTCAATGCGATGGGGCTTTCCATGCTGCGCGGGGAGAGCTGGAAGACGCTCATGGCGACAGTGCCTGGGTTCACCCCAGTTTCAAAGTACCGGGAACGCTTCTTGTACTGTGGGCTACGGGACTAGTCGGCGGTGCAGAGGCAGTGAGTGATTGAGGCGGGGATGCAGGTGGTTTGGGGAAGCACAGACGGCCAAAATGTCGATTTTGTTGGGGGCATGAAGACCGGATGAGAAAATAACAATTACGGGCAGGCGTTGGCGCATCTTGACCTGGACGTCTGGGACGACTCGTACGGGAAGTTAATGACTACCCTTCGCCTGGTGGGTTGATGGAGGCTGAGTTGGTCGCTTGCTTGGATTCGGTCCCGCGGAAGACTACCTCAAGGTCGCGATCGTTGCATTTGTTCGTTCCCTCTTGAAAACGGAAGCTTTGTCTGTCGAGTGAAAGTTCGTCTGCAACTGTACTGAGAGCTGCAAAGACTAGATGTGGTGCCTCCCCTCATGCCTCAAACCCTAGAGATGGAAGACTTATCCAGGTCACTCATATATGGAACGGTCGTGGAGTGTATTGTATGCCTCGTCAGTAAACTGTGCATCAAACCATAGTAAAAAAATAGAAACCATTCAAGATACACCCACATGCCTCCTGAAAAAGTCAAGTAGCAGTAGAGACAAGCTGCAAAGAAAGACAAGTCTGTCAATATGCCAAAAAAAATTTTATATCATTGTCCAAATATGTCATCAATAAATGTACCCAATAACACCAACAGTAGCAAACACGTGAACATGGCAGGAAGCATCACAAAATTCCACCATGGTGTATATAAATCGCACAGCGTAAGTATACCAATCAAAAAGTCCAGCTTTTCGTTATAAGTTCTTGGAAACAGCCGTGCTATGGGCATCATTGATCCGGCCTTCCTTGACTGGTCATCATTTTCAGCAGTCCAAGGGGCAAGTCGTATAGTCGTGGACCGCATGCAGGGTCGGTCTTGTGCCTTGATGGTCATGTCTTTGTACCGTAACTTGAGTTTCCACGAACCCTCAAAGCCATTAATCGTAACATCCGTAAAACATAAAGATTGGTAAGACGCGCAGTTCGCGCATCCCTTGGTATCATAAGGAGATCACCTGAAATCCAATTGAAAGGCCTTCCATTTGCCTCCCACCGTGCGACATCGAGGACAGCCGCGGGGATTGGGGTAACTGGTCGGGCCGTGCGACATGGCGCTTCCCGGGCTTGACGTCACATTCCGGAAGGCTGCGGGCGGGCTGCTGATGAACATGCCGACACATTCCCGACACACGCCACAAATACATTCCGTGCAGGCATAACATTCACTGAGCGCCCAGGCTCGCTTGCAACTAGCACAGTAAATCTGAATTTCCTTGCTACGGTAAGAGGCCGGGGTAGGATTCGAGAATCGATGGTGCTGGCGTTGTTGTGACGCCGAGGGAAACATATTCAACACCGGGCTGGAATCCGAATTGATCGAGGGAGCAAGATGGCTTGAGAAGGAATGGTTCTTGCCCGACGTCGACGAGGCCGAATCAATGGACGATTCTATCGACGGAAATGGCTCCAGGTCACTGTCGCGACTGCGATCAAACGGCGGGGGCGTCAGGGATTTGTGCATAGGCGACGCGAATGGGTGTGGGAACGGTCGGTAATTTGCCGGTGGAGGTAGCCCGGTTGGCGTCTGGAATGCAGGCGGCAGCGAGGAGCGGTTGGTGCCCGCAGGAGCCGAGGTGATGTTCGAGATCAGAGGTGGCATCGTAGGCGAGCGACCAACCTGCTGCGACTTAGAACTGTGCCCAAACAGACAGCGGGGGGCCTACTTACATCAGATTGGGGTTCATCATCGGCCTCGGTGGCAGAGGTCGCAGCCTCAATCAGGTCCTCCCAGCGCTTGCCCTGCGCCCAGGCTGCCGTTTGTGGCTCCGCGGAGAGCGCCTTCCGGTCTCCGAGACTCGGACGTCGCCCATATTCCTTTGACTTGGTACGTTCATGTTTCGGCTTGCGGGCGCCAGAGATCGACGACTTACGAGATCGAGGCAGCTTGTCTCGGCGCTGAATTGGGGGCAAGGTCGAAGAGCGCCCGGGCGGCGAGTGCGTCAGAATCGAAGGCAACAGCTCCCGGGGGCGAGCCGAGGGAAATGGTGGCAATGACTCTTGTTTGAAATGCTCGCGCAGTGACGGCAATTCGACGGAGCGGATCCGGTCCCGGTCATTGTCCGATTGAGTTTCCTGAGACGGGCCAGTCAATGTCTGATTCTTGGAGACCGCTTTTCTCCCTGCTTAACCCGCGAACGAGCAGTCTGTATAGCATACCATATCTGTGTCCCAGTCGGATGCTAAGCGGTTGTGGTGCAATTGAGCCAGGGCGACGGCAGCGGTGGCCGCGGCCGGATGCGCTTCATCGATCCCCCGTGGGGTTGCGGGGGAGCCGGCATCGGCAACGTAGACATCGCGATCGGCCAGATCTACTCCTAGTCAGCTTCTTGCATTGTACGGTATGGTCCAGAGCATCAACACACCATTGCGTCGTCGAGAGGTCGGGGGTTTCGGCGGAGAGAGGTGAGCACGCTGATCGGGTGGGGTGGTCACCATCAGGATGAAGCTCTCTTCGGTCGCCGGGAGCTTTGGGATGTAATGATTGGGGTGAGCACGGCGAATATGCTCCTGCATGGAGCGATAACGCTTCTCCTGTGAGCATAAACAAGCGAGTTAGATTGACCATTTCTTTCATGAAAATTTGTTCCTTGAATTCTTCGCAGCTGCCCCTCTCCAGTTCGCATGGCGCTTGCTGCCCACTGCATATAAAAGTGGGGCCCGGATCGAGATGGCGGGGAGGTCGAGGGGCAAAGCAGGCAAGAATACCAAGAATTTTGGGATCCAGAAAACTCACCCCCAGACATCGCTTGCGACAATTGGAGCCATCATTGTTCTTCAGAGGACAAACGACTTCGTTGTTGGCGTCAGTGACGGAAAACGAGCTGGTGAGAGATGATCGGGGCGGCATGGTCTGCATGGATCCGTTCGGGCGGCGGGGTGTGGGTTGGTCGAAAGATCAAGCACCACAGCACACAAAGCAAAAAGGCTGGGATTTTCAGGGCACAGTCAATTCAATCTGGCAGATCTCCAGACGAAGACATAAGCTATTGCGACCACAGAGCACCAAGGAGCTGCTGATCAAGGAACAGAAAGTCCAGCCACGTCTAGTCAACTGGAGAGGCAAAACGGGGGAGGAATGATGATGGAAGAAAGAGGATCACGGAAGGCGGCGAAGGGACAGTAGTTATTGCAATAGGTAGTCTGAGTAATAGCCCACTGCTAGATTACCACTTGACCTAGCTTCAGTAGTAGCTGGACCAATGGAAGTGCTGGCAGGTAGCTGAAGCAATCAATCTCTCATAGAGCAGCAGTTAGCACGAAGCAGGGGAAGACAAGAGAAGAATAGAAAGTAAAGTAGAGTCAAGTAGAGCAAGTATTGAAAGCAACTACCAGCAGTGGAGGGGGGATGGGAAAGTCAAGGGAGCTTCAGTTAGCCACTAGACCCAAGACAGGATAGTGCCACACAATTCTGAACAATTGACAGGCAGAGGATTGGGGGAGAGCAAATATCCACTAAAGAAGAAAAAAAAAAAAAACTCAAGAGAAGGAAAGGCGAAAAAGTGGGAACGGGAGAGGTATTGCTGCGGTATAGTGCGAAGTCATACATACAGTAAGTGAGTAACTGTAACTAAGTAATTAAAAAGCTAAATGCTACTACTACTATTACTACTACTACTACTACTGTGTACACTGGTCTGGCAAAATGGCTGGAATTATGCTGGATTCCCCGACCGCGTGGTGGTGGTCCAGGATTAATGAACAATCCAGAAAACCCACGGAGTCGGTGATAAGTGGAATGCGTGGAACAAAGAAGGTTCCCTCTCGGTGGATTTGTGCTCAAACCCTTGATAAATGTCGCACAGGTGGTGGCACGATAAGCATCCCAACTTCCGAATCGTGGGAAGAAAAGAACAAAGGAAGAAAGGCAAATTAGAAAAGATATCGATGGTGTACATAGCTTAAGCTACTATAGGAAGCTCGTAGCTGCTGGGAAGTTAGGCAAAAAAGCTAAGTACATACTCTCTGCTTTGCATGATGAGCCAGAAGCTAGCTCCCTCCCTCATACTACGGTAGCAGTTTGTTTAGCTGACTAGCTGACTAGCTGACTAGCTGACTAGCTGACTAGCTGACTAGCTGACTGAATTCCCTATGAGGCATTATTCTTCTCGTATGCCGGTGATACAGCATGTGCCAACTAGTTAGGTATGATTCTGATCTTGGTGGCATTAGCAGTTCAATTCCGATTTCCTCCCCGTCCAAGACAGACTAAGGTATCTAATGCCGATAGTGGCTATCGATAAGTGTAACTTATGTAGCTCAATTGTAGCTAAGCTAGATGTGGCACGCACGACATGGATGGAGCAGGAGAAGAGAATATTTCAGTCATGTCGCAGAAATTACCAGTTTTGAAGCTGGCTTATTCTCCTCTGAGCCGGTTGTTCTCCGACAGACATACCTAGACAATCACACGCAGTACGAGTTACACTTAGACTTTTTCTTTTTCTTTTTTTTTTCTTTTCTTTCGGAGAGCTCAGCCTCGGTCTGGGCAATTCACTGACTCTCTCTCTCCAGTTGGGTAAATTACTCCATACCTGACCGTACCGGAACTCGAGGATAGACGGCAGGAACCCCTCTGAATGGCTTCCGCCCTCCCGATTCTGCCCATTCTTCGAGCATTGGCAAGTTAGCATCCGCTCTCAAACCTGCTCGCACTCCTTCATGTTGTAGCACTCGTGACCCGTCTAATTCCCCTCCCACGCCCTTTCCTGCTTAGACAATTTACACTTTTCATCTACTGGTGTAGGAGCAGGAGAGAAGTGTCCAGCTGGACTAAAATTCCACCAGCCATCGTCGATGGACGGCCCGGCTGCTTGGGAATGGAACTAGCGGAAATGGACATACCTGTACGGTACGGGTATGGTTATCGGTGACCAGCAATTCGGGAATGCCGGTGGAACCCCTCCATTCTTGGGGGGGTTTGCGACAGCTGCTGCATAATCCATCTGAGCTCAGGGATGGGGTAAACCTGTGGGCTACTATCTTATCGAGGGGCGACCACGGATAAATTTATCTGGTCGAGACTCACCCATCATAGTTCTAGATGTTGGAGAATTCTTTGCCAGAGAAGGCTTTTTCGTTCCCACTGTGAACCATTGCCGTCCAGGTAGGCAGGTAATGAACCTAGCTCGAAGTGTAGTTAAAAGAAAGCACCGCGTGGTCAATTGAGGAAAGGATCAAATGGTGAACCGATAGGCTAAAAAAGAGCCATGTGGTGCAACCTTACGGAGGAGGCTACCTCCTAAGCTACTTTTACCCCTCCCTCTTACTCCGAATCTAATGACCGGTTTTAGTTGTTCCCCCCTCCGTTTTCTTTTCTCCCACTGCACAAATACGGAGTACACTTTACACCTCTATCTCCCTTCACCCGGTCTGCTTCGCTTCCTTAGTAACCACACCTACCTTAAAAAGCAACTCAACGACAAGCTCAACAAGCTTACGAGCTTGACCTATTCACCAGCAGTAAGTTACCCGAAGACCGGCCAAATCCTAACCCAGACACTGGACACTGGACAGTGGCAAACCCAGTTTAGCTCAACGCCACTGCAGTTCCTTATTCCCGTCTCAGTGGGGCTCTCGAAACGGTACCTTAGCCCAGTGGGAAAGGCAACGAAAACCACAAGTCACCAAGGAAAGAATAGAAAAATTTTCGGTTGTTCTTCTCGAAACCATTGGCCACTGGCTGATCCCATGGATGCAGGGGGGATTACCGTGTACGGAGGACTGGAAACAGTAACTTAAAGTATTGGGGAACCCCCCTTCGTCTCTCCTCTTCTCGAGCTTTAGCTCCTAACTACAGAGTACAGTGGAAGTTGGGTCAACGGAGGGGCAAAAGTCCGAATCTCGTGCTCCCTCGGGAAAACAATTCAGCACGTTTATATAGTCAGTATACGCTTCCAGGGTAGGACTCAGGTGCTGTGCGGTGCAGTGTGCACAGCACGGCACGGCAAAGTAATCCCCGGTTAAGGGGACAACGAGAAAAGTAGTAACCATAATATTCCCTTTCAGGACTCTCTCATTCCTCCCCGCCTCATTTCATCCGGATGTACTGTGTACGGAGTATAGTTGATTCTTATACACTATTCTTATACACTATACTCCGTACAATGTACTAAAATTGATCGGAAAGTGGAGGCGGGGATGCCCAATCTCGTGCTTTAAGCGAACGAGAGACAAAATTAGTAGGTGGGCGGTGGAATTTTCCTGCGTCGGGAGGCGGAAGTGCGACGGAGCTAACTATCGGTGCTACTGTTACCAATCATCCTCATATTACCTGGGCAATATTGACATGATATGCCATGTCTTTTCGTTCTATTTCGACCTCTGGAGGATGTGGCTTGTTTTGTGGTTCGGTCTTGCCTGTGTCCGAGCATGGGAGCTCTAGCTGTATGTACCGTTGACACTCGCCGGCTAATCAGCTCTTGTATTCATGGACGTGATGTGTTTGGACATGGCAGGTCCGAAGTAAGACCTTGCCTGATTGATAACAACATCTATCAAAGTAACTTAATATGTTGTGGTGACATACCCCGTGCTATCAATACGAATCCAGGCAAACATGAATATATGCTTCTCCTGGTCACCCGTACTGGGCGCGGAGGAAGCGCTATTCTTGGAAAAGCAATGCAATTGTCAGCCCGCATCAAGAGCATCGGGTGAGGGGCGCACTGATCGCCGCTAACTGCAACGACCACCGAGCTCCCACTCCAGCGGGCGTGAAATTACGTGAGATTGACAAGGCAGCTGCTGGCGGTGGTGGTGGTGGTCTTTGCTGGATCCCTTGCATGGAAAAGGAAGAGCAACGATGCGATTGCTTGACTCATATGCCGGACGCAATTCCCCTCGCTGGAGCTTCCTGCATTGTTCCCAGTAAGCAAGTGCCGAGCAGATTTCTGCTTCCAGCGAGCAAAGCCAGCAAGCTGACCTACAGGGCAACGCAGCTGGTCAGTTGCCTTTTCGGGCACGGTGCAGCTTGATTTAAACCCGAGCAGCCTGAATGGGTAAGTTAGGGTTGGGAGGACTTCTTCCATCCACTGACCGGGAGGTAAAATCCCACTCCCCACTTGGGCTGGTGAACACGGTGGGTGCTGAGTGCCCAGACAAAGCCGAAAGGATTCGTCTCTGGGCTTGGCTGCTAAGTTGATAGGCTTTTGCGTCTTGGCCCTGGAGAGAACCATTTGTCAATCTGGGGTATATATCACTGTCGCTGGAGTGAAAGAGTACAACCGAGTACCTGGCTTCCTGGCTACTAGTACTTAGTTATAAGATTTAGTCGTCCCGGCTATCGGCAACGCATCTACTCTATGCGAGTTACACAACACTGGTCGGACCTGAAGTCAAAATGCTGAGGGCCAGTCGTCAGCCAATTGCATGGGTTTGACTACTAACTACTACCCAAGTATACCTATTCATATTCCGTACGTATTAGCGAATTCAAACAGTTAACAGAGCCTTCTAAGTGCCTCTCTCAACACTCATACTTGGTGCATTTGATTTCGTAGACCTCGATGACGTCGATATCCGAGACCTTGTTGTCTCCCCTGAACGATTTGCCGCATGGCAGGAGGACTGCATCGCTGCATCCCGTCAACTGGTAACGGCATTTTCACCTGCAACACACAATATCCGAACAATACCGATTCTAGTACGTCTCAGGCAACCCGTCCAACAATGGGAATCACCCCGTAGGGCTGTCTCTCCCATGTATAGCAGCACCATGGGCAAAGACTTCGGATGCGGAAATCCCCCGGAAACGTAGCGGCTCGGTCCCGCTGGTGCGGTCATCGGGATATTTGTCCCGTGCACTGTGAGCATCACTGCGACCGACGGCTTCGAGTTTCGAACAGGTATACTCCTGTATAATAGGAGGTGTTATAGCTATATCTCCCCCTCTCATCCCCTCCCCCTCTTGGTGTAATGTCTGAGCATCGGCTACGCAGTTGATGGTGCCGTCTAACCGTGTCCGAAGGCTCCACGGGGATCATCCGATGGGGCTCGAAGCTCCAAAAGTCTGGAACCGACCCTTGATGGGGCTGATCCGACCTCCACGCTCATGACGACAATGACACCGTCGGGGGAGGGGAACTAATAGCCAAGGTAGAGTGTAGTCTGGTAGATAAAAAGGCTCATCCGTAGCTTCAGCAATCTTTGAAGCGGTCAGAACATTGCATTCATTCCAGCAACCACTTCAAACTCCTAATAAGGACCCTCCACCACGCACTCGACATCCTTTTCGACAACCATCAGCCAAGAAAAGAACCACCAATGACTCCCCCCAAGAAAAACTTCCACGTCGCCATCATCGGCGGCGGCATAGCCGGCGTCACGCTGGCCATCGCGCTACACCACCGCAACATCTCCGTCACCATCTACGAGCAAGCGCACGCCTTCTCCGAAGTCGGCGCGGGCGTCTCCTTTAGTCCCAACGCGGTACAAGCCATGAAGTTCTGCCACGACGGCATCTACAACGCCTTCGAGAAGGTGTGCACGCGCAACCTTTGGCCTTCAAAACAGAAAGTGTGGTTCGACTACCTGGACGGCTACAACTTCAAGGGGCCCAACGACACCTCCACGGAACGGGGCCGCCAGGATATTGAGTTTACTATCTCCAACAGCCTGGGACAGAACGGGGTGCACCGCGCGCACTTTTTGGATGAGCTGATCAAGCTCGTACCCCAAGAGATCTGCCGCTTCAAGCGCCGCCTCGAGGATATCCACGAGCGCATCCGCGACGGCAAGTTGATTCTCAAGTTCGCCGACGGGTCCGAGGAAGAGGCCGATGCGGTCATCGGGTGCGATGGGATCAAGTCGCAGGTGCGCCAGATTATCGTCGGTGCTGACCATCCGTCCGCGAAGCCCTCGTATACGCACAAGTACGCCTACCGCGGTCTCGTGCCGATGGAGAAAGCGGTTGAGGCGATAGGGGAGGAGTTGGCCTCGAATTCGTGTATGCATGTGAGTAACACCGTTTTCCATCCGTCTAAACAATACGTAGTACAATACGTAGTAATGGAACATGAATATAGATGGGCCCAGGAAGCCACATGCTCACCTTCCCCGTCAACGGCGGCAAAACGCTCAACATCGTCGCCTTCCACACCAACCCGGACGACTGGGCCGAATATCCCCACCTCACCCGCCAAGGCACGCGCGAAGAAGCCCTGCGTGACTTTGAAGGGTTCGGGCCAAACGTGACCAACCTGCTCAAGTTGACGGAATCCGATCTCAGTGTGGTGCGTGCCCATACCCCTCCTTGGGGGAAAAAGCTCATCCCTGAACCCCCCAATCCCTTTGACCAAATACACCAACACGATGCTAACGAGCAGACAGTGGGCGATCTTCGACCTCAACGACCACCCCGTCCCCACCTTCCACAAAGGCCGCCTCGTCATCTCCGGCGACGCTGCGCACGCTACCTCGCCGCACCACGGCGCGGGAGCGGGCTTCTGTATCGAGGACACGGCCGTGTTGGCCACGCTGCTGGCGGATGAGCGTGTCTGCTCTCCCGCGGATCTGACGGCGGCGTTTGCTGCCTTTGATGCGAATCGGCGTGAGCGGTCGCAGTGGTTGGTGCGGAGCTCGCGGTTCATCGGGGACTGCTACGAGTGGCAGGCTGAGGGTGTGGGGCGGGATTTCAAGAAGATCGAGGAGGAGATCAATCGGCGGAATGGGATGATTGCGAATGTGGACATCGCAGCGATGGTGGAGGAGGCTAGGGGGGAGCTGGGGAGGCGGCTGGGGCATAGAGCCTCGCTGTAGAGGAAGACTCGTGGGGTTGTCAATTGTCAATTGCAGGTTGTTGTGATGTATACAATGGCTTGAGCGAGTGTATATACCACTATATAGTAATGTAGATAGTTCCCAGTTTGAAATCTTGGTTGTTTGATTATGGCCAGTGACTTTTCACTTATTTCTATGTGTTTGCTTTTTCCACTGCACTGGCAGCAGGGTTTTGTTTCTTCACCCGTCATACGCTCTAGATATGAAAATGCCTGGTTTCGTTCCTGCTCAACAAAACTCTGTCTCGCTATGAGTATTCAAGCGAGTTCGTCGTCCTCTTGTCATGTCAGCTCGCAACAACCCGAAAATCCGAAATGAACAGAATACATGCCTCGGTGTTAACAATCTGTGGCTACCCCGCATGCAACCCCCGGACGCCATCCGATCGTTTGTCCCGTTTGGTGAGTTTGCTCTGTTGGCCTCTTAATCGGAAGCGGTCAACAGCGGCAAGAATCGAGCACTTCCGACGGGCGGGGAATTTCCCCCGATATCCCCTCAATTCACTCGCCCACTTCCGAAAGCTTGTTTCATGCCAACTCCTGGTCACATCTTGAGGGGCGTTACTGAATGAGTATAGAGCTTCAACCTGGTGGAGGATGTTGGACTAAGGTTTATGCTTGGTTCTCTCAGCCATGGTTACTAATGGCATGCCGCGTGACTGCGCTGGTTGGTCGATCGCCTCGATGGCTTCCGGCTCGTTCGTTTGTGGGTGAAAGCAAGCCACGACATCACACGACAGCGGGCGATATAATACCCGATTCGGGACATTGGGGTCAAAGAATTCCCTAGTTGCATGCATGGTCAGGCTGGAAATCTGGTTGAAGCGAGAAGGAGACATCATAAAGCAAAGACGTACATTTGCACCCGATGACTTGTCAATGGGATTTTTCTGTCTGGAATCGGCAAAGATATCAACGACTGAGGAGAACCGACCGTCAAGTCCGAACTGTGAGACCTCTGTCGCGATATAGGTCTCGCTGGCGTTCGTTCGTCCGGTGAAGGTGCTTTGCTCGGGCTGATCCTTGGGTACAGGAGCCCGGGCGAGTGGAACGGTTGGAGTTCTTCAGCGGTGGTGTTAAAGGCATGCACAAGCTGGGAACCGAGCCATTGCCGGAACTGTTCCCAAGCCTCAGCTGCCTCGTTAATCGCGTGGTGCGACTCGCTAGATTTTGATTTGGTCGGGACAGGCTACTGTGGGCACAAGCTCATGTCCGTAACCAACCATGCCCAGCGCATCACGTACATCGTCGCTGACTTGGTGAAGAAATCGCACCATGGCTGCGATGCTGAGTGTCTCGCTATTATTATCGTCAATACGTTCCACCCGCCCAACTGAACCGGACTCTGGCGTCGGGCCGTGCGGGTCATAAGTATCGAGTCTTCGAGTGAGATTGCTCAGTCGTTCGGATATCTCGCGAATACGATCTAATACCGTCTGATATCTTTGACTGTCCACTTGAGTAAGCATACCATCGTTCTCAGGAATGGCACTCAGGACATGCTCTGATTCGAGAAGAGCTCGTTGTAATCTACTCCCACGATGGCTTGGATGGTGGGCATCGAAGCAATCCGTGTCCGTCCCACTTTCGAGCATACATCGTCTTAGAAGGAGCGAAATCTGCGACGTCATGGTTCTGCTGGTTGTTAGCAAGTTGCATTGAGGGGTTACTCTTCAAAAGGCAAACGCACTTGATGGATCTAAGCATCTCGAGATTCTCTAACTGATTGCGCTCTGTGGCCTTCACAAGGCCGACCGTCGCATCTCGGGTTTCTTTGTCCGACTTAAGCGCCGCAATTTCAGACATCGTTCTAGCGTTCGCCGGAGTCTTTCCGCCTCATCTCACTCTAAAGGCCAGGTGACTTTCTCACAGAAATTGGATACTTTGGCACCGAAGCTGTTGCGACGACCATTTGACGTGTTTTCATTCTGCGTTAGTTGGCGATGCTTGTGAACGAACTCGGCGCATTCGTCGATTGTCTGAATGTAGAAGATTCCCAAGTCTCGTTCGCCCTTGATGGTCGGCTTTTTGGTCTGCTGAATCTGCTTCAGCAGTTCTTTAATGGAACCGAACTCATGACGAAATGAGTTGAAGTCAGCAGCAGCACTTGCCGGACCATCCTGACACTCTTGTAGACGGTCCATACAGTAGTGGCGGCTGTCATAACATCCCCAATGCCCATTTGAGGGAAGCTCATAGCTCATTCCCTGTAACTTGGCGACTCTGCAAGATCAAGGGTGCTTTGGCACGAAAGTACTGCGATAAGGCAATGGGGAAAGGAGGCAACAGGGACCGGACGGATATGTGTCGGCAGAAGCAACTCCAGCATTCTGGGCGTTGATAAGTCACAAGGGACTTTTGATAAATCTGCCGCGAGGCTGAGCTGCGCCAACATGCAAAGTACAGAATTCTGTTGATGCTTTCAGTCATCGCAGGCTACAGGATCATGGAGGTGGCAAGCGGGCATTGAGTGAGTTTCGGTCAAAAAAGCGCCCTGCAGCTTGCCCCGGAACTAGGGTCCATATTCGCTATCGAAGCCCTGTAGCTAATCCCTTCGACCACATGGTTATCGTCTGGAGCTCTCATTTCAGATATCCTCGTCAAGCAAACTCTCGTGGTGGTGGCGGTGCACGAACCTCTTAGCACCGGTCTAGTTTCTCGTCTCCGAACTGCTTCCCATCCTTTCGTCGGTTGTCTGTGTCTGTGTGGAAGTGACATCAGGGGCATAAGAGAAGGAGACTTGAGTCGAAAGCACAGGCGGCTACAGCCTCTCTATCAGCCTTGGAGCCTTGCTATTACGACTTGTCTTAAAATCTGGGTTGCATGACCAGGTATAATATTTCAAGAGAAAGAATGTGTTCTATCGCCAGAGAAGAGCAGAAGGCCGTCTAGTTTCGCCATACGATATTGAATTAGAAGAGCAAACCTGGTCACTGCATCACCTTGCATCAATAAACCTGCTAGCTACGGCTAGTCCGATCGATTGACATGGGTCTGTTACCCCAGGTCAAACTGTACCTGAACCCATGGGGAAACTATGAAGACTTTCGGTATCACACGGTCATACCCCCCCCTTGCATCTCAGTGTCCTATTGTCCTATAGGTTCTTTGCTGACCACTTCTAGTCCGCTCAAAGACAGAACTTTATCATAAGTCGATTGAAAAATGCAAGACGAAGAGAATGGCTTTGGGTCGTGGTCGTGGCGGGGACGGGTTTCTTCGCCGATGCGTACTTTGTAAGCACACCCCATAAAGAGTCACGTCCGCAACTAATCTTGCAGATCTTCTCCGTCAATATGGTCACTCCTATTCTTAGTGCTGTCTACTGGCACAAGATCAAACTCAAATCCAACACCTTACACAACTACCAAGTCGCCCTTGCCATTGCCACCTTGGGCGGTGCGCTGGTCGGCCAGATCCTCTTCGGCATCGCCGCAGACATCTGGGGACGTCGTAAGATGTACGGATGGGAACTCATCATCCTTATCTTCAGCACCCTGGGCATGTCGAGGGCGTCATCGGGACAAGATAATTCCATGTCGATGATCGGAGTTGTACTCTCTGGCGGTTCTTCATGGGCGTAGGGGTAGGAGCCGGGTATCCATTATCGGCGGTGATCTGCTCAGAGTAGGCCCTCTCCTTCTCAAGTGTGGTCTGTCACGGTTGATTGATCCTCACGGTGTCACAGGCTTGCCCCTACGCGTATCAGAGGCCGCATGCTGGCAGTTGTGTTCCTCTGTCAGTCCTTAGGAGAGGCAGCAGCCGCCGTCGTGGCGCTCATCGCCGTGGCTGGCTTCCGAAACAGCCTCCCAGATGACCCGAGCAGTCTCGAATGTACTGGCTCGTGTGTTCACGACCTCGATAAGATCTAGAGGTATATAGTTGGCGTGGGTGCAATTCCAGCCTTCGTGGCGATCTGGTTCCGGATGACGATCATCGAATCACCGCGGTACACTGCGGATGTGATGAACAACAGCCTGCAAGCTGCTGCCGATGCCTCTCAGTTTTGTCGACCAACAGAGCTACCAGCAACATCGATGTCTAGCCTAGGGACAGACTCGATGTCGCTTACCCACACTCGAACACACGAAGGACACACTATCTCGCCGATGATATCCCGCGGCTCTGACTGGGGAGTCAGCGAATCGCTCACAAATCCCCGTCTGAGTATGTGGAAGGACTTTAGAGCATTCCTCAATCGGATCCATAATCTTCGCACTCTGGTTGCCACTTCTTTATGCTGGTTCTGTCTCGATCTTCCCTTCTATGGTCTGGGTTTGATGAACGCAGAGATCATCAACACCATCTGGTACGGACAGGCCATTCAGCCAGCTGGCGTCTACCAGTACCTTCTTCGTGTCTCCTACCAGAGCATCGTAGTCATCTCGTCTGGTGCCATTGTTGGCAGTGCCATCGCCGCCATGACGGTTGATCGCATCGGGAGGCGAAACCTGCAGCTACTGGGCTTTGGCTGGTTGTTCATACTTAATGTGATCATCAGTGCGGCCTTTCGGTATTTGAGTGAGCATGGGGATGCCTCAGCTTTGGTTGTGCTTTATGTGTTGACACAGACATTCTTCAATTTTGGTAGGTGGCATGCTGACTTCTCGAAGAGGACGTGGCTAATTATAGCATAGGACCGAATACTACTACTTATATTGTATGTTAAGTCTCAAACAAACCTTATAACCGAGTTTAGAGTTGCTCCCCGTCACGCGCCTTCATTCAAGACTGACATCTTACAGGTTCCTGCAGAGCCTTTTTTAACCCGCTTCCGCTGCACCTGTCATTCTAGCGCAGTGCTTTCTGGGTTATGTGGACTTTGGCAGTGGTGCTAACTGGCGAAATGTACCAGCTTGGCTGGGCTATGCTCTTCTCTGGTAGGTCTACGGCTCGGATTGTCTGGGTGGTTGGCTAACCAGCGTCCAGTCTGTCCTTCTTCATGCCGATGGGATTGATCACCACACTCTGGATCCCAGATACCAGGAACTCAAACGGGAACAACAAGTCTTTGGAGCAGATAGCTGCAGAGATGGAATCCAAGCAGGAGCTGGGGCGGGATATTGAGACCATTAGTTTTCACTCGCAAGAAAACAAAGGAGCTTGAGATATGGTCTTCGTATTGTGGCTCTGCATGCTGCTTCTTCATCTTTTCCTTGACTTGTGCTCTTACCGTTATGTATGAGAAAGAGGAAGCCAGAAGATGTCTCCATATAACAAAGTCCCTTGTATTCACCTGCGAGATTTGGCTCGGCCACTGTAGTACCTGTAACCATCTTCCCAAACCACATTCAACCGTTTGTACAGTAGTCAGATAGCTTCACCCTGGTGCACAGGATGACTCTTGTTATAATTATGCTTATTTACTCTATGTGTCTTATCTCCCTGCTACTAGTATATACGGGGTGACATGTTCGAGCTATCTGACTTGGACTTTTTATAAGTCCTCACAGCATTGTTCCTAGGTATTTCAATTGCATACATAGAAAGATTCTTTGACAGGACTCTAAAGGTGTACCTCTTCACATAACCTAAGCAATGCGCATACAGAGGCAGCTAGACTCCTGGCTAGTACTATATATGGCCATGTGGGTGTTGGATGAAAGTGCACGTGACCCCACCCATCAGCACCTTCCTGAACAGGCAACCATGCATCTATCTATGAATCACCGCTTGCTTTTCGACCAACAACCTTCAGAATCAATCTTGACCAGATTGAAGCCTCTTCCTGCGAATGCCCCGGCCGATGCACCTCTCGCCCGAGAAGCGATAACATCATTATTGTCTGGATAGAGACATACAGTAACCACTTCATTGTCACGGCAGATTGCGCCATCGGACCACGGCTTTCGTGATCGCCCGCCAACCCCTACGTCTGTTTACTCCCTACGCACGCCATCCTCCCCACTGCTTGCAAGTGCTTCGTAACTGACGATCATCAGCGCAGAAACATTTGGATGCCATGGTTGGTCGAACTCAATGCACCGAGGGTCGAGGGGTAGAGGAGGGGTTGAATGAAACTTGAAGTATATAATCATCCTCCCCTCGCCCATTCTACCACAAGTCTATCTGAAACTACTAAGTTATAAACTACCCTTACAAGAATCAACAACCACCATCCAAAGTCATTTAAAAACCCCCCAAACAATGGCACTCACGCAACAACCCCCCTCCATCCCCCTCGACATATTCCCCGACGGCCTCAAAACTACGGGCCAACACCCCCCGCTTTACGAGCACATCCATCCCTTCGACCGGTTTCCCAAGGAAATCACCGGCCCCACCGTCTGGAAGCCCGAGGACTACCGCGATAACCCGGAGAAATGGACTCATCGGTTTACAGCTGAGGAGGTCGAGGAGCTGTCGCAAGCGGCTGATGAGTTTCTGGCTAAGAAGACGCCGTTGACGGGGATCAGCAAGGTGAGTCCGACCATCCACTGCCAATCAACAAACCAACACCACTCCCGTCCTACAAGCACGATGCCATTGATGCAATGCTAACCAAATGATCACGACAAAAGCACAACTTCCCTCTCCCCACCCTCTCCGCCCGCCTCACCAGCCTGCGCGCCGATCTCCTCGACGGAAAGGGCTTCATCCTCTTCAAGGGCCTCCCCGTCGCGCAATGGGGCAACCACAAGTCCGCTGTCGCGTACATGGGCCTGGGCACGTATCTGGGGTACTTTGTCAGCCAGAACAGCCGCGGCCATGTGCTGGGCCATGTGAAGGATCTGGGCGAGGATCCTACGCAGATTGATTCCGTAAGGATTTATCGGACGAATGCGCGGTATGCTTTGCATCATTCCTAACCACCACCACGAAGATACGCCTTAGGGTTGAGGCTAGACATGCTAACAAAAAAGGGCAGACAATTCTTCCACGCCGACGACTCCGACATCGTAGGCCTCCTTTGCATCCACCGCGCCCGCGAAGGCGGCGAATCCGACCTCGTCTCTTCGCACCACGTGTACAACACGCTCGCCAAGGAGCGGCCGGACGTGCTCAAGACCCTGACCGAACCGATCTGGTACTTTGACCGAAAGGGCGAGACGAGTAAGGGGGAGGAAGAGTGGATCCGCACGAGTGTGGTGTATTTGGAGAGAGAGGGCGGGGAGCATGCGCCGAGGGTGTATACCAAGTCAGTTACCCCCTACCCTCTACCCACAATCTTACCCTTGATGCCCCCCTTGATGCCCTCCTCCCATCCCCGAGACCCGAGAGGAAAGACGGTGAAACTGACAAAAAAGCAGATGGGACCCCTACTACGTCCGCTCCCTCACGCGGTTTTCATCGGCAGGGCTCATCCCCCCACTCTCGGCCGCGCAAACCGAAGCCCTCGAGGTGCTAGAAGCCACCTGCAATCGTCTCTCCCTGCATATGATCCTCGAGGTCGGCGATATCCAGTTCCTGGCCAACTCGCACGTGCTGCATGCGCGCACGGCGTACGTGGACCACGCGCCGCCGACGCCGCGCAGACACCTCATGCGGTTGTGGCTGGCCACGCCGGAGAGTGAAGGCGGCTGGCGCTTGCCGTTCTGGGATAGTAATGAGAAGAAGCGCGGGGGCATTCAGGTCGATGATCAGCCCCCGGTGGCGCCTTTGGATGCGGAGTAGTTTTCCCTCCAGCAGGAGATAGGGTTGTAATTTAGCGTTTTTCTGTTGCGTTGCGAGAAATACCATCTGTCGTTCTTTCATTTGCAGGCATTTGATTAGTGGTTAGGGTTGTGGTAGTGTATATGTGATGTATTAGGTTTGTGGTCATAAGTCGTAGTCTCACTCTCAGGACGTCGAGGGAGGTGTAACTAGGTATAGGAATCGAATCACGCTCTCGAGTTCGCAGCTCGCACCCAACAGCCTCCTGCTGCAGCCTAACCTCGAATCTTGTAATTGCCCCCACTCACAATCTCCAACTTCCCCTTGGCCACCATCCCCGCCAAAAACTCCCGAAGCTCCTCGTTACTGTACGGAAACCCCCCGGGCACCGCGATCTTCAACATCATCACGATCCGCTGCAGCGGCATGGCGCCCTGGTTCGTCAGCATCCCCACGATGAACTGCCAATACAAGTTCATCTTCTCCATCGCCGCCGCCTCGGCGGATTCCTTGGCGGCAGCGGCGGCGGCGGCGGCGGCGGCTTCGGCCGCGTCCTCGAACACGGGCGAGGTATCGGCGCGAGGTTGATGGCGGGGGTTGGTCGTCGGGGTCGTCGGAGTGGTGGTGGAGGTGGTTGTCTTCGGGGAGGTAGCTGTGGAATGGGCAGTAGTGCCGAGGCGGGACGGGTCGTCGGGGTTGGTGGAGGAGGTAGGAAGGACTTCAAGGACCCGGAATGTCTCGCGGGGATGCTCGTGGAGAATGCGCTGGCTGACCCAGAACAGACACGCCGAGCGAACCAGTGTGTGGGGCATCTGCAGTTGCTCGGCGAGTTCCGTGATGGTTTTGGTGGCGGGGGCGGTCGAGGAGGAGGAGGAATCAAACGCGTAGATGACGGTAGCCTGCCACGTGGTGACCTCGTCGCGGAAATAGCGGTCCTCGAGTTCAAGTTCCACCGTGACCTGGCCGAGGCCGTTGAGCCAGGTCAGTTTGCGGGATTGTTTGAGCGAGCCGAAGCCCTGTGCGTAGCGCTGTTGCAGGGATGCGATGGGTTCGGGGACACGGAAGGCCGGGGTGGGAAGGTCGGGCCAGAAGAAATGCGAAAGGATCTTGGCGTGGAGGTCCGGAGTGTCCGGGGTGGTCGAGGGCGGCTGCTGGCTCTTCGCTAAGCCTTGGTCGTTGCGAATGACGCTGTCCACGCGACGTGAATCGAAGATATCGCGGAGCATGACCTCGCAGGCTTGCAGCGCGTTGTCGCCGAACCGCACTTTAAGTAGTTCTAGCACGGACATCTCTTGGTCGAAGTCCGGGCGCTTCTGCAGTAACCGCTCGCCGAGCATGTTTTGCATTTCTTTCACAAACATCTCCTTCGAGTCAAACAGGCTGATCAGGCTGCCAATCACGTCCGACGTCTTGGATTTTCGGTAATCCGGCGCCGCATCCACCGGGTCCGGCATCCAATTCATATCATCCCAGTCTAGCTCGCCACTATCGGTCCGCAGGGAGTTCTGGTGCGCCTTCGTGAGCTCGGCGGATAGCTCCACCAGCGTGTCGGGATGGTGAGCAGAGACGGTTTGGCCATCGGCGTCGGCGGGATCGGCCAGGAGTCCCCCAACAATGACTTTGATGGTATCGTCCCGGTCCCGGAGGTATCGACGGATAGGACGGGCGATTCGGTCGAGGAGAACGCCCTTCGGGTCAAGCAAATTAAAGGCTCGGATGATCGAGATGTATACTTGGAGGATCTCAATGGTGGATGCTCCGGGGTGCAGCAGTCGCTGATTCAGGGCTGCGATAAAAGCTTGTGTCAAATGATAACGCGCGGCAGGATAAGTTGTAAATTGCCGCAGATCCTCAATCGCACCGCTGCTCGCAGGCCACTCCACAATCACATCGAAGAGCTCGCTGGTCCGCAGGGCTCCCAGACGGGCAATGCCGATCTCCTGCCACTTTTCGACGTCGCCCAGAGTCACATCCAGGTTGCCGGGCTCCTTGTCGCCGGTTTCGGGCACATTGATGATTGACAAGACCTGGACGACCAACTGTGCAAAGACGTTCTCAATCCACTGCCGTAGATGCTGCGACGCAAGTGACGGTCCCTCCCACTGACCCGTGTATGCGGCGCGAACAAACTCGCTCATCAAGCTATCCATTACGCTCGCGAAAACTTTCTGTGCCTTGTCGCCCCCCATCCCCACGAGCTGTAGCCCTTCGAAGAGCATAAGCAGCCGCTCTCGCGCAGCACCGACACGGGAGTCCGGTTCACTTAACATCTGCGTCCTCGCAGAGGGAGACGGCTCATCGCGCCAATCCTGGTATGAGACAGAGCACTGTCGATCAACATCCATATCGTCCACATCATCAGGGCCCTCGGCCGCAGCTCTCTCTCGCAGCTCATCGATGCCCAGAATGACCATCGCCTCCTTCATGACCTCGCGACTCAGTAACGCAGACGCCTGCGACCACGGCAGTGCATAAGCCACCATCATATGAAACGAGCGGCGTAATTTCCCGTAGGCCTTCTCATGCGCACCACGATACAGTGCGTCAAGGATACCCAGCAGCGGCTCGAAGTAGATCCTTCGGATCAATTGCAAGCACACCACAAGCCTCTGCAAGAGACCATCCGATTCGGAGTGTTTGAGCGCCTAACACTCCAGTCAGCAGAAGCACACCTCCCTAGTTCTTACGAGGACATCAAACTAACCTCGACCAGCCCGCTTCTGACATTCCGTAAAAAGTGTCTCCGAATCTCAAAGCCATACCAATCCAAGATACTTTTCTGCAGCGCGTCCCTCCGCTTCCCTAGCCTCTTCTCGCCGAGAAACGGCTCTAGCAAGCGCGCGAACGCATCTAGGACCTCCGCATCCGCCGCGCGATCTCGGTTCCACAGCCTCATGAACTGCGCTGGATCCATCTGCTCGTAGCGGAGTAGTGCTTCGAAGCCCCGGTCCGGCACGGCTAAGAACTTCGTCGCAACCCGCCAGGCGCCGTCCCAGGTCGCCTGGTCGGGCCAGGCGTCCTCATCGTCCTCATCGTCGGAGGTCGCGGTCTCGGTCTGCTGGGAGGTGGTGGAGGTGCGAAAGGTAGGGTTCTCCGTGTGCTGGGAGTCGGAATTGTGGCTTGCTTGGAAGGATCGGAGGAAAAGTGGAGGATTCGGACCCAGTGCAGAGGATTTCGCCGCTGTGGGAAAGTCGTCGAGCGAGGCGGGAGGGAGAACGGAGGAGAAGACGCGTTTGCGCCGGGTGGTGTTGGATGTTGCTGATTGCGGTGGCATTGTGTTGGCTCGAAAACATTCGAGGCGGTAACACAGGATCTTAATGTGAGAGAGTCATTTCAGAGTAGTGATGTTGCTAAATGATCGCTGCACGCCTTTTCACAAGGCGGCATCGCGGTATGAGAAGCTGCTTGTCGTTGTGCTGTCGTAATGGGGAGCAGTCGGAATTGACGGTGATGATTGTTGGAGGGTGCTGCGCTGAGTCAGCAAGTCTTATCGATAAGGAATCTCCCAACTAGGCAATATCCAAGCAAACCGGCCGTCTCGGTCTACAGAGGGGGATCGGAGGTGGAAGCGTTGATATGGACTGAGATGACCAGTTAATGGTCTTTCCAAGTCGCATATAGATTCTTTTCTCGATCTTATAGAGTCAAGGCTGGGGTCTATACTCGGTAGTGCCTAGTTTCTCCTTTCTAGTCAAACCATATGGCGGAGAAATATATTCTTGGGCCAGACGACCAAGCGTTTCTACGAGTCGTTAAATGATGGCAAGTAAAGCTGCAACGCGCGCAGGTACTTCGAGCTATGACCTTTTACTTGCGTTGGTATAAGTAGCAATGCTAGGTTTTGACCAAGAGGGGTCTCGTGCTTTCATTACAACATCTGCGTCGCTGGGGAAGAGGCAACCAAGCATGCAGTTATGAAGTAAAAGCTTCTCCGACAGGTCTACATTCACGGGTAATCGCTGATCCGTCAGCATGGGGAGGGATATCTACTTCAGTCCCCAACCAGCTGTTGTTTGGTACACATTGACAAGTCTAAATTGATGATACATTGGTAAATCATCAGTCTACTGATAGGGTGTCATCTAACGCGTATCTCGTCGGCGCGAGGAAAACATAAGGCCACTCGAGTATTGAACATATGTAATCTGACCTGCTCCTTGACCGATAAATCGGAGTCCGTCACGGGGGCTGGGCATGTTGGACGTAACCAAGAGGAGCGGGAGTCGAGTCTGCCCCCTAAGAGGGCGACTGGACCGGCAAGAGCGCAAACCAGTTGCGTTACTAGGCCGCATGATTGTCATCCACCTTCTCCCATTCGCTATCAGTGCTCTGGTAGCCTGAACTCTCGCCACTGACGCTGAGACGCTTCCGCATTTCGCCGTGCGTCTCGGGAAGTTGTAGCGTGGCCGAGGCCGCGATGGACTGCGGAGCGGAAGTGGGCACTGGGGCCGCTTCTTTGCGCCCTGCGACCTGTTCCGTCTCCGTATCACTGTCGGTGGCGTCGATGGCACCAGGGGTCTTCCGCATACTGCGGTCGGGGTTGTTCTCGGTATTTTCGACCTGCTCCTTATCCGCGTGCTTTTGTTTCTCCGCTTCTTCTGCCTGGAACTGCCTGACCTCCCTGGCAAACCAGTTGATAGACCACCAGAGAGCGCCGGAGAGGAAAGATAGAACCAGAAAGTGAATGCTGTAGGTTGCCACGAGCAAAGACAGGAGAAGAGCCTGCAGAGCTGCGAAGGTGACGTTGGTCGCGACGAGGAGCGTGGGGGTGGGTCCCGGGGTGAAGATGCTGGACCAGAGGTCCTCCATGAATGAAGCCATAATGGGCGATCAGCTTCAACTCGATTGGCGGGTCGAATGCGGGGGAAATTGCAGGATAGACTGTGTAAAGCTGGGGGAATCGAGCAATGACGTCGCAACCGGAAACTGGAATCCGTTGTTGTGGTGATGCGAGCTCTGGGTTTGCGCCTCTTAACTCTTTTCTGTCCGGCAATTCAACGATCGTTCTGGCGCCACGGTCTTCACCTATGCGCGGAATGAGACTGAGTCTGAGGTCCGATGAGTGTCTGCAAGTGACTGGACTGTGTTCAATACGATGGGAGGAGGAGGGGTCGACGGTAGGGAAAGGTCGGCGCAAGGGAGAGTTGCGGGGAGGGAAAATCAACGGGAACAAGTTGAGCGGTCGGTCGGCGTTTGACTTGGGCCGATGGTGGGGAACTGGGTTGACCAGGAACACTAATTACGGTTCTACCCCGTGGGGATCGATGGCAAAGGTGGGTATGAGGAGATACAAAGATGGAGAAGAAGAGAGTAAGAAGGAGAGAGAGACTTTTGAACACTTCAAAAAAGAGCTGGAGAGGGGTTGCAGTGGGGAAAGGGACGGTGGGCAGCAGAGATGAAGACATGGCCGCAGCCCAACCATTTACCACAGGAGGAAGAAGAAGAAGAAGAAGAACAAGAACAACCACAACAACCACAAGAAATTCATAATAATCATAAAAATCAAAAAATAATAATAATGATAATTGACAATACAATAAGTACATCACGGGATCCGATCGTATCCATGTCAGGCATTCAGATACCTACTACCCACTAGGTACCGGTACCCAGTGACTTGGTTTAGACTCTCAGACTCCCGGCTATTCACTTCTCCAGGCTGAACCCCCTTCCTTCCGTTGCCGATACGGTCATTCGCAGTCAACTGGGCCGTCTTCGGCCAACGCGTGATTGGAAGATGTCTGTATGATGACCATTGATGACTTTCAGTCCTGTTGGTCAAGAGATGATGCGCAGCTGTCATGACCCGGTCATTCCCCCTTCTACACTGTACAGCGATAGGAGACAGGTTGTCAACTCTGGTTTGAAGCTAACCCCCACGAAACTTTCTCCGACCTGAAGTGAAATCTGGAGGACTGAAGCCAAGTCTGGTTTCGTTTGCATATCCGCATTCGGCGAATAGACGGGCAGTACTTGGGACCGCAGCATCACAGCATCACAGCATCACAGCATCGTGAACAAGTTACATACATACACATCAATCGAGGACACAATTCACTTAGCAAGTGGTCTGATCTGCTAGATGAAATTCTTTTCTGTTCTTTCTATTCTGCGCTGGGGATAGAACCTGAGAAGACTCCCGACCGACAATTCGATGTTGTTCCATTCCCAGTCCGCTCTCTTCGATGGGATTCGCTGTTGAGCTGGTTTGGCTGCGCAGGAGATGCTCCTGTCCGGCCCACTTTGTTACAGTATCCCACCGCTTCTATTCGACAACCCACCCCGCAGATCCCAGCATTTAGGGTTATTTTCTTCTCCTCTCTTCTGAAGTCTTGTCGTATGGCACTGGAACCATCCGAAGGTCTCCATCGAGGTCTGGGCGAATCACCGTGGATCGGTCTCTGAGCCGTTACCCTGCCTTTTGGGCTGGTTACGGCTGGTTCCAAGCTTCGCCGATATGCACTCCCCCGGCTTTTGGTAGGATTATAAGTAACACTGCACCCTTCGTCGTAAACATGTAGACCTCCTCTGGTAACATCGGATCACCTGCATCCAATCTCCTTGCCTTCTTCTCTCACATTACTCCCTAGCACTTCTTTTCCCCCATTTCTATCTTCCCAATTGTGGCAATGACCACTAAAGTCGATCAGCCCACCAAAGACCTGGTCGCCGATGGTCGATCCTCCCTTCAAGGGGTCACCTACCATGCGGAGGACATCGCGGATGGTCAGGAGCCCTATGGCCCACCCGGCATCAAGGGTCTCATCGCCAATCCATTTGTGCTCCTGTGTGCCGGATGCTCAACCCTGGGAGGTCTGCTCTTTGGGTACGACCAGGGAGTGGTGTCCGTGATTCTCGTGATGGATCAGTTCCTCCAGCGCTTCCCTGAAGTCGCCGACGGACACTCCGCGGCTGGGTTCTGGAAGGGGTTGATGACGGCGATGATCGAGTTGGGGGCGCTCATTGGTGCCTTGAACCAGGGATGGATCGCCGACAAGATCTCGCGCCGTTATTCCATCATCGTGGCAGTGATCATCTTCCTGATCGGATCGATCTTGCAGACGGCGGCGGTGGACTATGCCATGCTGACTGTCGCTCGGTTGATCGGTGGTCTGGGCATCGGCATGTTGTCCATGGTGGCTCCCTTGTACATCTCGGAAATTAGTATGTGTTCCTGGCAGGTTCAAGAAACATCGAGGATTGCTAACCATAACCTGCTGTGGATAGGTCCTCCGGAGTGTCGTGGTACCCTTTTGGTGCTGGAAGAGTTTTTTATTGTGCTGGGGATTGTCATCGCATACTGGATCACGTATGGCACTCGATACATGGCCGGGGAATGGGCCTGGCGACTCCCCTTCTTACTTCAGATGGTTCCTGCGGTGATCCTGGCGGCTGGTGTGATTGTTCTGCCCTTCTCCCCACGTTGGCTGGTGTCCAAGGGAAGAGAGGAAGAAGCCTTGCACAGTCTGTCGCGACTGCGGCAATTGCCTGCCACGGACAAGCGCGTACGACGAGAGTTCATGGACATCAAGGCGGAAGTACGCTTCCACCAGGAGATGAATGCGCAGAAGCACCCCAATCTTCAGGGTGGTGGGGTGAAGGACTCGCTGTTGTTGGAGATGGCGTGCTGGGCCGATTGCTTCAAGAGCGGGTGTTGGCGGAGAACCCATATCGGGGTCATGCTGATGTTCTTCCAACAGGTATGTTCCCAACTTCTATTACCATCGCACTTTTCGATCAAAAAATCTGACTTCATATTTGTCTATCTAGTTTGTGGGTATCAACGCCCTCATCTACTATTCGCCCACCCTCTTTGAAACCATGGGCCTCGACTATGACATGCAACTCCTCATGTCTGGCATTCTCAACATTACGCAGCTCGTCGGAGTGGCTACCACCATCTGGACCATGGACAGCATCGGCCGTCGACCTTTGCTTCTCTGGGGCGCAGCGATTATGGCCCTCTGCCACATCATCATCTCCATCCTGGTCAGTCTTTACTCCGACAACTGGCCTGCTCATCGGGGACCTGGCTGGGCCAGCGTCGCCCTTCTCTTTGTGTATATGGTTGCCTTTGGAGGATCGATTGGCCCTGTGGGGTGGGCTATGCCGTCTGGTAAGTTGCAGTGTTCCAATGCCTATCTCACAGCACAGAGTATCCTAAACGAACCATCCGACAGAGATCTTCCCCTCCTCCCTCCGCGCCAAGGGTGTGGCCTTGTCCACTTGCTCCAACTGGCTCAACAACTTCATCATTGTAAGTCAATTGGACCTCTCTCTATGTTATGTCAACAAGGCATTCCCGCTAATTGAGTAGGGCCTGATCACTCCCCCCTTGATCGAAAACACCGGCTACGGTGCCTACGTGTTCTTCGCCGTCTTCTGTGTCCTCGCCTTCCTGTGGACCTTCTTCTTCGTCCCCGAAACCAAAGGTCGCACTCTGGAGCAAATGGATCATATCTTCAAGGACAACTCTAGTGAAGCTGATCGAGATCTCCGACGGGCGGTTGAGGCTCAGATCCAACGGGAGGAAGATAGTCAAGTGATGTCTGTTTGATGGCTCATCAGCCCGACTGGTAGTCCTTTTCTGTGGTGCACGTCCACTGGTGGACTGGTGTGCTGCAGCTTCAATTCTTATCGTTCATAGCGTTTATTAAATATTTCCAGAATTTATGAGTTATGAGTTATGAGTTACTCTCCCTGTTGTAGCTCTCAGGCTGAGAGACCGCCTTGAACAGTATTCAGTAATCCGAACTCCTACTTAGTTCACTAGAGCGATACTCCAAACTTGAATCCAATCATAAATCGGTTCTTGACCCTGGGTGTGGATCGAATTGACAGTGATAATACTATCTTCGTGGGTAAACAGAATCCATCATCAAAGGATGCAGTGTAACCGTCGATCAGCCTGCATCAAGCGGGGAGGGAGGGATCACAAAAGGAATTTACTGTCCGCCTCCTCTCTCCAACTAAACGCTCTTCATTCAATCCACCACCATCACCCAACTCATCGCCAGTAGTCACCATGAAGCTGCGCTACTTGATTCTACTCAAAACCCTCGCCATCGGCGTCATCCCATCCTCCCATCCCAACACAAACGACCAAACCACCCTGACTGAATTCATCGAAAAAGAAACCTCCATCGCCTGGCAGGGAATCCTCAACAACATCGGAGCCGACGGAGCATTGGTCCAAGGCGCCCATCCAGGCATCGTCGTCGCCTCGCCCTCCAAATCCAACCCAGACTGTAAATCCCCCACAACAATCTCCCCACACTCCGACCCCAAATATTCTAACAACCCATAGACTTCTACACCTGGACTCGCGATGCGGGGTTGACCATCCCAGCCATCGTCGCTCGCCTCACCCAACCCGCCAACGATGATCACGCCCTCGACCGCATCCTCCAACAATACGCCACCTCGCAAGCCACCCAACAAGCCATCTCCAACCCTTCCGGCTCGCTCACCGACGGCACCGGTCTCGGCGAGCCCAAATTCCACGTCAATCTGACCGAATTCACCTCCCCGTGGGGCCGCCCGCAGCGCGACGGACCACCCTTGCGCGCCTCCGCCCTGATCGCCTACGGGAACCACCTCCTCACGACCGGGCAGACGACCACCTTGGCCGTCGCATCCAACCTTTGGCCGATCGTGCGCAACGACCTGGCGTACGTCACTCAGTACTGGAATGAGAGCACCTTTGACCTGTGGGAGGAAGTGCGGGGATCCTCGTTTTTCACAACCGCCGTCCAGCACAAGGCCCTCGTCGAGGGCGAAGCGTTCGCCCACGCGCTGGGCGAGGACTGCCGGGGTTGTGCGCACATTGCACCCCAGATCCTCTGCCATCTCCAGGAGTATTGGGACGGAGGGGCCCGGGCAGTGAGAACGAACCTTCCGACGAGTGGGCGCTCCGGACTGGATGCGAATTCGATTCTCGCGGCCGTGCATACCTTCGACCCGGAGGCGCCGTGCAGTCTGGAGGACAGGGGCACGTTCCAGCCGTGCTCGTCCCGAGCGCTGGCGAATCATAAGGCTTTCGTGGACTCGTTTCGCGCTCTATATGGCGTAAATCGAGGGCGGGGAGTCGGGACGGCGGCGGCGGTGGGTCGCTACGCGGAGGATGTTTACCAGGGGGGACATCCATGGTTGGTTTATCTTTTGCTGGTTTTCCTTTTCGGTGTGACTAGGGAGACTGACTAGTGGTGTTCAGGTATCTTACGACACTGGCTGCAGGCGAGCAGTTATATGATGCTCTCTATCAGTGGGATCGGCAGGGGGTCATTGCGGTAACCGCAGTCTCTCTGCCTTTCTTTCGGGACCTCGTCCCCGGGATCATCCCGGGATCTTATTTTAACTCTTCGGACGAATACGTGACCATCCGTGATGCGGTGAGACAGTATGCAGACGGATTCCTTTTGGTGGTTCAGGAATATACACCGGAGGGCGGAGGTCTGGCGGAGCAGTTCGACCGGGACATAGGGAGGCCGGTGTCAGCGGTTGACCTGACGTGGTCGTTTGCTGCATTTTTAACGGCGACCGCGCGGCGGAGGGGGGAGGTGCCTCCGTCCTGGGGGGCGTTGGGGGCAGGCCCGGCTCCGGCGCCGTGCCGCGCGACGAGTATCCCTGGTCACTATGCTACGCCGGTTGTAGGGTCGTGGCGGGTGCATGATGAGCTGAGATGAGAGGTTGATTACACGTGAGGTGGTGGTGAGTGATTGGGTGTAAACTGGTGGGTTAGCAGGAATGAGGGCAAACCATATCGTTCTCGATTTCACACGATCATTGTCGTCGTCTGTCTTCCTGCTTAGATAGCTTCAGTGGCTTCAACTGCCACCATCTTCTCTCTCCTCAGGTATTGCGGAGAGGGCATCTCCGCTCGGCATTTTTGATGCTTGTACAACCCCTTATTCTTATCCTCAGAATGACAGCACGTAGCCAGGGTGCCTTAATGGATTGGTGAATAAAATTGTGTCGTGCCTCGCCACTCGGCCGACGATAATCTCGTGAAGTCACCACTCGTCTGGATTTTCTGGCAGATTACTCAAGACAGTATAGCCATATCTCTCAACCATGCACAGTCCATCTTGTACCCATTTCGATTGGGCGGAACGCGCTATCTGTGATCAATCCGTGGAACCCGGGGATGTTCCCGATGTACGATCCGGGGTAAGCATCACCGAACCACACCTTATTTTCTAAGGATGGGTCGGGTCTATTCGGACAAGACAAGCGAGTCTAGACTGCAGAGTCTCGAAATCCAAAAATACTACAAAGACCAACTCCCAGTCAAACCATGCTCCTGCATACAGCGTCTGCATTATGCAAGTGCTAGCCCTGTTGCTATCCTTGACAAGTCTAGCAGCCATCGCAGTTGCACTACGCCTGTGGACTCGGCTGCGTCTCCGGAGTGCAGGATGGGATGACCTGCTAATTGTGGTGGCCTTGGTAAGCGCAGCCCCTGCATACCAGTCAATCCAGTTATAGCTCAATATAGATGAGTTACTGACACCAGTACACAGGCCGCCAACCTGGTCCTCTTCTCCTGCCGAGTTGTAGGCAAGAAATCCCACCCGCTTCATCCATTGCCTTTTAAACAACAACAACTAACACAAACACCCCCAGAGATCCACCACGGCCTCACCAAACCAAGCGAAAACCTCACCACGCACACTCTCGAATCACAACTCCGCGTACATCCCCTCCTCCCTCCAACCCCCTCCCACCCACACCGATCAACTAAACCAAGAATAGGCCCTTTACCTCTCCCTCCCCTTCTACCATCTCACCCTCATCACCAGCAAACTCTCCGCCCTAGCCCTGTACACGCGCCTCTTCCGCCTCCGCCGCGTGCTGCTGACCAGTTACCTCCTCGCCGCCTTCCTCGTCCTCGCGGGGTTATGGATGGTCCTCAGCGGATTTCTGTTCTGCTGGCCCGTACGGGCCTTCTGGACAGTCGTCCCAGACAGCACCAGCACCAGCCCCGGCGCACACTGCCTGCCTAAGGGACCGGTGTGGCTCCTTAACGGCGCAATGCAGATCTCCACGCATGTCGTCGTGCTTGCGATCCCGTTGGTGGTGATTCCGCGGCTGACGCTGCGACGGAGACAGAAGGGGGGGTTACTGTTGTTGTTTGGGGTTGGGTCAATGTATGTCTCTTGCACTGCTTGTTTGTTTATGGTTGGGGGATCCGGGCTGACTTTCGTGTGTCGTTGTTACGGGAGGCTAGTGTGGTCGCAATCAGTATTGTGCAGTTGGTCACGGTAATTGGGATTCTGGAGGGTGGGAAAGGGGTGACGGGTATGTTTTTGCTTTCTTCCTCGTTTCTTTCCCATTGTCTGTCCGTCCCGGTCAATAATGTCTACCCACAACACAAGATTGATAACACATAATCCACAGAGAAATCCATCCGATCCGCCCTCCTGGCTAGCACAGAAGCCAGCGCCTCGATCATCTGCGCCTGCATGCCCCCGCTGTACGCCTTGTTTAGTCGCGTCTGTTCTCGGTGTGTGTATATGGCGGAGTGGATGGCTCGTGCGGGGCGGCGGCGGCAGCAACATCAACAACAACTGACGCCAACCCAGGTGGGAGGCATCCAAGCGAGGAGTATCCATCTCACGCGGCCGGTGATTGAAGAACCGGCGTTTCTGCGCGGGGTTGGACTGGGGTTTGGGGTTTATACGGCTAGTGTGGAGGTCTCGGTGCAGTGGCCCGGGGAGAGAAGGGGTGAGCAGGATGAGATTTCCGTCGTGAGGACTGTGGATGTCGACGTCGATATCGAGCGGGGGAGTAAGGATTGGGATTTGGATCCGGGGAGATGGGGTGAGAAGATGGGGTGATGGAGTATACTCTGTGAATGGGAACATATCAGGTGGAGGGACTTAGAGTATGTAGTATACATGTCTATAAATTCATAGAGGATCACGATTGTCTGTATATACCGTGGGGTGCGAGTGAGAGCATACCGACTATTTATCCAGCCGAGAAACGATCAACTGACAACGAAGTAGTAGTCAAATGTGGTCGGTTCATTATATTGCGTGTTCATCCAGCCCTCCGGCAATATTGAAGTATATTCCTCCACTGAGACCTCAGACTCAAGTAGAAACCACCTGAAGCACCAGACATATTCCCTCAATCCACAGAACAAACTGATATTAACCAACTCTATTCCATTCTGGTATCTGCGAGTCTTCAAGCTTTCAACAATTCGACAATCGATCTCAGAACAACCCGACCTCACCCCACAGCCAGCAATGCTAATCTGCCTTCCGTTGCAGGTCTGACTCGGACCATACGAACACGGGTCCCTCGACCCCTTGATTCTCGGGCTGTTGCCTGGATAAACACGAGACGTGATATACACTTTACAGAGGGTCAGGGAGGTTGATAGACCAGTGAGTAGAGTGGTGCTCGAAGAGAGCCTCATGTTGGAACCCAATGCTAAAACCAAATAAAAGCGAGCCGACATGTCTCAAACAGAAGCTCAAGCATCGCTAAGAAGCTGGTAACTCAACTAACGTTACCGATAGACCCCTTGTTCGTGTCTCAGATGCATTACAATTGATTGGCACTGCTAACCTGGTCCATGTAGACTGTGTGGGTTAGCCCTAGGCCGACTTGATAATGTGCTATTTTATTCTCTCTAGTCCGCGCGCAAGCTAAGTGCTCAGTGCTAAGTAGCTAAGTGCTAAGTGCTAACCCACCCATTCATTGACACTAGCAATGAACACTAACAGTCCATAGTTAGTATTATGCGACACAACCAATCTCCTTGAGTGAGGGAGGTTTAGCGCGTAACCGGACCCGGTGGCGTCCGCCGCACAATGGACAAAGGAAAAAGCCGCCGCCAACTACCTATTAGATACTTAGTACTGTATGGAGCTAACCCGCGCATTTCCAAGCCAATGATAGAGTCGGTCTTCGGATGATGGGTTCCATCCCCGACCCAATCAGTAGTAGACAAGCTCGAAATAAATCGGGCGCTTGGACAAGAGCGAAGAAAGGGGAGGGGGGCTGCGCTGCGCTGCGGGTGGGATAGGCTCGCTCGGTCCCGGGTTTTACTTTTGGCTCAGCCGCTCGATCCTGGCGCGTAGGTGCTGTTAGATAGGTGGTAGGTAGGGTAGAGAGAGGTTTGGACATGTCAAGTTGGTTCGGGCTGGCCGCGATCTGATCTCCAGGCAGTTTTGTTTGAAATAGAATAAATAACTAGAAGGGATTCATTGTGGAGGGGAAGTGGAGGTTTAGTTAATCGGAAGAGAAAACGCCCTGATTTAGGAATTCCGGAATGGCAAAGTTAAATCCCCACGAGGGACTTTTCTTTTGGGGGGGAAGGCTGACCTTGAATTTCATTACCCAGTGAGAGAATGCAATCATGCCATGGTTCCTGAGATACACAGTAGTACTGTGCTGGTTGATGATACTCCCTACCTACTGTACTACTAATTGCTAAATCTACAGTACTACTTACTATCTGACCTCCCCGTTCTCCGACTACTACTACTACTACTACTAACCCCTGCAACTAACCAGACAGTTCATGTAACCACACCTCAACCATGTGGCCTGACGGCTACTACCCACCACAACGGCGCTCATTTTGGCCGCATGCGGCATCCAGTCCCAGGCAGGATCATTAAAAGTGCCACCACGCACGTGGAGATGGTATGGAATAAGGTCGATCGACCGACAGATCCCGGGCTACTAGTAGTCGCGCGCCTGCTGGTCATTTGGTGTCTCCCGTCTTCCATTCCCACTCCCACTCCCACTCCCACGGCAGTCTTTTCTTGTAGTTAACCTAATCGTACGGGTTTGGCCGGGCTCACTGGGGCTCTGGCTCTTGGGCCTCCTTGCCTTGGTGCCTAAGGAAATGCCCGAAGCGCTGGACTGTGCGCTGCTCTTAGTCTCCGCACTACCACGAGGCAAGTTCCCAAGTTTCACGGCGCTTCGGATGGATGCCGCCGAGAAAATGGCCCCCTTGACGCCGTAGGAGGTAGTCATCTTTACTCTTGCGGGTAGGTATGGAAGACTGACCAGTCAGGCGCTGGACAATAGGCGAAAGGGGGAGAAGGTAAGAGAATCAGTCATCGTGATCCATCATGGATCGGCCCAGTCTACTCAATTGAGTCAGTCAGTCCATCCTCATTCTCCTCGCCTCGTCAATAACTTCTTGACCGGCACAAGAGGGGCCATTTAATTTCCAACTGTCTCTGAGTTTTCGTGCGTTGCGCTGGCTAAGCGTCTATCTCGTCTCGACTATTGCGGGCGGAAGGGTGGATCGCAGGCAGTGCAGGGAGATGGTATTCCGTACGGAGTCTTTGTGTACTAGACTAAATGTGTGTGTATGATACATAGTAGTAATACTGTCGGTAACTACAGTTTGTACTACTTAGTAAGGTAGTGTAGTTACTGAGGGTGTGTTGGCCCCGATCGGATACGAGGATAGAGTGGATAACAAACAGTACCGACTCAGGGCGATCATTGCCATGGCGGTCAGCGCGATCACGGGATCGGACCATCGGGCCCTTGCCATGCTCCGGACGGATTGTACCGTAACTGGTGTATGGATCCATCGGCGGCTCTGACCGTCCGTCTCGCCTCAGGCAGTCTTTTCCTCCTCCCAATCGGGTCATTTACACTAGGTAGGGAGGTAAACACTGCAGACGGCTGTACCCCGAACTCCGACTTTTCCATCTCTCACTACTATCCAAGGCACACCATCTCATGATTCATGAATCATGATTATTCATCATTGCTAATCCATGAATCCTGCCCCAAAGGAACACTAAAATAGCACCAGGCTTTCTCCGCCTCAGGCGTCATTTCCGCAGTGCGGACGACGCCTCCAACGGGTTGCGAGATGATCAATCACTTCGTGAGCAATGGTGCAGGGAGGGCCCATGTGTCGTCCCTGGTCGCTGCATCAGACAAACCTCTACGCTCGACACACATCTTCTCACTCAGCAAACTCGGAATTCTAGGACTGCATGGTCGGGTCTTGGCGGTCGTCAAACTAGAACAGAGCTTGAATCAATGCCAGTCAGACGCACTTCGTATGTGCGAATAAACTAACTAGGTAGCTGCCTTAGCCTTGTCAGATGCGTATCCCTCCCGACGGCCGTGTCGAAAATCATCGCAACGTGGACTCTTGGACTAGCAAGCAGGCTAGCAGGGATGTTGTTAGAGCCTTGTCGGGAGGTCTTCACGCTGAAGCCTAAAGGAACAATCCAGAAAACCGACCCAAGAGGAAGGACCCTTTATTGGGAACAATCTATTCTAAATCCATTGACCCACGGAGGGCGGAGGGGTGAGAGGCAGCAGAAACCATCGAACAAAACCTCAAGGCTGTCCCGCATATGGTAACAGTCGGGTTCCGTAGCGTGGCTGGCGGCCGCTAATTCAGTGGGGGCCAAATTCCGGCCGGAGCAGCTGAAGAAGAAGGGGGGAGGAGTGTGTGGGGGGGGGAGAGAGGAGTGGAAATAAATGAAAAGAAAAGATAATCATCAGGAAGAGGCGAAGGGTTAAGTCCAATGGTTGAGGCAACCGACCTAAGGACTGTCTGCCTATTAAGTATCATATTTATACCACCACGATAATTCAATTACTGGATCGTGAAGGGTTTCCATGGGTGAGATGAGATGGTGAGCGGGGACAACTCTATTATACTTCATCGCCTCGCGGGAGGAAATACGGAGCAAAGACTCCCCTATGAAACATTCTTTGATCGAACCAATGGGACGTTCAGTCGGAATAATTGTGCAGTTTAGACAGTACCTACCTACCTACCTAGTACTTACTAAGTAATCGGCTCAAACTGCCATCCATGCTGGCTGGCATGCATCGCCCGAGCCCCCCCCCTCCACCCCCCCCGGCGAGAACGGGATTTAACCGCTCATTGCTTATCGCCATGTGGTTTCTGGATCTCAAACACGACCATGCCTGTTTGATGCTGTGATGACGATCGTGCAGGCTCCACGTTTGCAAGATGTCAGGCGGCGCTATCGTTCGCTGCCTGGGTAGCCCCGGTTTGACGCTGCAAAGACCCGCCCAGCATGGCCAAATCGGGGAATTGGGTTATCCTGCTGAGCGGTTCCAGCCCCCAAATAAAAAACCCATTTGTTACTATGGGAGATTTCCCCAATTGCCCCCTCTTCCTTCAGTACTTCGTCTCTCTTCGTACTCTCGCCCAATGTCATAAGTTAATTACCTTCGATTATTTGCGACAATTATTTGCTACTGTTATTTGCGACTATGCCAGATGCACGCCACCATCGTAAGCGGGAATTCGTCAATTCAAATCAATGGTCTGAAAAAGGTTACGTCGGAATTCACAATTGATATTCGATCCTGGCAATGTTTCCTCCTATTCTCATTCGATCCTGGGTGCACTGGATGGAGAGCTAGTGGCAGCCGGATTGTCCACTATACAAGGAGCTTGTTTCTAGACGTTCGAGGCGGCTCTCAGACCAGGCTTGCCGCGGGCTTGAGGGGGAAGAGAGTCCCCGAGAATACCCCTGTCCGAGCTTCCAGCCAGTGTTGGTAAGGGGAAGATCCGACATGTTGCTGATCAAGTCTGATGTCAATTGGTCTTTTTGTTTAGATTTGACTTTCTGCCACCCCCTCCTCCTTCTCCTCTCCCGTCATTTCGGGTGGAGTCAGAGGGAACGGCAAGTGGCTTCCAAGGATCAGGCTGATGCGATGGAGCTACCACCCCTCGTACGTTGAAACCTTTCCGACCTTCACGTGGCGATGGGTTCAGGACTAGTCCACTTTGAGCATTACGACTTTGAGCTGTGGAAAGGAAAAACAAAAAAATGGCCTATGATGAAACAAACAAATTCCAAGAGTAGCAGTGGTGGTAGCCTGTTCAGTGTGTTCAACCCTGTGAGAGAGTGAGAGAAAAAGAGAAAGAGAGAGAGAGAGAGAGAGAGAGAGAGAGAGAGAGAGGGAGAGTGAGTGAATGAGAAAGTGGGTGTGCACAGTGCTGTCTGTCTGTCTTTCTGTCTCTCTGTCTGTCAAGCGCCGCACCGTCCGGGTGGACTCCTCCTCCCTCCTCCTCAAACCTAACTTTACTTTCGATGCCATCATCCCTCGCTCTTCTCCGTGCTCTGTGTGTTCAATGTCTATCCACTCACCATCCACCCACAGCCCCGGCCGAACATTGGCCGCTAACTACGCGACCGATGGAGACGCCCAAGGACCACTCCGGGTCGCAAGCTTGTTCTCAGACCATGTTGGTTCTCTTGGTTCTGGATTCATTTATTTATTCAATCAGTATTCAGGAGGAAGGAGATCGTGTCTCATCCACAACTGTGGCAGTGAACGAATTGATCGACCATGTATCCTGGGGTGTGTTAGAGCGGTTGAGAGACCTACATCGAAACAACATAATTACCAAAATTACCAATTAAAAGCAAGGCTAAAAGGGAAATCCACCAAAATAAGATAATCAAGAAAAATCACTTTGGAAGTAAATCAAAATGAAAAGAAAAAAAAAAAAAAAAAACACAAAAGAATTCCAAACCACGAAAAGTGCCGTAGCTCCATGGAGATTGAACGCGAATTGTGCGCAGGGTCAGAAGATCCAACAGGAAATGAAATATTCATCTTAATCCTATTGCTCATGAATCAAGAACGGTAATCATCCTGAATGTCAATAATAAGTATGCCAGCTTTCACTAACACAGTAAAATACATACGTTGCACATACACACCCGCCATAAGCTGTCAAACTGGCAGGTGAAGGAGAAATGGAGAGATGGATGGATGGAGGGAATGGACCAGGCCAGGGACGAACTACCCACCCACGCTGGCTTCGGCCCCCGTTCGTTACGCTTATTCTCGACTGATTTGGTTTCTCCATCAGCAGACCGTTAAATACTCTTGTCTGACCGGGTTCCATGGAGTAAAATCAAAAGATCCAGTTTTATTTATCTTTCCCATCTTCGCTGGCTGGTTGTCTGTCTATCTGTCGATTCGAATTCGATCTATATTTACTATCTATTGACCGGTTGTGTCATTGTCTGTCAACTACTACATCACTACCATCTCCCCTATCAGTAGTGCCCTGGTTTGATGGTCCTACCCGTCCCGTCACCTCGTTTTCGGTGGATATAGATTGCCTGGTGATTCCGAGAAGGATTCCCGTCCGTGGGTGCTAAGACTACCTCTTCCTACACACCCACACACACACAACAACCGACCTTCTAAACTGTATGTGCCATCATCATCATCATCAGTGTTTCTCGCTTGATTCAGTCAGCTACTCATTCTTCCTCCACTCTGACTTCTACTTCCCCCATCGCCCCAGCGGCTCCCTTGCAATCTCACTTTCAGCTTGTTTCCCTGCCCCATGCTTGGCCTGTCACAGTAGATACATTACCTGTCAACTGTCCGTGATTACTGTACTCGCCTGTTTCTGCTTCCCTTCTTGTTCTGCCCGCCTCTCTGCATCTACTTCACGAGCACCTTCAATGCTCTGCAAGGGGATCCACAACTCACCAGGTCACCCACTTTTCTACCACAGGCAGCTCAGTGGCTCTTGCACACGCAGCTGGAATCTCTCGCCATCCGTCTTGCCATCTGCGCCCTTGGATTCAGCCAAACTGGACGAGTCTCGCCGGCCCAGGTCCGTAGCGCCTCACAGTACAGCAGCGTCCACCCCCGCCAGTTCAGCTTGGTCCGCTGGCCTTCCACCAGCTGGCTCGGTATACCAGACACCGGACGGCCTAAGATCGAGCATCGGCACAAACGAGGGCCAGCTGAATCTGCCCTTGTTGCATACGATTCCCGGTATTGGCAGGACGCCTTTCCCTTCCGAGTTGGTCCCGCCCGATAGTGAGCCGAGGGGACTGCCTGCATCCGCACTACTGCGCAGTAGAAATTCCGATCCAGCCAGTATTGACAGCTCACGGTATGTCAGACTGTCGGTGCTTCTATGAGTCAGGAATCGCCGTGCTTTACTAAAACACAGATTTCTTTTCCAGAGCGTTGAGAGACTCATCACAATCGATGCATTCTGGATCAGTGGCCTATCTCACATCCAACATGGCCCATAATTCACAGAGTAGGCCGGACGACGACTACCAGGCTTGCGTGGGCCCTTGGACTAACAAAGCGGCAGACTATGGTTGGCAACACCGGCTGCCGCAACCGCTGCATCATCCCTCGTCGATGTCCATGGACCAACATCCATTTCCCCCAGCACAGGCTCTCCCGCCGCACCCAAGCTATCCAGCTGCATACCCACCCCAGCCGCCGGGCTCGCAGAACTACTATCAACCCGGACTCCCTTCAGCACAATATCTAATGCCACAGAACCGACAACAGCCCCGAAGGTACTGCTCCGACAGATAGAGTGCCGCCCCACAGAAAAACTCAAAATGAAACTAATTCGATTGCTTCCCCAGCGCTTCCATCCCCTATTCATATCCGAGTAGCTCCGTCTCCGGCAGCCCACCTACCATTCCAGATCCAGCATTTGCACCAGCGTGAGCATAACATGGAGAGTCTCTGGCTTGTGTATGCTAATCTTGGTATAGGCCATCGTCTTACCTTGTGAATCCACCCGATTACTACATGTCTCCCAGCTCTTCTCTCTCGTAAGTGGCCTCGGCTTGTTTGACAGCAGGTCAACATTCAGCCTAACACGACTACCAAGCAGACAAACCCCTAGCTCTATACCGCATCCCCAAGGCCTCCTCCCTACAGGAACCGTCTACTCATCACCCGAGTCCGCACAGAACTCCTCAGATCCGGAACAGCAAGTCCGGGTCATCAGCTTTCGACCGAAGCCGCAGTGTTGGGATCATGGGTGCAACGGCCGCGAGTTCTCCACCTTCAGCAATCTTCTACGCCATCAAAGAGAGAAGTCGGGGGTCGTTGCCAAGGCAGAATGTCCCAGTTGTGGTGCCGTCTTCACCCGCACTACCGCGCGGAACATCCATGTCGCTCAAGGGAAGTGCAAGGGCATTGCACGGGAACCCTCGGCCGAGTGAACCTCTAGTAAGGCAACCTTGGGCCGGACTGACACCACAAACTACGAAAATAGGCTCTTTGAGTCTACTATACAGCACGGGCCCATCTGGAAGAACACCACAGATTTACTATTGTCGACAAACACAGCCACGAGACAGCATGCCGCGCGTGAACCACAGACCACTTTACGCGAGATCACGGGTGCAGCTCGGCAAAACGCACCTGCCAATACGATATACGGCCGGGCGGATGACCCCCTAGCCAGCCTGGGCGTGAGGGGTACGTGGAATCTACCAATCGACACCTTTGCATTTGACTACTACTTTCTGGGAGCGACTGTTTTCTAGCATTGCTATGGATTCGTTTGTACATCTGATTTAATACCCTCGAAAATTGTTCTTGTTTGTGTTATTGTGGTATTATATACTATTTATATGTTGATGTCTACTACTTCTGGGCCTGTCATCTTAACTCAAGCGACTTCAAAATCACATCTAGACTTAGATTGGAGAGAGATTCACATCAAGCTCATCCTTCGCCAAGAATTCCTTCTACGATCTCGCCCCCACGGCTATTGTGGGCTCTTGCACCATCAATCGAAGTGTCTCACCATGGACTACCACGTGTATGCCAGGCATCCGAACATTACTCCTGACTGTTGGGAACCAAGTACCTAACACCTCGTGTAAGGGGACAGTATGAAACGATAACTACGGCTGCTAATTATATTACCCACACAGATTCCCAGCAGTGCCGATCAGGAAGAACATTCGATGGTAATAAGCACTAATGTAGTCGGGACTTTCTTGGATCGGAGACTATTGAATATTGCGATCTTTACCTGAAACATCCAGAGAGTACCGCATAGTAGTTATGCTACTAGTAGTTAGTCAGTGACTAACGAACCCCCCTGACAGACAAGCCCAACGCAATTGAGTTGGCCTGGAGACTAGCCGGGGGTGTAACCTCAGGCACTAAGGTGAGACACGTGGTTTTGCCCGTTGATTTCTCCGCGTCACCTGATCGAGTCAATGTCGTAAGGCGCCGAGAACATCTCCTGCCGGATGCCTGAATTCCCAGGACCCATGACTCACTCCCTCACTCCCTCTCTCGAGCTCACCGCATGAAGATGTTCCATCTCTCTTGACCAGACAAAGTTGCTCCTCGTTTTGCTCTTCCCCTTCACACTTGTCGCTGAAAATATTACATTGCACGCTCCTCTTGGCCAGTCCGTGCCTAGTCCTTGGTCTTTAGCTCTTGTATTCCCCTCCCAAGATGCTCGTTATAGTCTCGGTCTATGGGCAGTGCGAAGGACTCCGAACATTACGCTATACAAAAGGGCGTCGAATATAGGGAAATCGCGGGACGCAACTTGTTACGATTTTCCGTGCAACACACATAATCCGAGCTTATCGCTGCTCATTTCCACATACGCTATTACTGCTCCTCCGAAAGTCTTGCGATTTACTATAGTATTAACACTGGTGACGATGGCATCTGTCTTTACTTACGACCCCGATCCTCCACGGGTGTCTTCTCCGTGGTCGACCACGTCGGGCTCATCGACACCCCAGATGAGCTCTACCAGCAACCGTGTGGTGCCTCGGACCCGATCCAGCACCACGCTGAACCGGGCCGACCCCGACCTGCTCTCGGATTATGGCATTGCTAAGCTGGAGCCCGAACCGCAAGAAGGCCCTACCGAGTACAAACTGCATCTGCTGCTGCGGCCCCGCCGTCCGTTTGTCGCCATGTCTACGGGCCATCTGGTTGGAGGTTCCTATCACTTCCGCGCGAGCTTGTCCACCGCCAGCCCGACGCCCTCGAGCTACGAATCAGCGGCCAGACCACCGCAGGCCCGCTCGGCGGAAAGTCGTCAGCAAAGACTGCAGCACTTAACCACGCAGTTGCTGTGGCGTCTCCAGCAGTCGTCGCCCTTCCATTCGTCTACTGCGGCCAATTTGGTTCTGCCCGTGCTTCCGGACGCGAGCCCTTCGCTGGGTGCGCCTCAGAAGCCCGCGCGGTTGCTTCCGGGCCTCGAAGAGAGCCAGGGAGCATTGTACGAGATTGGCGTGGCCGATGATGGCACGTTCGTCGGACTGACTGCTGATGAGCTGGAAGAGAGTCTGTCCACGCTGCAAGTGATGGCGGCCAGCCTGGGCTGCAAGGTCGACATCCTGCGAAGGGTCATTGTTGGCAAGTGCGAGTGGATAGAAGACTCCTGCGATGCTCATGCCGATACCGGCAAGGTTCATACGGAGAGTCTCTGGGTGGCCGAGGCGCTTGTGAGTCCTGACTGGGAATTCTACCGGGTCGAGTCTCCAAAGGCAGGCTCGGTGGAGGGCGAGGCTTCCGCGAGCACACCGGAAAGGCGGCCTGCGCTGGGCGATTCGTCTACAACCGAGCAAATCCGCATCTCCATCTCTGGCCCGAGTGCGGCGGGCAAGTCCTCCCTTCTGGGCACTTTGACCTCGTCTGTGCTCGACAATGGCCGGGGAACAAGCCGGCTAGGGTTGCTGAAGCATCGACACGAGATATCATCTGGCATCACCAGCTCGGTAGCCCATGAGCTGATCGGGTACGCCTCGAACGAGTCCACTGCCGACACTGTCGACGTGATCAACTACGCTTCAGGCAATATTGCTGCATGGGATGACATTCATGCTTCATCAGAGGGTGGCCGTCTAGCTTTCGTGTCTGATCTTCCAGGATCTGTCAGATACTTGAAGTCCACTTTCCGGGGGATCATCAGCTGGGCTCCACATTACGTCTTTCTCTGCATCCCAGCTACATGTGACGATGAGACGGTAGCCGAGACCGCCAACGGTGCCTCTGAGCAAGCTACCGAACTCTCGCAGGCATTGTCGCACCTGGAACTCTATGCCAAACTGGATCTTCCTACTGTGATCGTGATTACCAAAATGGATAATGCATCTCGCACGGGTCTGAGGAAGAACCTAGCGCAGATCCTTTCTGTCCTCAAGTCCTCTCGGAGGAAGCCTTCCATGTTGTCTATGCCAGCAGGTCCTGTCACGGATTTGCAACATGTTGGCGTAAAGGATGTCGATGAAGTAAGGAAATTGGTTGTCTCGACGGATAGCTGGCAGTCTACAGTACCCATTGTTCTTACAAGTGCCGTGGATGGCTCGGGAATAGCAAAGCTGCATGCTTTGCTTCGGTGCCTCCCGATCCCCAAAAGGCCGCCATTGAGAGATGTCTCTCTTCCGAAGGCTCTCGCACCGCCAATTTCCTTCGAGACAGTGTTTGATGTCGACGAGGTGTTCGCCATCCCCCCGTCGAAGGTTCATTCTCTATCTGGTGAGGAGCGGTCCAAGGATACGCATGGTATCGTCCTGTGCGGACTCGTCCGATACGGAGCCATCTCCGCCGGCGATGAACTTGTCATCGGGCCGGTCGTTTCCAACACTGCCCCCGAACAAAGAGCCGGCACCTCGCCCCCCAAGGACCGATCGGAGCGCCGCTCGGACGCCCATTTATCCTCAAGCTCCTCTCGAAGCCGGCCGCCATCCGGAGACTTCTCGAGCTCATTCATCCACGGCTCTCTACATGGGAAGAATGCGCTAGCGGCACAGGCAAGCTGGCAGCGCGTGCGGGTCGTCAGCGTGCGAAACCTGCGCCTGCCCGTGCAGAGACTAACGCGGGACCAAGTCGGGACCATCGGGATCGAGCCTTTGCCTGTCGCATCAGGCAGCGAACGGCCGCGACTCGGGAAGATTCGCAAAGGGGCCGTGCTGATCAAATTTGCCGGGGGTGACCCTCCTGCACCCGTCCCGCCCCGTAAATTCCACATGGGCTTCGTGGCGAGCTTTCCCGCTCGCGAGTTTGCGTCCGCCCTGTCCCCGCCTGTGCTGCTGGGCGGTCATGCTACGGTTTACGTGGCCAATCTCCGCTCCACGGTGCGGCTAACCTGTATGGCTCTGGCGGATGATGAGGTGGTTTCGCGCCCGCCTTCTCCGACAGAACCGGAGTTCTTTAGTTTCGATGGAGATGTGGGCTCGGAATCCGAACGGGGACGTGAGCGCGGGGTCCACGAAGTGCTCAAGACTTCGGAGACGGCTGGGGACATTAGGATCACCTTTTCGTTTGTTTCCTCGGTGGAGTGGGTGGAGGTCGGGTCACGGGTGCTGCTGATGCCGGCGCCGTCGGCGGGATTGGCTTCTGCGCAGGCGGCGAGCTCTGTTTCTTCGGGTTTTGAGGGGTTTGTGGGAAGGGTTTGTGATGTGATGTATCCTGGCGAGGGTGATGATCGATGATGTCCAGCTGTGTATGGCAGAATGTGACTTGCTTGATTTATTCTAGGACGAATGAGAATGGCCTAGGTGGTCTGGTTCAGGATCGAGGCGAGGTAGAATTACCTGACCCTCCCTCAGCACTAACTAATGCCCATACAGTATAGTACTCTCGAGCAGCGACTCATCCGGGGAACGTAGTTGTTTGGAAGTAAGTATTCTGCATAAGACAATCAAATCCTGGCAAATTGTGGTTGTTACTGAGTACTTCACATCGACATGAGTCAACAAGTTACGCTGAATCTGCGAGGTCTAGTGGTGTACTGTGATACTCCGCGGAGTATATACTAAATGGATAGTAGACTACCCTTAGTTCACTACTAGTAAGCTTGGCGATCATCCGCAGGACTTGGGCGGTTAAACTACACTTAGTCCCCGACACTCCTTCGTTCTTGGCATTTTCAACCGCAGTCCAGGACTATCTGGAAGGCCTTAGTCAAAAGGCGTGTTTCCAGAGCATTGAAAATCGCCACAATTTGATGGTAACTGGTAGCTTTCTTGGCAAGTACAACCCACCTATTACTACCTTAGCCATGACTGCCTCATTGTTAGATCAAGGGAGATTCGACTTGTTCCTGGAAAGACACCGCATCCTTGCTGTCTTTGTCTTTGTCTCGACTGCAGAGAATCTGGAGTGCATGCTAACCATAAATGATACCTCGTAACAGAGCTTGACGAGTGGGATACAGCCTGCAATCGAGTAGAGGGGGCCTAGAGCTCCTCCCGAAGCTCACAGCTTTAGCACACCGTCTCAGTACGAGAGGAAAGAATCCTGGGCTTCAGACCAGAATTGAGTCCAAATGGTATGATATGATTCCCAGGGCTTGGCGTATCTGTTCGGCATTGTTTCGATAACTACCGTAGCTCTCCAGCAGGAGATAGCTCTATTTTAATTTATTGCGCAGTCACGGGCCGCTCACGTAATACCCCTAAATGAGGTTAAAGCGGCGGCAGTGAAAGTTACCCCAGTGAATCCAGCATGGGTTGACGCTAACTAAGTGGGTGAACGACGGTAGGCTACGGTAGGCTACGGTGGGCTACAGTGGACTACAGTGGACTACTGTGGCTTACAGTGGGCTGAGAAGCTGATCTTAACTTTCACTCAACCACAACACCACCTCACTGCAATAACTACCCCTCTCCCCTGTGCAAGAACCTCTCACCAGTCCCCATTCATTCCTCAAACAAAAAAAAATAGTCCTGAGAGCTCCATTTACAACCGGTCGATGATTGACAGTCTTGTTTCAAATTGCGGCACGGTTGGGCTCGCCTCGATCTGGCGGAGTTCCCTGTCGCCTTCGTCTACCCCGGATCCAGTCCCGTCAGTTCCGCAGTTGACCTCCAACTCATTCAGGATCTCCTGACTTTATTGTTCCTCCCCACTTCACCACTAGCTAATAGTAGCTACACGACTTGAGACTTGAGACACCGGACCTCCGAAACCACCTGTTCGAGGTGACTGGCATGTCCTGACCCCTCACCGCTCACTCTCCACCCATAGAGTTCACAATCACTCCACTCGGGACGGGTCAGTCAGCCACCATGGCCGGCCCCAGCAGTTTGAATCTAAGCTCCCGCATCAGCTCCGACATCGACGGCCTGTCCGACGAAGGCGAGGAGTTCGTCTCAAGTGCCAGTATGACCTCTAGTGTGTATGAGTCACAGATGAAAGAAACCATGAGCCCCGGGACTACTAGCCCGCAGCATACGCATTCCACTGCGGCACCTCTCGACACCTCGCACAAGAGCATGGGAGCTAAAATGGCAGTAACCTGCTGCGCTGATCTCCATGCGACCATGAAGCAGCCGGAAAGGAGGCCGTTGAATCTGCTCGATCTGCCCTTGGATATACTGCAGGAGATCTTGAAAGAGGTATGAACCGCTGCCTTCGCGCTTGACTCCAAGAGTAAAAGGTCCGGATCAGCCAGGGTGCTAATCTTCCAACTCAACATAGGTGACCCACACGACCGATCTCACATCCCTTGCGCTGACGTGCTCGGCTCTGCATTCGCTGGCGATTCCGCAGATGTACTCCCGCTTCGATATCGTCTGGCCGGAAACCCTGTCCACCTCCGACCATCCAGCTGGCGTGGATGCTCTTTCCTACGGGCTGGCGACTCTGGTCATGGGCGAGGATATATTCCGCGAAGTGCCTGCCCGACGGTCCCAGCCTTGTTCACATTGTGGGTGCAGCCACCCGCCAGGTCCGACCGAGGCGAGCGCATCACCACGAATCCGGCGCGGCAACTACTACGCGCAGTATACCCGCAAGTTCTCGGTCGGCAACGGACCGTTGCAATGGGTGCAGGAGTATGCAGTGACCAAAGAGACGGGCAAAATGCTGGGTACGCTTGTAGCGCTGGCGGTGGCGCGCATGGTGAACCTGGAGACCTTCATCTGGGACATGCCCACCGGGGTCTTGCGGGATGTGTGGGTTGCGTTGGCGTCGCTGGCGACTCGCCAGGGCCATGAATGTCGTCTGGAACGCGTTTGGGTCCGCTGGCACGACAATTCCGACAACGCCCTGCGGTCTCTGGTGGCTGCAGCGCCGACAGCCTCGTCGGTCACTCTCCCTCATGCACCAGCTACTGTCCTAGGGTCTGCAGGGAACACAGCCTTGTGGCAACGCTACGGACACGTGGAATACCCCTCTCTGTCGATCCTACCAGCCTTGAAGAGTCTTAGCGTTTTGGACATTGACGAGCCGTCGTACTTGGAGGAGATGGGGGTGTTAGTCGAGCGGTCGCGTCATCGATTGAAAGAGCTCCGCATTGGGATCTCCAACAAGGCTTGTCAAGCCGCCTGGCTGAAGCCGGCAGGCAACTGGCAAGCTCAGCAACCAACGCTCCCGAACGGGATCATTGGCTGGCCCCGGTCAGGGGGCGTGCTGGGGGTGGTTCTTGGCAGGTCCGAAGATCTCACTCGGCCAGAAGGGGCGCGTGTCTCAACCACCAAGGGGGAAGCCGCTACGACGCCTCCTGAAACCAGTCCGGCGGCCGGTAGCGCTCCTGACAACAGGGGTCTGTCGACAGCGGGATCTTCGCCTCATTCCAATGACGGGATCCCTGGGCTGTCCCTAATTATGGAACACACGCACATCACCAGCCCGGCTGCGTCGTCCCCGCCAGCGAGCAAGCCCGCACCAATCCCCAACAAGCCCACGGGTCCAGGGACGGGGGTGGAAGCTGCCCCCGAACACGGTCGCCGGCTGTTACAGCTTGAGACGCTCGAGTTGGAGCGGGTTGCGCTGTCGATCCCGGTGGCAGTGCATGTGCTGGACTGGAGCAAGCTGACCACGTTGACCATCCTGCGGTGCGAGAACCACGAGAAGCTCTGGCGGGCGCTGCGCCGTCAATTCTCCCCGTCGCCGTCCCGGGGGAAGGGTGGGGCCAGTCCTGAGTACGCCCTCCGGCTGAAGCACATCCACACTGACGCGGTATCGCCGTACCTGCTGCTGTTCATCAAGGATACACTAGCGCCCAACACCTTGGAGACGCTGTTCCTGCACGAGTCGCCGATGTCCGAGTCGATCGTCACCATCGACGCGATCTACAAGAATGCGATCCGCAACCATCACCTAAGCCTGCAGAAGATCCTGGTGGACAGCAACCAGCGATCGCCGGGGGGCGCGGAGATGGCTCCGTCCCGATGGTACAAATGGATGTTCACGCGACCGATGATTACGTTTCTAAGCAGTGGCCGGATGCCGCGGCTGCGGGAGTTGTCGATTACCCTGCACGCCAGAGACTGGGTGAGATTTCTCCTTTGCTCACTTGTTGCCTACTGCTAATTCTTCACGCTAGCACTACTTCGTCCAACGGCTCCCGTACATGCCACAGCTGCGTGCGCTGCACATCCCGCACATCGCGCGCCACATCCAACGCGACCCGAAAGAACTGGCCATGCTCATTCTGGACGTCGTCACCATCCGGCCCGAGATCGGGCTGACCTACCTCGGTATTCAGAGCAAGTGCTACGAGATCTTGGAGGGCAAAGAGGGCGATCCCGGGAGCGAGTACTACGACACGGACGACAGCCACAGCGAAGGGTTCGTGCCGGGGGGCGAGGACTGGCCGGGCTCCGAGACCAACGACGAGGACGAGTCGGACGACGATGGCGGGGCCAGCGCGATCCACCCCCTGTCGGATGCTGCGTCGTCGGAGGGCCGGGGGTCGTCGGACGGGGAGGATGAGGGGGAGGGCAGGTCGCGCGTGACGTTCCGGCTCCGCGAGATATTGTTCTATGACGACAAGATTGCCATCTTCAAGGCCCGACACGGGGTGTTGTGAGATTCATGATGATCTGAGGCTTAAGATACCATAGCGATTTCGTTTGGCTTGAGTTGAGCATATGAGATTGATGAGTTACTCGGGGGTAGCTGCTGGATGTAGAATAACCCATGAGTTACTACTTTTCATGATTCGATATGCATAAATAATGCCTATGACTAATTCTGCACATCCGTAGCTCATAAGAGCAGCTTTAATCCAAAGCTCCCACGTGACAAGGCGGTCAGACAAGCTCAGCCTCTGAGCGCCGCCGCGATCTCGACATCACCGCGACACCAAATCGGAATTGCCGTGGTGGTTTTCCTGCATTGTTATTCCTTGAGCCTTGAAAGATAAATCCGTCAAGATGAAGCTCGTCCGGTAGGTGGCCTTTCGTTTTGATCGGCAATGCAACTTGGAACTGACAGGCACAGGTTCTTGATGAAATGCGCCAATGAGACGGTGACGATCGAGTTGAAGAATGGTCAGTACATATCCGGATGAGGTGATCCAGAGGAGCTTTTCACCACATAACGGGGTTTTGTTGCAGCTGCAACGCCTATTCGATTCCAACACCAATCCCACTTCCCGGCTTTTTCCCACTCCATAACACAAGCCCATATCACAGCAACCCCTGCCCTCCCGCCAAATCCCCCATCTCTCATGATACCCATTGTACTAACAACCCGGTAGGAACCATCCTCCACGGCACCATCACCTCCGTCTCCCCGCAGATGAACACCTCCCTCCGCACCGTCAAGATGACCCCCAAGGGCCGCGACCCCATCAGTCTCGATACCATCAACCTGCGCGGCTCCACCATCCGCTACTACATCCTGCCGGACAGTCTGCCGCTGGACACGCTGCTGATCGACGACACGCCGAAGCCGAAGAATAAGGCGCGCAAGGAGGGGGCGGACCGCGGGGCGCGCGGTGGGCGTGGCGGGCGCGGTGGGCGGGGTCGCGGACGGGGACGGGGTCGGGGACGGGGTTTCTAAAAAGTGGCGGTATGAGTTTCGGTTGTCAAGGGGGTACGAGTTCTGATTCCGAGGGGATAGGAGAGAAACCCAGCTGTCAATTTCGAGAGGAAATTGGTTGGCACACTTCCAATTCCGCTGGGATAGGATACACTTTCGATTCTGCAGTGTTGGGATGGGAGCTGTTGTTGAAATCCGGAGGCAAGACAGTTCTTGATCGCTGCAACATCATGGCTGTGGATTGACCTGCAGCAATCATTCATGTTTTAACTTGTTTTTCTGCTTTGCTTGTTGTTGTTGTTTTCGTTAAAATACATCATGGGAATATGGAGTTAGTTTCTTCTATCTCATTCTGACCTCGACGGAAGTACCACTAGACCGGACCCATCCTCCACAACTACCCAACTGAAGAAGTACATTTATAGTCATAATTCGTTACTAACATCTATATCTATATCTATATCTATACATCCATACATTAACAACCCCAATCACTCCCGCCACACCCTCACAATAACCAACTTCTCCCACCCCGCCTGCTTCCCACTAAACCCAGCAATCTCCGCACACCACCTCTCCCCTGTCCCTGTCCCTGTCCCTGTCCCTGTGCCTGTACCTTCTGCGCCCCCAGAGCCACCCCACCCTCTTATCCGCTCCACCACCTCCCTCGGCCGATTCTGCGCACAGAGCAACACATAGGCCACCCCGCGCGCGCTCAACACCCGCGGCAGATCCGCCAAGAGGTGCTCGGTGATCTCCATCCCGTCCTTTCCGCCGGCGTACGTGAGCGAAAGGAGGTAGGATGCGCGCTCGAACTGCGCGGAGCGAGACTCTGTGCTGGAAGGCTCCGGGAAGTCCTCCGGGGCGGGGGCGCGCGGCAGCGTGTCGGTCGGGACGTAGGGCGGGTTGAAGAGGAGGAGGTCGATGGAGCCCGGGCGGAGGGGGGTGGCGAGGTTGGTTTGGAGGGAGGATAGGTGTTGTGATTTGATGCTGGTTGTGTTTTGTGCGCTCGAGCTAGTGTGTGGGTTGGGTTGGGATTCGGGGTCTGCCTGCTGCTGCTGCTGCTGCTGCTCCTGTTGCTGCGCAATGGCTCTCACGACTGTCTCGCGTGTCGCAAGACAGGCAGCACGATTCAGATCCGTGGACAGGGAGAGCACGTCGGCGCGGCCGAGGATGGTCGGGCTGTTAGCCACCACGAAGGCGAGGACAACACCCGACCCGGACCCGACTTCGAGGATCGTGGGGCTCGGCCCCGAGGCAAAGTGCTGGGTGAGCCAGGCGGACTCGCTGGCGGAGGAGAGGGTGTCCAGGAAGAGGTAGCTGTCTTCGGCGGGTTCGTAGATGGTGTCGAAGGAGACGTGCGCGGTGCAGGGGGTGGGCAGCATGATGTTGGTTTAGCCTCAGTGACCGAGCAGGCCCTGGTTGAGAGGCAAATGAAGAGAGGTTTCTGCGCTGGGAGAATGATTTCGTGGTCTCGTCTAGAGTATCAGTAACTACTCCGTCGATTTGGATAAAAAGGTTCGATAACAGGGCCAAATCATGATCATCTCATTGGTTACCCGACATTCCCGCCTTGGGATAACCGCGGCAGTAAATGAGACTCACTCGACTCGGTCTTGTCCGGAGACAGCTTCAGTCCATTAGTACTTAGTACTGTTCTGGATACAGTCTAGTTATACCTAAATCATGCTCGCCCTCCGTCCTACAGCCCGCCTCTGGGCCACCCAGGCGTCTATCGGCTCCAAGTCCAGCCTGACCGAAGCCCTTGCCCTCCTGCCGCCCATCCCCCTCTACCGCCGCATTCTCCGCGTCCACCGCAAGAAGCTCGACCCGGCGATGCGCCTGCTGGGCGATTCCTATGTCAAGAGCGAGTTCCGCGCCCACCGCACGGTGGAGAATCCATTGCACATTGTGAGTAGTCTTCGTTTGGGTTCTAAGTTACCCTCAGGCGGTGCGAGTAAGAGCTAAAAACCGGTCAGATCGGCTTCCTGACGGAGTGGCAACTCTACGCGCAGAAGCTAGAGGGGGATGCCTGGATCGGCGAGAAGCTGGACAAGGGCAAGTTGGACAAGATGAGTGGTATGTGTCTTCCGTCTTTGGGGGGTGGATGGACTAAGCTGACTGGAGTAGATCAGCAGGTTGGGCAGTTGTATGAGTTGATGCAGGCTATCAGGAATGAAGATGGGGAGGGAGGTGAGGGTCATGGTGATGGGAAGCAATAGTCTTTTTGTGACGAGTGTCTGTCTTCCTGTCTGTCTGTCTATCTGTCTGTCTGTCTGTATATATATAGTATCATATAAACCGAGCCAATGAGCGCCTGAGCGGATGCCTGTCCCAAACAGTGTATGCAGCATGTGTAGTAAGCGCGGGGTAGATGCCAACTGTGTGACTCGATACTTTTAAGTCCACTGAATCAAGGGAGGGAGACTTCGAGTCTCTCTCCTCTCATCATAGACTCTGGTCACGGAGCTGTTCACAATGCCAACCACCACATCTACTAGTACCGCAGCCCCGTTCAAATTGAAATGCATCTGCTGCAAGAAGACGCGCTTCAAAACCGTCGCTGCACTGCACGACCATCAAAGAGCATTGAACCACCATCCTGTCGCGTGTCCAACCTGCCAGAAGCAGTTCTGCGATCCCCACGCCGTGCAGCAGCATCAACAAGCCCATCAGAAGGCATCCAAGACAGCAGCAGCAGCTTCCTCAGCTCCCGCTACAACAGACCCACAAACGACAGTTACAGTTACAGTCACCTCGAAGAAGACCCCTGCAAAACAACCTTCTGCCACCCCAGTCAACCCTCCCAACCTACCACAAACCACACACCAGCCCTCCCCCCTCCACCCCCTTGAACAAGACCTCCTCTACAAATACCTCCTCGCCCGCTGCCATCCTCCCACCCGCCTGCAAGCACAAGATTACCCCACAACCCTGGGAGATGAAGACTACCGGTCGACCCCACTACCTAACCCAGCCCAGCCCAAATGCAGAGCCGTCGTGCTTACCGGCGACATCAATCCACAGACCAAGACCCTCACGCACCTAACTGCCACAGACTTTCTCTCCAACGAAGCCCTACTCCACCTCTCTATTGGCCCGTCCGCAGAGCAAGCAGCGACCGAGCCAGGGACGGGGACATGCAGCGATAGGACCAGTGTAGCTGTGTCTGCCTACCGTGCGGCACGGGATCTGCTCTGGAGCGTCATTGACGCGCACACGATCCTCGTGGGCCATGACCTGCGCCAAAGTTTACGCGGATTGCAGATGGTGCATGGGCGGGTGGTGGATGCGGGGATCCTGACGGCGGAGGCGGTGGTGCTGGGACGGTCGATGGTGCCGTTGGAGAGGGTGTGGGGGCTGAGGGTGCTGTGCAGCGAGATGCTGGGGTGGAGTGACGCCGACGCACCGGGGAAAAAGCGCGGGAAGGGGAGAAAGGGGAGGTGTGAGGGGTGGGAGGGCTGTGTTGGGGTGAGGGAGGTGGTGGTCTGGTGTTTGCGGAATCCGGAGATGTTGCGGGCGTGGGCGGAGGGGAAGGCAAGTATTCCAGAGGGTGAGACCGAGAATACGACTGGAACAGCGACGAAGAAGCAGAAGAACAAGAAGAAAAAGAAGAAGAAGAACAAGAACAAGAAGCGCAAGCAGAAACAGGCGCCCCGATCTGTTACGCCAGAGGGTCTCGCGCCGTCTGACCCTGAAGAACCCATCGAGGAAGACGAGGACGAAGACGAAGGACTCGAGATCATCCAGTGGACGGATCTCGAGTGATAGCCTAGCCCTAGCCACATAAGACGGAGAATCCAGACGTGCATTCTGACTAGTATCGTAGTAATTTGAGTACAATTTAGTCTCTACAAGCTAGTGTCTCCTCGGCATCCCGTGCCGACCCGGCAACCCCCCGGTGTTCCCCCCACCACTTTTCCCCTGTCCTGTACTAGCCTTATCTTATCGCCTCCGGGGGTACAGGTACCCGAGACATCGCAATAAATTCCCCCGCGCCCTCCGCTTGACATTCCCCCCTCTGGGCTTTCCATCCTCTGCGTCTGTGTCTACTTGTATAACTACTACCCACCCACACTTACACCCTTCGTCCTTAATTTCCCTCCCTCTCTCCCTCTGTGCATACACCATCTGCAAGTCACCATGCCAGCACTCCTCGAAGACCCCCTAACCACCCTCCCCGCGCCCGCGACCGCAAAATCCGCCGCGACACTTCTCCTCCCCCGCCACGCCACCCTGAAAGACAAGACGCGCGTAACCCTCTACCCCATCGCCCACGGCCCCGCCAGCGTGCCGACCACTCTGGTGGAATATCTGCACCGGGAATTCAGTCACGAAATCCTGCGTGGCAGCACCTATCCCATGGAAACCCCCATGGATCTCACGACGTACCGGGATTACTGGTTCGGGACATTTGCGGTGGTGGCGTTAGTGGATGATGAGGAGATTACCCCAGGGGAGGGGGGGTTGGTGGAGGGGAGGGACTGGGAGAAGGTTTGTTTGGGGACGTTTTATATCAAGCCTAATTATCCTGGTATGTCCATTTCTTTTTTCTTCCTTTGGGGGAGATTTCAGGGGGGCCGAATGTTTGGCGTGGCTGTTTGGGGGGAGGGTCCTGCCGTGCTGGCTGGGCTGTGCTAACACTTTGATACCAGGTCGCTGCTCGCATGTCTGCAACGCGGGATTCTTCACCACCCCCGCTGCGCGAGGTCGCGGGGTGGGGAATGTGATGGGGGAGACGTATTTGGAGTTTGCTCCGAAGTTGGTCCGTTAGCTCTCTATCCCCCCCTTCTCTCTATCATTCTGGGTGTATTGAAAGAAAGTAGTCTACGCAGGCAGCTAATTATGCACAGGGCTACAAGTACTCCGTCTTCAACCTCGTCTTCGCCAACAACACCGCCTCGATCCGCATCTGGGAGAAGCTGGGCTTCCAGGTCATTGGCCGGGTGCCGCGCGCCGCGCGCCTGGCTAACAGTGAGGAATTGGTGGATGCGTTGATCATTGGTCGGGATTTGGTATAGATTCATGCCTTCGTCATATTCAGGGCGCGGTTTGTATAGATGTACCGGCTGTCGCACATATACCCGGACGGTAGTCCTGTAAAAATCTCGTTGCTTTCCTTGATAGACTTACAACTATTCAGCGGGCCAGGAAGCTGAAAAGAAAGGGGGGTCCGGGGGTTCTCCCCCGGGATAGCTTTGGAAACATACTTCTTCCGACATGTATTTCTTAGACACAGACACATAGATGAATAATATTACTTCACACCAGATAATACCGCTAAAAATGCTTGAGGGGATATCAATCTGCAAAGACACGCAAATCTGCTATATGACACACCACGAAACCCGAATCGCAATGCTCCGATAAAACTACAACAATACAAAAACAAATGCCACTAACCCCGCCAGGGAGGTCGCTCGCCGAGCTTGCTGCGCGTGCCGGGCGCATTGTCCTTGCCGGCCCGGCCTTTAGGCAATGGAATCAAGCTGATGCGACGGCTCGCATGTCCCAGCGACGTCTCCGGCCGTGGGGTCGAAGGCACCTTGGTCGGACTCGCCAGCGCGTGGCTGTGGTCCTGCGAAACGCTGCGGCTGAATGAAAGCCCCGCGAAGCTCTGGCGGCTGCGCGGCGCGGTAGCCAACCCGTCGGGTCGGCGTAGTTTGCTATAAGGAGGAGGATCCAGAATGGAGCGGTTCGGGGTCGGAGACGCCACACGCGCCGGGCTGCGCGACGCTAGCCGGCTCGACACCCGACTGACGGACCGCGAACTCATGGGCGCCGGCGACAGCGACATATCGCGACGGTATGGCGTCATGGGAATGGTAGAGGAAGGTCGTGATGGGTGACCTTGGGCGGAGGACTTGCGGAAAGGCGTGTTGAGCGAGTTCGACTTGTACGTGTTCATGTCGTTGAGGTTGGTACTGTTGGTCCACCGCGGCCGGTTGGCCAACGCTGGCGGCAGCGCTGGGGTGCGAGGCACGGGCTTGCGCGCCGCGGGCGTAGGCGTCGCGGCCACCTGCTTAGTGGGCGAGGTCACCCCAAGTGACGCTTTCGGAATCGCCGACTTCTTCGCCGTGAATGAGGATGCAACTTGGGGCAGGCCAGAGTACCGTCGCACTTTCGACATCGTCGTCCGCGCTACCGAGCTGACCGAGCTACCACGGCGACTGGAGTTGTTGACGGGTGTGGTTGCTCGCTTCAACGCAGTGGCCGGGGTCATTATTACCGATGAAGCCGGGGAGCTGCCGGGCGTCTCGGCGACACTCCCGGTCAGTGGGCTATCCAACGTGAGGATGCTGGAGATAGAGTCGCGCAAATGTTGGGACCGTGTAAAGCTGATATCTTCCAGGGATGCATCCATGACACGGATGCTCGCCTTCAGAGCATCGACCCGCGACGTCATGTCCGACAGTAGCCGTAAGGTCTCCCCATTGAGCGTAAGACGGTCGTTCACGCCCTTCTGGATGATTGACACTACCCGCTCAATGGCAGCAACATAATGCTGTTTCTTCGCGTCGTAACTTTCCACGCGTTTAGTGAATTGGGCCGGGTTATGCAGCTGAGTGCGGGTCTCAATGGCTTCTTGAAGCTTCCCGATGCTCCTCTCGACCGACTCAAACATTTTCTGCGCCTGGCTGCCCGCGTTGCGGAATACGAGAATCCAGCGGTCCTCGCTAAGCTCTTTCCGCAAAGCTTCTGCGTCTGCTTCCAGACCCTTGTAGGCCTTTTCGAGCTGATTGCGTCGGTCTTCCAGCTCTTGACACGCGCTGGGGAAGATGCGCTCGGCCCGCGACTGGAACATGGACAGCCGCATGGGAAGAAAGTCGAGCGAGGCACGCAGTGGTTGAATCCTAGCAAATAAAGCGATCAGATTGGAGTGATTGGAGTCGTCCTGCGGTGTTTGAATGATAGGCATGTCCAAATTAGGTGTTGCCGTGAAAAGGGGTTCCAGACTGAACCGCTTGCTGTTGCGTCCACCCGCCGGTGTCTCCTCAACGATGGTCTCCAGCTCATTGATGTCGAGCCCGGTAGCACATGAATCTTGTTCGCCTGCCAAGGTCCAGTGTCGTTTTTCCTCCATTTCGAAGATGAGGCGACCGAGGTTCTCTACCTCAACACTGACATCGCCTAGGACATTACTCCATAGTTCTTCCCATTCCATCGCCAACTCCACCTGTTCTTTGACCCCCTTCAGTCGATTCTTGATCTGCGACCAACTCTGAATGATGCCGTCCATCTGGATGACGATCAAATTCAATTGATCAGTGGAGACGCTCTCGATATCATCGCGCAGCTGAACGTCCTCAATAGCTTTGACGTAAACGTTGATCAGACTCTCGAACCGCGTGATCGCTCCGTCAACCCCGTCTAGCCCTTCCCGACCTCCGGCAGCTGCCCATTCGACATCATCCTCCGCGTCTAGCCCGCTTAAAACACCCGATGCCTTCTTGATCCATATTTGAATCTGGTCTGCGGCTCCCGTAAGCGCTCGCACGGCCGCGGAAGCAGTGGGTATCGAGGCGATGCCGGCTTCCAGCAAGGATGGTTGAGGGAGGGATATGGATGTAAGTTGCGAGAGCTGATTGCTAAAGGATGCCCTTGAGAACGAGTATATCGACTCTGTGCGTTGTAGACCTAAGGGATTGAAGTAGGATTGCGAGTTTGTAGAAGAAATAGACAAGGGTCGGGGGGAGTCTTTCGGTGGCGGGGGAGGGGGCCCTGATTCGTTGTCACTAGTGCTTTTGAGGTACTTTTCGAAGTCCGTCGGGTTCGTGGACGGCATCCCGTTCACTGATCCGGGGCGGAGTGGCAGCCGAGATCGTTCGACGGCAGCCATGTCGGCTGGTGAGTCTTCACTCACTAGCTCTTCCTGTTGCAGTTCTTCGGCTGGAGCTTCGGCTACTAGTTCTGATTCTGGTTCTGATTCTGGTTCTGATTCTCGTTCTGATTCTCGTTCTGATTCTGGTTCTGGTCCTGGTTCTGGCTCCAGGTAAGCTCCTGGCTCTGCTCGTCTATCTTCCTCGACCTCTGCGTCGACCTTCTCCCTCACTGAGAGCTCTTCTGGGGCCGATATCGCGGTCGGTGAAAATAAGTCTGGCTCTGGCCTTGGCGGTGGCAGGTCCTGTTCTGGCGCTTGTTCCGTTGTTTCGTAAGCTTCCTCTTCCTCTGGGTACAGCTCGTCTGCGAGTAACTCCTCCGGAAGCTCTGGGTCGGGAACCTCCAGGTGGTTTGAATGCGATTGCGGGTGCTGTGAGTAATGTTGTTCGATCTGCCGTTTCCTCTCCTTGTGGGACCGGTGCAGCCCGTTCCACGCGCGACCCTTTTTCTGGATCCTTATCGATAAGTCCTGATGCAAGCTGTCCAACTCCTTAATGTGTTCCTCGGGGATCCGACCGACGGCTCCGACTCGGGATGGACTGTTGGATTTGCTATTGCTGCCGTCGAGCAACTTGACGCGAGCGGCGAGGCCGGGGGATAATCGACGGAGAATGGACGGGCGAATGAGGGTCTTCTCAGCGCTGGGGTCGGGGATGTCGTCAGGGTCGTCTTCGTGCGTACTGTTGCTTCCAAGGCTGCGGAGGCTGCGCAGGGAAGATTTGGATCTGATTCGTCGCGTAAAGGAATCATCTGCAGCAGAGACGGAGACAGCAGGCGGCGGAGGGGGAGGGGGGGTGAAGAGCTGCGACGTGGTGGTGGTGGAGGAGGAAGTGTTGTTCCCGGGATCCGGGGGGTCGGTGATCGCAGTGGTGGCAGTCGACCCGGTGAACATGGCACGCATGAATGGGTCAAAATCCACAAGGCGACTGTTGTTTTTTTGGGAAGGAAAAAAGTGGAAGTGGGTAGCTCTGTGAAGGAAGCGTATGGGTGCGAAGGACTGACAGACTAAATCCACTAACGCAGTCGGTGCAGTAGGGAGCAATGATGAAGGTGGGTTTAGGAATGTGGTTGATGGGCTCAGGATGCGCCAACGCGGCGGGTTGGACTAGGATAGGTATGTATGCGCCCCTTATCCGGTTTCAGGACAGCCTAGGCTGAAGATGCGTCGGGCCCAAACAAAAGTTGTTAGCTTCCTACGTCTGATGACATGATAGGTGTGAATGTTGATTTGGGCAGCAGCTGTGTGAACTGAGTCAGTATTAATTGTGAAGGGAAAAAGAGAGAAAGAGAGAGAGAGAGAGAGAGAGAGAGAATGAACAGAGAGGGTGAGGGGGAAATTGAAACAGAAGACATGCTGTCCCTACATACTTTACTATACAATACGCGGCTGGCCTTAGGCTCCCCTCTCTCCTGTCGTGCCCGATTACGCCCAGAGGCTGATCCTCCGCCTCCCCCCCAAGGGTCGATAATCCTTTCTTCCTTACTGCGCATCTAGTCGGTCTTCCGGGGTTTTCCAAGGACATTCTCCAGGGATAATAGCAGGGCATTAAAAAAGGTCCATGGGTTGGTCTTGTATCTGCACCGTCGGGCCTGCTATCAACACCTGCTACACCGCCTCAGAAAAGAACCCATCAGTCAGTCAGTGAGTAGGTTATTAGAATATCTTTCATCTCAGGCAGAGTTGACATCATGGCTCTGTGTATTCCTTTTTGTGACTGCATACTTCTCTGGGCTCAATGCCTTGTCTTCTTTGAGTGCCGACATACTTGATACTCGTATATGCTACATAGCTCCTCAAGGGCTGCCTACTTATCCTTTCTTTCTTACTTCGGGTCGATTCACTTGGGACATATTGTGATTGAATGTGCTTAATGCTATCGAAAACACCTGTATCACTGAGAAGTACTCTTCATAGAGTGTGGCACTTAGAGAGATAATACCTACCCTCTACTGCTCTCCCTGAGAACAGCTACATGCATCTGAAGGTGTAGCCAACCTTCTCCTCGTCCTGCTCAAGAGACTCATCATCTTCTTCATGATCAAGAGGCTCATCGCCATGATCACGAGACTCCCCATCATGGTTCACCCCGCAGAGACCGCAAGACCCAATTCCCGAGCCCTAGGACCGGGACGAGCACAAGGCGTTCTCAGCCGGCACGTCCGTAACTTTCACGCCATTGAGATGCAAGCGAGGGTCGTGAGCCAGACACCGCTTCCACTATTCGGGATCGTAGTCATTCCGGGGGATCGCAGCAAACCAACGTTGCCGGATCATCTCCCTGTCTTCCGCGCCGAATTCCATCTTCCCGTTCATTCCCCACTGCTCTAGCTGAGTCTTTGACGTCGACGTTCCAAATATCGACGACAGCGGCCGCTGCTGCCGTCGCTCAATGTAGAGCCGTAGCTCAGACTCATGGGCATACAGGATAGAGCCACAGATGAGCTTGCTCTTTGAGAATCGAGCCCGCAGCTCCCAGAGCGAGCAAGCCAATTCCATCTCGCAGATCTCTTGACGGTTGTACCCAAACCGATGAGGAGGCAATGGGCTAGACAGCCTCCTCTGCGAAACTCGGTGGAGTCTAATCTAGCTGATCTGGAAACCATGTTCATCAAGCAACGGGCTGCGAGTTGCAACACGGTCTTTACCCCCCCACTTGATTGTGATGGTCCATGTGCCTGGTGCAATCAGTGCAACGTGTTGCACAAGCTGATCACGATGCTTAGGCACACTGCCCAGATTTCGAACGTCTGCGTGCTGGGTGGGTAACACATAGGTTTTGGGTGGAGCTCGGACGATGTCTGGGGCGTCATAGGCTCCTTTCCGCGCTGAAGCCAGGTTCCGGACGAGCGGAACAATTGTCGGGAGTGCCCATACTCAATCGCGTGGGTCGAGCTTCTGCAATTCTGTTCTCAAGTTTGCTGGATGGTAACAGGAAGACTAGTGCTGTGAAATCGATGCGGTTGATGGTGGAATTTGGACTAGACGAGAGGCTCTATTCAACCATTTTATAGACCGGAGGAGAATACAGTCTCGAGGGCTCAGTCACACCTCAGCTTCGCTTGGTTCTTTGTCCGCTTCGTAGCAATAACAAGAGTTCCGTGAGCGCAACGTCATTGATATCGCAACATCATATCAATGACTTGATTGAGCCAAAAGACTCGGATGCAGCGAGTCCCAGATGTAGAACAACGGTCTGTTCGACGAAGAAGTCAAAGGGCTATGGAGGTGGTGGCTTTCTCCGACACAGTAGGATAAGTTGCTTTGTGATCCGGAATACTTCCGTTGTAGATTCTTTTGGATCTGACTCCCGAAGAAATTAGTGGAGCATGCATGCGGGTTTACTTTCGTGAAGATCAAAGTGCATCCTCCGGTAGTTATCCATGGATCTCACCCGCGGGACCCAATCCTTCACCGGATCTTACTCCAACCTCACAATAAACCTTCAACCCCGACTCCAGCCAATTTGTCAATTATTATGCTGCAAAATTCGATCTTCATCATCAATTAGTACAGTTATTGAAAATGATACAAGAAAGTATAACCTGAAACAGAATTGCGCACATTCCCTGCGAAACAAGGATGTCGGCGACCCGGCCGACAGTCGCCTCGAGAACGCGGCGTAGCCATAATCCCGTCCAAGAAAGTTGAATGGTCGCAATAGTACAATGAAGGGGAGCAATCCCTGTCCAAAGGAGCATACCAGAAGCAACCGCGACAGAGGGTGAAATGTTAAAACACAAATATTTCCAACCTGACTGAGCTCAGACAAGCAAGGGGTATCAATGTGGTCAGAGCGGACACCAAAATAAACGCAAGAACGAACCCACCGACCTAACTCGTCGGTCTCTCCTTCCCCGATCCTCTCCTCCTTCGTCTTCCCACTTCTCCTTTTACCTATACTCCTCCTCGCCTGATGGCGTCCGAGATCCTCCCTTCTTACAAAGGACGGATCACGAGATCGTCACTAGGAAGACTGGCAGCCGAAGCCCGCCGTTCCCGCCAGTCCCGCACTAGCTCCTCACGCACAACCCTACACCAAGCCAGCAGAGCGGTGTCGAACTGCTTCCAGGCCTCGTTGCTATTGCCCTGAACCACCCCCATAACGTCGATCTCAAGCTTGGTCTCCCATCGTAGCTCGGCCGCCTTGATCCAGAACCGCAGGTTCTCGGCCATGCGATATGGCTTCCCGACATCTTGGTGGTAATTCTTGATGTCGAACACTGGCCGCTTAGAATTCTTGATGGCGAAATTATGGGCCCGCACCAGGTCTCGACCGTCGCGCAGACGTTCCAGCATGGCAGGCGGCGGTGAGTTATCTTCCGGGGCGCTCCATGTGGGCAGCTGCGCGTCGGCGCCGATCAGGCTGCGCAGGAACAACGTTTCCCGGTCCCGCTCCTTGCCTGTCCACTCTCCTTCCGTCCAAATCCAAGCAGCTCGCTCTTTGGCTTCGAACGATTCCAGCTGAGCCTCCCGCGCCAACATATCGCGTACGTTGCCCATCCAGCCCCTGATAGCAGATCGCTCGTCCTCGCGAAGCCCATCGGCAAAATTCCGCGATGCCCATCGCTTCATCACCTCCAGCACACTGAAGAGCTCCTTCCGAATCTCCCGCTTGTCCTTGATTGAGGCCAGTCGCTCAGGACGTTCATGTGCAGTGTAATAGATCTTTGCAGCCCGGATAGCGAACGTGACCGCATCCAAGACACGCATGCCCTGGATCTCCTGCCATGTCTGAGGAACTGTCTCGGAAGGGGGCTGTGGTGTCGAGTCATCCTCACTGTCGGCGGGCTCGTTGGAGGAGAAACTAATGCGCGGGGGGATCATTTCTGCCGGTGGGTCCTTCTGCGTGTCGAGGGAGTCGATCGCGCGATCGGCTTTTTCCATCGCTTCCATCAAGTCTTTCCGGAGAGCCTTCAGTTTCGGCGGGGACGGAATGTGATGCGTCTTGATGCTGTACGTGCTCACGGTGGGCGGAAGCATTACCTCGACGTCCTCGTCCATCTCGTCCCCTTCGTCCTCCAAGCCGGAATCGCGGGGATCGATGCTCTCTTCCTCGGTAGGGCTGACGGTCAACTCGTCGATGAACCGAGCGTTGGGAGTCAACAGCAGGCGAGGCAATTCCTCTGGATTCTTCTTCTTTTTCTTATAGGCACGAGCCTGGCCACCCTTCCCATCTAGCAAGCCAGTGCGAGCAAAGTAGTATTGCAGATGCGCAATGCTACCCAGACTCATCACGCTTTCCCTGTTCTTCGCCGAATCTGCGAACTCGGCTCCCTGGGTGCGGATGTAGCCTCGCCGCTTGGAGGAGGTCGATATCGAAGACCTGGCATCGGCAGAGGTAGCAGATGAGGCCGATAGCGAGGAGAGGGAGGAGAAGGTGCGGCCTGGCGATGGGCAAGAGGAGATGGCCGGCGTCGCTGGGACCGATTCAGAAGGCGAACCGGCGCGGGCAGGAGGGACAATTGATTCAGGGTCGATAGAGTCATCCATGGCGGCGCACGTTATCCTTGTTGGCTCGTTCGCTGGTGATGGTCGAAGGTCTGCACAAGATAGATGGTATTGAGCACGGCGCCGTTGAGAGGAGACAGATTCGGTATGAGACACGGAATATACTAGGAACCTCGCACACTATTAGAGCAAAGGACAGGTGTACGTCGGGTAACGGGGATGGAAATGAAGGAAATGACGCGAATGCTTGAAAATAAGGGACGAGACCAAGGTTTGAGACGTGAGTGAGTAATTGATTGGAGATGGCAACCGATCATCGGGGCAAGATTGAATTTGGGCAATTCGAAAGGGGGGGCGTTTTTTTCCCACTAAAAGGGGAAGCGGGTCGATAGGCCAGGGTGATTAGCATCACACACGTCTGCACTGATAATGAATGCACCACCGATATTTATAGAAGTGTCAATTTCCTTCTTGTGCAGCCTAGACAACCGAGCCCCTGAGGATGTCATTCACGACCGGGAAGCCCGGCATGGTGGTGGTTTTGCAAATGCTACCTACCCCATGCTGCTTTGTATTTGGTTGTTTACACTGGATTCAAGCCTCTCTGTCTCGCTGCTTGAGGAACTGCCACTTGTCTGTTCTGGGTCTAGCGTCCCCCGTGCCTGAACGCCCCGCATCCAGACTTTCAGTTCTTTTGACGCGAACCCCTTACTTACCGCTTAACCACCTGATTCACTATCTATCCAGAAGATACCGGCACAAGCCTCGGTTGGAGATTGAATTCACACTGTCGATGGACATGGCGAAAGTTGAGGGGAGATGCATTATTTACAATTATTTACAACTAATACTACAGTGCCACCGTCCGCTGCGTTTTTGAACCACCCCGGCAGAGAGCATCCAGCACTGTCCACCATCTTATACATGAAACAAGATTCCTCCAGGGAATAATTAGCCCGTGATAACCTCCTCCCAGTCCAGCCGAAGGACACCAGCGATAGAAAGAGGAAGCAGCTCCGAATCGTCTTAGATCACCTCCTCCCGCTCCCAGCCTGTGGCTTTCAGATTGTCGATGCCCTTGTTGGGATGCGGTTTCGAGGGATCCTTGTACTTGGCCGCATACGGGTTCGGGTCTGTCGCGTGGTCGAGGTTCCCCAAAGTGTGATTGACCTCCCGATGCTTGGCCTCGTCGGCTCGTACATACAGCAAAAGGTCCCGCATCGTCCGCTGCTCTTCCGGCATCTTCCAGTACTGCACCGCAATCTCGGGGGCCTCTAGTTTCTCCCAATGCGGCAGCTTGCCGGTCTCGATGTCCTTGATTGCGCGCGTGTACGTGATCACTGCCTCCTCTTCGAGATAGCCCACGAACCGGTGGCAGATGCGCGGCGACATGAGGTAGGAAAGGAAGAAGCCGTTGAAGAAGACGCCCTGGGCTCCAAGAACCATGAGGCGCATGAACCAGCCCGGCTCGGCCAGCTTGAGGAAGGTCAAGAGATGCATCCGCTCATTGTACGCTTCCTCCAAGAGTGTTTCGATCCTGTGCGGAATAGGTCAGTCGTGCTCGAATAAACGTGGGATGAGGCAAAACACCTACCATCCGTTGTCTCTCTTCATGCGCCGCAAGCTTCGCAGGTGGCGTAACATGCCGCCAACCATGCCCGGTACACCTGCCACACTCTCCAGAAAGACGAACCGTCTCAGCCAGGCTTGCTCTGTCATCTGGAATTTGGCCTCGTGTTCCTTGCCGGCGGGAGGGTGGCGGTAGCCCGTCACCAAGTCCATTCCCCATCGCAGCACACGCACGGTGCCGAGGGCGATCCAGTCGGCCCAATCTTTGGCGTCGCGGTGGGCAATGGTGACTTGGCTCATTTGCTCTTCCGTATAGCTGGGCAAGTCAGCATCCTTTCTCGATTCACAGCTGAGATCGAGTGCACTTACACTGGGTGGACCCAAGCAGTCTCCACCTCCTTGACATGCGGAGCCTTGGGCGGGGGGAAGAACTCCTTGATCTGCTGTTTCTGTGTCGTTGAGATGAATCGCTTGTTGTGTGTTTGCTGATAGTAGTTGTGTCCCAAGGTCGAGCTACCACACCGGAGGCCAGTTATGATAACGACACCTGGGTTGCTGCGCATGGTAAAGCGAAGGCTTGCCTTCGGTAGGGCTACCCTGAGGGGCGCCGTTGCTGTCAGGGAGTTCATTGTAGTGTACGATCAATGATTATCGTGGCGTTGAGGTTCAAGCTGTGTAGCTAGTATGAGAATAGCGCGTTCTGATGCTTCTCAGTTATGATGAAGAAGTATGTGATTGAGGTGATGTGATCTGAATATGTACTGACCACCTTCCAAAGCTACGACCCCTGGACCACGAACTATTTATATGACATTTCAAAACCTAAAATGCAACGAAAAAGTGAAATATTCAATGTACCTGACCTCTACCAAGTATGACTCCCAGTGCATTGGACTGAACCCGTCCTCGGCAGAAATCGGAGTGGCGCCCCCGGGACTGGACTGGACGCAGCGGGACGACCCTGCAAAGTCACGTGGGTCAAAAAAATGAAGACAAAAAAAAAAGAGCCACATCCCATGCGCAGGTTAGTAATGTTCTCAAACTTGCTCAGCCACTATGCGGTGGGAGATGTTGTATGCGATATGATCTCATCTCAGCTGGAGCCTCCACTGATTCCGAGAATGCCAGTCGTTCGAATCCTACCGGAATCGATTCTCGTATACGAATGGTAATGTGCTTGTCGTCGCTTACGTTGGGGCCACCTTTGAGCGTTGTCTACATGTTTTGCGTATCTCCGTCCCTACGCATTTCGCCATGTGAATTCTTCTAATTGAGAGTCAAACGGGGTTGAATGATAGTTTTAATAGAGTATACTTCCTCCCCCCACTAGCGCGTACAGATCCCGGTCGGTCTCTGGGCGAGGGCGTTCAGCCTGCAACCAAACCATACATTAAGTGGGGGTCCCTGGAAAATCAATCGATGAACCATGAATTCAGAAGCGTGGTGTCAAAAGTCTAGAATATTGCCTAATATCGATGCTATCGCAGGCAAATCCAATTCTGCAAGTCCACCAGTGGTTCGAAGAAGGATCAAATGAAGGCGCATTAAGATAGGTACGTAATAAACCAACAGCCAGGCATTGGCATTGTGGCACATGCACTCACTACGCAACCCCCCCTCCCTTCTCCCTTTCACCCAAATCTCAAAGCCTCTTTGTTGGCAACCATAAGCTCGTGTATGCCAACAGAAACACGAATTACCAAGACACAATGCCAAGTCCGATTGGTGTGAGAAAATAGAGAGACATTAGGGCCGTCAGCTAGTCCCACTGACCTGGATTCAAATCTCCGGAGGAGGGGTACGGCGTTCGGTCTCAACCGGAAGGCGAACATCCCTCCGCCGGCCTTTTTTCAGGATTGGCTCGAATGGCATCTGATGGAATCTTTTTCTAGATCGCCGATCGTTGTATAAGTCTCGTTAGCCCTTCGGCGGACCCTAGGATATCACAGAATCTGGTTGGTTGCCCCTGGTGGGCATAGTGTGGTTATACTCAGTAGCAAAAGAAATCTAAGCTTTTGTGTTTGCCACTGGTTGGATTGTTGGGCGAACGGATTGTACAGTCCAGCCTTGGGGTATGTCTCAAGCCCTGATCACAAGATCAGTGTCAATTGCATAGTCATGGGGAAATTGTGGTAATTGGCCTTGAAGGATTCGCGTCAGGATGAGTCCTGTTTTCGTGGCACAGACGGAAAGCAGGAATGAAACGGATGCCTTGTCACCCCCAGCCCTGTCGGGTGAATCCGGGATGCCGTTGGATGTGCAGGAAAGGAGTCAGGCATGCCGAATTTAACTCGGGATTGAGTCGGGACTTGTCTCCAGGGCTGCAACGTCATGGTCCTTCGTTATTATCGTTACGTTGGTTGATCTTCTGTCTCTGAGCGGGATCTGTGCTAGAGTGATGATGTACTGTACCTTCAGATTGTCACCAACTTCGAAAATTATCTCGTGAGCATGCTTTACTACTAACTAGCTAGGCGTATTGTTCGATCTTCGTCTACACAACCCTTTCGAAAAGAGGTGGTCCATCATTGTATACCATTTTCCATATAGCACTGTTGACAGTTGCATTACTAACAGTATTGATGATGACTCTCTTCTCAACACACAGATAAAGATCAAATTCACAACAACAGCAACGCTCCCAACAACACGTACTATCCAATCACTCGATATTCGCAAATCCCGACTCTGATGTCTTATAGCATGCGAAGTTCTCTTCGCCGTCCTTTACGCCAATCTCTTTCTTCTCGACCTTGACAACATGTGCCATACGAGGTCCCTTGCTGATGTCCTTGAGCAACTTCTGCACGGACTCTTCGCTTCCTTGGGCCTCTCCTTCGACCTACGACACCTTAGTATCGGTAATGAGCATTCACATAAGATAGGACTATGAACAGGTGCCAAACGCCTGCGGATCGGTACGTACCCTTCCACAGTGCGTGTTTTTCACCCATCCCCTCAGATTATACTCAGTGGCGCGTCGCTGCGTGAAGTCTCTAGAGGCCGGATTGTCTCATCAGCACGTTCCTTGCTGGAGGTTCAAACTGTCCTAGAGACTGGATATGGGTGTAGTAGCAGGACATACCGGAATCCCACTCCTGCATGACATGGTAAATAAGCCCAAACTCTATACCATCCAGAGAAGGTTTCTTCTAGACAACACATACCTTGCACGGTCCCAGAAACTTTGAATGCGATCTATTGAGGTCAGTAACCGCAGGTTAGATATGAAGACCGATGACGTAGTGCGCATAGAGAGGGCAGATAGCTTCAGCCTCGGCGGATTGGAGAGGGCATACCCGTTGAGATGACATTTTTACGGCTGAGTAGGGTCTTTTCCGGAGCAGAAAATGTGTTGAAATTGAGTCTTTCTGGTTGTATGTCTTGTTCTCGAACTATATCGTGTCTTGTAGTCCGTGATGCGAAGAAGATGTGGTTAGTCATCCACAGGTGCACCGAGGCCGCTTTCCCAACCCGGTAAGCCCAGTCGTGGCCGCGGGGAATTTCCAGATCGGGTTATTGTCCACCCTGCAGCCAATCAGCATTGATGCTTTATGCTCTCTGCTCAAACTACGATGGATGGATATACCGTAGTAAGTACCGATCAATTTCATAAGGAATGGATTCAATTTTTACAGCTACTATAGCTTTACAAGCATCGCATGGCATGAACATATACATATGCTCTGATTGCCCAAAGATGCAAATCTCTTACACACCAAGGTTGTAAGGTTACTAATGAGAGGAACTGCTCCCCGCCCGCGGGTTAGTCTGTAGGACACGCTCCGCTCCGCCCCTGAACCAAAAATGGAACCGTCGGGCGGTGATCTCCCCCAGAGTTCCTCTTGTTAACTCTCCGCACTTGCACTCCGTTCCTTTTGTCCACCACTTCGTCCACCTGAGAAATTACACTACTCCTCACGAGATGCCGGTGCCAGAATGACTGTCTCACCTATTGCCTGGTTTGCGCGATTGTACTCCCTCGACACACTCGACACTCGTTTCACTGCCTCTGCAATTACTCCCGCCAAAGTCGCTGCGGCTGACGCGCGACCTGCCTCTGCTAAAGATGCCCACGGTGCTGCCATTGCCCGCAACGCCTCGCCATCGAAATGGAACACCTTTGAATTCTATATATACTACATCATCTTCTTGGTCGCAGTGCCGTTGATGTTCACCACTGTCATTGGGGTGTCACAGGGTATATCTGTGCCTGTGAGCGTGTGAGGAGAAATGGCTGATGATTTTGGCAGAGAGCCACTCCACTTACGCAACATATGCCCACCTACTCGAGGACGGATGGATTCCTGGTCGCAAAGTTGTATGTATGGTCGCGCTGAAAGTGTTCGAACTGTAATTAATGTTGTTCGAATGTTTAGGACAATTCGGACGCGCAGTATTCCGGTTTCCGCGAGAACGTTCCCTACCTCCTCATTCTTCTAGTCGGCCATCCATTGCTTCGCCGCGTCTACAATCGATATGTCAGTCCAGTCAACTTAGACCGTACGAAGACTTCTCCAACCCTGGCACTCGGAGATGCGCGTCTCAAACAGCGGACAACTTTTGATTACTACTTCGCTTTCGTCTTCATCGTTGCCCTACACGGCATCTCCGCGCTCAAAGTTCTCACGATCCTCTACATCAACTATCAACTCGCCAAATCACTACCTCGAAAATATATTCCCGCAGCTACCTGGACCTTCAACATCGCGACCCTGTTCGCCAATGAGCTCTGCGCCGGCTATCCGCTTGAGCGCTTGGCTTCTCTGGTGGTACCCTCCGTCGACGCTGCAAAGGAAGTGCCCACTTTAGTGCTGTGGGCTCGTTCCCTGGACGAGTTCGGAGGGATTATTCCACGTTGGGAGATCTTGTTCAACATCACGGTGCTCCGTCTGATCAGCTTCAACATGGACTATTACTGGAGCCTGGACTATCCCGCTTCGAGTCCTATTGAAGTAAGTCCCAGTGAATCTCAAATGAAAACCACCCCTAACAAGCATAAGAAGAAGCAACTCGATCCGGCCGCACTATCTGAGCGAGACAGGGTCAGCATCCCGGCCGAGCGCTCTGCATTCAACGGCCGCCACTATATTGCATATGTGCTTTACGCACCTCTCTACTTGACGGGACCCATCCTGACCTTCAATGACTATATCTCTCAACAAAGATATGCACCGCCATCTCTCACTACCGCAAGAACAACCCTCTACGGCATCCGCTTCTTTCTCACGCTGCTTGCAATGGAGTTGATCCTCCACTACATCTACGCAGTCGCAATCTCCAAGGCCTCGCCCGACTGGTCCCTGTACACAGCCGGCCAACTCAGCATGCTCGCCTACTTCAATCTGCACATCATCTGGCTCAAGCTCCTCATCCCCTGGCGCTTCTTCCGCTTCTGGGCCCTGGTAGACGGTATCGACCCCCCGGAGAACATGATCCGCTGCGTCTCCAACAACTACTCCCCCCTGGCGTTCTGGCGCGCATGGCACCGCTCCTTCAACCGCTGGATCATCCGCTACCTCTACGTGCCCCTCGGCGGTGGCAGCGGGCCCCGCGGGCGCGGTAACTCGTCGGGGATATCCGCCAAGGGCCGCCAGATCTTCAACACGCTCATCGTGTTCACCTTCGTCGCCCTCTGGCACGACATCAACCTGCGCCTGCTAATGTGGGGCTGGCTCATCACGCTGTTCGTGCTACCCGAGGTCATCGGCTCGCTGCTCTTCCCTGCCAGCCGCTGGCGCTCGCGCCCTACAGCTTACCGGATGATCACTGGAGTTGGGGCTGTGGCCAACGTCCTGATGATGATGGTGGCCAACCTGGTCGGTTTCGCGTTGGGAATTGATGGCCTCAAGGGCCTCCTAGCATCGATCTTGGGCTCGTGGGCCGGGATTGTCTATATCGTTTCAGCGTGCTGTGCGCTATTCGTTGGCATTCAGGTGATGTTTGAGATTCGCGAGGAGGAAGCTCGCGCGGGCATCAACCTGAAATGCTGATCCTTGCGCCTACTTACTCAGCGCTGCTCTTCCCTCAATGATCACGCATCATCAGCTCAAATAGACGAAGTCTGATATTTTGAGTCGGCTCTACTAAGCATATAGTTTCTTTCCATTACTTCTTGGCTTGGTATAGTAGTATACATATATAAAACAGACACATGGTATATCACTTGGAATGATCCAGCACCAGACACCGAAAAAACAAAAGCACCCAGTCAGTTTCCTTATTATCACTCGTTTGAACATCTAGTTCTGAACCCACGCCCCCAGCACAACCCAGTCCCAGAAGAAAAACCATCAAAAGAACGCCCCACACCTCGAATCCTCGTGTACCTTATAACACGTTAACCCGCACGTCCGCGCATGGCAGTTCTTGCACCGTATCTTCCCCCAGTACCCGCACATGCAGCAAAAATACCGCGGCGAGCGGCGGGGCGCGAGCGGCGGCCCCGCGCGCGAGGCGTTGTAGGTTAACGGCGGCTCGGCCAGGAGGGCCTGCATGATGCGCTCCGACGGGGCAGTGGGGAGGTACGAGCGGAGTAAAGGGTTGGAGTCGTGCTCGGAGCGGATGAGGGTTGTGGTATTTGGTTTGGATTCTTCTTCTGCTATTGCTGCTGCTTCCCCCGTTTCGGGGGTGGTTGTGGCTGCTGCTGCTGAGGGAGAGGTGGATTCGGGGGCTGCTGAGGGGGTTGGCTGGGCTGTTGAGGCGCGGGAGGAGGGTCCGGTTGTTGTTCCTGTTTGTTTCTTCGTGGAGCGGGATGGTGTGTCTTTTGCGGGGATAGGGGTGGAGCTGCGGCGGAGGGAGGAGGGGGTCGTTGCGGCTGTAGAGGCGGGTTTTGCAATACGGTTGAGGGGATTGGCGGTTGTCGTGGTGGTTGTCGTGGTGGTGTTGGTTTGGTTCGTGGAGGCGGAGGCGAGGGCGGCTTCTTCGTCGTCGAGGTAGTTGCGGAAGGTCTTTTGGGATTGCAGGATGCGGCGGACATTAGAGGTTGTCTTTGTGCGTGTTCCTGTTGTTATTCGCGACCCAAATGGGTTGGTTGTTAGTTTGGGGAGACTTGAAGGATTTGGAGATTTCTGATTGATATAATAGGTCGCTAGAGTTGGGAAGCCATGCGCGCTCACTGCTCGCCGTGCTGCTGGAAGAAAGCAAATAGGGAGGAGAAGATCGTACCTCGCGGAGCAGCAGGCTCTTTCTGCCTCACAGGAACGGGAATGTGAACATCACGATGGTTCTCGCGATCGAGTTCCGCCAAATGACGCACGATCGCGTTGGTCTGTCGGGAGGATAGATCTGTTCGGCCGGGGTCGCGGATGCCGCGTTTGCGGCCGATGGTGGGTGTGATGGCTGCTTTGGCAGGGTCGAAGCCTCGATCGGGCACGTAGGTCCAGCCCGGGGTGGCGTGGGTCGTAGACCCGGGCAGCAGCTCGACGTGGTACATTCTTCTTTGCCTTGGTGGGAAGGTTTTTCGTATTCTGCAACGGCCGATTATCGAAAAGCCACCGAGCAGGGAGAAAGACGGCGGCGATAAGAGCAAGCCGGGAGAAAAATAACTAGATGGGATGGGACCGGCGACGAAAGGCGGTGGGTGAGTAGATTGTTTGCTGTGTTTGCAGCCTCGTATTCCGATGACGCCAGCAGTCCGCCTCGTTTCCCCCCCGAAGTACAACGCGTTGCAGATCTTCGCCTTCACGAAAGTATATAGGATTGATCTCACATTGAATATGTATCTCTGCTGCCAGACTTACTCGAATAAGTAACATCTGCATATACCGTTGAGAGCATACACATAGCCCCTCATCAATGAAATTTTACGATGCTCGTTCCCACAGAAACTGCGTCTGAGGAAGCAGGTCAAAATACTATGCTAAGGCCCGTGGGGCGATGAACTCCGGCAGAAGTAGTAATTGGAAACAAACAGACCCTTGATATCAGAACGGAGAAGAAGAAAGAAGACCGTGGCAGTAGATATGCTGTCCGGTTATTTAGTCTTTTTGAGTTGGTCGACCTTGGCTTCTAGCTCGCCGATATAGGTGTGCAGCTTTTGAGTAGCCGTTTGAAGAGCCTGACGGCGATTAGCAAAAGGTATCTTCGGTGTGAAAAATCAGAGGGGAGGACGCACATAAATATCTTCAGTCAACATCTCATTGGAAATTCTGTACTCGGCCAGTACATAGTAATAGACGGCAACGCCGGCAGCAAGCGAGCCGGAGAGGAAGCCGAAGATTCTGTAAATCAGGAATTGTCAGCCCCACAAGACAAAAGATAAGTATGTCAAAGATATCAAGCAGTGCTAGCATAGGTTGGTTGCTGTACCCTCCACGGAATGCGCCCACGGGCTTCTTCGCAGGTAGAGTGGCAGCTGCCTCCTTCATGGAAGATGAGGCCGCAAAGCTCCGCGTCGGAACGAAGACCGGCTTGGTCGCGGCGGCGCGCCGTGCCAGCGATAACACTCTTCGAGTCGCATTCATGGTCAGACACTGAAGGCAGATCTAGCGTGAAGATCAGTAAAAAGTATAAGAAAGCTAATCACAGCTATCAAAGTGACCATGTGAGGACTTACGTGGTATAAGTAAGTGTGTCTGCGGTGGATGCGGAGGAAAAGGGAGCTTGGGTGGAGAAAGTGACGTTTGGTGGCCAGCCAGTTGGGCCGAGGATGTTTACTACTAAGTTCTCCATGTACTGCTGCCTCCCGGGACCCAATTACTTTTGACACCTCTATTTTTCAGTTCCCACCTACTCATGTCAATTGCCGATTTCCAGCTTTGCGGTCGTCTTGGGCTTATTTTCTTTTCCGCTTCTCCAGAATATTCCATCATAGAATTCCAGCTATTTTTAACAGACTGATTGCTACCGCGTCTAAACGGATACATGTGGACTGACGCCTTGACACCCAACACCTCGATCGCTGAAAATGCCACTTCTATCCCAATATAGATGAATGCGCGCTGTTGCGTGCCTCTCGCAACTAAATTAGATTGCTGGCCATAATAGACAAAGCAGACTGCTATGCATCAACAATAACCCCAAGCAGCCGCGGAACCCTAATTGGCCATGGTGCTTTCGTCGAAGATGTCCGCCAACAAGTCATTCAAGCAGGCATCCAACCGTGGCTGACCCATGCTGTAAGTGCTTTCAAATGCGTGAATGCTAAGCTGGTCGAAGAATGGCCGAAGTACCCGATCGACAATCTCATCCTTAGCTGTCTCCCGAAGCCAGTCCGCAGTGAGACTCGGTTGTTTCACCCCTTGACTGAGGTTAGCCGCTTCTCCAGCCCCATCAGTCGATGTAACTCCGCGCATGCCCAAGCTCTGAGAGACTTCGTCCGCAAGCGCCATTGGCTCAAAGCGCTCCGGTGGATAGATAGCGTCGATGGTATCGGTGACATAAAGCCACTCTAGAAGTTGGAAGTCATCCGGTGCGAGTACGAGTAGCGTGTCTAACAACTTGCATGCCTGCAGCAACGCATATGGATTGTACACCTCTTGTTGCGGTCCCAGCGGCACGGCAGATATAGCTTCCTGCAGTTCCGCATTGATGAGTGGCCAGAAGGTGGAAAGTGCTGTCGCAGAGCTTTTAAGTGCGAGAGCACGCAGAGCCATGAATATTTCAGCGCGAGTTGTTGAGGATGGGGACGAAGTACTCGTCGCCCCAAGTAGGTCTTCCAGTTTCTGCAAAAGGGCGGGTAATTCTCCAATATAGTAGTCACTGTTGGCAGACAAGATGAGCAGACTGATGCGGCGCAGGTTCAATTGCGCTTTGCGGTCAGCTTCCAGTCGAGCAGCAGACGCCCCGACACCAAACATAATACCTGCTGTACTCGGCGGCGGGAGGCGAGACAGCACCTCAGACAAGCGATCCTTGTCTGCGAGAACCCACTGTCGCAAGAGGCTCAGCCATCCGTCCCGAACCAAATCCATTTGCATTCCAAAGAATCTAGGGTCATTGAATGCATCTGCTATGTCTTTTCTCCAAACTTTAGCAGCCGACGGCACTTTAGCTATGTGCTGGAACAGAGTCATAAAATTATGGTTGAGGTTGTTCGGGAAAAGTCGCGAGCGAAAGAGGGGTCCGATCACATTCGTGGAAATGCCGGTTACTGCAGAAGTAATCCGGTCAGAATCAGCGAGCGTGACTGTGAATGCAGGCATAGATGTCGCAAGAATGCTGAGCATGTCGTCAGGTCCGATGTTCGGTGAGGGCGAACTGTCGTAGTCAACAGACCCGCGGCTTAGGGAAGACTCTTGTGCAAGACCCATGGGCTTGCTCGTCCAGATTGCAGTCAAAAGACGAAGAAGTACGTCCTATTATCAGTTAGCAAGTGCTTCGGAGAATAAGCCAGGATGTCGTTGCATACCCCGAGTTCTTTTCTCATTCGTCGATCCTCACCGAAGCTGGTATTCTCCAATTTCGCCCCAAGGATCGCTGCGAACTCAACCAACCGTGGGAGAATCTGTCGATGTGGGAATGGGTTGCTCAGCACATCGCGAAGGAATGTGGTGCAATCGGCCCAAATTTCATTGAGCACATCGTCGTCGAGCGACCTGGCATATGCCACCAGAAATCCGGCTAATTCGGATTCAGTGAGGCTTGCCGTCAATGTCGACTTGCGGCTCGGCTCTAACGCTGCTGGATTGGTCCTTGTATAAATGGAATTGAACACAGCTGGGATAGCGATCTTCGGTCTTGAGCCGTCCAAAGTGTGGAGTAGGCTCATAATCAATGACGAGGTCTCGCTGTCAGATTTCGTCCACATTTCCACAGCGGTTTCAAGACATTCAAGTGCCTCTGCATCGAAGAGATGTTCAAGAATTCGACGCGATCTATTCCTCATGCGCAGAGACGTGTATTGGAACGAGGCTATTGATTCTGCGTCTTGAGGTAATGTACTCCGCTCCACGGCACCCCAAGACCAGATAGTGAAGCAAAGCCTCACGGCATCCTGGAAGCAGAGCAAAACAGTCAATCGGTTATTCGCTGCCGCCGTCCGCGTGTGGTTCGATTCAGAAGAGAACACCCCGGAGACCATATTGCCAAAGAATCCATGGTTGTGGTCAGGGCTCTTGACAGCGGGAGTGTTTGCCTCCTCAATCAGCAATCGCTCATGGGCAGTAGCAATGCAGGTTTCGAGAGCGCTCAGGAGAGCAATTGTGGCATACTCCGATCGGTCATCAGGCCAACCTTCCGTACGCTTAAATGCGAGTTGCAGGCTCGCATAGCAAAGTTGAATCTCTTTACAGAGCGACTCGACAAGCATCAACAATATTTGAAATATTGACCCCGCGTACAATGGGAGGACTTCACAAAGAAGGACAGTCCACTTATCCACAATTGCCCTAGAATTTTTGGAGCCAATGCCTTTGAGAAGGCATTCGAGAAGTTGTTGAGGCGGTTGCGGTAGGGCAGGCAACGCAGGTATTCTCTCTGGCTTGTCACTTGTGAAAGACAAAATCGAGGGACTTGTCAAGCGCTCACGAGAGCTTGTCCGGTTGTGTTTCGGTCTGGGAGGAGGAGGTGGCAGATATGCTTGCGCAAAGCGGACTTTCAGCGCTGCGAGAAGAGTATCTATCAAGTCTCCTTGGATGATATCATTCGCGCCATGATCGAGGAAAGAAGAGAGTTTGTCAACCAGGAATGTGTCTATTCCAGACTCAATCACCTCTTCAGCTGCAGGACCCAAGAGGAGCTGCCGCATGACGAGCAATGAAGTTTGTTGGAGTCTGATTGTGTCCGAGTCGTGAGCACTTGTCGCTGTCTGCTCGCTGATCACTTTCAGACTGGCTTGAAAGATGATGGTATGAAGGCTCTGGAGTCCAGCACTGTCTGCAGAGATGTCAGAATAATATCTTGGGGCTTGGGGACATCCCAACACACCTTCTGAGGCATGCACATCTATGCGCTTGTCGGTTTGCGACAGCGTCTGGGTGAGAAGCGTAACCCAACCGTTGTGGGAAAGTGTAGAGATTATGTTAGAGATTGTCCGAAGCAGATAGTCGCATTCTCTATAGTCATCGGGTGACACGGCTTGATTTTCTTCGCCCTGTTCCTCAAGATTCGCGTGAAAGAGACGATCGAGCCTTGAAACTACTATACGGAAAACCCTATCTTTGGTCAGTATTTTGAATCAGAGACAGAGAAGACTTCAATACAGTCCGAGCGTTTTCGTTCTAGGGCGATTATTGCCTCGTCAGGCAAAAGAAAGGCAAACAACTTACTTGTGCATCGATGGCAGATCCTGAAGCCAACGTTGGACGACCCGCGAATTCTCGTTTGAAGGTTGGGAGAGGAGATCCAGAACGATGAAAAGTGGGCGCTCAAGCATTGAAGCTTGATACCCTTTCCCCGACTCAAGAGAGCTCGAAAGGCGCTTAGGTGGAAGCTCATAATTGCCTTGATGACTGTGGTTCCATAGGACAAAATATCTTCCGAGTTGCTCGCCTGTCAGTCCCTTAAAAGGCGCTGAGGACACCGATCCAACCATGAAGGATGTTAAAGCTGCTTCAACAAGATGGTCCGACCAAGAGACGGAGTGCAATTGCCACAAACAACGGACCGCTTCAACATGAAATTTTGGACTCATTGGGGAGAGAAATTGCCACAATCGTTCAACAAGCGCGGGAATAACATCTGATACATCTTCATAGCTGATGTAGTAACCTGTGGTATTGATGAGATACAGATTGGTGACTGCAGAGGCGATTGACGAGATAGTAGCAAAGCAGGCGGTGGATTTCTGAACTTGGTCGGCGTCAACACGTTTACATAGCGAAAGATATAGGCGTCTGTCGCGCAAAATCCGCGTTCGCGGGAGCTTCTTCAGTAACACAATGAGGAGATTGATCTGATCGTGCAATCGCGTGGTGTTCGTCTGCTCTTCGAGAGCGGCGATGGCTTGTTCATGTGCATTTCGAATGATCAGCTCGCCCAGCTGTTTTGGAGCGAATGGTACAGGTTGTGGATCGAGGCTGTTTTTGCTTTGATCGTAGAAGGTATGGATTGTGCTCAGAATGTCAGACTCAGCCATATCGACACTTGACTTGTCTCCTGCTTTGGGTGCGTCGGGTTTTCTTGTGAAGGACCTCTCGATCAGTAAATCTGTCAGAGAGTCCATGACTTTCAACAATGCTGCTGAAATAAGTTGCAGCTGGTCCAGACTCGCTGCCGAGTGGCTTAACGAGGATAGCTCCCTCATTTTGACAATAGTGGACAAGGTCAACAGAGGGATGTGAATTGCAATCATGTCCTCTTCTCGAACGTTGAAATTCTCGAGTATAAAGTGAGCAAGCTCCAAATTATTCAGTATGTCGTCCATTTTGGAAGAGAAGTCTTGAGACTTCCAGTCGATGAGACGGAGGAGTTCCGAAAAAATGACGCCGCTTTCGACGCCGTCGAAGAATGAGCTGGCACTTCGATAGACTTCCTCGAATTGACTTTTCGAAGCTCCCTGTCCAAATGCTTGCACACTTCGGATGATTGGCAGGAATATTTCCGGAATGATGTAACCACCGACCTCCCATCTGTCCAGCAATGATAGCGAGATCCGAAATGGCTTCGTCTTCTCCGACGGCACGGTAGTCTCATGCTCAATCATTCGCAGGAGGCCTCTGACCAGTGGGGTCAGCCCGAATCTGCTGAAGTACTCCGAGGGTGAGAGCTCTTTCCGATCGCTTGAAGATTGATCTGTGCCCTCCGAGACAGAATTGCGAGCTTCGAATGATGGATGCTCGTTCGAGGACTCAGGCCCGAGAAGCCAGGCCCATAATCTCCGATTCAGACTCATGTCTCGCCTGGCAACCACTCCTACAGCTGCTGCGATGAGTCTTTGAAGGTCGTCACTGGTGATTTTTGCTTGCAGGATTGGCGAACTGAGCGGCAAGTGGGTGACTAGTAAATCAAGAAAGTTCCGCTGAACGAGTACCTGCTCGTCGGCGAGACCGGTCGCGAAACAGCGTATGAGCAGCCCAGGCTCGGGAACTATAACTGACTCTGCCGCAGCTAAAATAGCTTCTTGACTGTCCATGGGGTCATTCGACAAATCCTTGGACGGCCGGCGATCTGTGTTGCCCAGTTTTGGGAGATAGCGACTCAAATAGGCGAGGACACCAGCACGTCGACTAGGACTTGTGATTGAGGCTAGGAAAAGACATTGCCAGAAATAATGGCCTCCTGAGGTAGCAGATCCCGCAGCTTTTTGTGTCTCCATGGCGCTAGCAATGTCGCGGAACTTGTTGATCAGTCGCAGTGTGGGTTCAAAGTCATCGCTTGTCTCTTCTTCTAGTCCGGGAAGCAGAGCCAGTATGATGGCCTTCAATGCCGGACGGATAGCCCATGGCTCTAGACTGCATATATGCGTTTCCACCAGCGTTAGGAAGAGCGGCCGGACAGTGAGGGATGCGAATGTGAGCGTTGGCGCGATGCCTGGCATGTACAATGGCAAGTCATTCGACAAACCCTCCGGCTACGAGGCAGTACTAGCGGTTAGCGAGTGAAATTTTTGGCTTCAAAACGGGGAGACAGACCTTGATCAAAGCAAATATGTACGAGTATACTTCCAACGCTTTCTGGTGCACGCCCGACGGCAAGGAAGGATTGAGGCATTGCGCAAGCCGCTTGGAAACGAGTGCTTTGTGTGGAACTATGGGAATATCCGTCGGGTGGGATTGCAGCGCCTATACAGCTAGTATCAGCACCATCTACTCGACTGCTCTAAGGATAGGATGGTTGTACTTTTAAAAGTCGGCTCAGGAAGGAGATGTAATCCGCCCACTCCTGCAGAGCGGTATCGAACAACGACAGGGCTCGCTCGACGGTCGACGCATAACGGCGGTAATTCTTGTCTTTTCTCAAGGGCTCTAGAGTAAACCAGATCTATCAGTCTGAGTTGCATGATTGCAATAGTAATACAAGAACGCAGGGCGCAAATCACCGACCTTCCTTGCCCCGTAGTCGGGACCGCGTAAGAGAGCTTTCGGAGCTTGCGGGGGAGTGCGACCTCGGAAACGAGCTCGGATCAAGGCTCATTGTGAGAATGTCGGGTAGTCGATGATGTCCTGGGCGGGTATCTGTCGATCGCAGTTCGTCATGATTTGATTTAAATCATCAAGTTAGCATGTGGATTATGGATTAGTTGGTTGGGGAATATCGATCCCAGGCCAGCAGGCGGACATGTTTCCGTTTATCTGGCGTCGGTCGCCCGCCTGTCGGAAACTCCGCCGGGTCGATCCCGTGCTCCACGTCAAAGCAAGGCACGTTCGTCACTATTTACTCGTCCCTCCCCTCCTCTCCACCCTTGGTCTAACACGAGCACTCGACAACCAGCCTCGTCGTCGACGCTCAGGGGCATCTTCTACCACAATGTGTATTATGGTTTCAAGCGCATATGCCGTGCTTCAGTTGATCACAGCGACATAACGATTTATCTTTCCATCAGGCGGATTCGGTTTTCATCGTGCACGGACACGCATCACCGGTTGGAACGGCCTTCGATGCGCCGGAGCCGACGAACATGAACTCGACGGCCGATGGACCAGCGCAGGACGTATCAAGTGATGAGTCCAAGCATTCCGAGCACTCGCCGCCGTCTTCACCACAACAGCGCACCGTTTCCTCGGATCACGAATCCGATCCAGCTCAGGAAGAGCGACCCCCGCCCTTGCCCCCGCGCCCGAATACATTACGCCTTTTGGACGAAGGAGAGGCCTCGATACGGATTTCTCGCCCTGGAGCACCTACGAATCTGCAGTCTAGGGCCACAACGGCCGTCTCCTTGACGGACATTGGTTGCCACGATGCAGGGAATGAGAGTCACGTTGTGCGGCAGGTTTCAGAGACGCTGAGGGCGAAGGCTAGTCTTAGTCATTTGACTAGCTCCAGGGGAAGCGAGACTGCGGACACCTCAAGTGTGAGGAGCTCAGGACCTCAAGGAGATATAGGCGATGTGGAGAACGTCTTTGGTGATTTCGTCGCAACCGATACCGGTCTTATCCGCAAGCATAGCACGGGACTCTTGCAGTTCCCGGAGTTTCGGACGGATGACGTGGAGGATGATTTCACAAGCGAGTTTGAGCCCGTGGGAGATGTGGGTGAGGAGGGGGAAAAGGAAGGTGCGTTTGAAATACTAGCTGACGTTTCTTCGGGCTAATCACGATGCTTGAATGCAGAGCAAGTTCTTGCAAACTGGAAGGCTAAGCGAAAGCACTACCTGATACTCTCGGCTGCTGGTAAGCCGATATGGACGCGACATGGCGACGGGGGACTTATATCTACATATATCGGTGTCATTCAAACGATCATCTCGTTCTATGAGGGCGCCAAGGCCCCTCTGAGCAGCTTTTCCGCAGGGGACACCAAGTTTGTGATTGTAACCAAGGGCCCACTATATCTTGTAGCCATCAGTCGGATGCTCGAGAGTGATACGCAACTCAGACTGCAATTGGAAGCCCTGTACATGCAAATACTGTCTACGCTGACTCTGCCATCTCTCACTCATCTTTTCTCTGTTCGCCCTTCGACCGATTTGAAGCGACCGCTTCAAGGATCGGAGACACTGCTGTCCACTTTGGCTGATAGCTTCACCAGAGGATCTCCTTCTACCCTACTCTCGGCGTTGGAATGCCTGAAAATCCGCAAGTCCCACCGCCAGGCCATCAACAACACTCTGCTAAAGACAAAGGTTAGCAGCCTGCTCTATGGCTTAGTAGTTGCCGGTGGTCGGCTCGTCAACGTTGTTCGACCCAAAAAGCACTCCTTACATCCTGGGGACCTACAACTCCTCTTCAACATGATCTTCGAGGCCGAGGCTGTCAAAGCCGGTGGCGGCGAAAGTTGGATTCCCGTCTGCCTCCCAGGGTTCAACAGCAGCGGGTACCTGTATATGTACGTCAGTTTCCTCGATCTCCGAGATGAGGGAACCACCGCGGACGACACAACCACCAAGGAAGAATCTGTGGCAATCGTCTTGATCAGCGCCGACAAGGAAAGCTTTTTCGAATTGCAAGGCATGCGCAACGCGTTCATCGAGGTACGTGGCACATTGAATTTCACCTCACTTCCAAACCTTCAAGGCTAAGATATGACCCTAACCCTACAACAGCAAATGGAGAAAAACGGGAGCATTAAGATCATCAAAGAAGCCATTGACAGAGGCCGTCCCAGCCCCACGGACATCGTCCCGGGCACTGTCATACACCACTTTCTGTATAAGTCCCGGGCAAATGTCCAATTCACCATGTCTTCCTACGACCCGGAATTCTCAACCGTGTCGCGACGTCGAAGGTAAGGCTCCTGCTTCACATCACAAGCCACATGCGCTGTGGGAATGGTAGGAGGGCTGCAAACTGACGGGAACAAACTCGCAGACTGATGTCAACCTACAATAACCTCCACGCCAGCATCCATGCCAAACATACACATGTGAAGGTCCACCATTGCGTGTCCCAGTCGTCGAGCTCCTTCGCATGGGTAACCTCATTGTTTGAGCTCTACTGCGTGGCAGGCGCGAATGCGAATCGCAATGCCTTGGCTCAGAGCGCGAGTAAGATCATCGATTGGGTGCGACAAGAAGAAGAGCGGCTTTTCATCATTGGCGGTGCAGTATGTTTATGAAGAGTTCCTTGTACTACAAGATTACAAATCAACTAACGGATTCGACTTGTTTAGGTTTTTTGAGCGACATTTCCCTCCCCCCCTTTTGACGGCGAAGGCGGAAAGGAACCATAGAACACGACCGTCTCAGCCCCGCATACAGATTATGTATATAGACTGACAACTGGTATGTGTACCACGCACATACTAGGACTCATGCCGCTTGATGTTGTCTCAATGCAATGAAGACGCCAGCTACAATGAAGATGGAGAGACGATCCGGCTATTCTAGACGCCCTGTCTGGTAACATGCACCGCTAAATCCTTTTGTATGCACGAGTCTTAGTCAATGGTATCCTCCCTCATGGCGAACAGCTGCTGGAACACCTCATCCGACTTTGCCCGAATAGCATTGTGGTACATGAGATTCGTAATGAACTGCTTGGTGCCCTTGATCTTGGCGGCCGTGTTCTGTGCGAGGTCGAAGTGCACGTACATGTCGTCGACGTAGGTGGCCGCGTAGACAGGGACCTCGTTCTGCGCCAGCTGGGCCTCGTCGTAGAGCGGGGCCCAGTCACTTGTGGCTGCGAGGATGTCTGCTGCTTCCTTGATCTGGTTGAGCTCCGTGTACGAATCGAACATGTCTTTGTAAACCTGTCGGGGTTTGATCCGTCAGCATGATTACTCCCGTCTTTGATCCTAGGAATTGGTATCCATGCTTACCATTTCACCAGTGAAAAGGATTTCTGGGAGACTCGTGTTGATGTGAAAGTTGGTGTTGGTGGCACGGTATCTGTCTGCAGACCAGTTGGAGGCTTGTCTATACAGGCAGGCGCGTTAGTCGGTTCTTGAAGGGATACCTAGATCGGCATAAGGCCTGTTCTCACCCCTGGCAGTAGATGGCCTCGTGCAGGATGGCATAGATGACGTTGTTGTCCATGCCACCGTGGCTGTCGATTGAAGTCAGGGTTGGGCGGGTGAGGAAGCCGAACACGTCTAGATCGTTCGAGGCGCGTAGCACAAGATCTATGCTATCATTAGTTTGAAGCGAGACTCCCAGTTTAAAGATGGCAACCTTACCGTGGACGCTGTCAAGGCCACCTGTACATATAAATATTAGTAGCGAGACAAGAAGCAAAAATGGTAGCGTGGTGGCTTACCGTGCATGCCGAAAGCGATACCCAGTTGCTGGAATCGCTCCGGGGTGAGCGTGCCAGAGGGCAGAGCAACCTCGCTGTCTTTGAGATGCTGCATGATCCGCTTGACTCGCTCAACGTCTTCAGGAAACTTTGCATAATACGCCTTGTTTCTCTCGAGGACCTTCTCTGCTCGGAATCAGCTAGTGTCCGCGTCAATGGGAGAGATGGAGGAGGAGGAGGCGTACCGTATGTACGCGCATAAACAGGGTCGGGATCATTGACCAGCGGCGGCAGACCGCCGCAAATGAAGGCCTCGGAGAGCCCTTCAGGACTTTCAATTGTAGGTACCATCAGCATCGTATGTTTCCCGGGCTATACTGTCCATAGGCCGGCTGGACTCACAACATGGAGAGGTAGGATGTGATGCAAAAGCCCCCGAAGCTCTGGCCGATCACGCTCCATTTGCGCTTGTCTTCAGGATAGTCGGTCGTGAGGCACCGCCGAACGGCCTCACAGTCCCGGACAATGTTGTCGGCACGGAATTGCTTCAGGTACTCCGCCTGCTTCACTGCATTACCTTGGCGGGCCAGTGTGCTCGCCGTGATGGTCGAGCTGAGGCCAGTACCGCGCTGGTCTAGGAATAGGACCTACGTGATCAATGAGCGTGAGATTACGGATCAGAAGATCGTGTGAGATGACATACCTGGTAGCCCTTCTCAAGAACGGTGTTGATCCAGCCGAATTCCTGGGGCGGACGACATCCGAACCCGGGGCCACCCTGCAAGTAGACCAGCCATGGAAGCTGCTTGTCGTCGTTGCTGCCGGCATTGGGCTCGACTGGAGTAACCAGACGCCGGACGCTTCGAGCAAAGAGCCTCAGGTTGCCCTCATTGGGGTTGGTGTAATTGAGAGGAACGTCAAAGAACAGCTCGGCCACGCGAAGCTTCCCTGGCGATGCAGAAGCAGTCCCCACCCGTCAGCATTCTTTTCTAGGTGGAGATACATGCTGTCATGGCATGCAGTGTGCTAGTTACAAAAAGAGAAGACGACTAGACATACCTGGGACGTTGTGAAACTTCCGATCAATCAGCTTGGCAGCCATTGTTCTGGACCTGCAGTGAATGCTTTCCAGCAGACAAGATTGGGCTTTAATCTGCAAAGGGGAAAGAGAGTTGTTGATGGGGAGGAACTACAATCGGCGGCGGTTGTTTTAGTGGGCCGGGATTGCGATTACGGGGAGAAGCGGTCTTGCGCCGGCGCTAGCCTTCGCTCCTCCGTATCTTCTCTCTCTCTCTCTCTTTCTCCCGCTAACAGATCTCCACTTTTCTATCAGCCTGAACGAATGAACAGACTTTCTTTCTGACAAGAGGTGCTCGTTTGGGAATCTTAAGCTTCCACATTATGTGAGTCAATTATTATTTGTTACAATGGTATCATCTCAATCTCATCCAAAGCCCGATCATTGTCTAGACAGCTCGGAGTGGCAGGTACAGCCGAACCTCCAGATCCCGATTTGAATCCACAATATATACCCGCATTGGGAGTCAAGCACACTACTTAGCACTAGGCATTGTCCACAACTCTACTAATATACCAGCGGTATATATTCTCACTCGAAGCACATTGAACTCCATCTTGTGGTCCTGACTCGAGCTCCCTGTCAGCATGATGTATCTCGAAGATGTCCAGAAGACAGCGCAAGAGCAGGGTATCCTGCAGCAAGACCTGTGGAAAATGACTCAAACATGGGAACCAGGCGTTCTACCGGATGCCACTGCTCTTGCTCGGGCCAGAGACTCTTTGCCGCAGACTTTGCCCGATGATGGACTGGGCTTCGATTGGGCCACCAAACATGTTCTGGACGACATGGTACCTGCTTTCAACCGTAGCAGTATAAGCCCCAACTACTACGGCTTCGTCACTGGCGGCATCACTCCGGCCGCCCTCTTCGCCGATAACATTGTCTCTGCGTACGATCAGAACGTCCAAGTCCACCTTACAGAGCATACCATCGCAACCGACGTCGAGCACTGTGCCCTGGGCCTGCTCGTAGACCTACTACGACTGGACAGACGCCACTGGCACAATGGCACCTTCACCACAGGAGCCACCGCCAGCAATGTCCAAGGATTGGCCTGCGGACGAGAATTCGTTCTCCGAACCGCCGCCGAGCGTAAGGGCCTCTCCATCAAGAGTGTGGGCGAACATGGCTTGTTCGAGGTTATGCAAGCGGCAGGGCTGTCCGGGGTGCAGGTGCTCTCAACCCTACCTCATTCCTCATTAGGAAAAGCTGCTGGCATCCTGGGCATCGGACGCGCAAATGTCAGGAACATCTGCCGGGACGATAATCCCCTCCGATTTGACCTGGAGCGCCTCGAGATGGAGCTAGCAGCTCCGCACAAGGCCAGCATAGTCGCCGTATCCTGCGGCGAGGTCAACACGGGACAGTTTGCCACATCCAGCCTGCAGGAAATGCAGCAACTGCGCGCACTCTGCGACAAGTACGGCGCGTGGCTTCACGTTGACGGCGCGTTCGGGATATTCGCTCGCATTCTGGACCCTCCCACTGCCGAGTTCGCCTCTCTCACCCGCGGATGTGAGGGGATGGAACTGGCGGATTCGATCGCCTGCGATGCGCACAAGCTGCTCAACGTGCCGTATGACTGTGGATTCGTCCTGTCCCGCCACCCGGCAGAGGCGATGAATGTGTTCCAGAATGCGAATGCAGCATACTTGACAGGTGGCCAAAGTGGGGGTGGAGGAGGAAGAGAGTTGTCGATACCGTCGCCTTTGAACAATGGGATGGAGAATTCCCGGCGGTTCAGGGCCCTGCCAGTCTACACGTCCCTCCTCGCGTACGGACGGAATGGATATAAGACCATGCTTCAGAGACAGGTTCGCCTTGCGAGGATGATCGCCGGCTGGCTTTACGACCATCCAAAGTACAATGTCCTGCCGGCGGCTGGCAGCAGAGAGGCGCTACTCGATCAAACTTACATGGTCGTACTGTTCAGTGCAAAGGACGACATCCTGAACGGGGGTCTGGCAAATAGCATCAACGCCACTTCGAAGATGTTCGTCTCCGGTACCTCGTGGGATGGGAGGCCCGCTTGTCGCATTGCAATCTCGAATTGGCGGGCGGAGGAAGAGAGAGACTTCGCGCTGGTGACGCATGTGCTGCAAAGTGTGGCTGATGAGAGTGCTTAGGGGTGTGTGGTGCTGCGCTGAGCTGTTGATTCCGACGATCTAAACTTGTAATGACCACAAGACTGATAATCTAATCTAATTTCTCTTCTCCGACACTCTTCTCTCTACTGTATGCGGCATTCTTGACTCCCCCCGTCGTTTCTCTCTCCAGTTGCTACCTTGTGGACGTGTGCGTTTATGTGGAAACACCCAGCGTGCCCTTATACACATACACCTTCCGAACCACAACCGATCCCAACAATTCCTGAATGTGGATCACCCAGCTCGCTGGAGGGATCCAGTTGAGCGAGGTCCGGGCCGAGACAATCCGGCGGGCGGCGCGGGTGACGAAAATCGACATGGTCGAGGCGGAGGTCAGTCTGTGGTCGAGAGAGGTGTTTGACAACGGGGTGGCCCAGGCGTGTGCGGAGAATGGGATCGTTTTGGTGGCTCACACGCCGCTGGGTGCGGGGATGCTGACGGGGACGATCAAGTCCGTGGATGACCTACCAGAGACGCATCACCGCACGGTACCGCGCTTTCAGCCGGAGAGTATTGCACAGAATCGCGGGTTGGTGGAGGCGTTGGAAAAGGTCGCCCAGGAGAAGGGGTGCACGGTGGCGCAGCTGGCGTTGTCGTGGCTGAGGGTTCAGAGCAAGAGGCCGGGAATGCCGGTTATCGTACCTATTCCAGGTGCGCGGTCCGAGGCACGAGTGTTGGAGAATGTACAAGATGTCGAGTTGACCGACGGTGACCTGGAGAGGATCAATATCATCCTTGAGGAGCATCCAGTGGCGGGGGCGAGGTTTCCCCCCGCTGCGGCCAGGTTGAATGAGTATTAGCAAGTCATATCTCAATCTTTAGTTCGTTCAGATGTCAAATGAGGAATTCGTTCCTGCCAAATTTGAGCCACATTGCCCAAACGTTGATGATCGATGTCTCATCAGGAGCAACAGGCATTTTTTGCAGAATGGCTCGCTGACCTGGGGCTTGCATTGTCGACAGTCGGAGCATTTGCTCATTCAGGGATGACTGCAGGTCACTCAACAATGGCCCATGTGTTCTGACCACGTATAGATGCCAGAGTAAAGTAGTCAAGGTCAGATCAGAAGGCTGCTGCGAAGAAAGAATTCGAGCTGAGCACGAAGATAGTATGTCGGCGGCGAGATCGACGGCTCTCCGATTTGACTCGCACAGCCAGTGGGCAGTCGAAGCATGATCGGATGACGACGATATTATCTGGGCGAACTGCTCCCGTATGATCTTAGCTAATATGAGACGAACCACGCGGATATTGTTCCACCGCATCAGGGACAGGCTGTCGGGGTAGATAACAGGACCAATAGAAGAATGATTTAAAGGCGCTGGGCTCTTCCTTCTCGAGACGAAAGATGGCAACCCACATGCCAGATCTTCGAGTTCAGCATCGAGTTGGTTTGCACGAAGCATAGCTTCTGAGCAAAGACCCAACCTCAAGGAGCTCTCCAGCTGCACGTAGCGCAGCATAATGTCCCAGAATCTCCATTTCAAGGCGGATGTATCCACGCCGTTTTCGGCAGCCATGCGTCTCAGAGCCAGAAATTGCAGCGGCGCGTCAACCTCCCTTGCGAGACAGTCAAGCACCACAATCTCAGTCAGATGCAAGAGCATGATAGGACTATGCCTGTTGGCAAACTGCGTGTTGCCCCTCAATGACATCAATTCACATGCGCCACTCAAATGGCTGTGAGGATTGACCAGGGCATCATTTCCGAAATTTGCGAGTCGTTCGAAAACGCACATCAAGATTACAGCAAACACAGTCCTGTCCAGCATAGCCTCTTCCGGCAGCTGGATCGCCTTCCGGGTCATCTTCAGGGCTGATCCGTACATGGCTCGAGCCTGGTAGAGGGCGACATGGCACCCGTGTGAGAAGGAGAAGTTTGCCATAAAGATTGCACGCGTTACCGTCTCTAGAAGCGGAATTGGATGGACGATTGGGGGATAGAAAATTTGCATGAAGGAGAAGATACTTGTGGCGGGTAGTTCCCTGACGTATTGCGAGACATAGAGGCCTTTTGCCCGCTGCATAACCGTTGGCAACAGCCTTGTTGATAGCGGGTTGGGAGAACTCGAAATTGGAACTGGCCGTCGACCCGATACTCGTTCGATGGTAGCATCAGATTCGTTGAAAATAATCAGTTCTTTGGGATTTCGATATCCAGGGCATACGAGGCCAGCGCGCGAGCATTGAGAGCAGCCCTCTGTCTTCTTGTCGCACTGTGTCCGGTGAGTATGGTGGCTATGAAGATATGACTATATTCAGATCTGGGAACAGCATCTCAGCTACTACTACTTACTTTGATATCACGCCGTCGACAATCACGACATGATTTGGAAGGCCTTCCGCGGTAGACCATGTTGCTGAATATGATTCTTTAAATCTTTTCTGCCACATCCTACATCTCTGAGTCCAGGCAAATGGTATTACAGCTAAAACAAAGAGCAATCAATCGACGGCCGCTGACGGTGGCAGCCTTAAGCGTCAGATACGGGGCTTTCCACCTGCCACTTTATGTACTACAAGTGGAGAGTCGGTGCTTGACCGCCCGCTCTACCCGCTATATATAACCTTGAAGCTGCCGTAGCCTGCTGTGTCCTTTACCGCCCTCTTTCTGCACCTCATCTCCTGCTCGTCATTACTTATGTTGTTGATGCTCTACTCCAATTCATATCACCATGATTGTTAATTCTAACTGCATCTGCAGTCAGTCTGCTACTAGCAGAGATCCACCTTGGCGCTAGGTGAGGCTATGGGAATCTCGTTTATCTTCTTGAAATGACACACATTGAACAACTACATACAAGCAGCGATTGCTTTCCCCTTCAATGGTGGAGGCCGTGCGTTGAAGACATAAAGCCATCTGCATGATATGAACAAGCATATGGCAGCTATTCCAAGATTTAGTGCAACTAAACTATTGTGAGCGGTGCAACTGCAGTCGATTCACCATTAAACACATGTTGATTATAGAACCCCAACGTCTAAAAGAGAGCCCGAAATCAATGGCCCTAACACCAGCCGCGAGAGATCAGCCAGGCCTTGTTGGACAATTTGCGGGTAAGATGGTCGCAATGAGCACACCATGGCAGGTAGAAAGTGGTCCGGTCTGGTGGCCACACATGTACATCCACACCAAGTAATACAAGTATATGTGCGATTCGGCGTCATTAATGGCCAGGTGGGAATTTTGCAGGGGGTGGGAGTGGAACCAGTGAATATACCAAGAGAAGTGCGCCTGTGAATGCACCAATCACCCATGGATATAGCAACATCATGAAGCTCTTCAATTTGTCTCTGGTGTGAAGGTTCTTCCTCGTACCTCTGCAGTTCCTTTGATAATTATTTACTCTGCAGACGAGGCCCGAGAACACCAAACATGATCACATATTGTTGTATTCCCTTACATATTGTTGTGCTGACCGAGCTTCCTATACAACATCACCGCCGTCTTCCAGCGCCTCCGGCAGTGTCCGCTCTATCAGCAATGCTGACTACCTCACCGATGCCTGCCTCCTCCTGCTCATCTTCCAGAGCCATAATTTCTTCTCTGCTATCCCACCATTTCTCCTCTGCCATACTGAACGCGTCTTTCCGAAGTTCTTTGATGTTTTTGTCCAGACCCGCGCCTCTCTCTTTCAAGGTATCTATCAGGATCTTCTGCCATTCCTCGGATGTGCGACTGAAGAATTCACGCAAGCTCTCGAAGGGACGAGGAAGGGGTCTGCTGTCCTGAATTGATGGTTCGCCCTCCTGCTCTTCTACCTCTAGCTGTTCCAATTCCTTGGTCACCGATGGGACAGTGACTTCGGTCGGCGCGGGAGAGGCGGTGTCGAGGGACATCGCATCTTCATCTCCTTCCTCTTCCTCGTCGAGCTCGTCATCTTCATCTTCATCCATTTCGTCATCGCTATCCGCTTCGTTGAGCAGATGCCAGTTCTCAGGCTCGTTGTAGTAAATCTCCTTCACCCCATCGAGCTTGACAAGATCAATGGAGTACATGTCGTTGAACGTGAATTCCCGATCTCCCTTCTCAAAGGTTCCACCAAAGATGAAAAGAGTGTCGTCTTGCACCGCCAGCTGTGCATTGAATCGTTGATGGGGCATTTCGAATCGCACCACCGAAGGTTTCTCGGGCTGAGCAGGCTCCTCATCGGGCTTGGGTACCGCTTGCAGCTCCTCCTCATCGTTCAACTCACGGATGCCTCCCTTGGCCTCTAGAGCCTTGAGGTTCTGCAAAAGTTCCTCTTCGGTAGCCTTGCTGCGGTCACGAGACTTGAACTGATTCGCCGTCTGTTTCTTGCCTTGTGTCCTAGGCCGTCTCAAGGTCAGCGGGAAGAAGCGGTTGCGATCGGTATTCCAGGCAAACATAGTGTCAAAGAACTCGCTATCAATTCCTTCCTCGCTGAGCTCGACATCATGCACACCACCAAACATGATACCTCGTCCCTTGTGGTACGCCATGGTGGCACCGGCACGCGGTGGGTTTGGCGAATTAGCGGGCTTCTTCCTGCGCTCCCAGCGTACTGTGGGAAGAGTGTTCGCTGGAGCGTCAGCAGGAGGAGGTGCAATACGGAGAAACCAAGTATCTTGGTGAACCATAGGCTTCATCGTCATGCGTTGAGGGCCGTTCTTCACTGGCTTCCCGTTGATGCCGGCAGTGACTTTGACGCGGGAATAGCCTCCATAGAGAACGGCGCCTGTGTCGTGAGGCAAGAAAGAGAAAGAAGAACGCGGATCAGGTTTCTGCGAAACTGCTGAGAGATTGGGACTGAACCAGGTATATTTGGAGCAATCGTAGATCCACAGGTCCTGGAGGTATTTGGTCTGCTGCGAGGTATCCTGGAATCCTCCGAACAAAATAATGTAGTTCTGGCTGTATGTGAGCCCCTACCACCACCTTATCAAAGAGTCACTGACCTTGTAGTAAGTCATTCGGTGACCGCTTCTGGCCGGAGGTCCCTTGCCCTTCGTTTCCAGACGGGTCCACTCCCTGGTCGAGGCATCAAGGTGCCAGAAATCATTGTAATGATAAAATGTTCCCTGTTTGGGAGAAGAGAACTCTCCTAGAGACAAAAGTCAGCCCATTGAGTTCAGAAGCCAACAGCGAAGGTCACCTACCTCCGAACAAGTAGACGCCTCCAGTATTGCCGCCACGGCACCACGCGTGTCCACTCCGGGGTAGTGGACTATTGGGACTGTTGACCTCTTTCCACTCCCCTCGGTTGATGTTATAGACGAAAAGATTATTGAAGAAGGTGGCGAGATTGCCATCAAAGAACTCTCCGCCAAAGACTAGAATTTCGTTCTGGTTTGAAGGCGACGCCAATACGGTAGCCGACGAGCGTGGAGTAGGAGGTCCACTAACGACCTCGGTAACCTTGAGGAATCTGGCCTGCTCCTCTGCATACTGAGCGAGGATAGCATCCAAATCGGCATCCTCAGCGTCACTGTCTGCATCCTTCCCCTTGTTCTTGCCTCGCTTTTCTTTCTTGTCAGCTTTCTTGGATTGTTTCGCCGCTACCCGCTCCTTGTGCTCGGCAGACTTCTTGTTCTTCTTTCCCATGATGATAGTACCAATGAAATTGGGCTAAACTGTGGTTGCAGGTAAGTTATGTTGGGTCTTATTCTCCCAAGACGACTGACAAAAAGCCACCGATTTCAAACCGTCTGGTCTTATCGCTAGTGGTATGGAGCCGATATTTCTTTCTATAGCGCGGGGTTCTCTCGGGCCCACGAGAAAAAAAAGATCTAATGTTACCGAAAGAGGTAATGTCGTTACCAGGCCTGGAAATACGTCATTGTATCCAACGCCAGGACTCTGGCGGGATCATAGCCCTGACAAGAAATGAAGCTTTACAAATGTGGCGATGGAGTACTGAAGCATTGAAGCATAGATCTCTCTGAGAAGAGACAGCTTTGCTAATCAGATCTCCGACAAATTTGATCATTTATTGTATTGAGATTACGGATGCTTACTGCTAGGATACAGCTGCGCTGACTGGGTTCTTCACCGCCCACGTGACAGCGCGCGGAGACGCGTCTAATTATTGCCCGTGACATTGAATCCCGATCCATCCATACAATCAATGGGTTTTTGTTCTTGGCGGCCAGACCCCTCCATCGCCATTGTTATGTTTGATTTCACTGAGAAAAGCCATGCGCGCAAGAGTACGACCCTATGACTAAAAATAACTTGACAGCTCATCTCAAATGGCTGTTGCAGAAAGGTCCTGCACTCTACCCTGCTCTGGTTTCGCCCGAGCACGAGTATCAAAACATTACCACTAGTGACCGCAGCGCGGCTCTTCCAAGTCCCCCAGTCACGACACTACCCACGTCAACAGCCCAAATAGAGGACCCCATAGCGATTGATGACTTGCAACCTGTTCGCAGTGCGGAACTCAAAACTAGTCACAGCGATGAGGTGGGTATAGACTCCGATGAGGAAGAGATGGCACGCCTGGTACTTACTCCGGGGTCTGGGCGCAAACCGCGGATGCTTTGCCTCTCGAAGGATACTCCTAGCAAGGCCCTCAAGGCGTCAAAAAATCGCCTCGCTTCAGAGACGCCGGTTAAAGAGCCTGACACCGCGAGCAAGGCAATAAAAGGTATGCATTTGACATCGAACAGGATTTACCACTATGATGGGCTACTCACAAATCAATAGTGTCGCAGAGTGTTCCTCCATCCTCTGTCCGCAGTCCCAAGAAGACGTCCGTGACGCCCTTCCACACGAAAGAGAAGTTTGAACTTCAGTCGCCGTTTTCCGATTTCAACGTAGACACGATTGACTTGACTGGGGATCTCGACCCAACCGCCTTTTCGTCAAGTACCACAGATGAGTTCGGGGAATCTCAACAATTATGGACAGCCGAAGCTGCGACTCGAAAAGGCTCGCCAGAGAAGCGTGGAAAGAAGAGGAAAAGTGATGATTATATGTCTGATCTTCTGTCGCCGAAAAAATCCACCCCTAAAGCGCGCTCGCCGTTGAAACTTGCTCGAACTGCGGATCATCCTCAGCCTGCTCCGCCCCCGTCTTCGCGGAGGCGATTGCTCCAAACTGATGCGGATGCTCCAGAGCCTATACCTTCTCGGGTCCCGAGCCAAATAGTTGCCGATTCTGAAGAAGAAGCCGACGACAACTGTTTCGAAGACTGGGAACCCAAAAATGGCCTGGGGCTGGACACTGATAAGTCTCTATACCCAATATTGCCAGAGGTCGACGCCCTGGATAATGATGCGCCTAGAAGTATGACTTCCAAGTCAATGCATTCTCCATCCATATCTGGGCTGTCAGAGGCCGTCCCTTCAGTATCACGAACTTCGTCCAGCTCGCAGCAGCCGTCTCACGTATCTGCAACTGTGGATTCATCCCAATCCGTCACTCTTGACAAGGATGTAGCAAGATTCTTGTCTTTATCTGCAGCTTCAATCGAAGGATTGATTGCGACGTTCAAAGATACACTTACGAGGAACTCTGAGATTGTGTATGAGCGAGCAATGAAGGGAGAGCCGGCACCAGAGCTAATTGTTGAGAACAAATCTCTCACTGAGAAGATCGGGGCCATTGAGATGTTGAAACAGAACAGGGCCGCCTATTTCTCGTGCGATACCAAGAGACAAATACTCAAAAAGACCCTGATGCAGGTCATTTCTCAAGGGGGCGATCCGCAAACGATGCCTGAACTCACAGAAAGCCGGCAATTAACTGCACAATTAGAGGAGATTGGAGAAAACATGCGAAGCGCACTTCAGCGCACCGACGTTCTATCTTACCTGGACCAACCACACCATGGCAGTTCTAAAAGTGGCCTCATACAATCAGATGCATTCTTGCCTGTACCTCACGTCGATTCTTCTACCCACGCCCGACAAAGTAGCACGAAATCAATTCAAGATCGCCTCCCCAAGCCTACGTCACGACCAACGTCAGACCAAATCTATGCGCGATCTGAAATCACTACGCGCGTATCAGACCTCTCTTTCAGTAACCCTAACGCTACTTCAAGTCGCAGAATTTTTGACTACGACGATACGACCATGTTGACCGACGAAGACGCATTCACCAGAACGATGGGATCTCCAACTGTTGCTCCGGAGATAATGGATGAATTTGATCTGGACGATGAAGACATGCTAGAAGCTGCGGACTACTTTGAGGATCGCTCTTCAAACTCGGCGGACCGCTTCGAGCTCCAGAACCGCAAAGTCTTCGCTGAAACTTCTGGCAATGCTCCACGTCTGCCTACGACACAAAAGCAACAAAGCCAAAACACCTTGTGGACACAGCATCCATGGACCAAAGATGTGAAGGCCGCATTGAGGGACCGCTTCGGACTCCAGGGATTCCGTCTCAACCAACTCGAGGCAATAGACGCAACGCTTAGCGGAAAAGATGTGTTCGTACTTATGCCCACAGGAGGCGGCAAGTCCTTGTGTTATCAATTGCCCTCTGTGGTTTCTAGCGGAAAGACAAGAGGAGTCACCATCGTGATATCGCCACTGCTAAGTCTTATGCAAGACCAAGTATCCCACCTCAACAAGCTCAACATAAAAGCATACGTCCTGAATGGTGAGACCAAGAAGGACGAGCGTCAGCGGATCCTTAGCATTCTTTCTGACTATATGCCCGAGAAAGAGATTGAGTTGCTCTACATTACCCCAGAGATGATTAACAAAAGTCAAGCCATTATTCGCAGCCTAGAAAGGCTCAGCAGCAATCGTAGGCTTGCGCGTATCGTCATTGACGAAGCTCACTGTGTCAGTCAATGGGGGCATGACTTCCGTCCGGATTATAAAGAGCTTGGCGAACTCAGGGATCGCCTACCTGGTGTCCCAATGATGGCGTTGACAGCGACAGCGACCGAGAATGTCAAACTTGACGTCATTCATAATCTGAAGATGGATGGTTGTGAAGTATTGATCCAGAGCTTCAACCGACCGAACTTGTCCTATGAGGTGCGCAAAAAGCAAAAGGGGGGCGAACTCCTGGCCAGCGTCGCTGATATCATAAACAATTCATACCGTCATAAGTCAGGGATTGTCTACTGTCTCTCGCGCAAGACGTGTGAGACTGTCGCCAGCAAACTTCGCCAAGACTTCAAAATCAAAGCTGCACATTATCACGCGGGCATGAGTTCAGAAGATCGCGCGGAAGTCCAGCAAGCCTGGCAAGCTGGGAGAACTCACGTCATTGTCGCAACCATCGCTTTCGGAATGGGTATTGATAAACCCGATGTACGTTTCGTGATTCACCACAGCATTCCGAAGAGCTTGGAAGGCTACTATCAGGAAACAGGACGCGCCGGTCGAGATGGCAAGCGATCTGGTTGCTACTTGTTCTACACCTATAAAGACACGACAACTCTTTTCCGTATGATCGACGGGAGCGATGGAAGCAAGGAACAAAAGGATAGGCAACGCCTAATGCTCCGCATGGTTGTACAGTACTGCGAGAATCAGACCGACTGCCGCCGAGTGCAAATTCTTGGTTACTTCAACGAGAAGTTCCGTCGGCAAGACTGCAATGCTTCCTGTGACAATTGCAAATCCGACTCTGTCACTGAGCTCCATGACTTTTCACACCACGCATCCTCGGTAATCAAACTTGTCCGCTACTTTCAAGACTTGGACGACAAGGTCACTATGTCATATTGCGAGAACATGTTTCGGGGATCTGTGAAGAAATTTAGGTCGCCTCAACACCGCACCGCCCCGGGTTATGCGGACGGTAAAGGTGTAGCGGTGGGAGAAGTTGAACGATTGTTCTACACGCTGCTCAGAGAAGGAGCCTTGAGAGAGGACAATGTGGTCAACGGAAGCAAATTTGTGATCCAATATCTCAAGCTTGGACCGCGTGCAAGTGACTACGAAAGCGGCCGAACTAAACTTAAGCTTGACATTCGTGTCTCGCCGAGTGGGAGGGGCCCCCGCTCTACGCGAGTTTTTCGGACCGATGGGGCCAAGGAGAATGTTCCACAGTCCACGAACGTCTCCTCACCGGTTCAAGCCGCAAATCAGCGCCGACTCGCGCGGTTTCGATACCAGGGGGCTGGTGATGACACCACTGACGATGGTAGCGATAGTGATGGGTTCGAGAAAGTTCGGGTTGCTGGCAAATCGCGTCCAGATAAGAAACGACCTCCTGGCCCGCCCATCACGCAAGATCGCCGATTCGATCAGCTTGACCCTCTTCATAAGGCGGTTGCAGAGGATTTCATGGTTTATGCGAAGAATTACTGTCAAGATGTAAGACTCCTTGCACGTTTCAAGAGTGAAGAAGAGATGATGGCAGCCACTAACGAAGTAAATAGTTGGTCCTTCAGAAAGGTCTACGCAACCAACCGTTCACTGATACTATCTTGCGAGAGATGGTCATCGTCTTTCCCAAAGGTAGAATAACCTCGATTGATGGATATGGTCTGAGCTAACTATTGCCCAGACCTTGCGGAACTTGCTGCAATCCCAGGCATTGATCCTGACAAGGTCATTCGCTACGGCTCTCAGCTGCTGAAACTTGTCAGGGATACGCAGCGTCGCTATGAAGAGTTGAAGAAAGAGCGCGATGACGCGGATGGCGTGGTCCCTGACCCGAATCATCACAATGTTATCTACCTCAACAGCAGTGAGGATGAGGATGAGTTCAGCGACGGTGGCTTCTTCGCGGAAAACGCCTCTAACTTCGACATGGATGAAAGTGCTGTTTCCAGTAGATTCTTCTCAACACAGCAAAACTCTCAAAAGGGTGGCGAAGGGGCTAACAGAAGCAAACCGCGAAAAGGTCAAACAAGCAAACGTCCACGCCGCTATAACACCGGAGCCACAGCCAAACCCAAAAAGGCAGGGGTTCGGAGGAAAGCCAGTGACCGTGCTGATAACCATCCCTCTGCTGCTCGAAAGCCTTCCAAGCCTAAGCAAGCAACGAGTCGGATTGGAATGATGCCAGTCTGAGATCTCTCTGTGCGTGCGTCTGAGATATAGCGATTAATGACAAATTTATGATATATCAGCGTTGCAATTGTGGTTTTATTGCGATTGTGCATGTATAGGCGTTGTGTTTGAGGTCTCATGAACATGGCAAGGATAGTCTAATAGGCGCAAATGGTTCGTCACTGTTATAGAGCTATATAGAGCTTGCAGGGATGCTGCCATTGGGAATGAACAAAGGAGGATATCATAATGTGCGACCAAAGTCAATCAATCTCAATCTTCTGGCATCGCGTGGGTGGAACTGTGCCACCTTGGCCCGTACTAGAAATCTGGAGGCTGCGGATTCTCGGACTTCCACGTATGAAGGACTTGCTTCCAGCAAAGCATCAAGGAGGTTGCGCATCTCGAGAGCCGCCGCCTCTCTGCGGTTGGCAGGCCTTCCTTGCTCATTTTGTCGAGGCAGAATCTCATCGATCCGTCGTTGGTTGGAATCTGAGTCATTTGTTTCCGTCTGTACTCTTGGCTTTTTAGGCTTGCCGTGACTAGTATAGCCTAATTCTAAGGTAGCATCGGAAACGTTTGGCACGTCGCCCACAGTTGGCCCGCCAAGGGATTCTGCTGCAAGCATTGATGCCAGCGACCGATCAACGAAATCGTACAATTTGGTCTTTGTCTCCTCTGTCGCTTTGTCGTACTCGCTATTCTTGTGCCGCCTCTGTTCAACAAGCTCCCGTGCTAATTGGGAGTTTGCCTTCTTCTCCCTTGTCGCGTTTTGACTTGCTACAGTCTGAATGCGTCGCTGTAGGCCGTCTCTGATCGCTTGCGCATCACGCAAGCTCGTTTCCTCTTCTTTCACTCGCTGGCGCGTGCTGGAAAGATTCTTGCCCGTTATCGAGGCGGCGACCTTCGTCTCCCTGACCAGACGGGCTGTCTCCTCGACGGCAAGCAAAGACGGCAACGGGGAGCCCACTGGCGGGAACTCCGTGTCAGATTTGAGCAGAGAGTCATAGGCTTTTTTGGCCCTGCGCACCTGACTAACACGAGCCCAGGTGCTGTTACCGATATTTGAAAGGTCGATTGAGTTGATTTCGCGTAGCTGGTCCGCGCGTTAGCTGCTATTTCTAGTGGGTTGCGTGTGGATTATGGATACATACCTTGCGCAACTCGTCTTCTTGGCGCTTGACTCGTTCTTGGAGCTCCTTCAGAGTTTCATCTAAGCGCGCGTTGTATAGTTTGATGTTGGCTGCGCTCAGTGGCTGTTGGGCTTGACGCTCTTCTGCTTGTTGGCGCTTTTCTGCAAAGTGTTGGATTTTATTGACTCTTTCCTGTGGGATGTCCATGATGAATCTAGACGTTGTAGATTGTGTGGATTTGAAATGCTCCACTAATATGTCCTCAGAGTATATGGTGCTTGATGACTGTTACCAGCTACTCAGTTTGGCGCCTCTATATGAAGAATTAGGACATGTCACACCGGGTTGATATACAATAGCATCGCCGTAGTCCTCATTGGCATAACACGTGATTGCAGAAGATGGGCGGCTTGCCCAAAAGCGGACTAGCGTGTCTCGTGCCAACAGCTCGCCTCACCAACTCTCGCAACCTCATCTCTTCACCGCGATATCGATTCCCCTGTTCCCTTCGCCTATCGACTTCCCCTTTAACACCTCCCTTTGACATCCGTGTCTCTATTCACAGCTGGCAGGCTCGACTGGCTGCTTCTCAAGTGCGCAAAAATTTGCACGTCCTCCCCCTTCCACCCTCCGCTGCTCGATCCTTTCCCCCACAGGTGATTGGGTGACCGACGTGCTGTACGTACATACAGCCTACGCCTTTGAACAAGTCGCGTCTTGTGGCAGGAAGAACAAGGAGAATTTGGGACTTTGGGAATTGTTTCAGGCTTCAATCTTGCTTTCATTTCTTCCCTTTCCCTCCCCACCCGTTGTCCACTTTCCAGCATCTGAACTCGCCCGGACCCTGAACACACTCCGTCTTCGTCCAGCATCAACACTTCTTACTCCGTTCCATCGTGCCCGATTCGATTGGTTGCTTTTCCTTCCCTCACCTACCTTTGCCACTATCTCGCTCTGGTGAAGCGCTTTTTGCTTGAAACCAAGGCCCGTGACAAGTCAGCATCCTTCCACACTTTCCTCCGTCGACCTCTCCTTTCCAACCTCACTTCTCCCGCTCTGAGCACACGATTACACCAGTCATCTTAGTCATCCCAAGCACCAGATTCCCTCTTCACCCGATCGCCAGCACCAGCAAGTTTTATTGGGAACTCCTGGTGTACATAGTCGATCACTTAAAGCAGAAGACAGAGAAAAAACAAAACAAAAAGAGAGCTACCCTTGACACTTCGACTTCCTGTGTAAGTGAAGCAAGAACTGCGAACCCTTGGCATACAGAAATCATGTCTGCCTCTCCGTCCGCATTGCAATCGACCAAGCGTCCTTTGGAAGACCCTTCCTCGCCGTCGGGTCCCAATGACCAGCCTGAGGCTAAGCGTCCGGCTTTGGATAAAGTAGTAAAGGGCGAGGAGTCGGAGGCGTATACCGAGGTGAAGACGGATGCTTCGGGGACCGCCAGTGCCAGCGCTGATGGTCAAGGAGACACTGTGGTCCCTGATGCTCCTGCCAAGGGAACCTCTTCCGAGACGCAGCCCATCCAGTCTACTGCCTCTCATGGAGAGTCGGCGGCCGCTCAGTCTGAGCAGCGCCCTCAGGACGAGTCTAGCTGGATTCACATCCGTGCTGTAATCTCCAGCCAGGAGGCTGCGACCGTTATCGGTAAGGGTGGTGAGAATGTATCCCAGATCCGTCGTTTGTCCGGAGCCAAGTGCACTGTCAGCGATTACTCCCGTGGCGCAGTGGAGCGTATCTTGACTGTCAGCGGCCCCCAGGATGCTGCTGCTAAGGTTCGTGGACCGCTCCGCGAGATTTGACTCCTGCAGCCTCGATTTAGATTTGCTAACTGGAACCCAGGCATTCGGTTTGATCATCCGTACCCTGAACAACGAGCCCCTTGATGCCCCTTCTACAGCCCAATCCAAAACGTACCCCTTGCGTTTGCTAATCCCCCATATCCTCATTGGCTCGATCATTGGCAAGGGTGGTAGCCGTATCCGCGAGATCCAGGAGGCTTCCGGTGCCCGCCTTAACGCCTCGGATGCTTGCCTTCCCTTGTCGACTGAGCGGTCTCTTGTAATCCTTGGCGTTGCGGACGCCGTGCACATCGCTACCTATTATGTTGCCGTGACTTTGGTCGAGCAGCTGACCGAACGCTTCGGCGGACCGGCAGCCTCTGCTTACGCTACTCGCAGTGGTGGACCCGCTGGTGCCGTGCCTGGAGGGATGCAGGTTGTCCCCTACGTGCCTCAGCCTGCTGGCGGCCAATATGGCCACCCGGATACGTTCAAGCGTCATCACCCTCACCCCAACCGGGGCGCGGCCGGCAGCTACGGTGTCCCCTACCTCCACGGTCAGGCCGCACCCAATCCTGTCGCCCAATCCAACATGCCCTACGGCGCAACCCCCCACACCCCGTACTCCGGAGCCGGCCCGCAGCAGCCTGCGCCGTACGGCGGCCCGCAGGCTGCTCAGCCCCGTGCCGGAGGTGGCCCTGCTCCGGCTGCCCCTGTTGGCGGTGTCATGCCCGGCCAGCCACTGACTCAACAGATCTATATCCCCAATGACATGGTGGGCGCGATCATTGGAAAGGGCGGAGCCAAGATCAACGAGATACGCCATCTGAGTGGCAGTGTGATCAAGATCAACGAGCCACAAGAGAACAGCAACGAGCGTCTGGTTACCATCACTGGTACCCAGGAATGTAACCAGATGGCATTGTATATGCTGTACTCCCGACTTGGTTAGTCTTTCCGTTTCCCGTCTGATGTCTCAGCTGCTAACGTATTTTTGAAAAAAAATACAGAGAGCGAAAAGCACCGTATCTAGAAGGGGTCTGAGAATAGTTTTTCTTTTCTTCTCTCCTTCTTGTTCGAGGTTTTAGTGAGAGACTACATCCCGCACTTTGGGCCTTCTCTTTTATACTCTTCTGGGCTCGACAATCTCAATCGTGCCGTCGGCCTATTCTAGTCAGCTATTCAATTAATGGGGTTTCATTTTGCCGTTTCGTTTCGGGTTCGTCCTTTTCTACTAGTCAGTGGACTTGCTGTATTGTATTTATGTTGCGCTGAATGGTGGAAGGCACACAAACAAAAATGGGGAGTCGCTCAAATTTCATTCAACCATTCTATCAACTTTCTCTTCCTACGGAGTACATTCATGGTAATCAAGGACCCCCCATCAGACTTGAGGTCTTGACCCCATCCATTATACCCATCATTTCCACATTACCTCCATCCATACTACTCCCCATACTACCTACACATACTACCCTACCTACACCCTCACCCGCCGACAATACATGAAAATGAACGTGAAGAGAAACAACGCTACTCCACCCCCTTAAACTCAACATGCTTCAACCCCCCCAACCCCCGCACCGGCGCCAGCAAATGTCCCCGGACCTTCCCAATCGCCTCCTGGAACGCCTCCGTCTCCTTCCCCTTCAAGTGCACCTCAACACTCTCCCACCCTGCCGCAATCACCACCACAAACGCCTCCCCCGTCTCGCTCTGCTCGTGCGTTGTCGTCCCCGGCCTCTCCACCTGGCCCATCGCGAACGACACCGCCCGCTGGCCCGCCGGCAACTGCTCGGTGACTGCCTTCCGTAACCCGATCAGACTGGCGTGCACCTCGTTGACCTCCCCCGGCGCGAGGGAGGTCGGAAACGCGGGTGTCCAGAGCTCCGTTACGGGATTTTGGGTTAGTGTTGCTGTTGTTGTTGTTGGCGTCTTCTCCGCTTTGTCGTCGTCGGTGGTGGTGGTGGTGGTGGTGGAGGTGAGGGTTGCGAAGACTATGGTGATTTCCTGGGCGTCTTCGTGAAGGAAGGGGGAGAGGGTCGTGTGGGGGTTTGCGCCGGTGTGGGCGTCTTTCCAGTCTGGTTTTGCAGTTGAGTTAGTAGGTTAGGTTAGGTTAGGTCCCTATCATGGATGAGGGGGGGGGGAATGAGTGAAGACAGAAGGGAAGGGAAACTGTAACTACTAAGGTAGGTAGTAGTTGTTCGGGAGCGGGGGGCGGGGGGGGAAAGCTGCCTGTCTTGCTGTTTCCTGTTTGCTGGTAGGTAAGGGAAAAGGGCAAGGAAGTTGCTCCTCCAGGAAATGAAAACTCACCAATCGCCCAAACAATTAGATTCTCATCCTCGATGGCGCGACCCCAGGCTGACCCCTTATACCCGCTTTGGTGTTTGGTGTTTGCGAAGACTTGGAGGAGGGCGGCGCCCTCGTCGCTGTGGGCGGGGTCTTCGGGTTTGACGGTGTCTTTGACGTGGAAGTAGATGAGTTCGGTGACGCTTTGTTCTGCCATTTTCTACGGGGGATGTGTTGGATTCTTAGAAGAGAAGATTCAGTTAAGGTCACGGTGCAATATAAGTAAGTGTAAACAATCGGGGATGGCCGGTAGCAAAGTAAAGGGGAGACAAATCAGAGGAATTAATACTGGCATAGTTTAAAGTAAGTACCTGTTGATGTCACTGGATCGGGATGATGTCAGTCCCGGCGTCTGAGCACTTCAACTCCCCCCTGACTCCATCCAGTGTTATCAGACCATTCTAGATGTACGGCGAACATTAATCGAATGGGACGCAATACTCATTCAATCTATGACGACTAAGCACTGAACCCTATATTTACAGAAGGAGCGCTACTCAACATTCAAGATTGCCTGTTGTAGAACAAAAGTACAACAATACCGCGCCAGAAAAGACCCGCTGCTGTTTTCTCGACATGACTTTCGTAGCAGTAGCCGTCAGGAAACATGTGTCAGTCCCAAAACACAATCAACAATATCAACTAGTTTTACAAATCATTCAGCGTTCGGACCCGATTCTTCTTCGCCTCGATCGCGCTCCTCAGGCTCTCAACAATGCGCTGTTTGCGTTGCACCTTGGCCTTGTATTGTGCTGTTTCCTCTGAGCTGACCAGATCCTGGACGCCCTCCACATTCCGGAGCCGGCTGGCCCTGGCCGATCCGTTGATGCTGGAGCGGAAGGCGAGCGCTCGGTTAGCCGAGTCGGGAGTGTGATATGGCCCGTCAATGGAGCCACGCGACCCCGGCGTGGCGGGGAGCCTTCCGGCGTTCTTCTTCGGTGTCGTAAATGGAGAACCTTCGCGGCTGGCCGCAGGTGCGGTCGTATCAACGCCCAGTCTCTTCAACTGAGCCTCCAGGACGTCAATGTCGCTGCGCTTGCTTTCAGCCATCTCCATCATCTTATGAATTGTAGTGGTGACGGCCTCGACGGTAGGACGTCTCGTCGTTTGGCGAGAGCCACCCAGAGGGGGCACATCGGCGATCTTGGCACGAAGGAGAGTCACGGCAGACTCCAAATCGGCCAGCTTTGCCTGGACCTCAGTGGATGCCGACCGCAGGTCTTGCTGCAAGTTCGCGTGTTCGGCCGAAAGAGGTGCGAAATGTATGGCGGTCGTGTCCGTGTGGGCATCCAGGGTCTTGCGGATGCTGGCACACTGACCACGAAGAGTGATGATATCCTTGCTCAAAAGCTCGCGGCATTTCTCCAGCTTCTCTTCCACGCCCTGAACGCGCTGCTGTTCCAAAGAAGCAGCAAGCATTGCGACTGCATCGTCGAACTTCTCGATTTCGCACAGAACCAGCTCCTTATCGAGTATGTCGGTAGCATTGTCTTGCTGCAGCGTATCGACCCAGTGCGGGTCTTTCGACTGCTTCTGGTAGAGAAGGAAGGAGGACAAGGAACGGACGTTGATGCCTAGGGTATCCACCATCGAGTTGATGTCGCGGTAGAGTCGTTCAATTTGGCCAGGAATACCGGGTTTACTAGTTTCACCAGCATAATCATGATGGGGCAAGAAAGGATCAAGGGTAGGAACAGGTTCCAGAGGCAGCGCAAGGTCCGCACGAAGTCTTTCGTCCTCATCGTCATCGGAAAGAACCTGTGCCTCTTCTTCTAACTGTCTTGCACGAAGTTCCTGTTGCGATAATTCCTTCCGAGCGGGTTTGGGCTTGAGCTGGCTCTCGCGTCTCTGATGTTCGGTCAGGGACGCTTTCCTTGCAGTGAGAGCGCTACCCGGACTCTGAGGGGCGCTGACGCCCTTCTTCCCATCCGCATTGAAGAGGCGATTTGGTGCAGCTCCTCGTACCGGACTAGGCGATCGCGGAAGCTCTCGGTTTTGAAGTGCAGGGAACTTCGGATTGCTCATAGCGCCAAACAAAGACCGCGAAGGCTGTGGTTGGGGAGCTGATGGGGGCTTGGAAGCCGGCGAGAAGAGACCACCTGTGACCTGTGCGCCTGGCTTGAAAGAGCCTTTAGGAAGCGCCTTTGGGCTAGGCTCATTCGACTCGGATGGACTGATGTCATTTGTAATGTCCTCCCCGCTATCAGCAAAATCGGATTCTTCTTCCTCGTCGCTCGCACCTTCCTCGGACCCGTCGTCTTCGCCTTCATAGTCTTCTCCATCAGACTCGTCCGGCACTGGAGCGACATCTTCCGATTCTTGACGTGGTTTGGGAATGCTGAAATCCGGAGGCAATGGAGCCTCTTCAGGTCCCACTCCTTCATTTTCATCGTCGGCCTTCTTTCCGATTTTAGTGAAGTCTGGCGGCAGAGGTGCCTCTGCTGCAGCTTCCTTAGTAGTGAGTTTGCTTGTGGTGAAGTCGGGTGGTAGAGGAGCATCGTCGACTGAACTTTTGGACACATTCGATGAGGCAGATGTGTCGCCGGGTCCATATGAGGCCTTGCTGATCGGATCCGGGGGTAGCGGGGCGCCCTGCGGTGTAGCGCTAGGAGTGCGGGCGTCGTCCTCTGACTGTTCCTTCGAAGGGGTAGTACTGTCTGCGGATGTAGAGAATGCCAACGGCGACTTGGCAGGAGTTGTGCTTCCGAATAATGAGAAGCCGGGCTTGCTAGCCTGTTGACCAAAGGGGTTCGAGATTGGCTGAGAAGTAAAGGGTGATCTAGGTGTGGAGGTTGTGGTCGTTGAGGGTGAACCAAACATGGATTTAGAGGCAGACGAAGCTGGTGCCGATGGTGCACCAAACAACCCTTTAGGTGCTGCTGATGTCGTAGGCTGCGAGGGTGCACCGAACAACCCTTTAGGAGCAGATGTCGTAGGCTCCGAAGGTGCCCCAAACAACCCTTTAGGCGCAGACGTTGCTGTCGAAGTTTGGCCAAAGAGCGACGAAGTTGTTCCCTTCTCCCCGGGTTTCTGTTGCGGAGTAGCGCTCTCATCCTCCATGTCATCCATCTCCTCATTGGGTGGGCTGGTCTTGGTGCTCGAAGACATCATGTCATCCATGGACTCACTAAAGGAGAACATTCCAGAAGGCTTGTCAGGCTTCGGCAGATCATTGGCAGCACTGCCATCAGACTTGAAGGTAGATCCAACCACGAAAGGACTGGAACCGAGCCCGAATGAACCCGTCGACCCGCTCGTCTTCGGAGCGCCAAAGGCGCTTGCCATGCTAGACTGTCCACCGAAGGGCGAAGCATTGGATGCTTTGGTAAGGGGACTTTCGCTAGATGCCGCTTGCGCAAACAGCGATGTGCTTGACTGGTTTGTTGACGCAAAAGCGCCGAATCCGCCGCCAGTTTTGGGTGCAAAGGCTCCGAAGCCGCCTCCGGAACCAGTGCCTGACTGTGCAAAGGAGAGAGAGCTAAGCCCTTTTCCAGGCGTGGATGGCTGACCAAAGCCCGAAGACCCTCCTCCCAGCGCTGCGAAGCCAGATTGGCCAAACGCGGGACCTTGCTGTGACGGGGACCCAAACGATGACGCACCAAAAGCGGGCTTTTGAGGGGCGGCTTGAGCAGATGGGCTTCCAAAAGATGGAGCAGCAGGGCTACCAAATGCGGATGATCCGAAACCCGACGCACCACCAAAGCCCGATTGACCAAAAGATGAAGGCTGAGCTTGGGGTGCTTGGGGCGTTTGTTGCGCTTGCGCCTGCATCTGATCCGCCATACCCTGGTAGAGGACCTTCTGTCGAATGGCGTCTGAATACAGGAACCACCAAGAGCAGAGAATACCCTCGTGGTTGAGCAACAAGAAATTCGGCAGCGGGGTAGAGCTCTCTTCAATGTCCGCACCCGGGATGGGAGTAATGACATTCTCCTTGCTAGATAGATCTAGCCCTAGACCAATAACTGAAGTTTCGTCGCCGGAGTCGCTCAAGGGAACACTGGCTCTTTTGGAATCATCTGAGACCTCAGTCGTAACAAAGACTCCAGCGGTGTTGACTGTGTCACTCTTCACCAAAGGTTGGTCTGCCCTGGTGATCAGGCCAATATCGGCGCATGCCGTTGAAGACAGAATGAGAACATCCTTCAAGTGCGGCTTGTAGTCGCGTAAGCGTGCAATGAACTGAAAGGCTGGAGTGCGCTTGTACCCCCAGGGACTGCACAATTCAGGCAATCTTTGAATCAAGAAAGGCGCCTGTTTTCGTCGAGTGATGATATAGTATGACGAAGGGGGGTTCCCGCCCATGTCATCTTCTAGCGTATTTGGAGTGTAAATCGTGAGGAAAATATCGTTCTCCAGCCAGGCAATAGAGGAAACTGCAAGACGACTGATTAGCTAATTGAGGGTCGACCGCATCACAGGAAGAAAAGCATACCGTGACAGTCACCCTCGAGATCTGAGGGGCGCGGAATCAAATCCTTCTGCGTACCATCCGGAGTCATTTGAAAGCCCGTGCCATCTGCGAGACCAGCTACAAGCTGTTTACCCTTGTTACTCCAGCAAACCGAACTGACTCCGCTCTTCAGCACCTGTCCATTTGGACCAGAGACCAAATTACCCGCTTTCAGATCCGCTACCAACAGATCGCCGCCCGTTGTCACAAGCGCAACAAGCGACGAGAGTTCCTGCGCGGGATTGGCCGCGATGGTACGGAAGGTCGTACCGTTGGTGGGGATTGACAGCGCGGGCTGCGCATTTCCCGACGTCAGGCTCGCGGTTTCGAATACTGACAGCTGTGCGCCATTCTCCGTAGCCAGCAGAAGAGCGGTATCATTCGATGCAAAGGTGATATGTGTGGGTCGTGCAGGAAGGGAAATCGTCGCTTGCGGCTGGAACGGCTTCGTTTTGACCTTGCCCTCGGTAGGCGCGGAGATAGCGGCTCTGATTGACTCGGTAGAGGCAACAGACAGGGAGTCGGGTCCGGCCGCAACAAGTATGCCTTTGGTGGGCGCAACGGCTAATAGCGAAGCTGTCGGAGCTGGAAGAGCGTCTTGGGGCCATGGAGTAGATAAGATCCGGATGTTGGAGTCACCGTCGACGCCCTTGAAGCCGACTTCCTACACCGTGATTGCCGAATTAGCGACTGACTCTAAGATATCGGGAGCAATTGCAGTGAGACGTACCTCCGCCGGACCCTCTGGCAATTCAGGTCCCAGCTCGAAGTTACCATTACCCCCGGCGGGGTTCGATGATCCAAAGTTGAAGGCCATCCTATATCTGTCGTATTCGCTCGAAAGGGAAACGCGGGTGATCGCCTAATGGAAGTCTCTTGGGTGCATGAGGAGAACGTGGACTCTGAGGGAAAGCTGGAAAGGAGCGGCGCTGGAGTGAAGGACTCCGTTTGTAAGAGCTTCCAGGTGCGCGCGAAAATGGTAGTTACCTCCCTTCACTGGAAGACGAGGTATAAGAAAGGCAACACAATCCGGTAAGTCAAACCTCTGAATCCCAGACACGCGATGAAGTCAAGGTAGAAGCAACACGGGCGAGGTTAAGAAAAGCACCGCGTGAGCGACAGAAAGAAGACAGTTTGAAGGTACTGGAACGAATCTCCCTCTTCAATCTCTCGGAGACAAAAACAGCGGCGGCATTGCAAGCGTTTCCAACAGAGCGCGCCACACCGCCTTTCTGCCTGAGGCGAACAAGATCAGGCGGCCGGAGCTTCGTCACTTGCCAGCTCCCTCCGTTCCCATCAATCAGTTACTGCCAAACTGAAGCTTAAGCACCTCACCTCTACTCTCCTACATCCCCTTATCTTGTTTCGATTTTGTCCCGACCATCTCTTCCCAAAAGCTTCGGTCTTCGTGCCTTCAACCCAAATTCCCGACACATTTAACTCGACGCCGTCACCATGGCCGGCTTCGATTTCTCCAACTACAACCGTAACGCGGCTCTGCACGCCAAGGGAGTGCCTCTCCCCAAGGCCACCAGCACAGGTACTACGATTGTGGGATGTATATATGACAATGGAGTAGTGGTCCGTCCCCCCTTGGAGACTTTTCGTGATGGTGCGAGTTGAGCTCGAAGGCTAAAGTGTCGGTGGTCATGATCTCCAGATTGCGGCCGATACCAGAGCTACCAGCGGACCCATAGTAGCGGACAAGGTAAAACGGCAACCCCCCAACCTCAACCCGAAGCTCAGCCACCTTTTATCCTTTATTCTGAGAACGAACGAGAAGCTGGACGAGAGCTAACGATTGGGACCTCGGCTCGTCTCTTCCACACCCAATAGAACTGCGAGAAACTACATTACATCGCCCCGAAGATCTGGTGTGCGGGCGCCGGCACGGCCGCGGATACGGAATTCACGACCGCACTGATCAGCTCGAACGTGGAGCTGCACTCGTTGTCGACGGGCCGGCCGCCGCGGGTGATCACCTGCATGACGATGTTGAAGCAGCACCTGTTCCGGTACCAGGGCCACATTGGAGCGTACCTGGTGGTGGCGGGCGTGGACCCGACGGGCGTGGGACTCTTCACGGTGCACGCGCACGGGTCGACGGACAAGCTGCCGTACGTGACCATGGGTTCGGGTTCGTTGGCGGCCATGTCGGTCTTCGAGTCGATGTGGAAGCCGCAGCTGAACCGCGACGAGGCGGTCGCCCTGTGCGCCGAGGCTATCAAGGCCGGTATCTTCAACGATCTTGGCTCCGGTAGCAACGTCGACGTCTGCGTCATCCAGAAGGACAAGCCCACCGAGCTGCTGCGCAACTACATCAAGCCCAACGAGCGCGGCCAGAAGGAGCGCAACTACCGCTTCCCCCGCGGCACCACCGCCTACCTGAACCAGAAGATCATCAGCAAGGAGGACATGCGCAAGTATGTCTCCGTGGAGGAGGCTTCTGGCGACCCCAACTTGATGGAGGTGGATATCTAAAGCCTTGGAATGCAGGCATATATGGTCAAGCTGGTGTGGAGTCAAAGCGCTATGTAATTCCCATATCTTTGCGGCAAAGAAATCATGTCTGCGCTTCTTCAACCCGAATCACGCACGAATAAATCGTATTATGGATCAAACGGAACTTAGGCTGTCTGCGAGCCATTGAATACTGTCTAGTTTATGCTATGTGAGGAGGAAGAAAGCCTGCAAAGACCGTAGCCAAACAGAGTATCTACGTAGTGTACAACCCAGGGTATAATACGTCAAATATCCACAACACCAAAGGAAGTTCCTGAAAAGAACGGTGCTAATGGTAGTCTTGCGTGCTAAAGCACCTCGAAAAACTGAAAGTGATTCCAAGGGAGGCCAGCAGCACACGAGCTGCGTACTCACGTCCTCCACGTAAAATCAGGGTCTGCCAATGCTCTCACAATCTCCGGGGACTCAACCTCTTTCACCTTGCTCATGATGAATTTGTGCTGCGTGGGACAGTACATGCCCCGACCTTCTCGTCGAGCTCGAACCACACCAGCGTGATACATGGAGCGAACAATGACCGGTTGCACCGGGGCCTGATGATCCATCAAGTACACGTAAAGCCAGTAGATCAATCGATAGGACTGACGCGGGGTCAGGTACTGTGAGCAAGACAAAACGACTGCCAGAGTGTTGATCAAATTGAGCGCGGCATGAGGATCGGGGTGAGTTCGGCTGTCCCGTGGCTGGTAGAGCACAAGCGCAAGTTGAGAGGGGTCGGGCACGGGCTCCCAGGACTTGGACAGAGCAATCTTGAGCGGCACATGCCAGTCAAGGATCCGAAGCAGCAGTCGGACTTCAGATCGTTTCCCCGTCCGGCAAAGATTGAGAGCGCGTTCCAGGAAATCCGGTGATTCGATGTCGATTTCCCGTACGAACTTCGCAAACGCGGGCCCAAATTGGAGGAGCACATTGTGATCCGTCTCATAGTCTCGGAACAGATCCTTGAAGGAAGCTTCTGACGCTTCCATCATTTTCAATGCCTCTCGGGTAGTTTTATTGGGGGCGTTCTTGTTCTGGAATGCGAGGGCCATGATCGTGAATCCATTTGAAGGCAATCCCAAGGCACGGGAATCTTCTCGCAGACTGGTGATAAGGTCTTTCTTTCCGTAGTCATTTCGAGAGATCTGGTAAAGGCTAAGAAGTCGCGCTCCCCATTTGTCAATGGCCGGCATCGAAGATCTCAGAGTAAGTGATCCCGTCTGGTAGGCCTTTCGCTTCCAGACTGGGCCCGCTGCAGAGCTCAGGTTCAGAGCCCGGAAGACCCAGAGGCGTAAAACGAAACGATGAGCGACTGACATGCCGGAGTGGCTTGTTGTTGCTGGAATCTCCGATCGAATGTCGACCCAAACACCGGATCTAGGGATGTTTTTAACCGAGGTGACAGAGGACAAACAATCGTGCCACAGCTGGAGCAAATGCTGCTTCCGGGACAATACCAGAAACTCGGTGACCGAAATGATACTTGCAGCCGCTGTATCCATGCGAAGAGCTTGCAGAAGATCGGTTGCGAAGAAGGAATCAGCTTCAACCCTATGCTCCACGGGGAGCCCAAGCCAACGCATGATGAATCGTGGGGTCCAAGAGCAACACACAAGATGCAGATGCCGAGCACCAGACAGTACCCTTCTAACCAGCCGGTATTCATCCCGTATATTTCGCTGCCACAGGATTCTAAGCCATGTATTGACAGTGCCCTCATCCAGACTAAGGTATTTTCCGTTGGTTGCTGTGGTATCAAGGGCGCTGCAGATTCTTTCATAAGCATCCAACACACCGTTTCCGCTGTTGCAGTGTCTCTTAGAATCCATCTTATAATGCGTCTCCGCAAGCTCTCCAACCTTCTTCAACTCGCCTGCCTCAGGAGCGACCACATCGGGCAACATTTGCAGAGTTTCAATCACTTCTGAAAGCTCAGACGGGATTATTCGGCCAAGACGGACAGCATTGAGAATGCTTCCAAACAACTTGGCACGCTCTTCTGAGCCTGTGGCCGTATCAATGACATACTTTGCTACAATCGGGAAGTTCCTAGCTCCCGGTGTGTTGAGCATTGGATCGTCCAGAAAGAGAAGCAGATCGCTGATGCTTGACTCGCTCAGCCTAACTCGCGAGCAAAAATGATCGAAGATGAGACGACTGTAACCAGGCTCTTGGCGAAGGTCAAGTTCAATCTCACGCACCAGCTGGGTGACCGCCTCAACAGACGCGCAATTATCCAGGCGCTGCCTCAAAATGTGTTCAGATGGAAGAATCTGGGTCTCATCTGCAGGATCCGGTGAATTGCTCAAATTAACATACCCGCTCGATTCAACCAGACCGACGTCGCGCGGCTGCGAAGGATCTGAACAGCTGGCTAGATCGACAAACAATCCTTCCGTGTGGACAATTTCTGTATCAAACCTCAAGTGACGAGACTTGCGTGAGCGAGTTGGCTCATTTGTCTCAGCATCGGGCGACAGGGAAGAGATTTCTGACGGGCTAGCCATGTCAACAAATCCAGCTGGGCCATCCCCATCACTGCTGTGTGGTCTGGAAGAGGGCTCGGACAAATCAGCCGAGTCAACTAATACGCCAGTATCAATATCGCCAACATCGTGCCTGGAAGGCTCGGGCTCGGGTTCAGGCTCGGGTTCAGGCTCGGGCTCCGCTAAACCGGTCATATCGATATATCCAATTGAGTCGTCTGTTTCACCGGCGCACGTGCGGTGAGGAAGAGAGGAAGGAGAGGGTGCAGAGGAATCGGCCAAATCGACAAACCGACCCGGATCGACCGTCCCGCTTTCGGTCCAGGGAGAGTCTGGAGCGCTTGGTGGGTTATGATTAAAGGATACACCTGAAAGGGGTCCGTCAGTAAAATCTCTCGTTATGAGAGCCGCGCTTCTGCTCACCAGGGTAAATGGGGCCAGTTCGCGTATCGTAGGGAGAAAGCAGGGTTGGAACTGCTTGCGCGTGGTCGTTGTTCCACATCAAATGTTGTCGTCCATCACGCCCGAACAGAGTGGGATCCGTCACCATTGGACTCTTTACTGCAGCTAGACCGCAGTTCTTCCGCTTTGCCAGCCGTCGCCGGGCCTCCAACGGGCCAGGGACGCGGCTGGCATGGCGTCTTTGGGACTGGACGAATCGCTGAAAGGTCGAGGCCAACAGATCATCGCTGATCCACACGTGGTCAATTAGACCCGATGGTGAGGGGGCTGGCTGCACAGCATGCCTGAAGGCATGTCTGCCGAGAGACATGAGGCAATCAACATGTGCAGAAGGGAGGAATTGAACTTGACACCACCCTGCGGATAATGACAATTTTAGCTTGAGGGCGCGGAATTATGATAGAGAAGAAGAGGTACGGGCAGACCGGGGCCCGGGCCCGCAGATTGCGGTGCCGCCTGAGTAATCACGGTGTCCGCAACTTTGATTCGTTAGTGTTTGCCCGGCATGGTTGGCTGCCTCAGGCTCTGGGCATTTGTGTTAGTCGAAATTCTCCAGATCAACAGTGTCTTTTGTATACTGCCTTGGTAGATGGTCGAAGTTTAAATGTCAGGTCATGTCTCATAGTCCAGACATTACTCATTCAACTCATCTACTTCGGTTCTATCAATTATCAAACACACAGTATCAATCATTGTTGCATGCTGTGAACAGATCAAACAGTTCGTCGCCTCTACATTGAGCCATGAGTATCTGTTTGGATTACAACTGCTTCAAGAAGACCAAAGAGGTACGATTATCAACGTGGGGTTACCAGTGGACCCATCAAGTGTCGATCTCAACGAAAAGCCAAGACTATGCTGGTTTCCGGCCTATATCCCGATGATGGGTGCACTGTTCAAACATAAGAGAATAACATGCATATGTCTATATATGTTCGAGAGTGGATCGACTAAGACACGCCTCCCAATGCACCTAACAATCTGCCGCAGATGGTATCTTATGCCAAGCGTGAAGTACCCAGCGCCAGCCAACACAAGAGTAAAAGAAGGAAGAAAAGACTGGACGTCAAATATGCCAAAACATGACTAGAGGATCGGTGGAAGCAAGACCAGAGCCACTCATCCAGTGAGTGGCTTCCTGCCCGTCACGGCATAGAATTCGAAGTAAGCGTGCACGTTGCGATTTTGGATGCTCTTTCGGACATCGACCAAGAAGACTTCAATCTCAGGTTTCGACCACCCAAGCAGTGCTAGTGGCTTGTAAGACCATCCCGCACACGCTTCCAGTAGATTTGTCTCACTCCAGGCCCCGATCTTCTTCAGATGGGGATCCGAGGACCAGGGATTCACGGGCACCATCGACCGGTGTTCCTGCACGTCTTCGAACCCGATTTCTCTCATCCAGCGTGCGAGGCGATGGGCCACTCGGAACTGCCGGGGAGGATCCGAGACCTGGCCAGAGCGATGCTGCAGATCCAAGAGATCTTGGAGGGCGTAGTCGCTGAACTTGTCGGGGTCTTCGGGAGGCATCGTACCGTCGTCGCACTTGAGTCTGGAGTCGAATTCGTGGCATTCGACATAGCCACCCGGCTTGAGGTGCTTGTGTATTTTCTTCAGCAGATCCTTGTACGACGGTAGAGACCCCATCAGATGCCCCGTGTGAATGAGGTCGAAGTGGTTCGGGTCCCACAACCAGTCCTCCTCCGTGGCATCGTCGACAAGGAAATGAACGTTCTCAGGGACTTCGAGCGGCTGAACGGGTGAAAGATCGGTTCCTATGATTTCGGCCTCTGGGAATTCGGACGCTGCGAGTGCAAAATAGAGGAAAAAGCAGGTACGGTGAGCGGCTGAATGAAAGGTAAAGATGGCATTTTTCCCCACAGGGGGGGGCGGGGGGGGTTCTTACCGATCTCGATAGGCCATATGCCAGAACCAGTACCGATGTCGAGGATCCGTTTCGCACATTGGACGGGAGCGAAGTGCAGGCGCCCGTGGTTAACTATCTTGAGCATATGGTGTTGCAGATCCATCCGATCCAGTTCCTGCTCGTCGTTCGGATACAAGTATGCTTGGGGGATATCGTCAGACGGATTTCTCAATCAATGAAGAGCGAACCTCTGCCAACGCACAGCCTTCATGATACCTATGGTATCGTCTTCCATGCTCCATCGGATAGTCCGTCACGCTTGCCGTCAAGGACTGCGTTTCACTGCCGTAGTAGTCAATACCGGTATAAAATCAAAATCGCTGAGACGGAATCTGACAGGACCTGGCTGCCATCAAGTGTTAAAGAGTGAGATGAGACTTACTCCTCACGAGTCGATCCCTGGGCCATCTTCTGTCAGTAAATGCTGGCTAGGATCGATCTGGGGGCGGGCGAAGTGCAGGTGGCGACTTGACGAAACAACAGGTGCATTAAGGCAAATAACAAGAAGAAGAACAACAACGACGACGACAACGGAACGAGACAGGGTTTATTTTCCGTATGAAGCTAAAGAACAGATAGGCTTACAGCCTGTCTCGCACCAGCCATTGTACTGGCGGGCTCAGGTAACAAGACTGATGGGGGCCAGGTCTGGAGTGGGGTGGAGTTGGTAGTAAGTAGTAGAAGTAGATGTAGTAGCCTCGCACCCAAGTCTTGGTCTCGGTAAATCTCCCAGATATGACAATCACGTCTCCTACTTCCACATTTGAACCAAAAAGTATCCTACAAGATGATCAATGGGCAGAAGATATGGTGGAGGAAGGTGAGGAGAGGTTTACGAATTGTCGGTCATTGTACCGATATGGGAGGACTTGAGGAGATTTGAAAATTAGGGATCTAGGGGAGACTTGGACCAAAATTAGAGAATTGCTGGCCAGTATTTAAGTTACACTAAAGTTCTAATAGACTACCTTCTGCCACAGCCTTCTTTTCCCCTAATGATAGTCGCTAGCTCAGCGTAGGAGGGAGGCGGGAATGGATGGGCAAGGGAAGCAGGAGACATCGGCTGTCTTTTCCTTGAACCGTCCCGGCAGGTTGGATTAAGTTTGACTTTAGCAAGAATGGGAGGAGGGGAAGGATTCATCTTCCAATGTTTAACTTAATTTGACATGAGAAAGGATGCTAGTAATAATGAGGAGTAAATATAATAATGGTATCTATTAAGAAGAACCGGTAAAGTGTGATAAAATGAAGTGAAAATACGTGGTATCCTAGACCTGCCAACTTCCAACCAGAGTTCATCTCTAGCGGAACGGCTCGCTTTACTTACTTACCTCCTTCCCTGACTGACATACATGTACACATTATATTGTACTAGTTTTATCAGTCCCGAGATCTCCCCGGAAGACGGACGTTAAGAGTAACATAACATAACAGTACGGTTACCGCTGCGGCCCTGCGGACCAAGTGGGCAATTCAGGCGGCGGGACAAACAAAGCCCAGCATCCCAGGTGCAAGTAAAGCCCCGTCAAGAAATCGCCAGTCGTTAGTCACGACCTTCCTTGATTTGTGCTATTATGTTATCTTCTTTTATTCTATTTTTTGCTCGAATGCTCATGAACATTGGGACTACTCCGTAAAGTTATTGCCGTGTGCGCTAACCATGCTCCTCCTACCATGAAAGATGAAAGGTACGACAAGCATATCTACTTCTAATTTAGTGTTTATCCGATTGTTCTACGGAGTATTCCCTCCGCACTTCGCAAATACTCAGGAAGACTGTCCACTGATCGGGAATCCCCCTTTACATTGTGGGATAGGGTGGGATGAACCAGAAAAACAAACCCGGATAAAAAAGATAATAGATCTAAGCCAAAGTAGAAGGAAAGGGAAGCTGACCAGTGCAGAAAGAAAAACGAATAAGAATAAGACAAGAAAAGAAAAGAAAAAAAAAAGCGAATGACTCCGCTGACTCTGAAGCAGGAAGGACAGTGTGAAAGAGAATGGAACCCATGAAAGACACTGAGTCTTGGAGCAGAGAGAGAGAGAGAGAGAGAGAGAGAGAGAGAGAAAGAACACCTCCGTCCGGAGAAATAATAAGACACCGAGATTGCAAACCTCATGAGGGGTCTTGAATCGGTCCTAAGCTCATTGCAGGGGTTCCTGGATCATTGAAGCAGATATAGACATCGTCCTATCCTTGGTTCAGGCCCGACGTCGCCTACAATATTACCAGGATCATGCCATGGTAGAGTTCACGCGGAGCGATTGCTAAGAAGAGTGGGAATTTCCTGCTACTAGTAGTAGCGAAGAGGGGTAAAAGAGGATTGTGCTGAAGAGAAGCCAAGGAGAGAGTTCATACCTGTCAAGAACCTCTCCCCTGCTATCTTTTCGATTGAATTTCTTCTCATTATTCTGGGGGGCTTGCCGAATTGTGAATACTATTCTTACACTACGCATCGGTACTCAAGCACTAGGTATACCCGGTAGAAGAACATCAGGCTAAAAAAGCACGGGCGTCCCAGGCTGTCGGGTGCGTCCTGCAATGGGGTAGATACATGGGTGGTATTATTACCTACTCAATGTGCTACATAAACCGTACCGGAGGAAGAGCTCGATACATGAAAGAGTTATTCGCTAATCAGGGGGGGGAGGATGGGGAACATTGAGAGGGGTTTCTCAACCTTCGTCACGGCCACGATTTATTCCAGCGTCATGAGAATTGATAACTTACAATTCACTGCGGTGGAACAGAAAATGACATCCAACGTATTTGACTGAGCAATTGCCTCCAGTGTACCTTGTCTTGTAATGGCTTAAGGATCCGCTTTCATTGAGGGATGCAGGGAACAGGTACTTAGCTGTCGACAATCGAGGGTTCAAGGAGATAGGTTCTGTGGATGATCTTCAAGAAAAAAAAAAATAAATCACCCGGGATCCAATGACTGTTGGTGCCACACGGCTGGAAAGTCATATCCTAGGATCAATAACTAACTGGGCTGAATATTTGGAATGGTGCTGCTGCTGCTGTTGCTGTATCTAATCCGTTAGCCTGTTGCGCATGATGCAATCTGCATGATTCTCGTAAGGCACCTTTTTTTTTTTTTTTTTTTTTTTTTTTTTCCGTAATCTTTCCACGACGCGAGCAAAGTTTAATAGACGAGACACGTTTGACTATAGGCTTAGACCCGTCAAGGCAGCAAAAGAGGGTGGGCAAGAGGTGGAATGAAGCGACTAGTCTAGTCTCGCAGCCTGCGCTTCCGTGTCCGACAATCCTCTTCAACCTGCTCCTGCCTGACCCCACGAAGATGTCGAGTTCGGTGTTGAATTCTAAGTAGAGTATGACCCTCCGTCTCTTACCGACTTACAGTACGGTGGCCGAAATGGATTGGGAGCACGGAATTACCGCCGCAACCAGTCTGTCGGATCCTGACTGTCGGATCTTGGCTGACCCACACAGTGTAGTGCAATCGCAAGCACTGCATCCTACGAGTGGCTTCGACAGTTCCATGTTGATGCCTCCACTCACTACTTCAAATTCAAAGGTCAAACTCCACTTGCGGTTATGCCGGGAAGCTCCCGCATCTGGAAGCGAAAGCTAATCGTTGTTCGCCCTTACCCTGAACCTGTTCCAAGGGATCTGCTCGCTGAGAAATCCGTGAAGCTTGCTAGAATACCAATTAAGCAATTAAGGTGCAGACTCTGACGGATTGCAAAACACAGCCTCTCTAAAATCGAGGCTCGAAAGTGGTCTCAAGTGGTACAAGTTGGTCGGCATATGCCAATGATGTTGGTACACGTACGGAGTACCCCGTAGTTAGTTGTACAGTAAATGAGTACTATAACTACTTATTGACGGGGCTTGTCTCGGCCGGCTTCCATGTTTTATTTAGTGCTGATTTCCATTGAATCGTACGACATTCGCAGGCAATCAGAGTTAATTTTCTGGCAGCTCTTGCGAGATTCTCCGACATTCACAGCGGGCACGGTGCGTTTCCACCGCATAGTACAGGATGCATCTGCGGGGCGACGATCCAGTTTTTCGGGCAGCCGAAGAAGACGGTAACTTAAGGGGGAGGGAGGAACAGACGGGAGCACAATAAGGCACACACGGAGGTAACAATGCACCCAATAGGATTCTAGCATGGAACGCAACATGAGGGTAGTAGGCTTCAGGTCGCTCGGCGAAGTACTGTAGTTATACTGTGTATATCTACCTAGTACTCACTTCTTGTGACAGGTTGTTGACAGCGGTCGACAGCGGTTACTATCGACCATAACTGGATGATGCAATGTCCTGGCAGAGCAAAATCAATAAGTCACTCACTGCCTCCCGCGTTACTGCCAAGAGAGAGCTTGTAGCATAATTTGAGTCACTGTAAAATGGTGGTGGTGGATCATCGAGGTAAATCTATTTCTGTTTTCGGATCCGAAGAGACGAACCATCAAGTAAGTACTCCGTAAGTCCAGTACAAACTGCGGGCCTCTAATGCCTCGCAGCGTTACCACAGTATCGCTGTGGCCGGTCAAGCATTTTTCAATACAAAGATCTAGTCTAGACCATAATTTTGCCGATCTGCAAATCAGATTTCATGCTTTGCGGCCTTTTTTTGCATCTCAACGTCAGAGGTCTCGATTGAAGTGAGCACTACTTTCCGCTGACTATGATGGCTTCTCAATGTCCTCTTGAGGTTGAGCAAAGAACACTGAATGAGAGCACCAGTTTCTTCCCATTTCCTGACCGATCGGTATGCAGAGATTTGGCACTGACTGTAAGCATTCAACTGTAGTGATTCTGTGATGCCCTGTCGGAGAAATGGAAAAAATCACCATGGTGATTACTCCGTATTGTCGCAACTGATCCTGATTCGGAGATTGGCCCCATCTCCGACCAGACATGGACTCTGGGGCTTCTGCACTATTAACAACAAAAGGACCGAGGAACACACGTTGTGTCATTACCTTACTCATTGTAAACGCTCTATTTCAGAGCCAGCTCTACACATGACGGTGGGTACCTCTCCGTCTTGGGTCGGAGGGAAGGAGAGGGTCAAATCTAGAACACCATAATCCACCTGACACTTACGCTGTCTTGCTCATCGCAATCCTCTATGATCCCCGTGCATTGACTCGTATAGGTCTGGTGGGGAAACTCTGCGAAAGTGACAACTGTCAACACCAGTCCTGTGAAGGCAATCTAGTCGGCGGACCCCATCGCAAGGACCTTAGGCGAAGTTAATCTGAAAATATGGATAACAGAGAGTCAGAGACCGTCAGCCACCCTGGCGCGGAAGTCTCCCCATGATGTCAAAGCTAATCCTTATGAGGTGTCTCGAATCAGTTGTGTGCGGAGGTTAATATCTCGGTAACAAGGCACGGGCTAAGTTGTGTTGAAGCCATGTCGCCAATAGAAAGGTACTAGTATGATGTAACTAAGTGTTCTTGATAGGGTAAAGGCCGACAGGCCCAGGCGGAAGAAGTGAGGGGAGCAGAACGAACTCAACTCAGGGAATGAGTTGCGTCGTTTCTGGCAAGAGTCGCCTGGGTGAGAGAGACCTTCGGGATTTGAAAGCTCTTTCGGATTTCCCCAAAAAGGACCCTCTAGTGCATTGTAGAAATCGCTCCTACCGGTCTCACTAAGGCTTGAAATAGTATGGCCAGTGCCCGAAGCTACTGCACCATGATGAGCATAGGCTGCATACTAGCCATCAGAGAAGGACAAGTCACGGCGCAACGGCTCCAAGATCCCCGCTTGTAACCCTCTTTTTTTACCAATAAACGGCCAATACTCTGAAGTACGTTGCTGATAGCGCGTGGGTCCCAGACTGGATAAGAGCTCGGCTCGTTGTTCCTGCCCGATACTAAGGTAGTAGACAGTCCAATGCCTCGTCACTGGTTCATGCGGAAGGGGATTAATGGGGCCCGGTTCCAGATGGAAACGGGACACTAGGGAAAAATTTAGATGATCTTCCACCAGCACCCCATAACGACTACTCGCAGTCACTGTTCCAGCCTATTATTGGCGTTGCCGTGGACGAGAGAGCCGCTCGAAAAGATTCTCTTTCCCTCCCAGGCGTAGATTGACTCTGTTCATAGCTTCATCTCGCCTCATCTCCGACACTTCGCCGACTCTAGTTTCCAGCTGGCATCTATACTGAGTAATTATGTGAGCTCTGCGACGCGTTTGTCAGCATTCCTCAGCACGTTTGACAAGCTTCTGTATACCGACGGTCTTCGAATTGTCAGCTTGACTCTAGCAGGGGTACGGAGTAGGTAGTAACCTGTCTCGAACTGCCGAAGACACTTGCTCAAAGGCGTGCTGCTGGAGGAGGAACCTACAAGGCTGGAAGCAGCTCTACGCTTACCTTTGAATGCATTAGGAGCAGCTTAGAAGTACCTCACGGGGACCCCGCTGAAGACTTGACAAATACTATGGACTGCTGTCGGCGAGGTTTACGCACTCCTTTCCTGATCGGGGAAGATTGTCGAGCCTTCAAGGGAACAATGCAATGGCAAAGACACTATGCCAAGAGGCAAGTCTTCCGCTCTTCAGGTTGTCTCCAGCCATACTGCACTAAAGAGTCTTTGCACGAATCAGAAGAAACGCCATGTTTTTGTACTACAGTAACCTGTTTAATTGTAGTACCCTTCTTCCGCATGAAATGGCTTTGTCTCCCCATGAATCCTGACTGACCCTTCGGGGTTGTCTAGGACAGACAAAGGAGTGTGTATTGAGGAGTATCTGCGCGTATTGCAGGTGATGCCTGAAAGTTCACTTCGACCTACAGCAGGCTTACTAGGGTTGCCTAAATCTCCCGACACAGGATGCCTGGCAACCCGTGCCAGGTATTCGGTGCCTATCACAAAAAAATCCATGCTTTAGGCAAGAGCCATCCCAGGTTGCCGGATCGCCCAGACTTCAAGACCTTGGGATTTCAGTCCTATTGCTTATCTCCCGGTAGCCGACAGTTTATAGTATACCTTAGTATCCCATGCCTATATGACGAGGGTGCGCAATACAGTTCGTATGTCGCTGAATCACACTCCGTGCTGTGTATGAATTCAACCTCGCCACACACACTCTTATCATCTCCTTTTTAAAACTCTCGCCTTGCGGACCTACAGCAGAAATTCATACTCAAGTTGGAAGGTTAGCTCATATGATATTATCCGACTGAGGATCCCATGATGATGGTTCACAAGGCTTGCTCGCCAACTGATTGAGTACCCTCACCCACTCACAAATCGAGACATAATCTACCTCCTTGTTTGTCACTGTGCATGCGAGCCTGCTTTACCTGAAACGACAAACATGGGTCAATGCTTTTGTCTGCCTGAAATTGAACCGCACGAGAATGGCCGCGAAGGTGCTGGATCCCTCTACCCTGGAAGGACGACATTTCACCGGATTTACTCTTCTGCCATGTTGGCGATCTGACCTGCAATGAAGATCTTGGTCTGTAGACTCTCAGGCTCTCCTGTAAGTGTCTCAAAGCAGTAAACGATTGCATCGCTTTCTTCACCGGGTTGCCACCCCTCCACGTTCCGACGACAGGGGGGCGATTGGGTGAGTGAAGATTGTAGCTACAGCTATTGAAACACTCATGCCACATGGATTAACTTCATTAACTGTCCATCATTTACGATATCAAGTACTGTTCTGTAGCATGCCTTGGTTACATGTTTGAGGGTGACCTAGACGCTTCTCGGCCGCTCTTCGTTTGCATCACTGGTCTTCATCCATCCCAAGTTGTGGGATGGTATAATGTGCACCTCCGGTTCTACTATCTCTGTGTGTGCTCTTGACGAGAAGCAGGCTTTCTTTACGCCATTATCTTACTTTAATCCATTGTCCCAGAATTTGGCGACCTTATCACTATATCATATTCGCGATATACTATTTCTTCAACCCGGTACTACCAAGCACTGTAAGTTCGTTCGGGAATTTGCATTGACTAACATTGCTCAGTCAATCAGTCAATTAACTTCTCCTTGCTGAACGAAACCTTCTCTGGCTTTTTTCCTGCAAATTTTCGGAAACATGGCTAATCGAGATTCTTCTAGTTTTGCGACAACTCCTCCGAGCGTTCGATGACGATCTCGCCGAAATCGATTACAACCACCCACAAGCTACAACAACAACCACAACCACAACCACAACTCCCAATCCATCGCATTTCCCAGTTTCAATTAACGAAGGAAAATGGACAACAACTTCATTACCAAAACCACTGATTACATCCTAGGCTACAACAATCCCATACCGTCTCATTTCCTCCTGGCAACCGATCAACCGCAACAACCAACCCAGCCCATCAACGAAACGAAAACCAAGTTCAATCTCCCATGTCGAACCCCCATCCCCGCATCGCAACCTCGCACGTTACGAATCATATCAAGTAGACGACATCATTCTCTGCACCGAGGAAATACTCTCCTCCATCGGCTGCATCTTGTCGGTCCTGGGTCGTGTCGAAAACACACACAAACACACATCAGCAATCAGCCCTTCTCTTCTACCCCTAGCTCACAGGTAAAGCACACATAACGTTATCGAAATAAAACATATAACATACCTCGTCGCAATCCGAATATCCGTCTGGATTCGGCCCACTCCTTCGTTGTGGATCATGGTGTGCGCGCAGCCGATGGTCTGTGATACTTGGTCCCATGTTCCTTCTACCGAGTCCCATGATTAGCTTGGCTGCTTTTGGGCCCCTCGAGGTGGGTAGACAACAGGCGGGTAGACAACAAAGGTGAGATGGGTATAACAGGGTTGACTGGCGCAACTCACCAACAGTGGTGCCAGTGGCGTGCATCTGGGACTTGAGGCCGGTGTTCTGGATCAGACGCTGAATCTCGGCAACTTGCTTGGAGAAAGAGACGTCTTTGGAGCCGATCTTTTTTTTGGCAGGTGAGTTTATCAGTGGTGTGGTTTAGATGTGTTTTTTGTCTATCTGTGAAGCGCAGCTGCTGGTGGGAAAACTGCAAGGGCGCTGTACTGCGATTTACATACCGGAATAAGCGAGAAGTCTGCGGTGCAGTACTCAGGGGTGGCCATTGGGGGTTCCTGGAAAACCATTTTGGATCTGATTTTGGCTTGTCTGAGATATAATTGGGTTGTCGTTTCTTCGGATTCACGGACTACTAAGGTCAAGGGTAAGGTGGTGAACTTCTATTAGAGTTGGAGGGGTCTCGCGCCCTGTTATACATATGCTGACACGACAGTTGGGGAATCACATGCTATGAATTCACTATGAGGAGACACCCCCTCTCCATCCCCTTTCTCGTAAACCATTTCCTAGTAGTACGTCTCATCGATGGTCCTGCCCCGCCGCTGCAGGGGTTCGCTACCAGGGACATAGATATCTCGGAACAGCACATCCAACCTTGGCTCGGGGACTGGCATATGATTGGCCTCCTCCGCCTCGCGGTCAACTTTGCTGCGCACATCCTTCTCGATCGCCTTGACTTCCTCTTTCGACAGCACGCCCCATTCCGCCAGCTGCTCCTGGAGAACGGAGAGGGGGTCGTGGCGGCGCTCGGCCTGTATCTCTTCTCGGGATCGGTATGTCGTACCTGGATCAGACACGGAGTGGCCGGCAAACCTGTACGTCTGGTATTCGTACAGCAACGGTCCGTTACCCGCTTGCACGAATTCTTTGCCGTAGCGCATCGCCGCGAGAACGGCCAGGACGTCCATCCCGTTGATGCGCAGACCGGGGAGATACTGACCCCGCTTATAGTACTCGGTCATGGCAGATGACCTCTCCACGGAGGTGCCCATGCCATACTTATTGTCTTGGAAAAGTGACAGCTATCAGCACCATGTCGATGCACGAGAGAAAAGGATCGCCGCGGGATAGGAAGGGCAAGAAGGAAGGTAAGACAACTTACTCTCGCAGCAGAAGATGATAGGCAGATTCCACAGCTTCGCCATGTTAAAGGCCTCATGAACTTGGCCCTGGTTTGCTGCGCCATCGCCGAAGATGTCCACGGTCACAGTGTCTCGATTGCCGTGATACTGCTGGGCAAAAGCGATCCCCGCGCCAACCGGAACATGTGCTCCCACAATGCCATTCCCGCCAAAGAAGTTCTCCCGGAACATATGGATGGAGCCACCGCGGCCGTGGGAGATGCCCTCTTGGCGGCCTAGCAGCTCCCCCAGAATCGACTTCACGGTGGCGCCACGCATCAGGGTGGTTCCGTGGGAGCGGTAGGCGGTGATGAGCTTGTCCTCTCTCGAGATTCCATGTTCGATCCCTACGGTGACTGCTTCCTGGCCTATGGATAGATGGCAGAAGCCACGGATCTTGCCCTCCTTGTAGAATCTGTCAGCTGCGAGCTCCATGCGTCTGCGGGGTTGAAGTTAGTGTGGGTTGTTCTAGACTGAGGTGCTTTTCTCTGTTGTTGCTTCAAGAAATAAGGAGCCAAACTGACCTGATTGTGAACATGTCATGGTATAGTTGCTTGAGTTGTCGCTTCGTTGTCTCGAGAGTGTATGGTGGTGGCTCCAGGTTATAGGTTTCATAGCTATCTTCGGCAATGGAAACTTTGAACGGTTGGTCATCGCCCTAGGCATGTCACTATGTGCAGAGAAAGTCCACTGCGGGTATCAACGCACAGTCGGTATGTCGTCGGCTGCGATGTTGGCGACATGTGCCATACATCGGCGGCCAGAGTAGCATAACCGCGTCCACGGAAGCGCGGTCTTGACCTTCAAGGAATACGAAAGCATTGTCATTCAAGCAGAAAGGTTAAATGTTCTAGATCAGTCTGTCGAATACAGTTGATGGCGAGTAGCCCCAGTAATGATCCTAAACTCTGTCGACTAATGTGGTCAATCTATCCTCCTTTAAATCGTTCGTGGTCGCTTGGGGACGGATCATTATGCTTTGGAGGGAACGTATCAGTGACGCAATGCATAATTGAAGCTACGGTACCTCCTACTGTGCACACACTGCAGTCCTACCAGAGGAATAGGTGAATGCTCCGTGCATTGGAATGTTTCTGACCCTTGGATATGTGTTAAAGGAGTTTCATAGAGGGGTCCTGGTGTTGCTTAAAGTAACTTACTAACACTATAGTATATATTTTCTCCTCATGAATCGTGAGAGTTTACTTAGTATTCACGAGAACTCCTGTGGACATATAATTCCTTCTCCATTCCTCATGGCTTATACTACTATAAATGTCAGTTTTCATCCGCGACTCAAACACAGAGGACTGAACATTTTTCCCATGAGCACCAGACCACCCAGTCATTGCACAAGGTACTGTAATGGAATACTTCATACTAAGGCAGCAGGCGCGAAGGGGGAAAGGCTGAATGCCTCGGTGCCTGCGGGTGCACAGACCGCCCCCAAAGAACGGAACGGGTCCAACGCGACGACGCGATTTGCCTCATCGAGGAAATCAATTTAGCAGCCGAGCACTGGACCGTCAAGAGTCATTGAACGAGCATCAAGCGCCCACACCACAAATTCAACGGCCATATCACTCCTATGGCTCACCTTGAACTTTCAAAGGAAATCTACTGCTCCGATTTGCGATGAAACGCGGGCAGAATACTGATTCCACTACTCAAACGAGACAAAACCCATCCCTCCAGACCCCGGACAAGCCTCCCTCGGGGACACGCCGCCCGGCAACAGCAAACGCAGCCAAGCTGCAGTCCTGGTGCGACCCCCTGCCGTCTTCCTCGTTCTCCGCAAGGTCGTCCAAGAGAAATCATTTCCCTAGCACGCGAGATCAGACCACCCTCACGCAGATTGACTTTGTAACGCCGACGCCCCAGCCGGCCCGATCGGATGAAAGCCTCCGGTATCTCAACAACAAGCGGCCACAGCGGGGTCGGGCAGACAACCATGAAGTGATAGAACTTGACGACGATTCGGACCACGATGAAGATTACCGACCGCCATCTGGTCGCCAGCCTCGTGGAGCCCGCGGGGTCAGATTCGAAGAAGGGCCGGGCAACACGTCCACCGGGCAATCAAAGTCCGCCCGTCAGCGCGACGGCGACTCGAAGCAAAAGCGCAGGAAAAGTGGCGCGAGCGTCAAGGGCAACAAAATCGGCAAGGATGCGAAGAAAGGCAACAAGACTCTGACACAGATGGACTATGTGCGGCGCTATCTGAAGATCGAACCGGACGATGAGGTTAAGTTGGAATATACTTATGCCACTCCGAACAAGAGCGACAGGAGGAAGACACCTCGTCGCGACTCCGGAACCTTGGTCCCGCAGCCGGATCACTTCTTGTACCAAGAGCCCACAAGCGGGGGCAAGAAGCGGAAATTGAGCATGACCGCTGATGCAAAGGCCAAACTGGCCGATGAAGAGATATATGGCCCTCAAGATCCTGGCTCGGTTACTCCTCGAGCAAAGCGGGAGCTTGAGATACCTTCTTCTCATTCTCCGGAAAGCTCGGGCATTGCAGTCATCACATCGTCGCAGTTTCGTACTGCCATTCGTTCCCCACAGAAACACGATTTGGCTGACACTGCAGGTCGGTGTGTCAAGCAAGAGTTGCCTTCACCTCGGTGGATCAAGACGGAAGTGCCTCGAAGCCCGCCGCTGGAAATTCCAGAGTCCAACGAATCCCTGCCCGCCGCTGTGCTCTCAGATTCACCATCACCGCGCAAGTCCATAAGTGACCAGGGAAGCATCACATTACTATCTGAGCAGCTAAAGTCGGAACAACTGGATGAGCAGCAGCACGGTATCAGTGCACCGATTCCTACTACCCAGAGGACCGTGGTATATGAGACAGATGCAGAAACAGATTACGGCGATCTGGAAGATGATCTGCCCAACCCAATCGAGACACCTCGAATGAGAAAGGTCCCGCATTATGACCCCGGAGCAGTCAATCTTGAGCACGAAGATGCCACGGAGGAGAGTTCACAGGCTCTTCCTCTCATCACCACCACTCAGATGGAAAAGACGGAGCAGCCGCCCCCAGATGACAACCTTACCTCAGAGGCATCGATCTACTATCAGAGAATACAGCCAGCCACCCAGTTTCCCCTCGGACCGGTGCCGAACTTGGACACTCAACGTTTGGCCGAGCTATTTCCGGATGAACAACCCAACAATGAAAGCGTTGCTACCACATTATCAACAGAGTCATCTAAAGCACCTGAACGCTTAGTCAATGCGTCGGAAACCCAATCGCTGAGTTCGAGGACGCGTAATGATTCAGATTCGACGCTAACCGATATCGTTCCGGAGTCTTCACCCATTGTCAGACAGGACGATGTGGGAAGCGTCAATTTTCGGACGACCGCCCACCGTCTTGCTTCGCGAGACATAGTGCAGGTGGAATCGTCGCAGCCAGCGGACAGGCATCGTAGCCTGTTTCAGAATCAAGAGGACTCCGGTCCCCGCTTCTTCCGAAAGAGTGATTTTCTCACATCAAGTGTTATGGAAAGCATACCACTGCCCGTCTTCCTCATGGACAGCCAGGACACTGTTGGAGAACCCTACAGCTCACCCAAGGGAGCGTGATTTTTGACCAAGGAGCCTGCGCACAACAAAGTACCTTGTATAATCTCATCGCGCGATGAATGAATGAATGAATGACGAGCAATACATACAATACATACTTAGCACTGCAATCGCGGCCTCCCTTATCTCAGCTGTAGACCCAATACTGTGTAGACCCTGAGACGACGTGGGGGGGGGGGCGGTCGGGCCGTTGTAACCCCGGGAACCAAACCGTTCCATTGAATTGAACCCCCCCCGTTCCGTCATTCGACCTTCCCCCAACTCCAACCCGCTCGTTATCTGCAACTGATAGAGATGGATGTAGCGTACGACCACATTCAGGAGGAGATCTTCTCCTCCAACGATTCCTCGAAGAAGGAAACTGACCAGAACGAGCCCGCCAAGACGGAGCGCTCCAACGTCGACCTCAACGCCGAGCTCCAAGAAACATTCCGCGCCTTCTCCGCCAGTCCCTGGGGTGCACGCATCGGTGGACTATGGGATAACGTCCGCAAGCAGAGCGAGAGCTATTACGAGGGAGCCCGTCAAGAATATGCCGCTGCGAGCGAGGAAGCTGTCAAGGGCTTCTCTGACTTGAGGAGCAGTCTTGTTGGGCGCACGCGGGGTCTGTCCCTCAGCACGGCATTTGGCTCAGGGGCTACTGGAGCAGGGGCCACCACCAGCCAGGACGAGACGTCTACGCCGACCGGGGCTGCCTCCAAGCCAGAGACCGATACTGCTGCATCTTCGACCGAGGGGGAGAAGGGGCTCGATGCGGGGGCTGCCTCTTCGGCCTCGAAACCGGGCGAGGGGTTTCTCTCTCGCTTCAAGGCCGAGGCGGCTCGCCGGCTGAAGGAGATTGAGAAGGCAGAGGAGGCGGCCGACGAGGCCATCCTGCGCTTTGGCATGAACATCGGCCAGAAGTTGCGCGAGGCGGTCAGCATCGTGCCGCCGAGCAGTGACGCCTCCGGCGATAAGCTTCTCTTTGAGAGCAAGGATGCGGAGGGCAAGCGGGTCATTCACGCCACGCGCTTCGAGGCCCAGCTGCATGTGATCCATTCCACGCTGGAGAGCTTCACCAATGACCCGGTCAGCGAGCTTTGGCCTGCGTTCCAGACGGAGTTCAAGATTGCGGAGAAGACCGATGCGATCGCGGCGGATCTCGAGAAGTACCCTGAGCTGCGCTCGGCTATGGAGAAGCTCGTCCCGGAGCAGGTCGAGTATGCAACCTTCTGGTGCAGATATTACTTCCTCCGTCTGGTCATTGAGACTGAGGAGCAGAAGCGCAAGGAACTCCTGCAAGGTATGATCTTCTGTTGCTGGGCGTGCTTGGGATGTGATGCCGCTGTTTGTCGGATTACCGGTACTAATGCCTACTGTATCAGGTGCAACCGTCGTCGACGACGAGGAAGTCAAGTGGGACGATGACTCCGACGAGGAGACCGACTCCCCTTCCACCCCTCAAGTCAAATCCAACACCGCTGCCACCGCCGCCGGCACCACCACTACCCAAACCGCCACCCCCGTCCCTGCTGCTGTTACCACCACCGCTGCCGCAACTACAGCTATCGCGAAGCCCGCCAACCCAGCCGAACCCCGTCGCTCCAACGACCAGCAATCGCAACCGGACAGCGAATCCAGCTACGACCTCGTCAGCGGAGCCACCAGCCGCACCCCCGCGAGCCCCAAGGAGAAGCCCAAGGACGACGACAGCGACGACGACTGGGAGTAAAACGTCGTTCGTCGTCGTGTAATCTCAGTAGCCATGATTTCTGCCCTCCCCCTAAATCGCTGTTCCTGGGGGACTATGTGTCCCGTGGAATCGAAGCGACCTGCTCACAAGCTCTTCCTACATCAACCGCGTACATCTGACCGCTGGCTGGTCCGAAGGATTTGAAATCCCTTCATAATCCCCTCCTCATCCTTACCTAGTACTTTTGCAAGGAGTTACGGGGTGTCCCCTTGCCAATTCCACTTTCTGTCTCTGATGGCGTTAGGATTTCCGTCGATATCATATCTCTTTCTTACAATCATGGTCACGTATTTACCCATCTATCTTTAGTTATCCTTGCTAGCTACTCGTGCGGCCCAACTAGGGGTCCTATTTCCTGCTCTGTTCTAGTATTCTCATGGGAGAGTTGTGTTCTCTTGGACTATAGTATGAGTGATAATCCATTTCATCACAAGCCTGCTACTTTCGAGAAATTTTCTCATAGGCGCCGGAGAAGATTGTAAACGACTTTACTACCACGTAGGTCATTACTACTTATGCATCATCCAGACTACGTGACGGGACAATGTACGGTACTGTACTTGGACGATAGATACCCGACTTCATTCTCCCTTCATAACAACAAGCTCTACCTAGTGCTCGCCATCCTCCACACTCGGCACAGGCGTCGACCGTCGCGAGAGTGGCGACCCCCTCCGCCCCGACCGCTCGTCTACCTGCAGCGACGACGAGCCCCCGCCCGCGCGCAGTTTATCATGGTGCTGACGCCTCATCATCCCGCCGCCGCTGCCGCTGCCGCCGCCAACGCCTCCCAACGAAGCCGACCGAGGCGTCTCAGGCGTCGCCTCACGCGAGCGCAGATAGTATCCGCGGACGCGGTCGCTAGGGGAGAACGGGAACTCGGATTCGTCGTCGCGGCCGTAGCGCAGCGGGGTGGTGCCGCGATGGCTGTAGCTGTAGTTTTGGTGGTGATGGTCCTCGTCGTAGGCGTACTGGTAGTCCTCGCCGCGACGTTTCACGGGGCTCTCGTCGTAGGGGTCCCAGCCGACGCGGCGGCGGGCGTCGGCGCGCAGGCGCTGGCGGTGGTGTTCGTCGCCACCGGCGCCGGTGGTCGAGGACTCCTCGAGGAAGAAGTTCAGGAGCTCGTCGCTGATGGAGAGGTGGGATTGCTGCTGGAATTGCTGGAGGGAGGTCAGGCGGAGGAGGGTCTCGAGGAGGGAGAGTGAGGTGCGGATGTTGTTGAAGTGCGGGTTGGTCATGGTAGTGCTTGTTGTTGTTTGCGGGGGTGGTGAGTGTGAGGGCCTGGATGCGGTTGTAGCAGAGGAAGGGGTGGGCACGGGGGAGTTGTGCGCGGGGTTGAGGGAGAGGTTCGCCATGGCTTCGGAAGTGGAGGTGGGATCGTCTTCCGTGTCGGACGTCTCCGAGTCGGAGGCTTCGTCTTCGTTGTAGACTTCGAAGGCGATCCATTCGGGGTCGAGGTCTTTGGGGAGGCGCCATATCGGCGGGATGGAGCCTTCGGTGAAGGTTGGTTCATTGTTGTTGTGGTTGTCGGAGTCGTGGGAGTGGGAGTGGTTAAGCTGGGCGTCGAGTTGGGCTTGCAGCTCGTCGGGCTCGTCGGACTCGTTATCGTCCTCCGCACTGTCAGAGACGTGGCCGAGTTCCGATTCGTCGCGTTCCAGCATGCGGCGTGGCGGGATGGCGTTGATGTCGCGTTTGAGGAGGAGGACAGGGTTGTTCGTTTCCCCCTCGGTGCTGATGTTCAGGATCTTGCCGGTGTCGGCATAGAAGATCTTGGAGATCTGGTGGATGGGTAGGATCTCACGCAGTCCGGCGGTGAGGACTCCTTCGAAATTCTCGGGCTGCGCTTCGTCTTCGTCATATGTGTGCACGCGTCCGTCGTCGAGATCTTCGATGATGAGCACCTGGTAGGCGAATTCGTCCACTCTGGCGTCTCCAGGAAGGCGTATGTGCCGTGCTTGCGGATGCTGTGGATGCGTGGCCATGTCCATGGGTACACGACGCAGTTTCAAGCGGGCCTTGTGCATGACCTCTTTCCATGTTGCCTCGCGCATACCCTCCTCGTCATGCGGGCGGAGATGGCTGGCGAAGAGCATGTACATCGATAAGGTAAATGTGGGACCAATCTGCACGGCATGAGACGGAGACATGGAGTATTGGGTATCACCTGCTGTTAGGAACGTGCTCGCCTGCAGCAACCGAGAGGGCGATACGGTGGATGGAAGGTTGGTCGAAAGCTTAGCACCCGAAGTCGTGATGGCCAGGTTCATCAGCGGCACTGCGTCTTCAATTCGGACAAGCAGTTTCTTGATGTCTCGGATGATATTTTGAATCTCTATTTGTTGTTGCGAGCGGTCGTGGTTGGGGTTCGCTCCTCTGGCATACAATTCTTCAGATGTTGCCGCCTTGGCTAGTCGCTGGCCTAACGCTTGTATGTCCCATCTTAACGATTTGGTGAGGGACACGGCTGATTCTAGTGATGTGTTTCCTCTTGCAGCGCTGGGGGAAATCAGAATGTGTTTGATCACGACGCCAGACATGGGAAACTCACATAAGCTCGATCATGTCGATAGCAGGAGATATGACCTAGCATTTCACCTCAGCATACTGTTCTCAGCGTACGCGACAGTTGAATAAGGGTGGGACCTACCTGGATCTTGCTTTCCAAGCGGTGCTGCAGCGTAAGTAGCTCGTCCCTTTCCTCGCAGTTATCGACATTCTTGACGGCGTGTTAGTCGAGAGATATTCAAAGAGGCCTACTCTGGCCGGAGAGCATTCCTACTGACTTTGAGCAGCCGCGATGACTGACGGATGGCATATTTGGCAGTTATGGCGATTCCCGAGCTGTACGTCCACTCAGTGAGCTGCCCAACAGGATCAGACAAAGCATCATTGAGTCATACCGGATGGCATAATTCATTGCCTGCTGGGTAAGCTAGAATTATTGTGAGTGCAAGAGCCATGCGATGCAGGCACTCAAAGCTTACCCTCGCCAGAAAAGCGTCCATGTTTCCTCAGAGCTGTGGCAGCTGCAGAGTGATGTAGATCGGCGATAGCTGCTGTATGCGACTGGCCCGTAGGGGCTGAGGTGCTAAGTTATCGGCGATGAACCACCCACGCTGTCTCTGGATTGGTTTGAAAGATTGGAGAAACACAAGTAGAAATTAAACCTCTTCCCCCTCTTGTCACTTGCTACGAGCTTGCAATCCGCCTTCAGCGTTCATCGTTCGGCGTCAGTGAAGCGGCAACAAACAGTGCAAAACATCCCACATCTTGACGCGGCAGACGCAACACGCGCGGAAGGCGGGGAAGAAAGGCAGCTGAGTCAGCCAGCGCAAAATCGATCGGGCTCCGGCGAAAAAACGCCCCTCACTTGGCTCTTTCACCTTGTCTTTCACCCCTCATTTCTCTCTCCCAGACCTTTTCTCCGAATCTTCTGGGTCCTTTTCTGAGTTGTTTGCTCTTTTGGCGGTTTCTCCAGCGTTCGACATCATGGCCAACCAGACTCCCGAATCCTGGGAGGATGAACTCTCCAGACAGACCGAAGGTGTGAACCTCAACAACAACGGTCGTCGCCAGCAACAGTTTAACTACCAAGGCTCGACGTTCACCCCTGGCGCTGCTTCGTTCACGCCCGGCGCCGCCGCCTTTGTGCCCGGTCAGCAGGCCTACGGTGGATATCCTCAGTACGGCCAGCAGTACGGATACCAACAGCAGCAGCCCTACGCTCAATACGGAGGCCAGTACGGAGCCTATGCTCAGCAGCCCGGCGGCTACAACCAATACTACAACCAGCAGCAACAGTACGGTGGCTACCAGCAGCAGCCCCAGCAGTCCCAACAGCCTCAGCAACAACCCAAGCCCGCCGCTGAACCCAAGCCTGCTGCTCCTAAGACCGCTAAGGTTTTGAGCATTGGCGCCGAGCCTAAGGCTAAGGTTCTCAGCGTCAGCGGTGCCAGCGACTCGCCAAATGCTCCCAAAACGAAGGTCCTCTCCATCGGCAGCACATCCGCATCTCCCAGTCCCGCAGCTTCGGGCACGGCCACCCCCGGCGATGTTAAGGGTTCTGCCGCCGCTGATGCCGCCGCCAAGGTGACGGCTTCCAAGGCTATTGAGAAGACTGAGAAGAAGGCGGAGGCTAAGGCTGCTGCTAGCGGCAAGTCCTCTCCTGCGCCCGCCTCTGGCCGCTCCTCTCCTGGCCGCTCCAGTCCCTCTAGAGCAGAGGTTGTCAAGGCTGCTCGCCATGCCGATGCTGTCGCCCAGGAGCAAAAGGCCGATGTCGACGAGGCCACCTTGAACGAACTGTACGGTGAGCTTGAGAAGAAGGAACACGTTAACGTGGTATTCATCGGCCACGTCGATGCCGGCAAATCCACCTTGGGAGGTTGTATTCTTGTCGCCACTGGTATGGTCGATGAGCGTACTCTGGACAAGTACAAGAGAGATGCCAAGGAAGCTGGTCGTGAGACCTGGTACCTTTCCTGGGCTCTTGATCTGAACCCCGAGGAGCGTGCTAAGGGTAAGACCGTCGAGGTCGGCCGCGCTCACTTCGAAATCACCAAGAAATCCGATCCTTCCATCACGAGAAACTTCAGTATTCTGGACGCTCCTGGCCACAAGGCCTATGTCCACCACATGATTGGAGGCGCTACGCAGGCTGATGTCGGTGTTCTCGTTATCTCTGCCCGTAAGGGTGAATACGAGACCGGATTCGAGAAGGGTGGTCAAACCCGTGAGCACGCTTTGCTCGCCAGAAACACCGGTGTACGCAAGCTGGTCATTGCTGTCAACAAGATGGATGACCCTACAGTCGAGTGGAGCCAGGACCGTTACAAGGTTTGCACTACAAAGGTTGCTAAGTACTTGGAAGCACTGGGTTACGCAAAGACAGGTTAGACCACACACTATCTTCCGATGTTGCAAGGGCCTATCATACTAACAGACAAATGCAGACTTGACCTTCATGCCGATCAGTGCGCAGACAATGGTTAACATCAAGGACCGGGTAAGCATTAGATCATCAACATCACCAAAGTCCATACACATGTCCTAATTTGTCCATATAGGTCACCAACGACGTTTGCCCTTGGTATGACGGACCGTCTTTGTTGGAGTTCCTCAGTGAAATGGAGCTCCCTCCTAGAAAGCTGAATGCACCTTTCATGATGGCCATTAGCGCGAAGTACAGAGACATGGGCACCATGGTTGAAGGTAAAATCGACTCTGGAATTGTCAAGAAGAACCACAACTTGGTTGTTGTTCCCGGTGGCGCCAAGGTGGAAGTTGCTGCTCTGTATGGTGAGACTGAGGACGAGATCGTCACTGGCAGTTGCGGTGAGCAAGTCCGCATGCGTCTCCGCGGTGTTGAGGAAGAAGATCTTCTTCCCGGTTTCGTGCTGTGCTCTCCCAGGCGTCTGGTCCACTCCGTGCATTCCTTCGAAGCCAAGATCAAGTTGCTTGAGCTCAAGGGCATTCTTTCTGCCGGTTACAACTGCGTGATGCACGTGCACTCCGCTGTTGAAGAAGTCACCATTGCCGCACTCTTGCACAAGGTATGTTGCCCAGACACCCATTATCATTCTCCGCTAATATCCGCCTTCGCAGCTTGAACCCGGCACTGGACGCCGCAGCAAGAAAGCGCCAGCATTCGCAAGCAAGGGAATGACGGTGATTGCCCGTGTTGATGTTACGTCGACGGCGGGATACGTGTGCTGTGAACCTTTCTCCTACTCTGAGCAGATGGGACGTTTCACTCTGCGTGACCAGGTAAGCAGCGAAGCCCCTTGAGCATAGTTGAAAGGGAGGCCATCACTAACAGACACACTCAGGGACAAACCATCGCCATTGGTATGATTACCAAGCTGATTGAGAACGACGAGGTTGTTGCCGAGTAAATGCGCAAATAATCGGCTTGTCGGCATCATAACTCCCAGTAGCTCTTACCGCAGCCAACAGCAAAAGATTTGTCGGGCTCAGCACATGTAGGGTGGCCTGGGCGGGAACGGGCTCGACCAAGACAAGAGTAACGTTGGCTGATGATGATGAATGTCATTTTTCCTTTCTTGCTGAATATCTATTCCATTTGTCGCTCCCATGTCGATCAAAAGCGACTCAAACGCGCTATAAATCCCGCCATGTCCAGCATTGCTTCATATACACATGACAAAAAGAGTCCAGGAGAGTAAACCATGGCAGTGTATTTATCTATGTCAAAGGGGGGAATCGGAATGCATACAGCTCGAAGAAGCGAACTCATCAAGGACCAAAGAGAAAAGAAGGAATCCAGAATCCCAGATCACCGGCGCTTCTTAGACACAACCGTCGTAAACCCATCCTCATCCACCTCCGGCTCGGCCTTTTCCCTGGGCGCGCGCACCAACGCAGGCGCCGTCGCATCCTCCATATCCACATCCATGCCATCCTCCTCATCTTCATCTTCATCATCCTCATCATCATCACTATCCCCATCCGCCGCCGCACCCCTCTGAATCCCCGCGACAGCTCCCTGCGCACCACCTTTCCGCTGATACACCTCCCACATCTGCTGAATGGTGGCGTACTCACCGCGCTCCGTCTGCGCCTTCAGCTCCATGATCTGATCCGCGACCGCCGCCGCGCTCTCGTCGTCCACGTCCACATCGAACTCGTCCGTCATCACCTGCACCAGCACGTCCTCGAGATCGTACGAGTCCGTCTCCGGCCGCTCCGCCAGCATCTCGGAGATCGCGCCACACAGCCAGTCCCGCTTGTCGGACGAGGTCGGCCCGCCCCAGTTGGATTGCACGGCAAGTGTCAGGGCCGGCCAGTTGTTGAGTGCCAGCGTGATGCCGAGGTCGAGATAGTTGGTTCCCTCGGGGGGAGCGGTGGGGTTGGTGTTGGTGGCCATTTATGCGTTTCGCCCGGGGAGAGGGGGGACGTGATTAAGAGGGTGATTGAATATTAGGTCTGAGTGCGCGCAAGGTAGGAGAAAGGGCGAGGTGAGGTGAGGTGTTTGCGCGAGGTGAGCGAGAGTCTGAATTCTGTTGTGCTGAGACGGACACTGTTGTTGTGGTTGCGGCGGATAGCGGGGCTGTCGCTGTCTAGTCTCCCGGGAGAGGAAACTGAGTAGTACCGTGGGGGAAAAGAAGGAAGAATTAGAGCAATAGGTGAGGGATGTTTCAGAGCTATAGTACGAGTCGGTGGTGCAAGCACACTGAGACTCAATTGATCGAGAAAACGGTAGAAAATTATTGGCACTATGAAGGAGGCAGCGCTGGCGTGTGTATTGTATGTACTGGGATAGCTTGAATTTTTTTTTTTTTCTTCTCCTTCGATAGTGATTGTCTATCGGGCTGATTAGAAGATAAGCGGTCATGTGACTTGGGCCCGTTTGCGATAGCATAATGCGGAGTAATAATGGCCTGCCTCCCTAAGTAGTGCATTCTAGACATTTGATTTTATTCTGAATGGAATTTAGCTCTACTGACACTCTCTGATTGAAGGCTGGCTCCCAGGTCCATCTCTGATGCATACGGAGTACAGAAAAAGGATACCAAGATGAGAAGCAGCAGATTCGCATGGAGTATATGTTCGTTGAAGTCAACTTCAACCTCCAACAAACAAGCAGCAAACTTATTCAGCTGGTGTGTCTTTAGCATTCCTGTGGATTCGTGATTAAACTTATGAGTTGTTGATAAACGGAATGACTTGCGTGCTAAATACATCTAATTAACGATATGATAAAAATAGTCCTAGGGCTTACTGTCTTGTATAGTGGAATCGGTCAAACATTATCATTTTTGATTTTTTATATTATTTTTTGTTTCAATATTTAGATTCTTATTTTTCGGCGTAATATAAAAGAGAAAGCAGTCTGAATAACAAGCCGATCAATACTCCATCCAAACGTCCCAAGAGAGAAGATTGCATTGAAGTGCCAGGTGAACCCACTAACATATGTTTGGAATTGCAAGACTTACTCGGAATCGTCAGTGACATATTCGTCTCCAGGCATCGATTGTACCATTCCCTGGCAGGAAATCACCGTATGTCGGACAAGAGTCGGAGGGTAATTCTTCAAGCGGTTGCCACAATGCCAGCACTCCACAGTGTCAACTTTCCCTCCTTTCTTCACGACCTGGAAGTATCGGTCCCGGACAGCCGTCGCCTTGGGCGTCGACTCCCAGCGGGCGTAATCACACTGGCCCAGGTGCTGCAGCATGGCTGCCACACTGCCGGAGTTCACCGGATGGTCGCATCTGATGCATGAGCGGATGGATTTTGGCTGTTTCTGGCTTTTTCCTTTTCTCTTTCCTTCTTCTTTTTCTTTTTCTTTTTTCGCGATGGTCTTGATGTCGCTGCTGTTCTTACCGTTGTTGTTGTTGTGGTCATCATTGTCAATGACATCGTTGTTGTGGTGCTGGTGGTTGGAGTCATTGCGACTGGCGTGACCCCCAGCGTTGGGAACAACTTCCGGGGCAGCGGCCTTTCGGGCGCGACTGACCTGAGGGTTCTTCCCATTGCAGACGCCCCTGATATGCGCTATCATCACCGGGAGGGCTTCAACCATAGTCCACCCACAATGACAGCAAGTGACCATCGAGTTGGCCAACTCTTCATCTTCATCATCACCACCACCACCACGACGCCTATGCTTATCAAAGTGGACGTACAACCAGCTCAATCCGAGACACCGGTCCTCGAGATGGCTCTTCATCGCGACGAACTCGTGCGGAATCAGCATATCACAATGATTGCACACGACGATTCCGGGGATACCGTCGTCGTCGAGCAGCCGGAGGTGCTCGCGCACCGGGTTCACCTCCTCGCTGTTGACACACTCGTTCTCGACATGCTGCTCGACCATGGAGACATCGTGGAAGACCGGCTCGGTGCAGTGACTGCAGACGACGACAAGGGGGTTGCCGATGTCGCTTATGGACTTGTAGTGGTCGTACAGCCGGTACGGGCTGAGGTGCATGCTGCGCGCCATTTTCTCCTGCCAGGTGAAGGTGCTGCGTTGGAAGCGCATGCTGCTGTGGCTGCTATGCTCGTCGGGCTCGGGTGGGGGAGCTGGGGATGCCGTTGGGATCATGGGATTGAACATCGCTGGTGAAGGCGGGGACCACGATGGGGACCCTGTCATCATCCTTGACATGAGCGATTGCATTTTCTTTTGGTGGGGGGGTGTATGGCACCAAGGATCCAATGGAGATTTGTTGGTCAAGAGCAGAGTGTCTGTGTGTCGAATCAGTGTTGGGCAACGCAGGATGGCAGAGGGGGTTGGTTGAGGAGGAGAGAGTATTGGGATCTGATGCTGAGGGAAATATATAACTGTGATGCCATTGCCATTTTCAGTTCCGAAGGATTCAATGTATCAGAGGAGGTGATGGAGGTCCCCCGTGGGAGTCGGGGGTTGAATTGAAATCTCTCATGGAGCGTGCGAGACTGAAAGAATGCATGGGATTCCTTTCAGAAGGCGTCCTGGAAAGGACGGAAATTTCTCAAGAAACCTGCGAGATTAAAAGACTATGCCGATTGTCCATTCAAAGGGCGTGCGAGGGACATCTCGAAACCTCCCAAGAGACCTGCGAGACTGAAAGAATATGTGGAGTTTTGCATTCGTGCTTGCTGGGAAAGGTTCAAATTTCCCAAGAAGTCTACGAGACTGAAAGAATCGGTGGAGGTTGCATTCAAAGAGCATTATACACAGACGGGCAGACTCCGGCAGATCTATCTACTATCGACCTTATACCAGTTTCTCTGCCCTGAAAGGATCAAGATAGCTAGTAAGCTGGTGTATGGGAAATGGGCCAAGAGAGCTTCGTAACCACAACATATTACTCACGAGTGTTGCACCAAAGTCGAAAAAGTCTTCTGCAAGATATGTATACAAAGTAACATACTTTGCATGTAGTATGGAACTTCAACTCTCCGCGGATTGATGTATGTAGTGACCGTCAATCACTGAGTAATAGTGCCGTAGGAAACACTCTACGAAAGGTCCGGAGTCAATCCCAGAGAGCAGCTCTCTTCTGTTCATTGATCGGACGACATCCATTACCCCTACGTATTATTCGTTCGATCTTTATTCGTTCGATCTTCAGAGGGCGGGCAAAGTAATAAGGAGCCGAAACGCCTTGCTAAGGGCGAAATGACCAATCCAACATGGAAGTCAGCTCAATAGAGATAAAACCCGCTGGCTAGCAGTACAGGAAATCTCGCTCGATGAACAAAAGTTAAGAGAACCATAGACAAATGTCCAAGTAATTCAAAATAGTGATCTAATTGCATAAACAAAACACCATGCGCCGTATCTTCACACCCGCCGCTACATGGTATAATAAACTAATCGAACATAATAAGAACATCACAGAACATAACTCAACAGTGATTGCGCCTTGACTACGGTCGCAAGGTGCCAAGGTAAGGTGCCATGCTGCACCGCCCGAGTGCCTCGGGCCCGAGCCAGGGTCGCGAGATCACGGTACATGCCCAGAATCTCTCGGAGAAGGCTGTCATACGTCCCCGGAGGCCGCCTTGTATATATGATGTTCGCAGCCATAGTATATACGCCGTCCCCGTCGGTAGAGCCTCGCCTGCGGAGGAGATATCCGCTCGCCAGCGCGGGTCGGTACTCGGTCTGGTGCATCGAGCTGTTGAGACGATGGGACAGAACAACCCCCCATGTTTCATCGCATATATCCATGAGCAGGGATTCGGACTCAATCTCAGGATTGGTCTCTGTCGGTGTGGGAGCGTTCAAAGGTGCATTCGCACCGCTGGGAGGGGTGGGTGCAGTGCTGATTTGGTCGGGAGAAGAGATGCTGGGATTCGGCGTGGCAATGGGTGTGGCTGATGCAAGAGGATTGACTGCGCTCATTGGCATGGGCAAGAACGGTGGCTCGAGGGTGAGTTCGGCAGTGGTACCAACACATAAAATTGTCAAGTCCAGACTTGTCGACCTGGATTTGTTGTACTGCTCTGCAAAGTTTGTCCAGGCTAAAATTGTGTCAGTCACCATGAGAAGAAACCGCGGCGGCACAACTCACTGTCAACCTCCTCCTGGTCCACGGGATCCGTATTGGCGACAATAACCCGCCAGCGCGCCTGGCTTCTGTCCATGATGTCCTTCGTTGCGCACCATATTTCATTGCGAACTTCTGCAATACTTCGGACCGCCGACGAATTCCGGAAGCGGAGACAATAAGACATTGTTTGCTGCAAAGCGCCGGTGTTATCGGACCAGGCCACACTCATCCACCTCTGGTCTTGGCTTCGGGAGCATGCAACATGGAGACATTTCCCTTCTTGTAGCGGAGAAGTCTTTTCGGACGAGAGTTTGAAATTGATGATCTTCGGGAGTGGCTCCGCGAGAAGCATTGGAGGAGCGCCATTGACCTGGCTAGAATGAGGCAATTTTGGTGGGCACCGGCTGTAGACCTCCAAAGCCAAATTCAAATACTCTGCCTGAGGAGGAACAATTAAGGAGTCATTCGACACGAGAAAATCAATGGGGATAATCTGCAGGACAAGCTCATTCAGTTGTCGTGCCTGTTGCTTGTCAGTATCAGCCACATATCTCTGAAACAGACTCCAGAAGGCCGAACAGATATCGACCAAAGCAGCAGCATGAGCGAAGGGGTTGACTATATAGACAACTAGATTGTTCTCCTTGCCGGGTGGACTTTTTGTCAAAGCCGATCCTTGTCCACGTCAGTGCTAAGACTAGAGATCCAGGAAGGACCAACGTACCTAATTCTTCGCATATAGTCTTCAGGGATTGCATGGTAGATGAATAGCGCGTATGTGACCAACTAATGTCCCACGAGCCCAGACCACGGTCGAAAAAGTTACATCCATCCCCTCGATCATGGTTACCGAAGTTGCAACCCGAATACACCAAGCCAAGACGATCCAAGAAGGAATCGGCAGCTGCTGCGGCCGTATGAGGATGGATGCAATAAGCAAGTATATCTTTCTGACCATGAGCCGGTCCTAATCCGAACGTCTCCCAGAATGGGATCGCTGGTGGCAGTGTCTCCAGAAAGTCTTTACCGCGGCAGACGCGTAGATGTGGTGGACCAAGACGAGAGATGGTGCCCTTGCTGGTTTCTCTCCGCTGCGCAGGTTGTCGAGCTTGGGTGGCAGGCGAAAGTGCCGTAGTATCCTGCAAGGAGACAAAGGTATTCAAATCGAGCCTTTCTATGCCACCCATGAATGATTCGTCGTCAACATTGTGGGGAGAGTGCGCTTCATTCCCACAGCCGGGTCGACCAATGGACCCGTCGTACTTATGGTTCAGAGAAGATTGCGTGACTTGGTCGACCAGAATCTGAGCAATTTGAACTTGCACGTCTTTCTGAAGAAGGACAGGTAATGTTTGACTTGAGGGGAATGTGAAGTAGCCGGTCAAGGACCAGTCGGAGAATGTCGATAGGAAGTTTCCTAAGAAGACCGAATCTTCGGGACGTTGTGTTGTGTCTTGCTCCACGTTGATGGAGGTCTTTTCTGGGGACAGAGCCGACGAGCTCCCAGAATTAGAACGGCTACGTTTCCTTTTGCGCGAAGGGTCTGTAGCTGGTGACAACCCGCTTTCCGACCCGCTCTCCTCTTCGCTGTCAATGCTTTCAGCGTCACTTGTATCGGAGTCTGACGAGACTTTCTGCAGCGTAACGCTTGGCGGACTGCCGATATCATCAGACTGTTTCCCACCCGCGCTGTTCTTAGACTTTGTTTTGCGACGCAGGAGGCCAATGGTTGGAATATCACTTTTCGTAGGGATAACATCATCAGAGACGTCCTTGTCACGCATTGTGAACCAGAACTTGCCCTCAGTGCTGTATTTCTGATCCCAGCTAGATATGCCCTGCTTGAAATGTATGGGATTGTAATACCCTGGCATATGCCCCTTCTCAGGTGTTGGATGACTCTCAGATTTCGTTTCGGGGAAAAGAAATTTCTTGACCTCTACCGGACTGAGTGGAGGACTTATGGTGCCTGCATTGTCTTCCTGAGGCGATGGCAGAGACATGTCTCGTGCATGCGGCGGTGATTCAGCCGGAGCCTCCGTCGTGACATCCATTTGTTCTACATCAGGCTCAAAGATTTGTCCATCAATAGCTTCCGCCATCAAATTAGGATAGTTGTGCTCAACCGGTGTAGGTTGTACCTCGAGTTGGCCTGTCTCAACAAAGTTCGGCGACTCAGGAAGAGCATTTGCATGACCGACTTCGGCCATGCGGTCGAACCCTGGGTCATCGAAGAAACTGAAGTCTGCATCTGTGATTCCTTTGGCTCCAAAGTCTCTTTCATTCATGTCGCCAAACAGATCATCATCGTCGTTCGTATCGTACAGCCCGGATCCAACGGCAAGTCCTGCCGAAGGCCCAAAACCCATTGTCACGTCCGTACCAGAGCGATTCCTACTGTGTGGCTGGCTAAAAGACATCTGTCGGGTCGGTTGAGGGAAGGTAGAGCTGCTGAATATATCTTCGGAGAATGCATCCGAGGAGACTGTAGTAGGATTTAATCCTGCCGTCGTGGCTCCATCTGGTGGCGTCGGGTATACAAGGCTTGCAGTCTGTAGGTCTGGATACTGCGAGGCCCTAGATAGGCTTTCGAGTCCTTCGGGCATATCAGTCGTAATGGGTGTGGGCGCATCTTGATCCTTGCTTTCTGCTTCTTGAGCCACAGATGGAGGCTTTGGGCTCGGTTCGTTAAGATTGGGTTTCTCTAATACGCTCCACTTCTCTGCAAATTCTAGAGGGTCATCAATGACAGCATAAACGCTTTCCATTTCACCATAGGAGTCTGAAAATGCCGATTTTGTTCTTCTGAAGCAGTATATAGCTGGCCAAAGGATTCGCTTGAGGGGTAGCGTTGATAAGCCTCCATCGTTAGGCCGCCATGTCTCCCCAGCCAGCCTCGAGTAGAACGGTTCCCAAACTTCGACCTCCACCCAGGAATCTTCACCAATGCCACTTACTGGGAGCCCAAAATTGGTCAGCCAGCCCAGTACATTCGCCATCCACTGTTTGCGGTTCACTGGGTCCGACCTTTCCGAGCCCATGCCGCCTGCACTGTAGGGATAAGGAGAAGAGCCCGTCTTCTGAGCTGGCTGAGTCGTCACCAGTCTGGCAATCGACCCACTGGGAGAAAGCCATAGATCTGTGCCGGGTGCAATGTCGAGAGTTTGTGTAAGATCGTCTTCGGGATTGCATAATCTGAGAAGCCCCGGTTGTGGTGCGGTTTGCAAAGCCACGGTAAGTTTTCCAGCAGCTATCAGTTGGACTTGAAGCGTAGTGAGCGACGGGGCAAAAGCGAGGCTTTCGTCGCCAAAGCCCGCGGCCCCATCGAGACCTCTTTCATCTAAGGTGAGGAGAGTCCGAGACCCGAGTGGAATTGCGGCTGTCTGCTGTATCAATTGCAAGCTTAGAATCCCCATTAGAGCTGAGATGAAAGAAGCATAAATTGTGACGAATGGGGTTGGCGCATTGGGTCTTTGCGGCCTGGCTGCACCCGCCGCATTTTGAGGCTCCGCCGAAAGGTTCTTAACCAAATCTGACGAGGAAACGCTTCCGGAAGACGAGACTTTATGAAGTCAGCTCTTCCTGCGACTAACACAAATTACCTTGGCGCTTTGCGAAGGATACCCACGTACCTTTCAAAGTAGTAGCGCCGACAAGCAGCCTCCCCGAGTCGTCTTTACCCTGATTCGCGGCCACCGAGGCTAGGGATTCAAATCCCGGGGTAGGAGAGAAGACCCAAAGGCATAGTCTTCGAGGATAACTTGAGACCAGACAGTCCAGGTTCCTCAGCCGAAGCTCGAGATCTTTGAGGCGGCTGAGATGTTTCAAAATGGTATAACCATTTGCGGGAGCTTCGCCTGGAATATGTATTATACCAGGCTCTTCCGTATATATTCTCCAATAGATTTGGGAGAATCCATCCTATAGACCGGGTCAGACTGAAGCTGGGTGTTGCTTTGCGGGCAGTAAACTTACAATGACGCGTATGTTGGTGACGGATCCGCCTGGAAAGTCCATGATTTAATTAAAAGCTCCTTTGGATAAATACAGGAACGCTTCCACTGGCGATACAAAATTCATCTCCGGGAGCGCATCTCCATATGGTCATATCTCAGCGCGAAGACATGGAACTTTTTTTTTTTTTTCTTGGCAGTCAGTAAATAATAAATCAACTTCCTGAAGCCATCGCTTTTCGGGAGTATGAAAGTTTCGCGACGAAAGTGATAGCAAAGAGCAAAGGGGTGCTAGCGGCGTGTATATATAGAAGGTTCAGAGGGGTCAAAGAGGCCACGCCATCAGGCAGCAGCAGGAGGAAGAAGAAGAAGAAGGGAGAGATACAAGAACTAAGGAGTGGATGGATGGAATCGAGGATATCAGCAACAGCATTCCCGAAGAGGCGAAATGGCCGGCTGATGGATGGATGGATGGATTTCCCCCAGAATCCACTTCCCTCCTATTAATCCAACGGAGCTTGGTTCGGCCCGCCCCAGCCAATCACAGCCCGCTGACTCATCCCTCTCCCAGCTATCGATACCGCAGGCCCCGGCAACTTTTTTTGCCCGAAAAATTATTCCCTTATCGACTCGGCCTGGTGTTGCGCTGCGATTTCCACCGCTCATTCCATCGCCATGAAGCTCTCCAATCAGTCGGAAGTCCCCGTGTACAGTGAGTTTGGTTTTTCCAGAAATATAGCGAATCGCACACTGACAGTTCTCCTAGCGATCTCGGGGTCCAATACTGCCCGCGAGGTAAGAACCTGATAGCTATTACAGGAAAGCTTGGTGCTGACGCTGCATGCTTAAAGCTCCCGGAATGGCTCGCCAGGCGAAGAAAGAGAAGTCTGAAGAATGATCCGGAGTGGGCGAACAGAGTGGAATTGTTGCAGGTGGGGATTTTGAGCAGTATCCCATACTCCACGACCAGTGTCTAACCCCATCTACCAGGATTTCGGTTTCGAGGAGGCCAGTCGTTGCATTCGGGTTAGTGAAGATGGAGACTGGGTCATGAGCACAGGTATGCGCTTGCGCAGACAGTATCTGCTCCGAGACACAGCAACTAACCCATGTTTCTTCAGGGACGTATAAGCCGCAGATGCATGTACATTCGCTACAAGCCCTTTCCCTGAGTTGTGAGTTCTCAGATGCACTCTACTCTGAATTCGTTTCTTTTTTTATTAATCTTTCCGGTAGACGCGCGCCACACGGATGTTGAAAACACTACCTTCCTTCTTCTATCCTCGGATTATTCCAAGTCTCTCCACCTCCAGTCCGACCGCTCCCTCGAATTCCACACTCCCTCAGGAATGCACCACAAGACGAGGCTTCCCAGATACGGACGTGATCTGGTATACGATAGACAGTCGACCGAAGCGTTAGTGCCATCGGTGGGTGTCAATAGCGACGGCATGGGAGAGGTGTTCCGACTGAACCTGGAAATGGGACGTTACATGCGAAGCTTTGAGGTCGATGTGGGCGGTGATGACTTTACGTCTGCTGGTGGAGGTACATTGCAGGGTGGAATCAATACTGGCGCTGTCAATACGGGAGCGATTGCCGAGGAAAGTCACAACCTTCTTGCCTTCGGTACCTCCAACGGCACGGTCGAATTCTTCGATCCTCGGATGAGAAGCCGAATTGGAACTCTAGTATCCCCTGCGCATGGTCCCGACGAGTCGCGACAGGAGATCACGGCGCTGGAATTTCACAGATCTGGCTTGACCCTCGGTACGGGTTCGTCAAATGGTCTCATCTTCCTCTATGATCTGCGCATGTCCCGACCCATGTTGAAGAAGGATCAGGGATACGGCTTCCCTATTCACACACTGAAATTCCTCCAGCCCTCCACCGCCTCCCGCGAACAGACCCTGGAACCCAAGATCATGTCGGCAGATAAGAAAATCATCAAGATCTGGGACCCTCGTGATGGAAGCCCATGGACGTCTGTCGAGCCTGCGGTCGATATTAACTCGGTGGCTTGGTGCAAGGATAGTGGTATGCTTCTGACAGCCAACGAAGGACCTTTGCAGCATTCGTTCCTGATTCCCCAGCTTGGCCCATCGCCACGCTGGTGCTCATTCCTCGACAACCTCGTCGAAGAAATGGCAGAAGACCCGAACGATCCCAACGCATTCAACCCCGGCCAGGCGGGCTCTGTCTACGACAACTACAAGTTCTTGACCGTTCCTCAACTTCGTACCCTCAACTTGGAGCATCTCATTGGCCGTACCAGCCTTCTGCGGCCTTACATGCACGGTTACTTTGTCGCCCAGCAACTGTACGAAGAGGCCAGACTTATCACCAACCCCTACATGTGGGAAGAAGAGCGTGCCAAGCGTGTTAGGGAGAAGATCGAGAAGGAGCGCGAGAGCCGCATTCGTGGCAAGAAGAAGGCCGCCGTCAAGGTCAACCAGAGACTCGCCGAAAAGCTGCTCAGCATCGAGGAGAAGAACGAGCGCAAGAGGGCGCAGCGTGTCCTCAAGAGGGGCGGTGACGATGACATGGTCGATGCTCCTCCTGCACCCGCTACTGAGGAGCCAGACAAGAACCCTCTGGGCGACTCTCGTTTCGCCAAGCTCTTCGAGGACGAGGACTTTGCCATCGACGAGACGTCGCGCGAATTCCAGCTTCTCAACCCCAGCACTGCGCCCGAGGCTGGTCCGCGTAAGGAGAGAGGCCTCACCGCCGTCGAACAAGAGATGGTCGACGACGTCCGAGGCAGCTCCGACAGCTCCGAGTCCGAGAGCGACGGCGAGCAATACAGCACCAAGAAAGCCACTTCGAACAACAAGATCTCCACCGCCTCCTACCGGCGCAACAAGCAGGGCCGCAACCAGCAACAGCCGCGCATGGAGGTCTCCTCCTCCACCAACGTCAGCTCGACCCGTGACCGTTCCTTCGGATCGCGCGCCCAGAACATGCGCACCAGAGAGAAGCCCTCCCGCCGGGGCGGTGTCGTCGGCGAGCGCGAAGTCACCTTCACCCCCGGCGCTGGCAAGCAGCAGCAGAAGAAGAGCTTCAGCCGACCCGAACAACCCTCCTCCTCCTCCCATGCTTTCCGGGCCAAAGAGCGTCGCAGCGCCTCCGGTAATACTTTCCGCAAGATGTAATCCCATCTGTTCCAACCTCTCGAGCCCTGCGGACCTGGCTAGATTGTTCGGTCACCTACTGCTGCTAGTGCTCCTGCTACGCTGGCTTCCGTCATGCTACATGCCCAAGCCCAGGCCCAGGCCGTGCCGCAGCTTCTCAGGCCCCTCAGCTGCGCCGCCCACACTGATCTGACCTTTGTCATCATCGTCCGGGATAAACTGCTGACCGACCCCTCTCAAGGGAGTGGGGAGCAACGCACGTCACATGATACATAATACCCGCTACTCCTCCGATCGTCCCCAAACCCACCGATCTACCAATACTATAGTACCACCCCAATGAGGACCTCAACCCCTCCTCTTGCCCTCTCCCTCAGCCCTTTCGTCACCACCGACCTCTGCCAGCCTTTCTTTCCCGTCCTATCCATTACTAATTGTCACAAGGCTCAGTCCAGCAGCTCAGGCGAATTGCATGCTTTCTGGGCCAGCAGCCCAGCACAGCCCCAGCCGAGCGAGCTACTAGTAGCTATTGGTTCCGGGTCGGGTCAATCAAGATAGCCTGATCGGAAGACAATTGAGTCACTGTACTCCATACTTCATCTTGTCCCAATCGATGAGTCTGTCAAGATTTGAACCCTGACTCAACGCAATGTATCAATATGGACACGCAAGGCGAAATGGTGGCGCGGCGGCGGCGCATTGGCGTTTTCTCTCTTAAAGTCAAACCCGCGGCGACGGACAAAAAAGTTTTCATTTCCATAGACTCATACCCCAGCGGTCAATGCATACTCGAAATTTCACCTTCCATGATATTCTCCACACGTTTGTGTTGGTGTATCTTACTTAGAGGTTGTCTTAGTTGGATGGAGCAGGCAGACATAATTATGTGTTAGATCAAATACTTTACCCAGCGTTAGTAATTAAGTACGTCAGAAGCATTCATGTCGCACAAATCACCCCCCCTCTAACGCTCCTGTCACAGCGGCAGAAATCAGAAGTATCACAAGAAGTACATAAGGCACAAGACGTCGGTATTTGAGAAGCAGATAAAAATAGATAAGAATAGATCGTAGAAATCGACATAGATCAATGCCCACATCATGTGACCTGTATGAACGCTCGGAAGATCGATACAAGAGGGGAAATTCAAAACAAGTAGAAATAACAACACCGGACGCTATTTCCATCCCACAATGCAAGAGGGGGGGGGGTTAGAATATAGTATAAAAAACATGCAATGTCAACCCAAGAAACAAAAAAATCGGGACATCAAGTCAACCTAATTCGCCAATCCAGACGCACAGGGAGGAATTGCTCGGAGAACCAGTCTATAAACGAACAAGCCGCCTGGAGATATCATTGGAAGGCCATGCGCAGCTGAATGATATCGAAAATGTGAATAAATATGTAGGCGAACAGAAGGAATTGAAGGTGGTATGTAGGATGCCTGGGAAGAGAGTAGCCAAATCAAACACCAAAGGCGCGTAGAGCATCACAGAAGATATATTAAGGGGTGGTTCAGAGTATAACCATGGTCCTTTCATGGCCACCCATGAAAGCTGGAGAGACCGCCGCCTCGCCTGCCACCGCCTCGCCGTGATCCGCCAGAGTTGTTAACGGGATCAACACTATGAGTACCCTGCCTGCCTTCCTCAAAACTGCGTCGAGAGGCCCCAAAATCACTCATCGCAAAAAGCAACGGTTCGTCTTCTTCGACCTGCGATTGTGGAGGATTGTTGCGGCCGGTGCTAGGTCGTCGCCCCTCAAGTGTTGAGGTACCGCTATTACTCCCACTTGCATTACCGTCACGATCGTTATCGCGCTCAGTGAGATAAGAGGGAATGCTCGTGCCACGTGCAAGGCTACCTGAGCCGGAACTGAAAGACTGCGGGCCCGAAAGGCCTCGTCCGCGAGACAGGCTGAAGCGCGGCTGATAAATATGATGACCCGACGGGACTGCGGATGGGCCCGACGCAGCTGCACCTCGATGAACATTCATGGTGCGTGTTGCAGTGCTCGGGGCCAAAGATGGATCACCACTCCCAGATGGGACCTGCTGTGCCCTATGAGGCTGATTTGAACCGACCTTCTCGCTTTCGTAGTCTTGCTGACGTTGCATAGCACTTAGGCTACTATTGGACCGATCCTCAGCCCCAAGACTAATGCTGCGCAGGTTGAAGGGAAAGATATCCTCATCATCCGTTGTGATTGTCCTTCGACGATGAGCAGCAGAGCTCGGTCGCCGATAAGTGGGAGGAAAGAGAGACGCAGGTGACGTAGGAATATCAATCGCATTTACGGTTGACGGGTCATCCATGGTTGTTCCTTCACTGGTATTCTCGTCAAGAGGTGAGCTGTGATCTACTTGAGGGATCCGTCGATCGTTGGTTCCGGGATCACTATAGTCAACGATACTATTGGAGCTCAAGCGCGAAGGTATAGCCGGAGTATGAGGTGTGTGAGGGGAAATAGGCTTCCCCGGTGAAGAAGCTGTCGAGATTGAAGTACCAGCCACCATTGGCGGCACACTAGATAATTGCCTGCTTGACGAGTTTGACGAACGTTGTAGCATCAATGAGGAGGTAATGGAGTCCGACAGAGCAGCATTGGAATCCTTCATACGCTGAAAGCGACTCAATGCAGCAGAAGGGGCGATTGTTCGACGTCCTTGGTCATCACGAGCAGTTGACTTTGAGTTACTAAGTAAATCTTTGTGCAACTCCAATGACTTCAAGAAGTCCGAAATGTTCTCATCGTCATCATGAAGCGAGTCTGCACTTGTGCCAGTTGCTTCTGCGAGCAAGCCAGAGCCAGGCTGAGCGCTTGATGAGGTAGCACTTGCTTTCCCACTAGAGGTATCGTCTTCTGGCCTTGTGATATTGCTAGAGGAAGGCCTGCCCCGACGATGAGAGAAAGCGCTGCTGTATCTCGCGATTGAGGCGGGCCTGGGTGATGCAGAAGTTGAAGGGGAAATTGTTTGCTCTGAAGGATTGGGCAAGGATTTCCGAGAAGAGCCTGTCGTGGACGTGGCGGGCATGGTTTTGGATTCAGATATGGGCACACGAGGTGTCACTGTCGAACGCGGTGAAGCTCCAAGAGGAGGATCGATAAGGGATGGAGAGGCAGACAACGGAGGGGCTTTGAATGGCTGAAAAGAGATTGAGGGCCGCCTGACAACGCCCGGACTACCTTCATTGGCGAGAGCGGCCGCACGGCCTATAGGACTTGCCTTGTTCATAGAAAGAGGTTTCCGGGACGATGAAGCGGGTGGTGATGGAGACGAGGCGCCAGACTGCTGTGCAGCACGTAAGGCTGATATGGGACTTGCGCTAGTAGTAGGCCCGACATGATGAAAGGTCGAGAGGCTGCCATATGCACGACCGAAGTCTGGATCCTCGAAGGTCCGTTTCTCAAGGGGTACCGACCCTACTTCGGGATTGACAACTTTCATGTGTGAGTCTCGACTCGGAAGTGAGGGACGGAAGCCATCATCATCGGCACCCATGAAACGCGAACTTAGAAGGGCTTCGGAATCATCTACACGAAACTCGCAGCTTGTTCGATAGGTGACCTCGATAGAGAATGGACCAGCGGGGGAGTCCGTCACACCGAAACTGTACGTCTCCACAACTCCACCGCTGCTTTCGAATAGAGGCGTCGTGAGACGGTCTGGCTTCGAGCTCCAAGCATCAGGGCTCCCTGCCACAATGCGGTACTTGATCCGCAAAGCCGGGTGTGTCCGATGCCTTCCTTTGCCTTTCGCAAATTTCCAGGCGGGCAAGAGTTTAGAGTAGGTGAACAAGGACCTGAACAGGACGATGCTCTTTTTGTAGACCGTAGGCAGAATAGAACCAAGATCCGCCGGTAGTTTATCAGACATATCTCCGAGTTCCACCTTCCATCGCTCCAGAATCACATCTTTGGACCCGGGCGGGAGCGCGGCAGATTGCCTTTCTGGAGACGCAGAAAGAGCTTCCGAAACATCAAACCGTTTCCCATGCTCATCCAAGGCAACAAGGCTCTGATCCTTAGTGAGTTCTTTGGTGTCCAGGTATGTCTCGATAACTAGCGGTGGAGGCCGGTTCTCGCTCGCATCACATGTCCTCCAAGTCAGTAATTGCTCCTTGAGCACATCGGTGTCTTCTAGTTCAACATTGAACTGCAAAATATATTAGTCGCGAGCAGTAGACCAAGTCCAAGTTAAGCGGTCTGAAGAGGAGAGGGAGATGTCCAAGCGGGTGACAGACGAGACGGTAGCAGAGAACATACCCAGCGGTTAATCCTAGCAGTATCCGAGCCTCTATTGAATGATGGGGGTAGCTCAACGCGCGAATGGAGAATTATCAGAGCGGCTTTGGTATGGTAGTTCTAGCAATAAGAAATGGTATCAGCAGGGGCACATCCAATCCAGCGAAACCAGGTCAAGCATTGAAGACGAAACCTTACCGATATGATTTGGTTGAGTTTAATCAGGGCTTCCTTTGACGGTCGCCGAGCTTGGCTCTGCTCTGGTGATTCATTTCCTGTCTCTATTCCCAGCCCTCGACTTGGTGTCCTAGGATCAAAGGCTGGAGAGGTCGGACGGGTATCTTGCTCGGCATTGTCCTCCGGCCGAGTCGACCTGGTTGCAGATATGGGCGGCGGAGGAGCTTGGGAGCGAGGGTGTTGATGCATGACGTTTTTGGTGCAATGTTTCTGAAATGATATAAAGGGGAAGCTGCTACTAAAAAACACAGAATCCAAAAAGACCGTGGAGCGAACCTGGTTGATTCAAGAAAATGAGACGGCACCAGGTGCGCTGCGGATAGCCATGCTAACAGACCGAACAGCCAAAAAGAAGTTGTATAAGAAAGCGAACAACAATGAAAGGGTTCGGAGGGATTTAGGCGCTAGGTAACAGGCACAGACTGAAAGAAGTGAAGCTGAGGGAAGAGTTCATGGTTTTCTGTGCTCAGGCAACAAGATGCTGGAGAGCATTTGGAGCATGGGGCCTAGACAACCTTGGGAGGCTTCTCCGCATTAACGACCGGCTTGGGCGGAGAAAGGGAGAGGGGATGTGCACAGCGTCCTCACAGTGAGGGAACCAAAGCAGTCAAGATTTCATACTCTTCACAATATACAGAAGGTCTGATTCGAAGGTGCAGCTTGAGAAGGAATCAAAAAAAGGTTTGGGGAGGGAGGAAAGTTGAGGAGGGAAGAATTGTCAGTTGGCAGAAGAAGATAGAGAGGGAGGGAGAAGCAGACCGGGGAGAGCAAGACGACTACTGTATGTACGTACCGTATGAAAACCGAGTGATCTGTGACGCACACCCGGTGACTCGAGAGTCAAGTGCAAGCGGTCAGTCAGATTGATGACGGGTGCCACCACAGTCCCTCGGGGGGAGGCTCTAGTATTGTATAAAAGACGAAAGCAGTAAGGGAAAGGGGAAAGATCCTACCAGTTGATATAGGTTTGATCCCATTTCTTTTAACCCTTCTACTTCTAGGGGATTTTACGTAGCCAGACTCTTTGCACCAGCAACTGCAACTTCTTGACAATCGTCCCCTGCCCGGCGCGATAAGATGTGGAAGGCGGTCAAACGCAGAACGGTACATACAGGTCAGGTAAGGACTGTTTCAGCCTGTCCTTTGATCGACTCGGTCTTTGAAGCCGTCATGGGCGGTAACAAATCGGCAGTGGCACTGATAAGGATTCCTCCTCAGATGACTTCATGGATCGATAGACCATCAGATAGTGACTGTAAGAGATGCCTGACCATCCCCAACCGGCATTGATTATCATTCTCTTGCTCTATCCGGTGGGCTGTCACTCCCATCATACCTCCTACTCTTACTGTATTTAGACACTCTATCTTCAGGCTTGTATGTAAGTTTGTATGAGTATGTCGAGGTGCATGGATCATGGAAAAACGAACAGGGTCAATGGAAAGAAACAGGACTCTAGTCCCGATTGAGGCTAGCCGGAGGACTGCGTGCGCTTGGGGCGATCAATCAACTTGCATGATAATCACCGCCCATGACAACATGCTCTCTTCAAAAGTTGCTATTCTGAGCTGCATGCGACATCGATCGCCCTGTTGAATTATGGCTTAACCTTCACCCCATTCTTTTCTTCATGCAGAATAAATAAAAAAAGGGGTGGGGGAAGAAAGGTCTTCTTTGTCTTTCGATCAAATGAGCTATCTACCTGCACTATGGAGTCGAATATGGGGCTCCTATCGTCCCCCTGCTGGAGCACCCGCCAGCATGGACCACTTCCCCAAATTCCTGGGACTGGCTGCCTCATCTGCAACGACCTGCTGGTTAGGTGGAGAGCAGATGCGAGTTGCCCGGCCTACAAGGCACAGTACCTTAGAGATACCTTAGGGGTCAACTCACAAGAGCTTCTCTCCAGCAACAAGAGCCAATCGCGGAGCTGACACTGTACAACGCACTACCGGCATGATGCACTGGAACTGCAGGTTTTGCAGCAGAGGCGGCTGGCTAAACCCTCTGAGACAACCTAGACTTTTTGATGTCTAGCTCGATTGGACGGGGAATAGGTACCCGTGAGGGTGCTCAGAGCTACGGAGTAAGTCTGGGTGTCGACGGGATTGACACGGTTGTGCGTGGTATATATTTCCATTTCCGTGGGCTTTTCACATTGACAATGATAGACGTAATACTACGCTAGCTACGGATGGCCATTTGGCCATTGTGGAATTAATTTATCGGACATCATCAATTCGCCGCCGCTAAGCAACGTCTCTGAGAGACCGCTTGGGCTCCTTAACATGTTGACTGACTCTGAATTTAATAAAGACTGTATAAATAACGGGCAATCCCATAAAATGGCGCTAATGCTGAGTTTTGTTGACGGAATAGCTATTCAGCCGGAGCGGAAAGTCACATGATGCACAATTCTCTTTGCCCGCAGCCTTTTAGCACCACCAACTTTATGTATAGTCTTCATCAACATGTTTAGTCCAGAATCCTGGGTTTTTCAAATACTTTACAAAGATCCACCGTCTCTAAGCGTTATTCACCTGAAAGTTTGTTCGCAAGAGGATTTTCACAAGAAGCTCCCTGCAGGGCATTCCACCGGCCTAATTTAAAACCTGGATATCCTCTTCAAATCCGGAGACCTAGTGAAAGAACCCAGATAAATGTAAAATGGCAGAAGAATAAAACATCATCTGTACATAATACTATACTCTAGCAGCCCAGCTCAGACTGTTTCGTGAGAAATAGGCTTGCCGAAAGAAAAGGCTCCTCCGGATTCTTTTCCAGTACTGTTGGAAATGCGATGTCGACGTCTATATAATGGTAAGACTCAAGCACGATGACGGACTAGGTCTTTCAGTTCTAATCCCCAATGGCATCTATCCTGAGAGTAGCTTGACCACTGCAGGTCTCTCATCATCCAGAGCTGGGAGATATAACATGTTAAAGCATGGCTACCAGATACGCCTGTAAAGACGGAGTGTTCGCTGGCAAACCGACCACATAAAGGCGAACAGGGAGACAGTTTCCACAGATATAGAGTAGTCTAGAACATTAACCTCGTATTGTCTTCCCGGAGGTCAGGCTTGCTGGGTAATAAATGGTTATAAGTCATTGGCATAGAAGAAGTGTTCCAGTGCACAAAGATGGCGGCTCGTTCGGTCACTTGTGCACGGGTTATCTGTAGTGCCTGTTGAGTTCCTGTATTGCTCCAGTATAAGGTCCGATCTCCAGTGGCCTCGAATTTACACGACACGCAATCTTTTTGATTCACGTTCTTCGGAACCACATTGTAGTCGTTTGAGAAGGACTATTCGCTTGTGCTTCGGCCGGCGCTCCAGTTTGCTCCGATGGAAATCGATAATTAAGGCTCGTTTGAGCTCAGCATCCCATAAAATATTTTCCGGGCGAAGATCCTGGTGACAAATTCCTAAAGAGCTGATCTCCTTCACTGACCGAGAAATCGCACGCTGAACGGCCTTGTCGCGAGTCATATGGCTCACGCTTATACCACCCCAGCCCATCAGTAGCATATGACGGATTTTCCCCGCGCCGTGAAGAAAGTTGATTTGGGCCAAATTGATAGCACCGAGAAAGACTGGAACTGCCAATCCTTGGGCACGCTGGAGAACCCGGTAGACCTCTGCTTCGCGCGACACCTCCGCCCAGAGCCTCGAAGTCGTCCCTTTCCCAACAACAGTGTATCCAAAAGTGGCACAAGTAATCATGAATGGTGCACCATATGAACCACAAGAGCCTATTGGAGTGCAGTTATGATCCAGATCCTGATCGAGCTGCTCCTTAAGTTTTATCACAAGGTCAGCTGCACTGATTGGGTGGCGGTCCTTATTTCCGCTAAGCATATGCAGCTCCCTATTTGGACAGTCGGGGTCTAGCATACCGCCCTGCTGTAATCCGACAAGGCACTTTTGTGTGCAATATCGAGCAACAAGTGTACGAGATTGCCCGCTTTGGTTCCCTTGGGGACTTGTCTGAAGTGCAGATTGTTTGGTTGTAGGGGACGATGTGACCTGGCTGAACCCCCGCTTCCGTCCCACAGATGCGTTGCGGTCTACCTCAGAATCAGGGGAATCCTCTCGGACATTTTGTTGGGTTAATGGCGCGCAGCCAGAGCCCGCTCGTGTAAGTACGAAACGACCTTTGGTGACAGGAGACCCTGTAGGAGACGATGAAGATAGGTACTCGGATGTAGTTTGCTCCGGGCTACTATATTCAGAGGTAGCATAGTCTACGTTCGGGTTCTGTGGTAATGCTGTCGATGGGATATGGGAGCGCTCGCTATCAAAACTCGTGCGCCATTTCGGTAGCTCGTCTTCGGCGGCATTCCGCCAGGCCTGATCACGAAGAGGAGTGCGAAAACTCATCAAACAAAGGCATAGAGTCCTCTCAATTCGAGTCATAAGAGATCCAGGTCTTTCACACATACTGGGGTCACCCAGATGGTAATAGAGGGTGGTTGGGTCGTCGTAGGGCACCCAGAGCTGTACGTCCATCAGGCCGTTCGTTAAATATGAATACGTGAGACCCTCTTGAATCATCACGTGGAACTCTTGAACAATGGCGGACCCGGCCAGCCGAGCGGCGTTATATCTTGACTTCTGCGGTTCTTCAGTCGGAACAGTATCCCGTTCTACAATTTCGTGCCAAAAGTCCATCGGCCGAAGTCCCTCACGCAAAATCGCCACGGAGAGCTTATGGGGTGGTTTGTATTCGACGGGAGTGTGCAAGGTACTCGTAGTCCCGTCCACCCGGTGAATGCAGAATTGATCCGGCTTCGAAGGGTTTGTCGTTGATGGCTGGCTAGCATCAATTCCATCATCTCCGTCCAGGGCGTTGGCGTGATTGTCGAACCACACTCCACTACCTAAGCAAAACTCCTCACAAGCACCTGGTATCTTGCATAACTCCGCGACGATATCGTGCACATGGTCTTCAGCGGCAAGTCGCTCATAGGTCTCGAGGTCCTGTTCACTGCTAATCGATCGACGCGCAAATCGTCGACCATGATCTTCCAATGCAACTAGTGGCGTGAATAACTGTCGCGCGTCCTCTTGTGTCGGTTGAAGGTAGCGGCAAACAGAATTGTAAATTTCCTGTTGTTTAGCTTCACAGTCGATCCACGGGAGGAGTCGTAAAGGACAGTGTTTTCCGGTGGGAGAAGGATTTTGCCCGTCGTGGAGCGAGACGGTGTTTGCGCTCGTAGGGGCCTCCAAAGAAGATCATGGCAATATCGGATAAACTCTGGAAAAGTCGTCGGTTGGTTGCGTTCCCTCTCTTGCCACTCCCGTTCCTCTGCTTGCTTTCTCAGCTCGGCTTCCTGCCTCTGGAGTTCCTCCGCGAGCTTCCTCTCCTCCTCTGCCTGCTTCTCCTTGTCTTCTGCCTGTTTTTGGCGTTCTTCTGCTTACTTCCTTCTCTCCTCTGCCTTGAGAAAAAGTGCCTTATAGTCAGGGGAGCTGCTTCCACTCATTGTGGCCGAGGGAAAGGGATATGATGCCCCATGGCGGTCTTGTCTGTACTGTCCCTTTCTATCGGATGTCAGTGGTGCGGAAAACGGTCAAAGTATTTATCCGCCCGAAATGTGCGTTCGCTGATGTGCCTCCTTCCCCTCACTTCGGGCCGAAGTCTCCCATGGTTTTGAAATCGTGTTGTGTCCAATACAACTTCTATCTCTGTCCGTCTGTCAAGCTGCCCTTCAAGCAAAATTTCGGCAGATAACAAGACCATTATGCGTCCGATTTATATAGGCATTGCTCGCAAAGCACAATTTAAACTATAAGATCCAAAATTGGTTCCAAGATACATAGGTCCATTGGCGTGTTCCAATCTATCTGCTGGATTATAGTGCCTCTCTACGTTCAAACTCCGAGCCTGAACATTCTTGAGATTATCCTCGAAGACCCGTCCGTCCGCCTTCTCGTTGGTCGCATTCTTTCATGAGCTATTGGCCTGAAATTTATATGAGAACTCTCTGGGTTTGAGGGCGTCATGTCGTTATCAAAGCATACCAAGAAATTCTACCAATTTTTCACGCTAGATATGACACGATATCAACGTAGCGCAAAGTGTATCAGACAAACTCGGTATGACAGGAACAATCTTCAAGTGCTATTTCGCGAGGGGGGCTACTGATAGGCACTGCGCTGTTGCTTAAATCCCCTCAGTAGGACTCTGGGTGGTGATTCAGTTTGTTCTACTCCGGATCTGGCACTGTTCTGACAATCTGGCTAAGGCTCTCAAGAGTCCCCAAGCACCGTCAGCTATTGCTAAGATGGCACTGGCTGCCGCCAGACCGAGCGTCAGGAACCTTGAATCGGTAGGCGTCCTAATATCGTTGCTATAGTAGATCTTATAATTACTATAGGAGAATATTTAAGAACAAGATAAGCTGCAATAGAGAGTATTTATTCATCCTTAGATCAACTGCCAAGGCGGACAGGTGGTGAGATCTAGAATAGAGGGTTTCATAGGGCAGGCCAGAGCTGTAGCCTACCACGGTAATCTTCTACATACTAAATAGCTTAAGGAAAAGAAGGCGCTATGTCTAATTATTGAAATCGTACTATACCGATTAATTCGCTGTCGCCTCAGACCAATTCCGCGGGGTAAGTTTTGATGGGGACGAGAAAGACATGATTGTGCGCGGACTTAATGTAAAAAACCGTGGTTTTTTCACTGTACACTGTTGATCAATATAATATTACAACTATGTACTAGTGCGTTATTCTGATTCGCTCACCTCAAGGAGTTTTTTACCTTGCGGTTATGGATTCCTTATGCTGTCTGTCAGATCAAAATAGTATGTGGGCGCGTATATAAGTAGTCTTCAGAACAAGCAATCAAGCATGACTTATCTATTCTTTAACTCTTTCTCATCTTTCCAGCTATGGATAAACGTCAAGGCAAAGTCTCGAGTAAGATCGACTGGAACCAGTTTGTCCAAGAGCCTGATATTGAAGTCAAAAGCTCATTTGCGGCGACAACACAGCAGAATATAATACTTGTCCATCGAAATTTTGAAAGGTGATCACTTCTCAAATACAATGAATAACTTCCTAAGCTGACTTTTCTTCAAGATTTGTCCACAATCTGAAGCCGCAAGAATACAAGTACTGGCTACAAAATATCAATCTCAGGGTCATCGAAGGATTCTTCCGATGGTACCTAGAGAATCATGCAGTGGTGCACCAGTCAGGCTTCCTCGTCTTTGCAAGATACTTTAGGATGTATTGGTGTGAAGAGATGGGTCAAATATTTGATTATGACCTGAGACGTCGAATGACTATGGTAGGTTCATCAAATCCAGAATTGTGATTCTCAGTAGTGCATTATGTTGGGTCTAACAGTTCTCAGCTCGTTTGCACTACTCTTACCGACGAATATGAACTAGAGCTGGGTGGCAAAACACAACCATCGATGAATATAGATGATCTTCTATATACCACACACCATCTTGTTGGAATAACCAATGTATGGTTCCCAACTGTGCGTTGTCGGCAGCAGCATAGTACACTGCGAAAGATGATGACTTCAACATCTGCTAGACCTGGTACATTGGTCGAATCCTCCGGATACATGAGGCAGAATGACGCTCTGTTATGGAAGGATATTGAGCTCTACATGGTGAAGCATCCAGAGCATCCGACGTGCAAAGTACTTCTAATGAGAGTCAAACATCGACTGAACAAAGGAAGGAGGAATCGTGGTGTGGCGTAAGTGATCTATGCTTTGAGAACTTCTCAAGTCTAATTTGATACAGGCCGGTTTACACATACACTGAGAGAAATGATAACTTGGGTCTATGTGTCATCCAAGATATCTTAGAATATGCATTTCTCGATAATGCTTTTGCAAGTCAGCATATCAAGAGTCCAAGAGATATTTGGCTCTATACAGATGTTCCGGGCCACCGCCAGAGTACCCCTATACACTTCAAAGATTCCGTGAGAAATATTCCTATTCTCAGACGTGCGGTGAAAGATTCAGAGGGTAACTGGATGACTCACCCAACAAAAGCTTTGACATATGCACGTGCACAGGAAGATGAGATTCGAACCAGCAGGTCGGCAGGGTTTAAGGAACCTGGCTCCTTGTACAAATACCGTAAAGGAGCCGCAGCAAACTTGAGTAAGAATATCATATTTTGATAGCTTACATTTACTGACTTTCACAGGGCACCTGGACGAGCATTCTCGAAATCAGGTCATGGGACATAGGAGAGGGGGCGCTTTTGCATACTATGTTCAAATAAGGGACGATACTCAATCCGCTTTCATGGAGACACCGGCAAGGGATGCCTTGCTCAAGCTGTCCAGTAATGCAAGTCTGACGAGAGATGCATCTGCTCCCCAAGAGCTCAGCAAGCAAGAAAAAATCAACATTGAACTGAACCCGGAACTCAAAGATTTGAGGCAAAAATGCGCAGAACTCCGTCGTGATATCATCTCGAAATATCATCAGATTCAAAAAGCAAAAGGCTCCGAACAATTTCAGCAGTTGAAACACCTGCAGCGTCAAGTTCGTGCCACGAGAAAAAGACTGTCTACACAAACCATGAAGGCTCGGTACACAGAATTTTTTCACAATGTCGGAAACAAGATAATCGATCATAACTTTCGAGGCGAACCTCTGAAGTTCGAATTTAATCAGAATCAGGTCATACCCGAGCGAACCACTATTGCACAACTTGAGTTTAAAAATCGAAATGCAGACACTGTCGACGATACAGAGCTCCTGGAAGATCGTATCAAATCACTTGAATTACGCTTACAGTTGCATCAGCTCGAGATTCCAAAGCAACTGCATACCAGAATCAGTATTGATACAACTGTTTCAGCAGAGTTGCAAGCAGTAGCAGTGACTGCAAGCCTTATGTGCCCAGTGTGTCTCGGTCGCACCAGTCTCCATCCACGCGCGAGAACGTATCAATACGCCAGAAAAGACACTCTGCAGAAACACTTCGCAACACATAACTTATCGAGGAGCTTTTTTAGTGGAAGAAGTTGTGATATTCCCGACTGCAACAAATCCCTACATTCTCTCACACAATACAAGCATCATCAAGCTACCGAGCATGGAATTGAACTGTAGTAGTGTATAGGTGAGGAGTGTTGACGAACCCTTTGGTAGAGTGAGCAGCATATATAGGTCAAGATTGGAGTATCTTATTTAGGATTAATCTAAAGGATAATCCAGAGTGCAATTCGGAACATTTAGTCGAAGGTAATATGACAAAAAAAATAGGAAAATACTATAGTTCCCGAAGTGCTGATTAGATACATTGAAATGACCAAAGAAGACTTATCTAGCCAGCTGACCAAATATAGATTGGCCAGACTGACTAGTAACTGTGTTTTTGAAAGCAGGCTGACCGAAAGGCTGGCTAGACTGACTGGTGGCAGGCTGACCAAAAGCAGGCTGACCGAAAGCAGGCTGACCAAAAGTAGGCTGACCGAAAGGCTGGCTAGACTGACTAGTAGCTGGGTTTCTAAAAGCAGGCTGACCGAAAGCAGACTGACCGAAAGCCTGGCTAGACTGACTGGCAGCTGGGTTT